GGAAATCCTTGCGCATTTAGCTTAAGTATATGCTAAATAATTACTTACTTTTTATTATTATCTAGCTTTTATAAGTTAGCTATATAATTAGCTTAAAAAAGTTATTTAGTGCGTTAGTTACTTATTATCTTTTAAAAGACTTTATAAATAGCTGCAGCATGTTACTTAAAAAGTATTACATTTTATTTAAAAGCTTAAAGTGTAAGCTACATCTAATGTTTCTTTAATACATTTAAGTAGTGTTATTAGAAATGCATTAGTGTAAAAAAAGTAGTGTAGTAGAGTCTTAGCAAAAGTAAGTAACTTAGGTGTGTAAGCAACTCGCCCATGAAGTACGTTAATAAAACAAGTATATTATCCTTCCTTTCCAGGAAGAAAGTGGCTAGTCCTAATTAGGAAGGATAACAGGCTTTGCTTAGAAGGTCTTAGCAGCGCTAATTATATTTAGAGGGAAAAACTACGCAGTAGAAGTAATTTTAACACCCCTAACTGCGTTGTCTTTAATTATAATAGGGAAAAAAGAAGGCTAGATTAAGCATGTAGTAGAGTAGAATAATTACTTAAAGCTTAAAAACATAGAACAACTAAGCTTTTTAGTTATTTAATTTTCTACTAATTAGATTAATAACCGGCTTATATCTAGACTAATAGAAGAGAGTGCTTGGCGGTAGAGATAGTGTATTATTTGATAATAAGAGTGGTATTGCAGTAAAGAAATATCACCTGTAGCATCCACGTGCACTCTGCAGGAATGAAGCAAAAGGTTAGCTATATTTATATAATTTTAGATATGGAAAGCTTTAATAGCAGGAACTAGCTATAAAACATATTTGTAAGAATACTTTAAAACTCAACATGTGCGCACATTCTCAGCTGCGTAGAAGTTAAAGCACGTTCATTAGACTTGTTTCAGAACACAGATTGTTTTGTATCACCAGGGGGGGTTTACTCTAAGTTATTCAAGAAGGGGGCGTAAAGCACAGTGAGAGAATGCAAGATGAGAGGTGTATGATATGGTGGAGCTATAGTATGAGAAGTAAACCTTCGGGCCAGAGGCAGAGGTACGGAGGCTGTCGAGCCTATATACTAGCCCCTAGCTACCTTAGGAGAGGCTAGTGTACTCAGGGGTATACTCAGGGGTATAGATAACCAAGATAGGTGCTCGCTTGAAAATGCTATAAGCAAATGCCCCTTCTGTTACTTGCCCTATTGACCTCCTCCTTCATCTCCTTGGAAAGCCGGTTCGCTAATTGTTGTCCTATAATCCTTGAAATCTCTACTGAATACGCCCGCTGCCTCGCCTGTGCATCACCGTCGTTTCTGAGGGATGTTCCCTCATGTTGCGAGCCTGTTGAGTTGGTAGATTCATTTAGTGTGGTTGTAGTTGTTCTTGAGTGCATTGCTCCCGCTGTGGAATCGTCTCGGATTTCGAAGTTATTTCTTGAAGATCCTTTTTCAGATAGCGAGGGAGGAAATTCGTGTGCTGTCATTGGATTGGAATAGCGCAGATTGGTCGGGATAGTTCCTTTTTACACCGACGGTAATTAATCAATATGGGAAGCGATAGCTTTAGAAGGGTGTGTGTTTGTTGGTATTGATAGTGTGCCATAGTCTCCACCTCACCTTTTAACCTAGTAAATACGAGAGACGAGGAAACTTGAAATGTTGGATGTTGCGACTGTGCTCACTCCTACGTCATGCTTGAAAACCCGCCGCGACTGAGCCACACCGGTCGACCTTTGTTCATCGATACCAGCTGGAAATCGATTTGACCAACCAGCGACACCGGCATTCTTTTCCGCCACAATCCATTGCACATCGGTTGGAGAACATCCTTATGGAGTAGCACGCCTATAAGAATTTATGTGAGGATCTTATCTCATACTTTGATTGCCACCTTGAAGGCGAGGAGCCAGATCGCATCAAATTCTATAAAGCCCAGTCTTCCAATGATGCCACGAACATGTACACAAAGGACCGATGTCGCTACCAGAGAAAGTCTAGACTAAGATTGTTTCAAAGGACAATGATTCACCATTGTCGCCACAGAGAATACCCAACGTTCTCCGGGGAAGGCATAGAGCTATACGTCATATGCAAGCTTGAGGCTGAATTAGAATCTCGAGAGCCATTGCCCACCACGAAGACTGCTCGGGGCGGGCGGCCACGTACGCGCCACTTTACAAGTCGAATCCCAATAACCCTTGCACAGCATGCACGATTCGATTTTTAGCCTCCAAGCTCCTTATTGCCATCTTTCTTATTTACTTTCTTAATTTCTACAACCGTCGGCACGTTGAACTGCCCGCTTACCCTGCGAATTTCTTGCGGCATTTCGCTGGTATGAAATATTGATGAAGTGTAACGGCGCTGAGGCTGCGGTGATGCTGATGATGGCATGGTGATGGCGTTAAAGGATATAGGGATTGGGATAAGGATGATGGATTATGACCACTACAAAGTCAGAAGTCGTCATATGTGGTGAGAATAGCTGAAAGATAACCAACAAGATGCTTATGCTGGGTGTTGGGATACTCATGCCCATTTTTCTCTCTATGTACAACTAGGTTTGCACTTTGCAAAGCAGGGTTCGTATTTATCATGTGTCTTGTTTTCGACTCAATACCTCACTAGGCTATACGGACAGCTGTTTCAGAATGTAGTGTGCGAGAATACCATCGAATACGTCACGCTTATTGTTACGGGAATGGTGAAACATGCACCAAGAACGCTCAGTCTTACCAAATGCAGATCCCAGGATTCAATCGTCCTTCGCGAGGTCTTAAATGCCATCCGGATCAGGTCTTTCTAGGGATCTACATAGAATAGAGCCCATCACAAGTCTCAAGAGACGCAGTGTTGAAGCCAAAACAAAGAATTGTAGTGCATGTTACTACTGTATCCAAACATCAACCACGGAGATCCACAGGGCAGCTCTAGTCTTTCAACCAAAGCATCAGCAATTCCTACCCTAAAGATCCAAAGTCCCAATCCTACTCCCAACACTTCCACTAACACCCCAAGGACCTTCCGCAAGACGTTTCTTGACTATCCCCACAACATCTTGTCGACCACCTACTTCTTCCAACTTCGTGCCTAGTGCTTTGAGCACATCAAACTTCGCCATGGCCACTTGATAGGCCGCATTTTCTGCATCGCCACGTCCGCCTACTAAGTTGGAAAATGTGGTTGCGGGCTTGAGCAAGTACGGCAGCAATCCACCGCTTATGCTCGGGTCAAGGATCAAGTCGACACCGGAATTTGGAAACTGCTGGAGCCGCAAGTATATTGGGTCAGAGCTAGGAATGATCTCGTCATGAGGCTCTGCATTCCAATTCGACATGATAATTGAACGGAGTAGGACTAAGGTGGCCAGTGCATGCTCCTTCATAGCTATTGTGTCGGCATGGGTGACAATTTCTGAGAACATGCTCGGATTCTTGGCGTAGTAAAGTGAAAGTAGAATGCGAGCGTACATCTGTTCTGACAATGCTCTCCTTGAAGCTGCAGCTCCTCTTTGAGTTGGCGGAAAGGTTACCTCTTCCTGAAGTTATTCAGCGCCTCGCATTACAAATGCTTTGGATGAGCAAACCTTTGGTGGACCATGAAACACAGTGGCGAGCGTCTTCAACGCCTCGGGTGTTGTCCTAATAAGAGGGATGTCCAGTAAGACGCAATCATCCCATGCAAGGCCCGATGAAATGCGTGGAAGGAGAGACGCTCGAGGCAGAGATGCGAGGATATGAAGGTCGTTGCTTTCGCATTTTCGAATATTGCGGTGAACGTACTGTCGAATGTTGTTCATCTCTGGGCTCGACTCAAAATCTTCGGGATAAGTGGAGGCATAGTCTGAGATATAGTTCGCCGTCCGACCGCTGACGAAAGAATATTCTATACTGGGGCTTTCGGTCGTATGGAGGTCGATGATGCTCTTATGAATGCCCAGAGTTTTCATAAAATCAAGAGAGACGCTAGAATCGGATCTGTGAAACGATCAGCAAGCACCTTTTCCCAGCCAAGAAAGCGCATAAGGCATGGGAATCAGCCGGTTTTTTTACTTGACAGGGGAAATGCCTACGTGAGAGATTTCCTCGTTGTGACCGTGGTGATGAGATTCGAGTAGAAATGAATAAGGTTCATGTGCATGAGATCGTCTGCAATGTCAACCATCTTGAGTGCGGCGTAGTGGAGAAGACCTTGGTTTGTGATTAGGCCAACATGCTGCTCCAAAGGAGGATACTGGCTTGATATGATAGCATCCCAATGCATCACACCAACCCTGGGTAGCCACTCCAAAAGCCTTGCTTGAGCAACTGTTTTATCACGCTTGTTCAGATATGGCTCGCCCTCAGCCGGAAGAGGCTTCAAGCTGGTGAACTGGTAGTAGAACGAATACACATCTTTGTCGTGGAAAAGCCGCTTCCACACCGGGCCAGCACCATAAGCATACAGGCTGGGATTAGTTGGGTCAGGCCCGGGTTCATCCTTGGAAATTTGTAATAAGGAGATGAGGAGATTGGCTGCTTTGGTGGAGATTCCTGCGTCGTCGCTGCATAGCCAAAGGCGTACGACGGCTTGAATGACAGCCGGTCTGTTTGCAATTGTTTGAGCATCGACAATGCTTGCGGTTGCCTTTTCGAGCAATGAAAGGATCAGGAGGTGGAAAGGTTTAGCAGCTAGGTTAAGGCCCATCTCGAAGTCGACATCCTTCACATCGTCGAAGCGGTACGGCTCAGTCAATTTCAGACTAAAGTGGACCAAGGGTGTGGGATCCTGCTGCAGTTTGACGAGTAGGTCGGCCAGTTGCAGAAACAGAGGACGAGTCTCTCTCCATAGCTGAGTGCGATATTCGAATGTGGTTGTGAAGAGGTCGCATTTGGCCAGGAGCTGCTCATCAAGCGGCGTAGAGGGATCCTGCTCAATCTTCTGCAGGTGGGCTGCTAGTTGGGCGAGGACTTGCGAGGGTGCACCTGCCATGGTGGGGATACTACTACAACTTGAGAATGGGATGAAGCTGGAGCGATGTGGCGGGAAGTAGGTCATAGCACTAGAAAGGTGGGCCTCTTCTGGCGCTGCTCATGTGACTGCGCGTAGAGAGGGGGAGGGTCACGTAACGAGGGGACCTTACTCTTGCGTGAAAGACGCGTGAAGGATGCAGTGGCGTCAATACGGCAAACCGCCTTACTCAAACGGCGTCAAAATCGATGTTCATAGTCCGACGCCGAATTTCGCTGCAGCCTACAATGAATCTGGGAGGTGGAGGTAATGAGGGGGTGAGGCGGCAGGCGGTGCAGCAGCTTAGCTGTGGCGCCCCACCAGCGAAAAAGTCGGGCGCACGTAGCTTTACCGCCCAGCTGGCAGCCACAATTTCTGACTCTGCCCCTCATTCCTCACACCTCACTTCACTCAACGCACTTCCTCTGTACCGGTACTACTCTACAAGCAATACCATTATTCTATCTATCCACCATGGCCTCGCGTGGAGGTCGCGGAGGACGAGGCGGGCGGAGCGGGACAGCTCGGGCCCCCCCAGGGACGGTCAGGATCGCGGGTGTTGAGATGGCTTGGGATCTGACTGGCTTGGAGCTTAAGAAGTCGCCTACTGAGAGGTTCCCTGTGAGTCCATTCACCTTCCGTGCCATCACAAGCCTGCATTGCATGCTAAAACCCGTGTAGAAGACATCCAATCCACCCCCTCCCCCGCCGACGGCAGCTGAGAAGGCTATGCACCAGCGGCTCGTCACACTGCGCGACCGCATCCACGACGGGCCCCTATACACCGTCCTCGGTGACGGCATGAAGACGGGGTTGAAACGCAAGGCCGAGGACCCCGCGCCCACGGAAGCCTCGCTCTTCAACCCCTTCACAGACAATCTAACCTACTCGGCCAAGTACATGAAGGTGCGAAGGAGAATCCCGCGGCTAGACACACGCCCATACGTTGTGGATCTGTTCCCGGAAGAGTTACGATCCATTCTCAGCCACACAACGGGGACGACCAACGGAACCGCCGACGACGGTCGACCAACCAAGAAGCCGAAGCTACTGCAGCTATCAAAGGTGACGGCCGTCTCCCGTATCGAGCAGTACCTCAAAGAGGAAGAAACGCGTGCCCTAGAAGAGAAGGAACGCGCAGAGGCCGAAGAAGAGCTAGACGAAGATGCCGAGGAGAACGAGGAGGAAGAAGAGTACGATGAAAAGCCTGATGCAATTGACGAGGACGACAACTGGTCTGCCCCCTCAACGGACTCTGAAGAATCTGATGATGACTACAACGCGGAACAATACTTTGACAATGGTGAAGACGACTACGGTGGAGACGAAGGTGTAGATGAGAACACTTATGAGTAAGGAGTCTATGCGAGACACAGCGTTATTAGGGCTTTTGTGGGACTTGGAAATTATAAATCCTTGCGTTGGCAGTTCTAGACCGAGATACCCCTTTATTTTAGTGCACTAGCAAATCCCTCAGGTCCCTTTCTTGCCTCCTCTTTATGTAACCCTCCCGGGTCCCTCTCCCTTTCTAATTCCTTTTCTAGCGCCGTGTTGTAAGCCGTTCCCCTATATTTGCGTGCTATTCCAGAAAGCAAGAGCTGTACATGTGTTTTGCATTGTTCATCTTTTCGTTTCTCCTGAGGGGGCCTTTCTCCACATGCTCAATATCCTCGATCGAAACAACCGTTCTGAGGGGACTATTCTTCCGGACTCTTCTTCTGTCAGGCGCCCCCCCCCCTCCCACAGAACCTCATCCTCTTTCAAAAGATGATTCCTATACTTCAGTACCCTTAAAATTGTCTCCGTCTCTCCCTCCCCGTTAGAGTTTCAAGTTCGCCCCCAGACGTCCAGAACAATTCAAGGACCTCTTACAGTGTGTCTATAGAATCAAGCCGAAATTTCCGCGTCATGAACGGGGTGTGGACATACATGGTTCGGTAGGGATGGCCACCTGCGGAAACAGCGTACCAGTTTTCCTGCTCAAACGCTAGGTCTTTAGCGGTAATGCATAGACCGTGGTAGAGGGGAGTTTAGTAGAATTCGAGGACGGAGGTCTTTTCTCCACGGATGAAGGTCGGGATTTGGACGCAGTAGAGTGCGTAGTGCAGAGATGGATGGAGTGACCATCGAACATTTCGTCGATCCCTCGGCTGAAGGTTGACGCAGGAGGGATATGGCTCACGGTCGAGATCTACCATCAGGAGAGTGATCTGAGAGCCCGATACATAGCCGACCGATCCGGCCTTGGTGTACGGGGCTCAGGGTTCGGGATTTCATGGTAGTGGTGTTGGTAGTAGTCTGTAGATGTACGATAGAAATATATAAAGTGCTGGAAGGTATCTGATTGAGTGGTGAGTTTATTTGCATAATTGTGATTCTACAGTTGGCATCTTTACACCAATGTTTATCGATCTCTCCTCTAGCATATTTTAGCCTCGGAATTAGAAACTTGGCCACTGAATATGTTCGGCTCTAGATAACCTGCAGCTGACCTCCCTGAAGAGTTCGAATGCCAAGTACGCACAAGGTCATGCTGCATTTCCTAGGCATAGAATCGAGTTCTGCTTCTTTAGTGTTGCCTAAGATTCAGTGCTTAGTGTGAATGCTCCCAAACGTGGATGTTGCGCGACTGTCCCAGTTGAGCCACCCCCAACAACCGACTCTTGAAAAAACAATTCATGGTAAGGATCCGGATATAGAAGGAAATGGGCATCACGTGTCAATAAAAGAGAGTGAGATAAAGAAGGGTGTAGGGTGGGTGAAGCGACAGTTCGTGGTGTCACTACGACAAGGCTAGACGAACATGAGAATTATTTACCCATAGGAGTGTAGTATACCAACGAGCATAAGCTAGCACTTCTGTTCAGATAAAAGAGGGGATTGGGGGAACCCTCTTTAGCCACAGAGACACTTGCATCGTATTTAAATGGCTTGAAGGCATAAATGTTTAAGGTGTCGAAGAGGCTGATTCATGAGAACATCGTAGGTGAGGCTGGTCTAATATGTCGCCCCATCGATGTCATTATCACAGGAGAAATGAAGTCAAGATTGGCAATAAATCCACCAGTAGCTTGAGGTTCCTACTGCGCTAACTTGTTTCCAGTCGAGCACACAGACCCTCAATAAGGCAAGGTTCAAATCGTTAAGCGATCGTTCTTGGATGTGTTCCAGAAGTCTTTCACATATCCCTCCTGACTATATTACTCCCCCCCGCAAAACACCCTCAGCCTTCCAGAGCTAGGTGCGTAGATGGATGTTCTCAACTGCCGAGCTCGAGATGCCTCGTGGAGCATTTCAACTCCCTGGAACTCCCCGCATCCAATTTATCCCCGTCCAATCAACCTCTATTAGAAGCAATATCGAACCATACTGGCCCATGGGGTTTCGACACTTTGCGGCATGAAGCTCGATGTACCGGAAATCACTTACTATGTAAAATACTAAGCACCTATCTACTAATTGATCCTGATATGGATACTCAACGTCGCCCAGGGGTAAAAATCCTATTTAGAGCTTCCACTCACCGCGGCATTGCACGATGTTGGAGAGTTATATCAGCACCAAGGCATTCCTTCCTTCCAAGCCTCAGCAGACACGACATCAAAAATGCTTGCCTTATTCCTTTGGATCGTGTCTCTCTCTGCCACCAGCGTCGCTGCCCCAGTAGCAGCGGTTTGCGACAAGGCACTACTCCGATCAATCACCGACAGCTATGTTTCTGCCCAGACCGAGGGAAAGCCAGCTGCGCTTACCGCTACTGCCAGCGGCTTCGCCTACTTTGAGAATGATAAGACGGCGGATATCACAAAGGGCATTCTTGCATCGGCGCTGAAGATCGACCACAAGCGCAGCCAGCACGACACCACGAATTGCTCCACTTACACCGAACTGATTATCACTGATTCCAAACACCCCTACGTCATCGGTACCCAGATGCACCTCACGGAAGGTCAGGTCAGCAAAGTAGAGACCATCATCACCGACAAGGGGGATTGGTTGTTCAATGCAACAGGCACATTGAGTTGGGCGGCCAAGGAGACATGGGATCCAATTCCAGAAGCAAAGAGAGACACTCGTGCTGTGATCCAAGCGGCTGCTGACGCTTACTGCGATATATTCCACGACAAAAGCGTGAAAGTTCCATGGGGACAACCGTGTGCTCGCCTCGAGGGTGGCTCGTATACAGGAAAGGGTCAGTCCAGTGACCGCTGCGATGTCGGCATCCCGAACGGAGTTGAGTTAACCAACCGGCGGTATGTCATCGACGAGGAGTACGGAACGGTGGACGTATTCATGAGCTTCGCTGGAATCCCTGACACTCATGAGTTCCGAGTCGAGGGCGGGAAGCTCAGATATGTCCATACAATGACGGTCACGGGTAAATAAATATTAGCGGGTCAGGAAACCAAAAGTGTGAAAGTGGCAGCTCATGTACTACAAGATTCTGGTTATTACTATAAGGCACACCACGAGTATGGAAAGGGTTTTCCATCCCCTCTTCATAGATATAGGGTCGCTAGCCTAAATCGACTTACGTCAGAGCGCAGCTGCAACAATATTCTACTCAACTTGTGAGCGAAAATCATGGCACATTACATTGCATACATATCTAGTAAGGCGCCTTTCTCGTAGGCACGTGCTTTTCCACGGTAAAAGATTGTACCTCTCTAGCACAGTTTTGAACTCACAGGGTTATGGCTGGTGCGGGTCAGCCACCTCCCTGCAAGTGGTGGCTATATTTTGTGCTAAGTTACCCCGACTACTACCACATATCATTAAAAAGCGTGCTCTCGCGGCTAGACACTTCTGCATTGGCACTAACTTCAACCTGCTGCTTTGGACAAGGAGATCTGATCCTCTTAAGCAATTACAAGGTCTATTGCTAGAGTCATCCTTTCTTGGAAATAACTAGACACTGACAAGTCCCTTAAACAATAATCTCTATGTTCTCTAGCTTCCATCGGTTTAAAGTTTCAATTGATGATGTTGTGTATGGATGCTAAAGACCTAAGACGTATTTCCGCATTTGGGAGCACTTCTCTATTAGGAATATGGCTTCGTTTGTTCGGTCCTGGGTCCTTAGCGTTAACGCTAGGTTAGCCATGCTGGTCAGCGTGTCTGGATGTTCCTCCCCAAGCACCCTTGAACATATGTCCAGTTCTTTTGCTTGCAGCTCTTCGGCCTCCTTCAACCGCCCTTGATTTCTATATGTTGATGCCAGGTTGGCCATGCTGGTCAGCGTGTATGGATGCTCCTCCCCAAGCACTCTCTTTCTCGTATCCATTACTTGCACCTCCAACTCCTCTGCCTTCTTCCACCCCCCTTGACTCTTGTACGTTAATGCCAGATTGGCCATGCTGGTCAGCGTGTCTGGATGCTCCCCCACAAGTACCCTCAAGCATATCTCCAGTCCTTTTGTTTGCAGCTCTTCAGCCTCCTTCCACCGCCCTTGATCCCAAAACGTTGACGCTAGGTTGGCAATGCTGATCAGAGTGGAAGGATGCTCCTCCCCAAGCACCCTCAAATTTGTCTCCACCACTTGCACATCCAGCTCTTCGGCCTCCTTCCATCGCCCCTGATTCCTGTATGTTGACGCTAGATTGGCCACGCTGGTCAGTGTGGAAGGATGTTCCTCTCCAAGCACTCTCTTTCCCACCTCCATTACTTGCAACCCTAGCGCTTCGGCCTCCTTCCATCGCCCTTGATTCCTATACGTCAACGCCAGATTAGCCATGCTGGTCAGTGTGTGTGGATGCTCCTCCCCAAGCACCCTCTTTATCGTCCCCATTACTTGCACCTCCAGCTCTTCTGCCTTCTTCCATCGCCCTTGATTCCTGTACGTGGACGCCAGACTGGCCATGCTGATCAGCGTGTCTGGATGCTCCTCCCCGAGCACTCTCGAGCATACCTCCAGTTCTTTTGCTTGCAGCTCTTCGGCCTCCTTCCACCGCCCTTGATCCCTGTACGTCGACGCCAGATTGGCCATGCCGGTCAGCGTGGAAGGGTGCTCCTCTCCAAGCACCTTCAAGCTTATCTCCATCACTTGCACCTCCAACTCTTCGGCCTCCTTCAACCGCCCTTGATTTCTATATGTTGATGCCAGATTGGCCATGCTAGTCAGCGTGTCTGGATGCTCCTCCCTAAGCACTCTCTTTCTCGTCTCCATTACTTGCACCTCCAGCTCTTCCGCCTTCTCCAACCTCCCACCAAGCTTGCATGCTAACGCTACCATTGTCATACTGTTCAATGTCTCCCCTTGCTCTGTACCAAGTAGCCTTCTCCTAACTTTCATTGATTTTATAGACATCTTCTCCGCGTCAGACGCACTTCCTCTTTGCCACGCGTACCATGCTGCATTGTACATCAGGAGGGCCCACTCCTTAAGTGACTCCTCGCCCTCAGGCTTCTGCACTAATGCTAACTTTGCGTGTGGAAAAAGCGCCTGGCATTGTGTCCAATTCTTATAATTTCCTGTTGGAAACTCCCTGCAAAGATGTGTAATATACTGCTGCCTCCATCTTTTAAGTTGACCCTGACCTTCTAACCACTTGCGAGTGGCAAGCTGCACTAGACTATGCATCTCAAATGTTGTTGTATCGGCAGTAAGCGAGATAAATGAGTAATTTCTTAGTGTGAGAATATCATCTTCAAACCTGTCGTGGACGCTAGCTTCTGACATGCTATCTTCACTATCAGTTCCTTCATTCTTTTCGCCATCCGCGCGCGAACTTTCGTCCCTAGTCGCCGTCCCGTTACGACTCCGAAGCAGGATTTCTGGGATCCTTTGACGATCAAAAAAACTCATGAGTGATAGTAGGTCGGCTGCTGATCGCTTTGTTGCATGTATATAATCGAACGAGATTTGCCAAGTTAGAAGAATTGAGTTTTCAGCCTCCCAGTCACGACGAAGATGCCCCCCGTCGTAGTTCAAGAGACTCGTCTTTGCCTTATCGCCCTGCTTCAGCTTCTCAATATACTGCTGTACAGAACATCTTAGAGCTCTTTCCTTGATATACGCGGCCGCCTGGACGATAGCAAGGGGCATATACTCAAGTGCCGCTCCTAGCTCAGCCGCCCTGTCGTTGTCCATCTGGTCTCCTAGCTTCTTTTCAAGGAGCCCGAGCGCTTGTCCTCTATCCATTGGTTCCACGGTGATTAGGTTGTTCTCTTCCACTAGTTTCAAAGCCATGTCCCTGCTTCGCGTTGTAATAAGGACCGATCCATTCTCGTTCCGAGGTAAATATCGAATAAGTGGCCGCTTTGATTTGCTGCCTAGACAGCCTTCCAATCCCTCCTTGCTCGTAGTTTGAGGCTTAAGAAGGAAGTCAGCATTGTCGACGTTGTCAAGAACAAGCACCCAGTTTCCCTTATTCTTATCGCATAGCCAGTCGTGGACGAGCTTGAAGATATTCGCCTTTTGATTTACCCGACCTGGGATCTTAACTTGGTCGGCGATTTCCCGAAAGCTTTTGCTCAAAACGAGCGGCATTGCTCCCATGCACCCAGAAGATCCATGCATTTGGCAGTTCGTCTCTAGTTCGGTAGGCGTATTCGATCACTAGCTGTGACTTCCTATACGCTGGTAAGCATTTAAACTGAGCTCCCCGCCATTTGATTCGTACCCCACTCCGCCGAGGCCGACCAGCGCTACCTTCGATGCTGGTACAGATAGCTTTTTGTAGATCCGGTCAAGCAGTAACTCTCGATCGACATAATCCGGGTCGCGGGGGAAAGGGATGTTAGAAGAAGGGTTCGCGGGTGTTTCTGGTTGCTCTAGTTGGGGTATTGCCCTTAGAACTGCTCAGCTTCGGCCTCTTGTAGCTAACTCACCCGGCGGGAGGTGAAATGCAACACTAACCGGGCCATTAATTAACCCTGCTTGAAAGCCGTAGTTGCTGCCTCCAAAGGTACTCGTCACACTGCTGTATGCCATGGTGCATGCACAGGAAGAGAGTCGTTCTCAGTTGTGGAGTTGCGAGACTGAATATTGGCGGGCGTCCCGTGCTATCGGCTGGCTCAGGCTTGATGATAATATACTATCCACGGCGCATTTCCTCCAGTAAACTGAAAGTTATTCAACGCCCGCTGCTGCCACGCTTTCAGGCCCTGCGGTGGACAACGAATCCGATAATGTCCCGAAGAGATACTGCTGCTTTTCTATATTAATTTTCTTCGAGACTCGCTCTACACTGCAATCACTATGCAGTAAGTTCGTTAGCAGTAGGGTTGGCTGGGGACGCTTGCACTCAAGTGGCGACTACGCCATCGAGATCCGGACAATAGGTGAACGCAGGGCGACGATTAGAAATAAATACTAATCTCAATATAGTGACTCACTACACATCGAAGCATCGTGGGGAATACCTACATGCACACGATGAGTCTTGGGAAAGTACATTGCCCAAGCCCTCTTTTCGCTCCTCATTGGTAAACATGACCTGGTCGCTGTACGCAATTGCCGACCACAACACATGGCGCACCTTGCAAGCGGGCTGGTCAAGGGAGTGTAATCCACTTGTTGTAGAGAAACCTGAGAGACTCTATGAGACAAGACAATAGACGTGGGAGCAACAGTGAATGAACTTTTTCGAACTAGAAATTTATCTTTCCAGTGCTTCACGTATCGAACAAGGAAAAGACATGGCCAGTACTGGCAATGCCCCAAGGACGAACCACCCACACCAACTAGCTAGGAAGAATATTACGCCTCTATTCATAAATAGATAGCTTCTGTAAACTGACCTTTTTTGGTAGGGACAGCACAGCCCCTACCCCTTCAAAGACCTTCTAAAACCCCTTGTCGGGTGGCGTATTCAGATAGCCAGCCCCAATATCTATGCCTCTGTTCCTAAAGAAACACAAGACGATAATCATTACGGTTACACTTCTTCAAAATGAAGCTACAGCTACAGCGACCGCCTGTTCATCCGAGTGGCTTATGCTGACGCTGAGCTTCTTGACACCGACCCTCTTTGCTTCCTGCTCAGCGAAACCATGAAGCTGCGAAGTTATTAGTGGAATGAACGACGAAATTAATTCAAGTGACTATACCTTAACGGTTGGCGCTCCCGTCTCATCGTTGACGATTTCAATCTCTCTCAACGATGCACCTGCACCCTTTCCTTTGACACCGAGAGATTTGAAGACAGCCTCCTTCGCTGACCACTTACCAGTAAAGCTAGCCTGTGGACTGCCCGCCTTCTGGCAGTACGCAATCTCGCTGTCTGTGAAGTTGCGTTCAAGGAAAGTCTCATTTTCGATATTAATCGAGCCCACAGTTTCGACGTCGACGCCGATCTTAGTATTTTGTGTAGCAGAAGCCTGAGTGAGCGACTCCACCATCTTCCTCGTCTCTTCAGATTTGGCATCCTTCTTCGGTGCTTCAACCTTCGCAGGGTAGGCATACTGAGCCGTCTTCTTGTCGATCGTAACGCGAGCGTGCGGGTTCAAGAAGACTTCTTGCATCTTCTCTTCCTCGTACGGCGCTTTGTCCTTGGCACGGAACATCGTGTTGTTGATGAGACCGTCATGGAAGTATCGGTAGGCCTTCTTTTGACGAGCCTCGACCTTTAGCTTATAGGTGGCATATTGAGCGTGGTCAAGAGTGGCAAAGAGGTACTTGGGATGAATACCAATGGCCTGGGTGCCCTTCTGGCCAAAACCGAATGAAGTGACTGAGAAGGCCTTGACGCCGTCGGTCTGGATGGTGCGCGAAGGATAGACAATGTAGTCGAATTGCTCCATGACCTTGTCAACATTGTCGGCGTTACGGTTGCCGGGAACGAGACCAGAGTTGAGCACTTGCAAACAGCCGTTGAACATCCAGGCACCGGCCGCACCTTTAGGGTGGCCAGTGAGGTATTTCTGGAAGATGCCAAGCAGTGCGTTCCCTTTGGCACGGCCAAGATGACGCATCTGGTGGCAGACGACATCCGATTCGTTCTTGTCGTTAGCAACGGTCGAGGTACCGTGAAATGAGGCAACACCCAGGTCGTCGATTGTGAGGCCCCACGTGGCGAGGGCACCGCGGAGAGGAGCAATACGAGGATCCTGTTTCCAGAAGTTGTTACCTAGGCTGTTCAGAACTTCTTTCTCCTGTCGCTTGGCTTCTCGCTCGATATGAGCGGCACGCTCCTGCATGTACTCGGATTCATTGAACTGTTCAACTGTATCCTTCATCGCAGCAACCTCCTCCTGGAGATACAGAAGTTCTGACTCCTGCCACTGTTTGATTTGGCGGCGTCGGAGATCCATCTGTCTCTTTCTGTACTTAATATCGAGCAAAGGCGATGGGAATTTGGATGGCATCTCACGAGCGGTCGTGAGAACACCCTTGCCAGGGGCGGGGACGGATCGGCCAATCTTGTCGGTAGCTGTAGCAGTGAAACCAAGAATACCATAAATGGGGACACCCATATCTAGAGCTAGCTTGGCATCCATGATGACTTGCAAACCACATCCTTGAGATTCCATGAAGCCGCCCCTAGTAGTAGTGGTTGGGCGGGACATCTCCTTTGGTGTCCGACCATGAGCAAATTCGTCTTCCGCGTTGCTGGTGGCTTTCATGTTGGCGAATTCATAAGAGCCTTCCTCTTGGAAGTCATCGAAACCACCAACGAAGCAGACGCGAGCTTTACCCTCAACGATAGTGTCATAACCAATGTCGAGGGATTCAACAGCGGTGGCACAAGCACCGACAGGGGTTTTGATAGGACCAGTAGAAGAGAGGAGCAGCATATTGACCCAAGCGCTCATGGTGTTGATGAAAGATTCCTGAAGAATATCCTTTTGGAGTGGCTTGTCGAGGAAGCGGTCCTTGTACATGCCTCGGAGAGCATTCGTGCCACCAATTCCAGAACCGATGCAGTTGCCGACTTGAGAGATGTGGACATACTTATAGAACTCGTACGGGTCGGTGATACCGCTGGAGAGAAGAGCTTCTGCAGTCGAGACAAGAACAAAGAGCGTGACGGGGTCAACCTGGGAGATGATGTCATCGGGAACACCATACTTCTTAGCGTCCCAGCCTGTGGGGATTTGGCCGGCAACAAGACGGTCGAAGCGAAGAGCCTTAGGGATGAGGAGCGTGGCACCTTTCTTCAGGCGAACAGTGAATTCACCAGACTCTGTAATTTCGAAAATCTCCACGTTGTCGCCGTGCTGACGCTTGAACTCATCAGCGGTCTCCTTGGAAGCCTCAAAGGGATCCAGGTCTTCTTCGATCTGAATCTCTTGGAGAAGTTGTTTCTTGTTCGGATCATACCCGTTAAACAGCTCCGGCTCGATTAGACGAATACCAGAGTGTTCTAGGATATATTTCTCGTATTTGGCCTTGACATCTTTATCTTCCACTGGTTCACCGGTCTTGGCATCAACCCAGCCCGAGTAGCTCTTGCCCTTGATGGGACCATTATGGTTCTTGATGAGCCCCATGATCCATGCCATTTCAACACAGCCTTCGAGCGAAAACTCGCCGGAAGACTCCATCTCCCAGCGGGTTCTTGAATTACCCCAAGGTCCGACTTCGGCAAAACCAGTAACAACAACGACCTTCTCAAGATCGACCATCCCCTTTAGGTCGGGGTTGAGTGGCTTGATTTCAGTTTCCCAGTCGGGAACTTTAGGGAAGTCGAATTTCAAGTTCGCCCTGGGTTGAATAGTGGCCTTCTTGTACAAAGCCTCGCTTGCTTCGCCATTGATGATTTTGTTCTCGATGGCATTCTCTTTGATCACGGCTTTGCGAACCTCGCTAGTCTCCATGTGCTCCTTTCGGAGATCAGTCATGAGATCCTTAAGGTTGGGAATGTATTGGAAGCCGCCATTGAGGTCAGCCCAGACGGGTTCGACCTGGCAGAGATTGACGATCGGGGGAGCCATGAGGCCAAGTAGGTTGAAGGCCATTTCTTGCTGAGAGAAGGTGCGTACGCCATACTTCTCGATGCCTTCGGCGACAATGTTGTTACCAGCCATGAGACCAGTGCCACGAGTCCAGCCGATAACGGCGCCACAAATAGTGAGGAAGCTGCCCCAGCTCTCAGAGTGCCATCGGGTAAAGAGCGTCTCGAGAGCAATCTTGGACTCGGCGTACATGCCGTCGTTACCGAAAGTGCCGTGGTTGGGGGAGAGGGGAAGAATAACCTGAGCAGGGCGAGTCTCGTAGCCGTTGGCTTGTTTATGCGCTTTGACACATCCTAGGAGTCGGAGAAGGTTGGTTAACATTATCCGGTGAGCAAGCTCGGACTTCGAATCAAGGCCATCAATCTCGCGGCCATTCTCGGAGATGGCGGCGAAAGGAACAATGTAGTCTAGATCCCAGCCAAGGCCCTTTTTAGGATCGAAGATGTAGTCGACCAATGCCTCAACGTCCTGCTTACTTCCTTGGTTGAATGGTACAACGATGAGTTGAGAGCCACGGGCACCGTAGCGAGTGTACATAGACTGATAGTACTCATTAACTTCTCGAGAGAATCGAGACGTAGTGACGACAACCTTGGCACCACCACTGATCAAGCCCTGGAGGACTTCAGCGCCAATTGATCCAGCACCAGCACCAGTCATGAGAGCATTTTTACCCTGGAAGCTGACACCAGACTTGGCAGCATTCTCCAGACCATCTAGATAGATGCCAGTCAGCTTCTTGCTGTACTCCCAGCCATGGTCATCCTTCCTCTTCAGATGAAGGAATGGAATTGTTTCGACCTTTCCTTGCTTCATGGGAGCATGGACGCGGCCGTTCCTGCCCTTCTTCCCCTGGCCATTGATAGCCTTGCCATTCTCGCTCGGCATAATCTGGCCTTCGTTCATGGAAAGTGAGCGAATGACATTGCTGTAAAGACTCTTAATCTGCAGTTGAGAGGACTTAGAAAGCTTGTGCTGCTGCTTGATGAGTTTGTAGATCCGCTGCAAATCATTCTGGACCTTGGTGCGGTTGCCGTACTCGGAGAGCTTGCCTCCTTCGGCCATTTCTCGGACATAGTGCTCCAGCTTGCGGACGCTAGCCCTTGGGGTTTCGGTATAGTTCATGTTGCCCTTGGCGTCGATTTCAAGATGGGGTGCAGTGGGTATAGCAACATCTTTGTAGACGGGAGCCTCATTGAGAACGTCTTTGCAGTTCTCAATGAGCTGCTGGCCGAGTTCTTTGGCGAGCTCATATGTCTCGCCTCGTTCCGTGGGGCAGTGGTCGATGTGATATTGCATGAAATCGAGAAGAAGGGGGTTCGATCGGTTCATGATGTTGATGCAACGACTGACAATCTCTCGATCCACAGCCTTGAGGCGGCCGAAGATGATATCGTAGTACATGCTGAGAGCGTCCTGGCGGGCCCAATTCCACGAGGAGTCGTAGACACGAGCTTTCAGGGAAGTGAACTGCGGTTCGATACCAGAGGCATAGAAGTCGCCATGTTCTGCGGTCCAGAGGTCCAGTTGAGCTTGGAGAGCGGATGCAGCTTTTTGTGATCCAACAAAAGCCTTGTCGCCGGCACGGAGGTCCATCTTAAGATACCTTGCAAAAAGCTCTAGTTGTTGCTTGAATAGCATTCGCTGGTCTTTCGTGAGGGCGTCGATGGCAGCGGGATCCATCATCATGCCTCCCGCTGCACCGCCGGCATCGCCGCCAGCCGAAGGAGCAGACAAGTTGACTCCAGCCTGAGCCGCATATTTGTTGGTCATTTCGTCCAACCACGCCTTCCCATCGTTTTCCGAGCCAAGACGCGATGCTGGCTCACTGGTGAGAGCGAGCAATAGAACACCGTCTTGGCGGCCGGATGCTAGTCCCCATCTAGTCTCTAAGTGCTTTCGCACGGCTGTGATGTTGAAGCCCCCAGGCATCTTAGACGACACCATTCGGGCAATGAGGGAGGAGGACTGCTTCCCAAGCTGACCATTGAAGGTAGCCTGCATCGAAGCACCGAGCTCGTCTAGGGGGGTATCTTCTGGCTTCTCGGGGGTTGAGCCGAACTCCTTGCCTAAGTCACCGAGAATTTCGTTTTGGAGGGTAGATTTTCCTGCAGCGGAATTAGCGATTGAGTAAGTTTGTACTATACTCGAGAAGACTCACCTCCGACCAAATCTTTGATGGCTTTGCTTAGGGGAATGTCCAACAGAGGCTTCTTCAACTTCTGGGCCACCAATGCGCGGAGGATATCGGTTGCAGTCACTGGAGCATCTGGCACCTGTGCTGCGGGGCCCGCACTCGCTGGTGGGGGGGCCGCTGCCGGTGCTGCTGTCGTCGGAGCTGCTGTCGGGGAGGGAGTTGCTGGGGCATCTCCGCTGCCCGACGCCGCGGGCTCTGGTTCTTCCTCCACCGGGTCTACGTCGTAGTAGATGTCTTTTGCGTCCTTGTTGTAGCACAGAATCTGCCTCTGCACGGACAGGGCCGCATCATGAGCCTCGTATTTGGACGCCAGTGTCCGCTTCGCCATCACGCCGAGGGTGTCCGCAGGGCCGATTTCGACGATGCGCTCGGTGGTCTTCTCACCGAGCACCACATCTTGAGTCTCAATCCACCTCACAGGCGAGGCGAACTGGTATGCGAGCAGCTCAATGAGGAGCGTGTGGGAAAGCTCCTGCTCGACCTCGGGACGCATGGTGCAGGAATTGACGGGTGGCGGTATTGGGTGGAATGGGGGTGGTACGGGGTGGTGGAGGGCTCAATGGATATCGAAAAAGAGTCTGGGAGAAGGTATCTTCTTGACGTCAAAAGGAGAGGAGGAGCGGCCGGCGTCGAGGAAGGGGCGGCGGCGTGCTGCAGATATTACGGTAGGCACGGGGGGAAGGCGAGGGAGGAGCGACACAACGGTTCCCGGATCGGGCTTGTGATGAGAGTGTCAGGAGTGGTGGGCTTGCGCGCGGCGGGAGGTTCAGGAACGCTGACGGCCCAACGCATTGGCTGTTTATCTCTCGTTCGAAGGGAAAGGAAGATCAAAGACGCACTTTGCGGTGTGTTGAGGGTTTCTGGGGTCTGGCCTAAAAACATCTACCCCTGCCGGAAAGCTTGTCGCCGCTTGGTGGGCTCCCAACAACAAATTTCGGCTGCAAAGTTCTGGGAGCAGCCACACTTGAGATCATGGACCGAAATGGCCCGGCTTGCGATATGCAGGCCTGTCAACAGCACCCTCAACGTCTGCCAGGTGCGGAGACGGCGTTATCAGTAATCGCCCGAAGCTACCAGTCATTGTCGCCAACTAGCCTCTCGAACCGTGGCTGCTGGTGGAGCGTCGTTGGCCCTCTCAAGATCCATGTACCGCGTTTTCGTGATCTCAACCAGATGCAGCTCCCCGGTCGTCAACAAGGGCGCTAGCGCTCCCCAGCCGAGTCTTCACGGACGTCTGGGAAAAAAAGTGAACGACACCGCCGCCGTTAGGGGATTAATTACCCACGCCTGCTCTCACCTCACGCCTCAACCTCTGCTCTCCACCCCAATTGCATTCACCGCCCTCTCCCCTCCACACCATTTTTGCTTTCTTTTGCCCTGCGTTGTTGTTTATCACCCACACACGCAGCACGCTTTCTTTGCAAGGGAGCTGCGACTCAGTTGCAGTACGAACAAATTCCCGCGCACCAGCCGGTAGATTGACTTCTACCTTCCCCATACCAAGTAAGTCAGGCGCATCTTCCCTCAAGGGAAGTCGTAGTGGCCCAGACGGCAACCACGCCCCTGACCCTCATCCCTTCACTGTGTCCCTGCAGTGAGGAGCCCAAACTCACAACTGCCCAGGTACGCCGCTTGATCAGTAAACTTGCGGACCTCGCAACTTGCTCCCATTTTGTACAGGTACGGATACTCTCATGTAGCCCCCGCATTGGCATTCCCGTGCCGATTACTATCCATATCTACTTTACCCTCTGCATGCCTCGGTCCGGCCAACTCTGAAACCAACCCAAGCTCACAGCTCTAACAGGCCACATACGCACCGCCGCAAACATGTACGGTTCTGGCCCCCAAACTGGTATCTCGACACCGCGCTCCCAGGCGTCGCTCCGTCCCCTCATTCTCTCCCACGGCTCGCTCGAATACACCCTCCTTATCCCCACCGCCCTACATTTTAATGCCCAGCAGCTGAAGGATGCCTTCAATGCTACCCTGCCCGAACCCACAGACGAACTGGCGCAAGATGATGAGCCGTCCTCAGTACCCGAGTTGGTTGCCCGGTATCTGGGCTTCATTGCCCAGGAGGTAGAAGAGGGAGACGACCCAGGCTCCTTCGAAGAGGTCCTCAAGCTCGTCGTAAACGAGTTTGAGCGTGCCTTCCTCCGCGGGAATGAGGTGCATGCCCTGGCAGCGAGCCTCCCTGGTATTCAGCAAAAGAAGCTGATCACCGTCCGATCATACTACACCGCTCGCGCCGCGGTCGAAAGACCGATCAAGCACCACGAATCTGCTCTCCTGCGTGAAGCTGCTGATGAGAATGCCCTGGTCTACGCTGTCTTAGGCGGCCAAGGCAACATTGAAGAGTACTTCGAGGAGCTCCGCGAAATCTACACGACATACCCCTCATTTGTTGAAGATTTCGTTGCTGCCGAAGCACAGCACCTCCTGACCCTGGCCCGTGACCCCCGAGCCGAGAAGCTCTACTCTAAGGGTCTGGACGTGATGCGATGGCTCACCAACAAAGACTCCCAGCCGGACACCGACTACCTCGTTTCGGCACCTGTTAGTTTGCCCTTGATTGGGTTGACTCAGCTGGCACACTATGTCGTGACCTGCAGAGTCCTCGGCAGCCACCCCGGTCACATTCGCAGCCGCCTGTCTGGTGTCACTGGTCACTCACAAGGTGTTGTTACCGCCGCTGCCATTGCCGAGGCAAAGAACTGGGAAAGCTTTGAACAAGCTGCTAAGAAGGCGATTACGATTTTGTTTTGGATTGGAACTCGTAGCCAGCAGGCTTATCCAAGGACTTCGCTCGCACCAAATATTCTTCAAGACTCAGTTGACAATGGCGAGGGTACCCCTACTCCAATGCTTTCCATTCGAGATCTTTCGAGGAAAGCAGTCCAGGATCACATTGACGCGACCAATGCACATTTGCCTAAAGATAGGCACATTGCCATCTCGCTTGTCAACAGTGCTCGCAATTTCGTTGTCACAGGCCCGCCTATTTCCCTATATGGCCTGAACCTGCGCCTGCGAAAAGTCAAAGCCCCGACTGGTTTGGATCAGACAAGGATTCCTTTCACGGACCGTAAAGTTCGCTTTGTGAACCGTTTCTTGCCCATCACTGCTCCCTTCCATAGCCCATACCTGACTGAGGCTACCAAACAGCTTAAGGAAGACTTGAAGGATGTCGTGATCCCGGCCAGCAGCCTAGGAATTCCCATGTACGACACCAACACAGGCAATGATATCCGAGATGAAGACGCCGACAACATTGTCCCGGCCCTTGTTCGCATGATTACCAACGACCCCGTTAACTGGGAGAAGGCTACTGTCTTCCCCAAAGCCACGCATATTCTCGACTTTGGCCCGGGAGGTATCTCTGGTCTCGGCGTGTTAACCAATCGCAACAAGGATGGCACTGGCGTCCGTGTGATTCTTGCGGGCTCCATCGACGGCACGAATGCCGAAGTTGGGTACAAACCAGAGATCTTCGACAGAGATGCTGAACATGCTGTGAAGTACGCGGTGGATTGGGTTAAGGAGCACGGGCCACGTCTTGTGAAGACATCGGTTGGTCAGACTTTCGTCGATACCAAGATGAGCAGGCTTCTCGGACTGCCGCCCGTCATGGTGGCTGGTATGACTCCTTGCACCGTCCCGTGGGACTTTGTGGCTGCAACAATGAACGCTGGCTACGAGATTGAGCTTGCTGGCGGTGGTTACTACAACGAAAAATCCATGACTGCTGCCATCAACAAGATCGAGAAGGCGATCCCCCCGGGCCGTGGCATTACAATTAATTTGATCTACGTCAATCCCCGCGCAATGGCCTGGCAGATCCCTCTCATTGGCAAATTGAGGGCTGATGGGGTTCCCATCGAAGGTCTTACAATCGGTGCGGGAGTTCCTTCTATTGAAGTCGCCAACGAGTATATTGAGACCTTGGGCATCAAGCACATTGCTTTTAAGCCTGGATCTGTCGAAGCCATTCAACAGACTATCAACATCGCAAAAGCCAATCCAACGTTCCCTGTTATCCTTCAGTGGACGGGAGGTCGTGGCGGTGGTCACCACTCTTTTGAAGATTTTCACCAACCTATCCTGCAAATGTACAGCCGTATCCGCAAGTGCGATAACTTAGTCCTCGTGGCTGGCTCCGGCTTTGGCGGTGCCGAAGATACATACCCCTACCTAACTGGCCAATGGTCAACCCGATTTGGCTACCCCCCAATGCCTTACGACGGCTGCTTGTTTGGTAGCCGTATGATGACGGCGAAGGAAGCTCACACCTCAAAGAATGCCAAGAAGGCCATCGTAGATGCTCCGGGTCTCGATGACGGTGAATGGGAAAAGACATATAAAGGGCCGGCCGGTGGTGTAATTACCGTTCGCTCCGAGATGGGCGAGCCAATTCACAAGCTTGCAACCCGCGGTGTTCTCTTCTGGCATGAGATGGATCAGAAGATCTTCAGCTTGGACAAGGCCAAGCGCATTCCGGAACTCAAGAAGATGCGCGAGCATATTATCACGAAGCTTAACAATGACTTCCAGAAGGTCTGGTTTGGAAGGAACCGAAACGGCGAGTCCGTGGACCTCGAGGATATGACTTATGCCGAGGTCATTGAACGTATGGTCGACTTGATGTATGTCAAGCACGAATCTCGCTGGATTGATCCAAGCTTGAGACGTCTTGCTGGCGACTTTATCCGGCGTGTGGAGGAGCGTTTTAGCAAGTCCGACAGCGAGTCCCTGATCCAGAACTACGACGAGCTTAACAACCCTTATCCGATTGTTGAGAAAGTCCTGAAAGTTTATCATGAAGCTGAGAACCAGCTCATCAATGCTCAAGACGTCCAGCATTTCCTCCTACTCTGCCAGCGACGCGGCCAGAAGCCTGTCCCCTTTGTGCCAGTTCTCGATGACACCTTTGAATACTTCTTCAAGAAGGATTCGCTCTGGCAATCCGAGGACCTTGAGGCCGTTGTTGACCAAGATGTGGGACGGACCTGTATATTGCAAGGCCCTATGGCTGCAAAATACTCCACAGTTGTAGACGAGCCCGTCAAGGATATTCTGGATGGTGTCCATCTGAATCATATCAAGTTTTTGCTCCGTGATGTCTACGGCGGTGATGAGTCCAAAGTTCCAGTTATTGAATACTTTGGGAGCAAGCTACTTGGCGCCAACACCGCTGTCGAGGTTGATGGATTGACCGTTTCTCAAGTCGAAAACAAGGTTGTGTACCGTCTCTCCTCCGCCTCTAATTCCAACCTGCCGGATGTCAACTCCTGGCTGCAACTTCTGGCTGGGACCTCCTATTCCTGGAGACACGCCTTCTTCACTGCCGACATTTTCGTCCAAGGGCAGCGGTTCCAAACGAACCCAATGCAGCGAATCTTCGCGCCGACGTTGGGTATGATGGTTGAGATTACTCACCCGAATGACCCAGCAAAGACTGTTATCACCGTCAAAGAACCATATCACGGTGGCAAGCATGTCAAGACGGTGGAAGTCAGCCTAGCAAAGAATCATGAAATCACCGTCAACCTGTACGAAGAGCGGACGGTCCTGAAAAAGACGGCAGCCCTACCGTTAAAGTTTACCTATCGTCCTGAAGTCGGCTACGCTCCCATTCATGAGGTTATGGATGCTCGCAATGACAGGATCAAAGAGTTCTACTACAAGATTTGGTTTGGAGATGAGGCTGTTCCCTTTGAAGCTCCCGTCACTTCTAAATTTGATGGTGGACGCGCCACCGTTACGAGTGAGGCAATTAATGACTTTGTTCATGCCGTTGGTAACACCGGTGAGTCTTTCGTCGATCTTCCTGGCAAGGAGGTGTGGGCACCTATGGACTTTGCCATCGTCGTCGGCTGGAAGGCTATCACCAAGCCCATCTTTCCGAGGGCCATTGACGGAGATCTCCTCAAGCTTGTCCATTTATCGAACGGCTTCCGCATGATCCCAGGTGCGGAGCCTCTGAAGAAGGGTGATATTTTGGATACCACTGCCCAAATCAATGCTGTGATCAACCAAGATTCTGGCAAGATGGTTGAGGTCTGCGGAACCATCACTCGTGACGGCACACCTGTTATGGAAGTTACGAGCCAGTTCTTGTACCGTGGCGCGTACACTGATTTTGAAAACACTTTCCAGAGGAAGACCGAGACCCCAATGCAGCTTCACTTAGGAACTTCCAAGGATGTCGCTATCCTTCGTTCAAAGGAATGGTTCAACCTTGAGGAGCCTGAGATCGAGCTCTTAAATAAGACCTTGACCTTCAAGCTACAAAGCTTCATGCGGTACAAGAACAAGACCGCCTTCAGCGAGGTCCAGACCATCGGCGAAGTCTTACTCGAGCTGCCCACCAAGGAGATAATCCAGATTGCTTCGGTCGAGTACCAGTCCGGGACCTCATATGGTAACCCAGTCCTCGACTACCTAGAGCGCAACGGAGCCGCGATTGACCAGCCCGTCAACTTCGAGAATCCTATCCCATTGAACGGCAAGACCCCTTTGACTTTGAAGGCTCCCGCCTCAAATGAGACTTATGCTCGTGTTTCGGGTGACTACAACCCAATCCACGTGTCGCGTGTCTTTTCAAGCTATGCCAACCTCCCGGGAACAATTACCCACGGCATGTACTCTAGTGCCGCCGTCCGAAGCTTGGTCGAGACCTGGGCAGCAGAGAACCACATTGGCCGGGTTAGGAGCTTCCATGTCAACTTGGTCGGAATGGTGCTTCCTGATGACATTATCGATGTCAAGCTTCAACACGTAGGTATGGTCTCTGGGCGTAAAATTATGAAGATCGAAGCCAGCAACAAGGAGACCGAAGAGAAGGTTCTCCTTGGTGAAGCTGAGGTTGAGCAGCCAACGACCGCCTACGTCTTCACTGGGCAAGGCTCGCAAGAGCAAGGTATGGGCATGGACCTGTATGAGAGCAGTGCTGTCGCGAAGGAGGTTTGGGATCGCGCTGATAAGCACTTTATGGATAATTATGGTATGACGTCCCCTCGATTAACCCAAAATACTTGTATTAACATTACACAGGCTTTGCCATCACCAATATTGTCAAGAACAACCCCAACGAACTCACTATTCACTTTGGTGGGCCACGTGGTAAAGCAATCCGCCAGAATTACATGTCCATGACATTCGAAACGGTCAGCTCGGATGGAAGCATCAAATCAGAGAAGATCTTCAAAGAGATCGACGAGAACACGACGTCATACACGTACCGATCCCCAACCGGCCTGCTATCGGCTACTCAATTCACTCAACCTGCTCTGACCCTCATGGAGAAGGCCTCTTTTGAGGACATGCGCTCAAAAGGTCTGGTCCAACGCGACAGCAGCTTTGCTGGCCACTCGCTTGGAGAGTACTCTGCTCTAGCTGCCCTTGCAGAGGTCATGCCGATTGAGAGCTTGGTCTCAGTCGTGTTCTATCGTGGTTTGACTATGCAAGTCGCTGTTGAGCGTGACGAGACTGGCCGGTCCAACTACTCCATGTGCGCCGTCAATCCTAGCAGGATCTCGAAGACCTTCAATGAGCAGGCTCTACAATATGTAGTTGAGAACATCTCCGAACAGACTGGCTGGCTCTTGGAGATCGTTAATTATAACATCGCCAATATGCAGTATGTCTGCGCCGGCGATCTCCGCGCTCTTGACTGCCTCACCAACGTCACCAATTATCTCAAGGCGCAAAAGATCGACATCCAGGAGCTCATGCAGAGTATGTCCCTAGAAGACGTCAAGGCACACTTAGTAGAGATCATCAAAGAGTGCGCTAAGCAGACTGAGGCCAAGCCACAGCCATTGGATCTCCAGCGTGGATTTGCCACGATTCCTCTCAAGGGTATCGACGTGCCATTCCACAGCACCTTCTTGCGGTCGGGTGTCAAGCCTTTCCGAAGCTTCTTGCTGAAGAAGATCCACAAGACATCGATTGATCCATCGAAGCTCATTGGGAAGTATATTCCCAACGTCACTGCCAAGCCTTTCGAGCTTACCAAAGAGTACTTTGAGGAGGTTTACAAGCTGACGAACTCGCCCAAGATTGGCAACATCCTGGCGAACTGGGACAAGTATGAGGAGAAGGAGGAAGCAAAAGTAGCGACCGGGACTGCTCAAGTCGCTTGATTGATTTGAGTGAGCATTGTGAAGTTGTAATGAAGTGCAGGTGGCGTTTTGGAACCTGGTGTTTGAGGAGAGCGATATCCGAGTTACTGTATCACTTCGTTCCGCGGGGCTCCTAGACTTGTTGTTCAAGTAGCATAGATTATAATAATAGTTCTTCTTAACATATTCTGACATGCCTCTCTCGCATTTGTGACGGTGACGCATGGCGTGAAGTGCACCTGTCCGACTCCGAGTGGAAGTGGCCACACTGTGTGTTGCGGCGCGAACATCCACATAACACGATGCCTCCTGCAATTATAAGTAATCACGCCTTGATCTCTCTAAACTCCTCTCGCTCGTACGACGTAGCAATTTTTGGGGTGTCTAGCAATATTCTTCGAGGCTTGCCAAGCCCGTCAGCCACACTTAGCCACGCACAAGCGGCTTGTTGTTTACCCACGCCAATTGGCTGTCCTAGCAACCACAGAACTTCAACCCACACAGGACAAGCCTGTCAGCGCATTCACTCTCTTAGGCCTTCTTGAACAAGCGACATGTCCTCCGCTCGCAATCGTGGCTCCACTACTCCTATGGAATTCGAATGGCAGAATAATACAGGCCCTACAGACGCACAATCGCCATTCCTACAAGCAGGAGTGGCAAAGAAGCGTGAGTTAGACTCTGATGCCATTTCGACCGACATAGGAGACTTAAACTAACTTAAGGGCCTCCTTTGGCCAACCAGGCCCGCACTCAGTACTAGACTCGTCGCCATCCAAGAGCAGCTTCTCGACGCCCAACCGTTTCCAGCTCCGCGAACCAAACTCGGAACGCCACCTCTTCAGTGACGCACCCAAACCGCTGCCCGCAGTACCATCACATGTGTGGGAGCCGCGAACGCCGACAACCCTAGTCGACTTAAGCTCTGGCGGGGAGACGCCAAACACGCCGGCGAACGACGACAGCGAGGCGGCAACACCCGAGACGCAGCTGCGGAGCAAGATGGGCGGGTTGATGAGCGAGCGCAGGAGCAAGAGCAAGAGCCCCACTAAGCGGCGCGAGAGCTGGTACAACCGGTTCCTGCCCTCGTCAAGCCCAAGCCCCGCCAAAGAGAAGGAGAAGGAGAAGGAGCCGCGCGACCCTTACAGCAAGAAGGCCGAGCACCGCATCATGAAGCGACGCTCCAAGAACAAGAAAGCGCTAGCCCGAGACGACTACGGCTACGGCTACTACTCCGATGACGATAGTAGGCCGAACAATGGCGGTGCCCCGATGCCCCAGGCCCAACCGGACATGGCCTCCCGGCTCGGCAGCCTGTTCACCTTCATCGAGGCGCACCCGCATCTGCCGTCGGTCCTGTCCTTCTACCTGCAGCTCCTCATAAACTCCATTCTCGGTCTCTTTTTTGTTTATATCATCTTCCGCGGCTGGCGCGCCGTCCTCAACGACATCGACCTTGAGTCGCGCAACAACATGATCGGCGTCATCGCCGACATCAAGGCCTGTGCCAAGGAGTACACCGATAACCGCTGCGACCCCCACCATCGCGTCCCAGCCATGGCGAAGCTATGCCAGACGTGGGAGAACTGCATGCAGCGCGATCCGCAGAAGGCCGCTGCCGCCACCGTCTCGGCCAAGACTTTCGCCATGATTTTCAATGCCTTTGTGGAGGAATTCAGTTACAAGTCCATGGTATTTATTGCTTTCCTTACCTTCCTCTCTCTCCTACGTTTGTTAATCATGCGCTCGTATGAGCGATCTCTCGTACATCAGCCTCAGCGCCCACACTAGGCTCGTTCCCAACAACCACCAACTGAGGAAGGATACTGAGCCCTTCAAGATCCACCTGCACCTGCTGAACGCGACGGCCCCTACTATTGTCCAGACACCTCCGGCTCAGCATTCCCTCCCTCAGTTTAGCTAGGCTTTGCTAACCCCATCTCTGAGCAGATCTTTACAGCCATTGTCATCTTTGGCGGCTTCAACATATCAAATTGGGCGTTCGGTCTCTTCCGCCAAAAGCAACAATCGCACCCTGGCCTTCGTCACAGTGAATCCTTCAACTATCCTCCACCCCCCGCAACCCCTCAACGATATCCGAGCAATGGTTTTATTGACCAGCAGCATTTCTACACCCCTTATGGCAGCATGAACGCGAATATGTTGCCGCAAGCTGCGCAGAGTATGCCCGCTTTGCCCATGCCAGAGAGTATTGAAGCCAGCGCTGGAACACCCGCTGTTTCTAGGAAGGAGGAAAGGAGCCCTAGTAAAAAGAGTTTTTGGAGATGATTTGGACTTTTGAAATATCTTACCGCCTTTCAACAGATGCCTGCTTGATTAGTTAGGCGGGAGTGACTTTGATATTCTTGTAATGATATTATTATATGTAAATGGGTCCTTGTCGCTTGGGTGAATCGGTGGTGTTGGTAAATTCGGTTTAGGGTGGTCACGATCATCAAATGACGTCACTGGTGTTTTTGCATCTAGAAACGGTAAAGCATATGCATAGTTATAGTCAACGAATTATCTCCACAAAGGAAGATATGTGCCTTGTGTGAATACTCCCTGTGGGAGGAAGAGCCCAAAAAATAGCATGAGAAATCAGGGGGTAACGTAAGTACATGCTCGTCGATTAATGGTGAGTTGTGGAACAATGTAACAACGCAGTGTCTGTCTGTGTTATCGGCATTCATAATTCCTATGTAACTCATCATTGCTTCCAGTGTGCAACGCTGAAAGAGATATCTTGACATGCACCCCGCAAGGACAGAATCTAGGAATATTCAAAATGATTCCAGTGAACTATTGTTAGCACCTGCTTCCTCTACATCCTCTCCATCTCAACACAAGGCCTCCTTCCTAATGCCTAGGTACCAGAGCCTAACGGATCTTCGATGCATCGATATGGATTCATGCCCTTCCTTTATTTGCTATCGTTAGGACCTTGTCACAAGCACTCTGGGTTCTAACGCAAGAATTGTTTCTCGTAGTCTTTGATAGAAATGCAGAAGAGTGTGCAAGACATCGGAGGTTCCAAATCTTGGAGTTTCAGATTCGGAGCATTGTGACTTTAGCGTTTAGACAAAGAAAGCTATGAAAAATAAACATTACCGGGGCGATCACCAATTAATTGAACAGGAGCCCATCTGTACGCCACCATTTGTATATAACCAAGACAGAGTATTCCAATTTGGCCGACCATCCGAACGTTCCATACCTTACCCCAACTCCAATATTATCCAAACTCAATTTGTCCTCCATGATGGCCCCATTCCCAACCAAACCCCTCTCTTAAGCTGGGGTTAAAGAAACCAATGTCCCATTCGCCGAACAAGCCGTCAAAGTCAAGCTCTCCTTCCAAATCCCATCCACGTCCCTACTCTCCACCTTCTGGAATTCCTGCACTAGCCTACACGTGACATAGCTTGCCTCTGTCAGAGCATATTGCTGGCCCAAGCAGATTCTCGGGCCGCCGTTGAAGGGGAGATATTCCCAGCCCGGTCGAAGGTGCTCCCAGCGCTCGGGTTTGTACTCGAGGGAGTCGTTACCGAAATAATCGGTGCGGCGGTGCATGCCGTAGGGAGAGTAAGTGACCAAGGTGCCGCGCGGGATAAAGAGTGGGTGCGTGCCTTTGGGGCCACCGCCGAGAGGGAGGACGGTATCGCGGATGGCGAAGCGACCGTTACCAGGAACTACAGGGTGGAGACGTAGGGCTGCATATATTAGCGTGAGCTCGGATGCAGAGGAGAAGAAGGAGGGTAGGGAGAGGGTGATAAGAACACATAGAAGGCAAGAGGGTGAAAGAGGACTTACATTCGTTCAGGCACCACTTTAAGTACTTCAGATTCCTCAACTCTTCATACGAAGGCGTCCTTCCATCAAGTTCTCCAACCTCCGCCCTCAACTTAGCCCAAATGTTTGGATTCTTGGAAAGCTCAAAAAACATATTACTCAACAAACTCGCAGTCGTATCGCGTCCCGCAAGCAGAACATTCATAAGCTCGTCTCTGATCCTCTTCTTATCATTCGTCTGCTTGGCCAACTCGTGGATAAATACGTATCTCTCCTCATTCTTCTCTCCACCAATCTTCCTCTCCGCATCGCTCTCTTCGCGCCAGCGCACCGCGTCATCAACCCATTTATCCACGTATTCATGACAGATGCGGATCGCTTCCTTGCCCTCCTTGTTCTTCCTAAACCGGTCTAAGAAGCCAATACGTGTGCGTGTCAGGACGTCTGCCTGGGCGAATGTAAACGCTTTACTGAAAATAACGTCCTCGTTCAACGTCTGTTCTTGCCCTATCATTCGGAGCGAGTTCGTAGAATGGTTGAACAGGAATTCTGTAGCGGTATCGATAGTCAACCGGAAGAAGAGTTCTTGGAGATCGACAGTAGCTCCATCCCTCGGAATCCACTTCAACATGAGCTTGAAATGACGTTCGAAAGCGTCGAGATCAGCCAGCTGCTCCCGCACAAAATTCGGCCGCAGGAGATGCCGAGACTTGGCCCACCGCTCGCCGTCTGAGTTGAAGATGCCCTGGCCAAGCAGAGGCGTGAAGGCTTTTGTTCTGGCGCCGAATGAGTAGTCCTTGAACTTCAATGATAGAATCGTCTTAACGTTCTCAGGCTCCACTGTCACGATAATCGGCATTGTCATGATGCGCGAATGGAAGGTCCATGACCCAAACCGCTTGAACCGATTCCAGTTTGACTCAAGCACAGTCTTATTGCGGGCGTTTCTGATATTAAATCGCAGAACGTCGATGCCGAGAATTGGGTCTTTGTTGAAGTGGTGTGGACATGGCTGGCAGCCATTTTCCCGCTTAATGCGCTGTCGGGTTAGGTAAAGATTTAGACGGGTATAGAGAATGTAAGAGAAGAAGGCCCCGGCGGCGAGGTATAGAACCAGTGGGTGATGCTTTCCCTGGACAGGCATAGTGGAAAGTCGACTGACTAATGGAGAAAGAAAGGTGGGGTTGGAGTTGAAGGGCTAGGAGGTGGATGCCTCGGAGAGCCTAGCGACAGAACGAATACTCCAGAAAAAGAACAAAGTCAGCAGCCTAGTAGAGGTTAGATATGTGCCTCTCTAATTTTGCGAGGCGCCGGTTGTCTTGACCCTAGGAACCCGAGAATCACAATATGCGGCGAGGATGAAGCCCTTATAACTCTTTGGGATGAACAGCCTATTTGAGCACAGTCCAACCCTCCCTTCCGCTGGGTTCCTTGCTCACGGCACTGCCGAATTCCAGGATGTTTCCCAAGGGCGGGGAAACGTGTTGCCGTCTACTGCCGGTCAAATCACTAGCAGAAGCTCAAAGGGGGTTGCAAAAGCCACGTCGTCGGCCGAGAGAGCGAAAAAAAGCTCCGAGCCGCGGTCCATGACGGTCATTATGTATGGCACATGAAGATGAGCACCGTGAAAGAATGCTAGCAAAAGGAGTCGGGCCAACACTTCTGGCCGCGTCCGTGGCGAACGAATCTCGGGGATGCCGTGCCACAGATGCCAAGCACTCACCCTCGTTGACCGGCCGGCTGCACGTGATTGGCCCTAATGAAGCCCACTATAGCCTTGTCATATGCGCAAAGGACTAGTGTATCCGCGCGACAGCTCACACAAGATGCACCACAATTGCAAGGTGGTGGCGGTGTAGATGTGGCGTTGTCTCCTCAACTAGATGTGGCGTTGTCTCCTCAACTAGATATGAAGAAGGCGAAAGACGCTTCGTGTCGCTTTTCACAGGTGCAATGCAGTCGCAAAGCGTAAACAGTGACGGTGTGAAGCTACCATTGATGACTTGACTGCGCATGCATGCATATTTCGCTAAAAAGCCTCGCTTCTATTCGTTGGTTTCTCTATTGTACCTCAAATCCACTTCTCCTCACCAATTGTCTCCCTTTCTAGATGGTCAAGAATCTGCCCATAGTCCTTACACACATGCTTTGCATCCCACCCATCACTACCGCCTCTCTCCCCTGTCTCCGGATCTGGTGGGAAGGTGGTCTCCGCTCCTTCTAATGCTACATCCCCTGCGCACATTATACTCTGTCGTAAGTAGTCAAAGCAATGGTTCATATGCCAAGGCTCGATGGGATTAGAGAATCCAGGTGAGAAAGCCGCGGTATAGAGAGTAGAGTAGGCGTCGAGGATTGAGTATAGACAATGCAGTTGGTGGGTCATCGAGGTGGTGAAGACAGTTTGGTTGGGGTAATTAATGATCGGTGTGGGGAGGTTATCATACTTGGTCTGGTTCTTTACCAGAACATATCCGAGTCCCTCTACCATCTTCGTCAGTATTGTCGAGCCACGAAGGCGCTAGAATACACACTCGGCACTATGCTCAACCAAGCATTCTGAGTCTCTAAATCCCAAAATGCAGACACGTTCTTTGGTGCGAAGCGGTTATCTGGCTTAAAAGTCACAATCTGCTGAGAAACTGTCCAATAATCAGCGCCGTCATCGATGTTACCGTTTGAATCGGGCTACATACATCTTGGGGCAAACCCGGTCAGATCTCCTGTGAATTCAAAACGATGGCTCCTTTGCTGGGTATGCTTCTTCCACCTCTTCTCTGCCAGTAAGCCAAATATTACGAGCAACAGGGCGGTATCGATCATCCACCGATACCTCCTCACAATTCCCCAGACTCCTGTCCTTCTCCGTCGAGACCGCACTTCGTTCTCTGGGTCCCATTCTTCGACTTCGGTGCTGGATTCAGAGTGCCCATCAACGTTCCGGAGCGCATCGTATTCGCTGTGATCCTTCATTGTCGCGTTTACCTGTAATGTAGAGACGTTGAATTTGGACCGATATGGCATAAATTTAGGCATAAGGATAGCTAGATGGGCCTGGACGGTAATATCTTTGAATTTCTGCAAGCAGAAGTGAAGGTCAAGGGAAACAGAGACGTATATCAGAGGCAGCAAGTCAAACATCTCCTGTAACGCCAAGCGTTAGAAGATGTCAAACCTCGTCGAACCATCATCAGCGGATACTCTACTAAGATCCCACAAATCCAAATAGAGAATGACTCCAGAATGACTCTGCTAAGTTCTTTCTGCGGATTGCTGAGAGTCCTAGGTTAGAGATGAGCTTTGGCACATCGCATTCTGTTTCCAGAGGCAAGATGTACCCTGTAAATCAGAGAAATTGAAACCAGAACGACCAACTGAGCAAATCACGTCTTCAACCGTCTATCCCGAGAAGAGCCCAAGCGGTGACGGAAACGTTGGTTTTGATTGTAATCGTGATAGGTGATGGCGTGCTGATGCAAGCCCCAGGAAGGCGACGGCAACATTCATTTTTCCATCGTCGGCAAGCTGGAGTGCCGATGTGCCGACTACTTCAACCCTTAACCTTCAGCCTGAATTTTTTACATGACACCGCGAACACACCAAACCCTTGGTCAAACATGGAGCATGGAATTATTAAAAAGAGACTGCATTGCGAAAGGCCATGAGTTGGTACATAGTTATCAAAGGTGCCTGTTAAGGCTTCTCACCCGCCACCATCACAGACTCGCCCTCTCTTCACCCCTCAACGTCATTCTCAAGATTGCTGTAGGCAATAGACATATATCTAAGCATGGAACTCGAAAGTCCAATTAGTGCCTATTCCTGCAGTCTCTCAGCTACAAACATTCCTATTTGCCCTGAACCTCTGCTCCTATCACAACAGGCGCTCCAGAGTGTAACCTCATTCTATGATTCGGATATGCCGGTTCAAGCTAGCATCTTGCCGAACGAGCATTGAAGCTGAATCCTTTGTCTTTAAGCCTTCAGCTGTATTCTTTCTAGTTGGGGCCGAAGACGATGACATGCTCAAGTCAGCAATCGGAGAGGGCGGGTCCGAAGCAACATGATTCAAATGTGGAATCTCGCGCGCGGAGGAGCTAGCATGATTTTTTGCATGCATCCGTTTCTTTGCCATGGAGATGGAATCTCGATGCATGAAGAGTTCGGGGGAAACTCCGCCAGCATTGAGGATTCGTGAACGCGCAAGTGTTACTGAATCACGGTGGCCTCTGAACTTCAAGTCAGAGTCTTCCATGTTAGAAAACCTTCGGATGGAGGATGGTTTCCTCGTGCCCCGGCTCGCTCCGATGAGAAGTCCAGCTCTACTGTTGGTGGCTTCCGGATCTGGCACAACCAGTGACTGTCGATCTGAACTTACGTCTGTTGCGTTAACAGCGGGGTCTGGTTCGGTATCATCGTGCGAGACTGAACGAGACATTCTGGCACTAGGTGGCTGCGATGGGTGACGGGATGGGATTGCACTTTGCCTTTCGCTGTTGGGAGGTGCGATTATGACCAAGTCCTCGTCATCTTCGACTGCGCAGCCGAACTGGGGATTGCGACCATCATCATCCGGAAATACCACAATCCGCGGCTTGTATGATCTCGTTAGGCTGTCCTTGCCCCAGGACCACTCCGCAAGCTTAGTGTTGACACGCTCCAAGCCCTTGGTAGCGAACGAACCAGCAGCTTGAAGAGCCTGGCCTGCAGACGAGCAACGTCCACCTGCCTCAATGGCAGGCTCCTTTTGGACGTCATCCCACACAACCTCATAGCATCCAGTCTTCGACTCCACTATCTGCATAGTAGGAGTGGCTAGATCTATTCCGTCGTCGTCTGTTGCCGGAAATTCTTCCGAGCTCCAAGAGGGTGCGATTGCAACGACATGTACATCAGTTCGTGTGATGGCAGTGTCCGCGAGTGTGCTTTTCGTTTTAGGTCCCGGGCAGGAGCGAACTCTCTTGACGGATATCGCTCTATTAGAGCTGCTTTCTTCCATTGCTGTCTTCGATCGTTCGAATGGCTCTCCTGCTTCGAGGTCTCCTTGTCCCGTCCACAGCTTCAACGGGGGTAAGGAAAGCAACTTCTTCGATAATACCCCTTCAAAATCCACCGTCTTGACTCGGCGAAGTTTTCGCCGCCCATGTGAGTCTTCCGAGTCTGTACTTCCTCCATTGGGAGGTGTAGCCGCCGCACTCTTGGATTTCTGCTTCATACATGGCTTTAAAGGGAGGTCGTGATCCGATCGCTTAGCTTGTCTAATGCTCTGTGCTGAAGATGATGGCTCGGAGTATGTTCGAACAGGAAACCACATGAAACCCGGTCTCTCCGGAGCCTGTGGATTTGTCCACTGGAATGGAGCTGGCGCTGCACGTACACGCTGAGTACGCGAAGATCTGACCGGAGGGTGGCCGTTACGCTTCGTTTCCATGACGAGTCGTCGTTGCAGTGTGGCAGAGTCTATAGCTTGATCAAGACGTGACAATCTTGCGTTGAAACTAGGATTTCCAGATGAATGCCTTCGTGGCGGTTTTATACATTCGTTCCGTCGGGACTCGTGAAGGGAGTCGCTGCCCGTATCGTCAGCACCTAGACATCATGGTGGAGTTCATGACCGGGGTATAATACCACGATGCTGAGCCGAGGACTAGACTGCTAGAAGCTCTCTTTAATGACCGCGACGCAATGTTACTCTCTAGAGCCCTGAGAAAAGTTGCTCTTAAGTGTTCTCCTCTTGAGTCACCTATGCAGCTATTTCTGCTAATGTCAATGTCGAAGAGCAGGTCCTCGGAAAGCAACGGCTCGCATTCTTCGACCTGGGGCGAAAGAAAGATGTCTGATCCGTGGTCATTGTCCACAGTTAAGGCTTGTGATGGCAAAGGAGATGGCGGCCAGCCTGTCCAAACTCCGGGCATTCTTCCCGAGATGGTAGGGGCAACGGCTCGATACTGTAGGGTAATTGCGTCGTAGAAAAGGTTGCTCTGCTACTAGGTAGAGCGGCCACGTCTCCACGGCTGCGGATAAGGATAGAAGAGGAAGGGTTCTGTCACATGTGTTGGAGGCAGGGGATAGAAGGTATCGAGGGGTTCGCGGGCGATGTGCACAACAGTGTAGAGTTTGAAGTCCGCCTCTGCGGCCATGGGAATGAGGAAGCGGCTGCATTTCCATGGCTCCTTCTTCTTGACTTAGCCTTTGTGTTGACGTCGAAAGAAGTCGTGATGATGAGTGGGAAGAAGCAATCACTACGTTGAGGGTGCTATTGACTGTGTTGGAACAATGGACCAGTTGCGTTCACACAAAACGCAACGACTCATGACGCAATGCCAACTAGAAGATATCGCAGTCGTTGTACGGATCCGTACGTTATCGCTTACGGCGGGACATAACCTTAGAAGCATCTTATTTCGATGAAGAAGGCTGGCATTGGAGAGGATGTCGCTGCGGTGCCTTAAAGGGCTGGTGCTGCATGTCGAGCGGTGCATGTGGGAGAGCTGAGCATTGAACTAGTCCGAATTTGGACGGCTAAGCTTCCAAGAGAAGAGATGCTGTGGAGAGACACGTGCAGGCACTTCGGGAGAAATCACTCTCAACGACGAATGAGCCTCTTCCAACGACATTCTGTCAATCTTCACAATACGTCGTGCATGCGAATGATGCAACACCTGCCTTTTCCGATAAAGGCACTCCGCCGTCACCCCACGAACTCATTTTCTGCGCAGCGACTCACAGCTCTGTATTTAAAGGCGTGTTCAATAGCATCTCGAGATCTATGCCATCTCATGAAGCTCAATATCACATCAGCGAGCGGCCCTGGGGGCGCCTTTCGCTTTGCTACTATTGACTGGCGCAGCGCCGGACGTCGTTCACAGAGATTCTCACAGCTCGATCCCTGTCCATCCGGCCCCGCACGTGTTCCTTGCAGTGACTTCGCAAATATGCAGGTCCATCGGAACGTGCATCATCAGCCTATTTCTAGGGGTTGGTGCTGTCGGTCGACAGGGTATATATGGAGGGATTCCATCCTATGATGCAGTGCTTGAAGAAGCACACGAGCACGCCTGCCTCGCCCTCAACATGTTATTTCCAGCGACGCTCCTTCTTTCCTCTCTCCTCCGGGCGGGCTCTGTCACCGGAAGCCCGGTCCACCCCCGTGCAGACCCTGCGCCAGTTAAGCAGACTGACTGCAATGGAAAAAGTTATGTGTATGAAGAGTTAGCTGGGTTTGGTATCTTCCCATCTAATGCACGGGACAAATTCGGCGACACGATTGGTGGCTTTGGATCATCCATTGCGCTTGACAAAAAGTCCTGGAAGAAGAAAGATGGCAAGGAAGAGGCGTACGAGGGCGTTCTGTACGGCCTTCCAGACCGAGGCTGGAATACTCAAGGCACACAGAACACGAAGGGCAGAATCCAAAAATTCAGCATTACTCTCACTATCGTGAATGCTACTGTCGCAGATCCTGCGTCGCCGAACTTCGGGATCAAGTATCTCGACACAATCATACTCTCTGGACCAGATGGAACTCCTGTTACGGGTGCGTACCACCCTTGATATGCTTGTTCAACAGGCTGACGGTTTCTTTAGGTCTCGATGCTGATGCTACTGGGAGCATCTCATTTCCGGGGTTCCCTGAACTTCCAGTCGCCACGTGTAAGGTTTTCATATCACTGACTCCGAAGTCGAGGCTGATCTATATTAGATACTGGTGATGGTTTTGGAGGGGCTGGGCCGGGCGGGAAGCGCATTCCTGTTGATGGAGAGGGAATCGTTCTTGGCGACGACGGTACTTTTTGGATTAGTGACGAATATGGTACTTTTCTCGGAGGTTAGTCAAAGGTAGTCACTAACCATTTCTAGGGCCGTATGTTTACCAGTTCGATCACAGTGGCAAGATGATCGATGCCATCCGGCCACCTGATGTCTTCATTCCGATGAGGAATGGCAAGGAGAGGTAGGCTAGTCGGCATAGCACAAATATGCATCTGACCTAATTTTTCGACAGCTTCAGCGCTGCTTCTCCTCCAATCTTCGATTTGCAAAGGGTTGTCAGCCCTTCGAATCCCGTCACTGGGCGACAGAATAACCAAGGGTTCGAAGGCCTCACAGCAAGTCCGGACGGAAAATCGTTATATGTCTTACTCCAAAGTGCTCTGTACGTTTGCTCATCGAATATCTGGGAAGAAGTCTCAGGCTAATTGTAGATAGGAGGCAAGAGGGTGGGGCAGCGACAACAACACGTCGTCACACACGTTTCCTCAAGTACGACATCTCAGGCAAAAAAGCAAAGTATGTGGCGGAATATGTGGTCCCACTCCCATTCATCTCCAATGGCAGGGTAGCAGCGCAATCGGAGGTCCATTTTATTTCCCATGAACAATTCCTCATTCTTGCGCGAGACTCTGGTGCCGGCCATGGGCAGTCCAGCTCGACCTCGCTATATCGCAACGCCGATATATTTGATATCTCCAAGGCTACCGATATCAAGAGTGCGTCGAATGACAAGACTGATGGTGCCATTGCCAGCTCCACCGGAGTTTTAAATTCAGGCATTACGCCTGCAACTTATTGTACCTGGATTGAGTTCAATAACAACTCACAACTCAACAAGTTTAAGGCCCACAATGGAGGTGCCCAGGATGCGTTCCTTTTGAACGAGAAATGGGAGGGTTTGGCATTGGCTCCTGTTGCTGGTGAGTTTGAGAAAGATGGAAACAAAGATGGGAAGGAGTATTACCTGATTGCCTTCTCTGATAACGACTTCATAACTCAAAACGGTACCGGGCCCTTTCTATAATATTAAAGTTATATACTAATACTCCTAGGCTTCATCAATGGTGGACAGAAACCTTATTCTGATGCATCTGGCTTCAACTTGGACACCCAAGCTCTGGTCTTCAAGGTCAGATTGCCAAAAGGCGCTGATCCCTTGTGATCGCTTAACTTAGGGAGGGTGTGTGGATATATTCTAATGAGTCTAAGACAATAATAAATAGCATGGACATCTTGGTGGCCTCCCACACAGTTTATTCCCATCCATTCTTCGGTCTACCCCCATCATCAACCACTTGCTCGTTACGTATTCCGCGATCTGTCAATGGCTAACATTGTCCTCGATGGCCCGCTTCAAAACATCATCCATACAAGCAACTATGCATCTGTTGCCCTTTGCCCGGTGGCGTTTGAAGCCACATTGCCATCGCATTCCTCTGGATATACATGCGATTCAAGATCCGGCGACTCCGCACATAATCTGAGTCATATGCAAAAACCAGATCCTGCGATTATTGCCCCAGACTTGTAAACCCGGATTAGCATGCTTTTTCTTCCTCTTCGAAAGTAAAACACCAAATAACCCAAATAGCTTCCCCAGTAGGCCGCAAGCACACTTTCACAAATGAGCGCCACACTCCAGTCAAAGCCCTCCCTTGAGACCAATGACTTTGGCCCGTCCCCTCAACCTACCCACAGCCAGCACGAATGTGATAGAAATAAGTCAATTTGGTGGGATACCCCAGTGAGTATTCTCGATACGTGTCCCCGTGTACAAAGGCAAAGGCAGACCTCTTTGGGAATCAGGGTCCTCTTCCGATGAACTTTGCACACTTTCCGATGGCACAAGAGGCGAGGTTCAACCGGATTCCTGGTCCTTGGCTCTGAACGTTCGCCAACATTCCTTTGGGAACGGCGGTGAGCGTAGTACTTTCGTGATCAAGAGTCCAAGGTAGATGAAGTAGAAGTCTGGACCTTGTGCAGGATGTCTCTAGGCGGCCAGCTCCTTTTCGCAAATTCGAGGGCCACCGATGGGGGAATAAGATCATTGATCTCTGAGGCTACTGCCTCTGGCTGATTGCACCATATCTCACATCGGCGGAAGTAATTGAAGCCTAGACTTAGTGTCCCGAAATGGCTTATGGGATGCTCGTTCCTGTCGCTGAATTTCCCTAGCATTTCTCCTCCTCTTCGTCTAGATTTCTGCCTAGTTTTTCGTGGAGAGTGTGCCGGGAGAGGCTACCCCTACCTCCTTCTGGTGGGACATGCGCGATACCGTTCTGGTATGCAGACGAATGTATTGTCAAGCCGACAGCTGGGTGTTGAGCCCGTCAGCTGGCACGCCTCCGCATGTGCCACCAGTTGACGCGCCGGATCGTGCAATGTCAGTCCTAGGCAGAGCCAAACATGATACTCTCGATGCAGGACGGTCCCGACGATGCCACGTTCTCTCTGCAGGGTACTCTCAAAATGGAACCGATAAATTTCAAGGTAGCCAGTGTCCTTGCGTCGATAGCTCTCCGCGACTCAGCACACGCCACTAAGCGTAACACTCTGACTAGGACCCCTGCGACATCCGACCCAGTTTGGTGTGTCCCCGCGTCTTCGCTACCCCAGCTTCTCCAGAGTTATGAGGAACGATGACAGAGCTTGGATGTGATCTAGATCACTGTGTCGGTAGACGTATTCCGGGCTGGCTCCCCTTGGAGGAAACCACATTTGTATATCTGGGGGTGTTCCCATGGTGTCGGGAGAGATCGTCGACCTTTTTAGCATCCCGGATAGAGACTCCTTGCATTTCTGCAGCTCTCTTTCGTGTTCTCAGCGTCTACTGCGGCACAGTTGGCGAACAGTTTGCACGTTCTCCTCTTGTCGATCTATCTCACCGCTTCCTCTTATCCCTCTCCCGCATTCCCGCGCTCCCGCGTTCCCGCACTTGAATTCACCACTCTTACTCACGAACATATGGCCGAAGAGAAGTCTGGCACGGTCATGACCGAATCCGAAGAAAAGAACGATGTCTCCAGCACCTTACAAATCGAAGAAGTTCATGTCGTAAAAAAAACCCACGCAGACGGCGTTGTCGACTTCGTGGATACTCGTGCTATCGGTGGAGCTGCCGAAGAAATGCCTCCTGGCTACTTCTGGAGTTTTCAATTCATTGGAACTGTTATCGTACGTCCAAGCCTCAATTGCACCCTCCTGTGAAACATCTTGAATTAATATACAGTATACTAATGAAGAGCTTTAGGCCGTCTGCACGGGATCCATTTGCGCATACCTAGGATGGGTGTTACCAGCGAACACACTGTATGTTGTGCATTTCTCTTTTCGTGTCATGTTACACTGAATGAGTTATATTCACTCCACTTAATCTTTCTTTTCTAACCATGTCTCAGCACTCTGATCAATGCGGATATCGGGCCCTCGACGAATCTTAATTGGGTAGCCACTATCTGGACTATTGGAAGCGCCATCGGGTTTTTACTGGTGGGCCGTCTTTCTGACATCTTTGGCCGCAAATGGATGGTCATGGGAACATCAATTCTTGGTCTCCTGGGGTGCATTGTAGGTGGTACAGCAAAGAGCATCAATACTTTGATTGGGGCGAACCTGATGAATGGGATTGCAGCCGCCGGACAGCTTTCCTTTGGTATTGTGCTAGGAGAGTTGGTGCCGAATAAGCACAGAGGGCCGATTGGTACGTAAAGTCGAAGTGTACTTACCAGGTTCTCTCCAGTCAGTTTCCAAAGTGCCGTTCAAATGGTCTTTCGGATTGTTGTTCCCGAGGGGATCTAGTATCTGCCCCAACTCTCCCATCTGTGAGCACATCTGCTAACTGGTCCCCCCCCTTTAGTCACGCTGGTTTTTTTGTCATCCCTGCCTTTTGCTGGTAAGTCTCGAGCAACCCACTTCCAGATCTGTTGGTAACGAGCCCCCAGTCTTCGGGCCTATCATTGCCCGACTATTCATCCTCCACACAGCCGCTGGCTGGAGGTGGTCCTACTATCTCGGAATAATACTCTCCGGCATCACCATCATCCTATACCAATTCCTGTACCACCCACCAACCTACGACCAACTCCACGTCCACGGCAAGACGCGATGGGAGCAGTTCAAAGAGCTTGATTTCGTTGGTATCTTCTTGTTCGTCGCTGGCATCATCGTCTTCTTAATCGGGCTTTCGTGGGGCGGAACTACGTATCCCTGGAAGAGTGCAGCCGTCATCTGCGCCCTCATACTCGGCGGCTTCACGCTCGTTGCTTTTGGTCTCTACGAGCAGTATGTGTTCAAAGGGCAAGCCCTGATGCCGCCTCGCCTATTCAAGAAGATTGAGTTCATTGCTATTGTCATGGTCGCAACAATCGCTGCAATGGTGTACTATTCCCTCACCGTGCTGTGGCCCACGATCCTGGGAACAGTATATACCACGGATTCGATTAAGATCGGGTGGGCATCTTCGGTTGTCGGTGGTGGTATTCTACTCGGTCAAACGTTCGGTGGCTTTGCTATCTCGTACCTACCGAAGGTGAAGTGGCAGGTCATCATCCTATCCGTGCTTTGCACTGCGTTCCTAGGTGCGGAAGCGGGACTGCAGGCGGATGCTTATGGGACTTTCATCACGCTCGGTGTTCTAGCTACTTTTGGTGAGCTGAAATCCTCTAATTAGTTCAAGTCTGTGAACTTTGCTAACAATCACATAGTTATCGGCTGGGTAGACAATATCACTTTCCCCGGTGTAACCCTCCTCTGGGAGGCTCAAGACATTGGTCTTGCGACTGGAGTTCTCGGTTCCATCCGCGCCATTGGCGGCGCCGTCGCGCAAGCCCTATACGTCTCCATACTCACCAACAAAGTCTCCGTCTACCTCCCCAAATACGTCATTCCTGCCGCAACATCCGCCGGCCTCCCGGAGTCCTCTCTTCCCGCACTTTTCGCTGGCATCATAGCTGGAAACTTCTCCGCGGTGCCGGGTGTCACACCCGAGATTATCGCGGCCGCGGGTGCGGCGACATCAAAGGCGTATTTGGAGAGCTTTAGGATTGTGTTTTATGCGACTATTCCATTTGGGGCGTTGCTTATCTTCTTTGCGTGTTTGAGCCCCAATTTTGAGAAGTATTTGAGTATGAATGTGGCGAAGAGATTGCAGAAAATGGGCAAATTGGCCGGCGAGGGACATGAGAGAGAGGGCGACGCTGTCTAAATTATAGTAATGTTGGCGTCTGAGTAGGAGAGGGTATTGGGGGCCTTTTAACATCATAGTAATATGATTTGGGAATGTTTACGAGAGTCTCGTTCTGTGGAAGATCAGTGTGGGGAAGTATCTTATATTGTGTAATCAGCCACAATTCGCCCTTGGATTCTTCTTCCTCGTTTTATGAAAGCTTGCATGATGGCAATATCAATGGCCTGAAGCCACTCAATATCTTGCAATCATCCAACAACCGAGGTACAATTCCCAAATATCATACCAGGCTTGCAAACAATCCCCTATCGGTCTTTCTCCTCCCCTCCTTTTTTTTTTAAAAAAAAACGTTTTCGTGTCTCAAGCCAGAGGCGTAGTCTTCTCAATCAAACTTCGCCCCCGCACATCTTCTTGCTCTGAGGCTCGGCTCAAACTAGTCCAAAATTAAGCCCTCGAGACGAGGAGAACTCGCATTTTTAGCCTCAGGCTTAGCTTCGGTGTTGCAGCGTGCCACAAAGCGTTCTAACCGGTGCTGTATCCGACTGGATGCTCAGGATACTTAGATTAGTCTCTATGGTAGTTTTGGGGTTTGGGTACCTGTGAGCTGTATTGTATGAATGGGGCCACGGTCGCAATGACGTTCAGGACCTAGGGCTTACAACTAGAAGTGTAGGGGGCGACTGTTGCAAGGGAATACACAAATTTGTTTGTTACTCAGTACGAACTGACGGAAAAAGAAAAAGATTAATCAGGAGTAAAGATGAATGGAGCTAATAATTTGAAGGCTTTGAATTTCCGCAAATAGATCACACAACTCTTGCCGCATGCATCCTAAATCTCGGGGATCATATTCGGGGGGTTATGGGAGGGGTTTCTTTGGTCTTGAGGTACCTATCTAATCACAACGTCATTCATTTCATTCCATTCCATTCCAATCCATCAATTCCAATCCAGATCATCGATCCATCATTCATCATCCAGCCCATCTGATCCGTCGTCCTCACACCCTCATGCGCATCCCGTCCAAGAAATAGTGGTTGCCCACAAGCCATCTGTATCATTTGATTCCATCCGTACAACCTCCATTTTGCAACTACGACGTGCCGCCAGCCACCCAACCAACCACACGAATACGCCAGTCAAACTTAACCGAACAGCAACGAACGCCAGGGGAGATGTCTGAACACGACTGTCATGCTCGCTAAAGCTGAAAAGGGGGTTCCGAGAAAGGTATTAAGAATATCCTGTGGAAAGGAAAGGGGACGCGTCGGATGGGGGACAAGACAGGTTTTGGAATGGGGCAGTGAACAAGTGTGGGTTCACTGGGATGACGACTATTGAGTAGGCACGCCATTCCCATTTGGGTTAATCTGGGCCTGCGCAACTTGTGCGGCAGCCTGAGTGATGACGTCGGCTTGGTGGACGGCGGCTTGAACAACTTGTTGTTCTTCGGGATTAAGGTTTTTGGTGAGGTTTTCATAAAGGGCAGGCTGTTCTTGTTGGAGACCTGCTCATTGTTATTAGTTGTAAGGGGCATGAAAAGGAGGAGGGTGAATTACGAAGTAAGGCATGCTTAAACATGCTGTAAGGCTCGACTTTATCGAGCGGAGTCTCGAGTAGGCTCTCCTCCTCGAGTTCGTCGTCCTCCTCCTCGCTCACGGCGGTGAATTTCCGGGCCTGTGTTGAGTTAGTATTCGTTTGCTGTCTCTTGTTATAAGGTTGTTGGACATGCCTCTTCATTGAGGAACTCTAGATAGGCGGCGGATTCATCCTTAACATCCTCGGCCTCTTCTGCCTCATTGTTCCAATCATTATCCTGCTCCCACTCCTCATCCTCTTCTTCATCATAGTCGTTGCCAAACTCGAAATTCTCTTCCTTCTTGGCTTCTTCGCGATCTGGACATTTTCACTTAGAAATACTCTTGTTCAAAATGGAGGGGAGCCCTGCTTACTTTTCATGGCTGCAGGAAGTGTCTGGAAGAGCCGCACGATGCCTTGGAGGAGTCGCGGCCATCCTTGCTGGACGCTGATGGGGACATCCTGCGCCCTCAAAGTGAGGAGCGCGCAAATTGCTGAGATGCAGAGCTTCTTGTCGTGCACTCGGGTGAAGCTATCAATGCTCGAGAACCAAAGACTGAAGAACTTGTTCGTCCAGCCATTGCTCTCGAGCACATGAAGGGCTAACCCTGGGTTATAATAAATCGCATTGATGACAACCTCCATCAAATGAATTCGAAGCGACTTGACCTTTGGTTCATCGTTGGTGAGGACCGTCATAGTGAGTGCGAGGAACTCAGGGACATAGTCGTCAACGTGACCGCGCATGTTCAACATAATGATCTCGGACAACTTGCAGCCGCATATGCGGTCTACACCACCTACCTTATCGTCCTTGAAAATTGTTCTAACCATGTCCACAATGGCTTCGAGATACCCTCGGTTTTGGGAGAGCGTCTGTGTGCCGTAGTTGACGAAGTTTTCTAATGCGGGAAGCATATCTATACAGGGTGAGTGTCGTTCTCAGAAATACCAGAACAATTGCTTTACCTTCTAGATATAGTTCTGCGCCGGCTTTAAATGTGCGATGGATCAATTCAAAAGCTTGCCACATAGTATTCGATATGCTCTTGGCTGCGAATGTGCAGCTGTCGATGATCTCGAAAACTTCATTGTACAGATCTGTGAACAGATTAATGACAAAGTAGCACTTCGTACTAGGAAAAATCGCCTACCATAGAGCTTATTCTCCAGAGTGATGGTGATGACAGGCATGAGAATAGTCTCCAGATGTAAGAGCACATCGGGAGTGCTCTCCAGGGTCAGGATTAAGGTGCCGATCGTCTGAAGCACACCGAGAGCGGTAATGCTCTTGTCGTCTAGGAAATCCCCATACTCATTATCATCATCCTTACCCGTTTGACGGTCCAGTAGTTCTCGGACGATACGCAGATAAGTGTCGCGGAGTTGTTCGCTTAGGGCGACAGCAAATGGTGTCAATTCGGCAGCAAATACTTCGACGAAGTCCTCCATGACGTTGGCAAGAGCATCCACATCGACTTCATTCGCTAGCTTCAGCAGCTGCTGCATGACTTGAGGAATATTCTGCTGCATATTACTTCGAATGATATCATGCCGGATCAGTGGCTGAAGTGCTAGCGCAGCCTCGACGCGGACGGGGAGGGCGGGATCCGCCATTGACTCCAAAATGTTGCGGTAAATGATAATTAGATTGTTCGGGTCCTTGAAATCGAGCGCCTCAAATTTCTCCAAAGTATCGCAGGCACGGGCACGGAGAAAGCCGTGAGGGCTCCGGAACTCGGGGAAGACATGTCGCACGAAGAAGTATTCAACCTGGTCCGCAATCGGGCTCTTCTTTGCGAGTATGACTCCAGAAAGGGTTCCAATCATGCGCAGCGCACCTTCCTTCTCCCTGGCATTCTTTTCGTTATCGGGCGCGGATTCGTATCGGTTTACGATGCCGTTGACAAAGTTCAACACGGTATAGGTTTGTTTTCGTCGGCTCTTGGTGAGTGTAACAAGGAAGTTCGTAGCGGCAACATCAGGCGCCGATGCCTCTTCGTAAAAATTTAATTTCCTGTGCAGATACTCCTGAGGTTCGGTGTCGAAAAGCTCGATATCCTCATCGGATTGGCACAAGACTGGGAAGAGGAGGTGCGAAATGAGGTTTTCTGTGTGGGGCCTCAACAGATTCCACATTGACTTGGGCTTGATGCACTCGTCCAGGAAATTAAGCGTGTAGTACAGGCAGGCCTTGGAAAGCCACCCGGTTTTCCCAACCCACTTCTCCACCTGTGTGAGATATCCCTTCAGGATTTCAGGCGCAAAGTTAGTGATGAAGTATTTTGCCACCTCGGTGTAGTCAACGTCGTTGTTTTTACCCAAAGTCGCAGGGTTGCCATATCTGAGAATTCTGTATTAGCCGGCTCGTGCATGTACAACATGCCGTGGAACAACCCACCTGACGTAGAGCCGGTTCAAATTCGCATACGCCCATTTTTTGGCTTTCCACCAGTGGTTTGTTTCGCGCTCATCCACGTCTTCTGGGAGGGAGCATTCCGGCGGCTCCTTGGCTACAATTGTAAGGAAGAGCGTACACCACCCGACCATGGTTCCCTGTTCGCGGAGCGACGCCGGGAGATCGAACTGCGTCGCCGTCAGCGTCTACACAGCCATTCCAACGCGGCGAGTGATCTTACATAGATGGCATGCTTGTACACCTTCAAGACTGTGCGTAGGATTTCGCCAGCCTCTAGGCTGGTCTCATTGACAAGCGAATTGCCGATGTTGAGCAGCTGCGGGAACGACATGGCCACAATATTGTCAAAGTCGACCCGGTTCTCACCCGACTTGAATCGGTAGATCTTGCAGATTGCCAACAGACACTGCACGCCGGCAAACACCGAGTTGGCGTCTCCGGCATTCAGCAGCTGTATGGTCATGTCGAGGAAGTTGGGCCATCGCTGGGGGAAGTCGTACGCGAGGATCTTCTGGAGAGTGGGGATGAGCTGGACGCGCACTTGCGTCTGTGATGCGGCGAGGATGGGCACGAGGCGGTTTCGAAAGGAGTCCTTCTCGTTCTCGGGGATGGGTTTGGCATGGCTGAATTCCTCAGCGGGGGCCCAGCCCTTCGAGATGCGGTTCTTGAGGTACACGACGGCTGGAGGCGCACAGGCAGTCAGCAAAGCAAAGGCACAGAGAGCAGGGTATGACACGCGCGGAGGGCACCGTACTTGACAATCGCACGCCGTTGTCCTGCTCGGCCTCGAGGATGTTCAGCAGGGCGTCGGTGAAGCCTGGCTTGTCTTCGGCCTGGAAGCCGCGGTCAGTGCCATGTCAACATCAACAGTGGCGTGGGAACGGCTGCACCCACATATTTGAGATCGAGCTCGGCCTGTTGCCGGATGGCGGCATTCGGATCAAGAGTGGCCTGGATGCGGTCCCGCAGGCCAGCAACGTCCATGGCGGCGGCGGGCGTGGGACGTGTGTGGGCTGCGTGTGAGCTGTGAGCACTGGGCGGAGGGAGGGAGGTGAGGTACGACCAGAGACGGCGGCCTCGAGGACGTGCGGTGAGGCGGGGGAGCCTTGAAAGCGGTGCGAGTTGCGAGCAGCACCAGGTACGCGCGTGCGAAGAGGTGCGGCCCGTCGAGGGAGTGATGGTGGGCTCTGTGGATGTTTTGTGCCCTGGAATCGGTCGCCCTGCGTGCAGAGACTAGCTGGAGGGGTTCCAACTGTTAACGAGGGACATGCATTTTCTTGTGGGTGCCAAGGCACGTGGTCTCCGCTCCACTACCGGCAGGCATCCTGCGCTGCTGCACACCTGCTGCAACCCGCTGGCCGCCTCACTGCCTAGGTACCTATGTATGAACCTCGATCTCCTATCGTGAGCCGCCGTCTTGTCCTGGGGCCCCGACATCAGACTGCTCGACTGTCTCTCTCCGGGTCTCAGGAAGCGACAGCCCACCACAAACTGTCCAATCAAGCCACATCGGCGCTCTCCGGCCCTCTGATGCCTCAGGGCCTGGCCTGCATCAGATATACATGCCATCACATTTCATATCCTCAATTGTGAACCTGCGTTTAACCCCGTCGTATCAAGTCCCATGCTAACGTCGGGCGTACGTGATATTGCCGTCTTACTCTGTCCTACTGGATGTACACCCAAGTGGCCGAATCGGGCTAGCCGCCAGGCACCGTGCCCAACCCAGACCATACGCCTCTTTGACATTTAGCAGCGCGAACTGCTATGCACCACAGGGCAGAGGGGGTCAAGGTTATCTTCGTGTCAGGCAGTATCTACCTTTGTCACTCGTCCATGCTGAGAATCACGACCCGGAAGCCCTAATCCCACTTGAAACTCCACCAACTACCGTACACATGCTCTTTGCTCCTCGAATCAGCCTCGCCAACCTATAATGCATTCCCATATACTCGATCCGAAACTCGGTCGGCATCCGACGCCCTCGCCATGCTGGAATGAAACCGTCTACAGGTATAAGCTTGCGCAATTACAGATGTCCCTGTTTCGCACTGTCAGCGTCCTGTTCGTCGAGAAACTTGTTGGAACATACCGTTTAATTAGCTCCTGGCATGTCCCCATCTTCTGGAACAAAGTTGGGTCGCCAATGATTCGAGCCGCATTCTTAACCTCTCTACATGTTTCGTCTAGGCGGGTGATGATCCGGACAATGGTGCCTTCCATGACGTCGGTCAAGTCCGTGATGCGATTGAACGACATGCCCCTCGCCCATTCATACACCACCTCCACCATTCCGAAACGCGGTTTGCTGACAAAATCGTTGGAGTCGTCTGAGGAGAGAATGACCTGATGAACTGTTTGGAGGTGATTGACTTTTTCTGAAATCTCGACTATTTTGGCCATGCCGCGTTCAAGACTTGCTGTGAGACTTGGTTCAATGTCTGTCTTCTCTTGAAATACGAAAGCTGAGAGTAATGCAACGATCTCTTCGGGAGCGTACTCTGCGAGGACGTTTTCTAAGATCAGTTCGGTTAGCACGAGCTCATCAGCCGAGTGAATCTGATGACCATGTTAGCAACGATATTGCACCTCAACGGTTGCGTATTCTACCTCGCAAGCAACTTTGCCCTTGAGCTCTACCCTACTGCTCTCATCAACGAAGCCGAGATCTTTTAGTACAGATATTCTCTGCTCATAGTCGGGTAGTAGTTGAAGGTTCTGATCCGACATGAGCTGCCGAAGCTGCAGAATGTTTTCCTTGATGATCCATTCATCATGTTCCATCGCAAACTGAATTAGTCAGCCTAGGGTTACAATATCAAGATCGAGATTTTGCTTGGACGTACGTGCTTTAAGAAATCAGGGCACTTCAAGCACTCCCGACGCGTCGCGACCTCTCCTTCCCTCCGCCGTGCCTCATCAAGTTCTCGGAAAGCGAGGGTCTTGATTCTACCCCAATCGTACTCATCCCAATCATTGTAGTCCCATGACTTGCAAAGTGGTATGAATTGGTCTCTAGCAAGGTCGAGAGCTTCTTAAAATATGCCATCAGTGAGAAAGAACGATATTGGTGAAACAGAGATCTTACCTTTTCTCTTGTTCAAGTTCTGGATGTGCTCTGGGATGTCGATGATGGTCCTTGTAAAACACTCAATGTCATTTAAAGGAATAAGAGCTGGTTTAAGAATCCATTCCTTTTCATTCGTAGGTAAGTGCCTGAAGAACATTGCAAACGGAGCAAGATATGGCAAGAGGTCGTCAGCTTTCCTCTGACGGTTCTGGCAAATCTCGAGGATTTTGACCGTGGGCTCATTCCCTTTGCTGGTGCCTTCTTGTAGTAACATCCCAATTGTCCTCAAGCCATCCTAATGCTGTTAGTGAGCAAAAATGGTATGTTCAAACTCCAAACTTACCTTTTTGTAGACTACCAAGCGCTTTGGACCGAGGACTCGCCTCCCGACTGGATTGGTAAGCAGTCCCAAATGCAACTCGTTAGTCAATCGCTGATAGTTCATGCAAGCTTGATGGCACAATTCAAGGTCAACGTCGCAAGTTTTGCAGGACTCGCGCTTCACCTTCTCGAGGTCATCTTCAGACAGTTTGACCTTCTTCTCGTGTTCCGGAAGCAGGGCCTGTGTTGCGTTCTCGCTAAAGCTTCGTTTTATCATCTCCTCGATCTTCAGCGCTTCTACCCGAAGAAGATTGAGCATCATATTGTACGTTAGCCTGAATTGTGATCTTAACTTTGTGGGATCTCCGAGAATCATTTGCCGGAGTCTTGACACTTGCGGCGCTTCATCTGCTCCCTGAGTCACGATAATGACGGAACCGACGGGGTCTAACCCTCTTCGCCCAGCTCTGCCAGCCATTTGAGTATATTCGCCAGGGAGGAGGTCTCGGAAGCTGCGCCCATCATGTTTACGGAAACCGGAAAATACTACAGTCCTCGTTGGGAGGTTGAGGCCCATGGCGAATGTTTCCGTGGCAAACAACACTTTTACTAAAGTCTTTGCAAACAAGATCTCAACTACTTCTTTGACGATGGGTAGCATGCCGCCATGATGAACTGCGATACCGCGGCTGAGCAATTCCCTCAAGCGTCGAATTTGGGGGAGTTCTCTATCTTCCGGAGTTAGTCGAGCAATTGATTTTTCAATTGTCATGTGAATGGCGCTCTTCTCGGCAGCAGTGCAGAAATCAAGATTCGAAAGAGCGTTCGCGTTCTCTTCGCATCGCTTCTTTGAAAAGACGAAAATACAGGCCGGAAGGAGGTCCTTATTGCGGAGGTGCTGGACAAGATGAACCCAGATATTTCGATCCTGAGCAGCTGTAGTCCTGCCCCCACCGCGGCCCGTCCTGGCGATGTTGCCTCGTCCTCTCTGTAGCTGTTGGCTACCGCCTCGCGGAGTGCCGCCTCGCTGAGTTCCTTGCTGGCCCCTGGTTCGTCCGTTTCCAGCAGGGCCGGCTCTTCCTCGGTTACTACTTCTTCCACCAGGTGCTTCGTCCTTAGCCGGGGGGGCTTTAACTTTGTCTCTGCCAGAAAGCGCATCGTTTGCATCCTTCCAGCCGCTTTCAACGAACTTCTTGTCTGCGGTGACAATCTTGTGCATCGCCTTGTTGGCCCAGAGATAGTGTTCCAGGGGTACTGGGCGTTTTGGGGTGGATATAACATATATATCCTTTTTCTTTGTTCGTCCCACCCATGAAGCGAACTCGTAAGTGTTTGGCACTGTCGCCGACAGCAGTATGAGCGTGGCGTGCTCTGGAAGCATGATGATAACTTCCTCCCACACTACGCCTCGCTCAAGGTCGTTGACGTAGTGGACTTCGTCGAATATGACAAACTCAACGTCTCTGATAAGATCAGCTCCGCGATATAGCATGCTTCGAAGAATCTCAGTGGTCATAATCAGACAGCTGGCTTCCGGCCGGATCTGCACATCTCCGGTAAGGATGCCAACATCGTCAAACGTAAGGCGAAAGTCACGGAATTTCTGGTTGCTAAGAGCTTTGATCGGTGAAGTGTAGATGGCCTTGGTCATATGTTTCGCTGCTAATGCAATAGCGTATTCTGCAACGACAGTTTTGCCTGCAGATGTATGCGCCGCGACAAAGACCGAGTCGCCGTGCTCAAGATGGTAAACGGCTTCCTTTTGAAAAGTATCCAATTCAAATGGCCATTGCCGCGCCATTTCAGGAACAAGCTCACCGAAGTTCGTAATCTCACGGTTCACGTCGACCATGTGGGCCCACTCTTTTGTACCTTGCCTGGTAGAAGCCAATGCAAGAGGCCCATGGGGAGCTAAGGCAGGGAACTCAACTGGAAGTAAAGAATCGATTTCGTCATCACCTTGCGCTTCACCCTTGTCGAGTAACACATGGCTGTTCATCGCTTTGTCATCAATCCCATCATCTTCGACAGCTTTTTCGTTCGCGGCTGAAGCTGACTCCTCTCCCAATGTTTTCTCGACTTCTTCAGCAGCCTTTAGGTTTACAGCAGCCTTCTTGTTAAAATCAAGACCTCTACTAAATCCTGGAGGGATTTCCAGGAGGCCAGCTTCAGCACTAAAGTCAATGACCCTGTCTAGGCCACTGGAATTCTTAGCCTTGGCGTTCTCTTGACGTAGAATGGCCTCGTCCTCGATGGCCGCGATAGTCTCTACTCCGTCGAGTCCACCTGGAGCAAAAGGAAAAAAGCCGGATGCGCCGCGGACAAACTCCGCCCTGTTGGCGGGCTTCCTTAGAAGTGAAGTGGAGTTCTTGGCAGTAGCGGAACTTGCTGGTACTGTGACCTCTTTATATCCTGTTACCCGGCCTTCAAGTCCCTCCCGAGTGAAACGGATGATGGTGCGAGTCTGGCTTGGTGCGATGTCAAAAAGGCCACGGTAATCGGTCGGAGCATCCCAGCGCTGCTGTAACCGATTCAGCCATTGCGTGTTAAACGAGGCTGACGGCGTAAGGAACTCTTGTTCGAGTTCTTGCTTCACAGCTTCTTGGGTTTTTCTCAGTCGTTTGTGTGGGCGTTGTTCTTTTAGGAGTGAGTCTACCCAGCCTGGATTCTCTGTGCTATTGCCAGTACCGATCAGGCGAACCTTCTCAAGCGCCGCCTGGATGCCCTCCATCTTGACGCGTGGTGAGTGGCTCTTCCACAAAGGCTGTGTTCTGATGCCAAATTCGTTGGTCGTGTTGTTCAGCAAACCCCCTCGGCGAAAAGAGGACCGACCCACTTTGCCAAGGCTAAACTGTCAGTTGCAACTCCTCCACGCACAGTCACGTCTATTTCAGGTGGGCACTAACAACTTTCTGCATGATGAGATATACATTATCGCGGTGCCCTGACGTACATCTCGCGGGTGCGCCTCGCTATGCAGGAATAGAAGAACTGCCCGCATGAATTTACCACATCCCCTCCAATTCTGCCATAGCTTCCATGTCATCGGCAAAAGGATCTCCCTCAATATCCGCTGTCTTTGGTAGCAACGATGCTACTGGCGTGGGAGCAAAAGTCGGTTCTGTACTTTCCGCAAGCAACGCATCTAGCTCGTCCTCTCCAGGCCCGTCACCATCTAATATGTCATTCGGACCCCTTGGTTGGTTTGATGCCTTGCCCTGCTCTGTTTCCCGTGGAGAATGAACAGTGTGTTCTGCCGTGTTCCCTGATGGGATATCGTCCATCCGATCTGTTCCAGGCACATTCGACTTATCTGGTGCAGAGACAACATTCTCGTCTGAATCGATTTCCGTGGTGTGTTTGGGCTTCCCCTCATCTATCCACTCCTTCCTCATAAATTGTATGCGCTTTGTGTGCCCCAGCTTCTCGATCATGGCTAGCCCATCTGCGAATTTAGCCCGAGGGTAGAGATCGTCCAACCACAACTGATACATGTTCAACATTCGGGCAACATCTCCATACTTTGAATGTGTCAGCGGCTGGAAATCGTGATAGAAATATGAACTGACTTCGTGACCCTTTCCTTTGAATCTGAGGCGCTCCTTGCAGATCCTTCTAAGTCTAGGAACGCCACCTACGGAGAGTAGTCTATACTGAATGAGTAAATAATATATCTTGGATCTGGCGTACAGTGCATGCACAAACCTATTGTCATCGAGCTTGGGAATCGGTTGCCGCTTTTTTACAATCTTGATCTCTTCATCGATGCCCAATCCAGAATCGGTTGCCGCCGCCTTCGGCCTGCTCTCTACCTCCTGTCTTGGTTGAATATTGCTCGTATCGAAAGCGTCTTCGCCGTTTATGATGCCGTTGAGAATGTCATCCAGTTCATCAGCAGTCGGCACGTTTGGGGGAGGAGTTGTCAAGGCCATCATGTCTCCCCCCAAGGCTGTGAGACGAATGGAGTCAATGTCGGGCAGGCTATCTCTAGAAACAGATCGGCGGTGGTTGGACTGGTTTTGTTGCCTTCGCAGTCCCCAACAGGATTAAGATGCATGGAAACATTCATTAACGAAAGACGCGCTGGAACGCGTGTCGAGGCGATGAGCTATGACATAGTGCGTGCCAAGACAGCCAGCCGACAATAGCGTGAAACCTTATTTAGAACTTCAGTCGAGCCGACAGGGTCTTGCACCACCACGAAAAGTTTCATTCACGCAGCTGGTGGTTTGCCTATCGCTCTTGTGCTCAAGCACTTTCACCACTTCACGTGCTCAATTGAGGAAGACGTTGTGATGAGGAGAGTTTTCTAGCCAGCTCAAATCCCGCGCTGCGTATCTGCTTGCCTCCGTCCACCCAACACCTGGACAGCTACTTAGCAGACTGAAAGAACCGCGGATACTGTTCTGTACTTATACTTCATCATGGCCGCATCTGATACAGCACTTGTCGGCGCCACAACTGCCAAACTCGAGGAGTTACTGCAACGTGCGCGGACAATCAAGCAAGCCACCTCAATTGACCCGCCCTTGCAAGTATCTAAACTTGCTACAAATAACGAGAGTCTTCTAGGCCCGACTGTAGAAGCCTCAGATTCCCATATGATTGCCATCGAGGGTGCAGCAAAACATGTATTCTACAGTATCCTGGCAAGTACCACTTTCACGCTCGATCAACTTGTCGCTAACAATCAGTAGGCTTCCGCTCTAATAGACGATCCTTCCTTTGTCTCCATTTGGAATCTTCTCGACATCCTCCAATATTGTGGGGACAGAGGTAAGTGCGTTCGGGATTTGAAGGCGATGGTGGCGCTAATTGGCCCAGACGAGTGTTCCTCATCACTGGTTTTACTACTCATTGAGGAGCTACTCGACGATCGAGATCTCGATGGCTGTAAAATCGTCTTCAATTATCTCGAGTCTCGAAGAGAAACCATCATTGCGGTACTTGTGTCTCTAGACCTTAGAGTAATTGTTCAAACTGCTAACAGTTATAAGCATAACTCGAAGAACAAGGATCTGGTTATCCTACGTTCATGCAATGAGCTCCTCCGCCGACTGTCCCGAGCTGATGACGCCGTCTTCTGCGGTCGAGTCTATGTCTTCCTGTTCCAAAGCTTTCCCCTGGGCGACAAGAGTTCTGTCAATCTGCGGGGAACTTTCCATGTCGAGAACGTCACCACGTTTGAGGACTATTTGAAGACTGAGGATGAGGATGAGGATAGTATGCAGGTGGACAGTAGTCTCTCTGTCAAAGATGTCAAAGATGCCAGATCAACGCCAAAGTCTGAAGAGAGGGACAGCAAACTAACAACTGTAAAGCCTGAAGGACAAAAGTCCACTGCGATGGACATCAACGAACTCTACTCGTACTTCTGGTCTATGCAAGGGTCGTTCTCGAATCCTCCTAGGCTTTTCGAAGGGGATAACTTTAAGCAATTTCAAAAGAATCTGGAGGCTACGCTCACGAAGTTCAAGGAAGTTCCCAAGGTCATACAGACTGGAGACTCGGACAGCAAGAGAGGCACGAAGCGGAAATTAGATGACGACAACAACGAACTGGCAAGCACTTTCAATCCAAAGTACCTCACTAGCCGCGATCTATTCAAGCTTGAGGTACGTTTGATGCCGCCCCCAATTAGCTCGGAGCCTCGCCTAACTGCAAACAGCTGAGCGACCTTGCCTTCCAACGGCACATCCTAGTGCAGGCACTCATTCTGATTGACTTCCTCTTCTCATTGACAGAGAAGGCGAAAAAGAAACCATACTATCTAAATGCACAGAAAGCGATGCAGTACAGCTACACACTTCGCGACGAGGATGTAAGCCCTTGCCACCCCTCCCCCGGCCCCAAACCTTTCGCTGTGCCACCATATCATCATCCTTTCGGCTGACCACAAAGCGCAGGCCGAGTGGGCGTTGGGCATCAAGAACTCCATCGCAAATTACCTGCAGGATGGGCCGGATGGCAAATTCTACTATCGAATGGTGGATACCGTCCTCTCACGCGATAAGAACTGGGTTAGGTGGAAAATGGAGAATTGCCAGCCCTTTACTCGTGATAGAGTCCCCACAAAAGATTTCCTGGTTGCGAAATCTGGGGCATCGAAAGGAGTCAACAGCAGGAAAATCTCTAAGCCCTGGAGTGAAGATGGGACTCTGGGGTTTCTCAGCAGCACAGACGACGAAAAGGGGCTGAGGCAGCTGAGGCAGCTGAAGCTAGCTCAGAGGTACGTTCCGCTCGTCCGATAACCATGCTATAGCCCATGTGCTCACGAGAGGTCAGACTAGATGTGCCAAGTGCAGAGACATATGTGAGTCGCGTTCCATTCACAGAGCCGGGCCAGGAGATAGACCAGGAGATGGTTACATCGGAAGAGGAAAAGCGCCAGAAGGAGGAGCATAAAACAAGCAACACATGGCGAGCGCTTCGCATAGCCTCGAGGAGCCGGCTGAGCTTATTCGACAGGCTGGAGGATGGTAAACCTCTGGAGAGGCTCTTTCAGCCGGTCACCTCGATTGAGGCGGCAGGCGAAGACAATGCGCCCACAGGTCCGGAAGGCAGGGATTCAGTTCCGCAAGAACAACATCAAAGCGTCGAGGAGCAGCGGGCCGACCAACGGAGTCAAGTGACAGCGGACGCGGCGGCGGAGTAGTAACAGGGTCAGACGGCGCCTCTACGAGATAGGAATCAATTGTCGAGGGCGGTGCGAAGCTTGCATCTGCCATGAAGCCTTCCTCTTTACGATGATGTGCAGGATGTGCAGGATGAGGAGGTTGTGGCGCTTGCCGCTGGACACTTCGTGCGAAGAAGGACATGGGGTGAGGACTGGAGGCAGAAAACTTGCATGGCTCCGAGCGATCCCCACGATCGTGATCAGCCAACAGCCTGTGTGCTCCACCAACCGACTGTGCCACTAAATTTGCAACCGCCACGATTTGCGGCTAGAATCGTAATGCGGCGCAGGCAGGCTTTTGGAGTTGGGCGCCGCAGCTTGATGAATAACTTGGGCGATATGCTCCTTGGAGTGAACTGTCGCATGCCAGGCTCACACTCTGCAGAAAAGCCATTCCGAGAAGTCCGTCGCGCAGTCCCTGGCTAGCTGTTGTGGTGCTTCCCGGCACTCCAGTCTACAGCTGGACACAACCGTGACCATGTGCGAGCCGGGGGTCAGCAAAGCGGCGACGATGATGGAGGGGGTGCTGTGAATATTGGCCGAAGTTCAGGCTCATTGAGTATGCGCTGTCAGCATATCGATCCGCTGTTGTGGGCGATTCTGCAGCGTCCCGAAATGAAAGGGACCTCTGTGCCTCGTCGCGTCTCTTGGGGCCTGTCGTTTGCAGCCAGAAGTGTGGCCGCGCAGCCTGTAGCAGCCTCCCTCCACCCTCCCGATATCCTGCCGCTGCTCGCTGGCCGCCGGCTGAGCGCTGCACTCTTCTCCGTGGTCAAGCGAGCTATCCATGGCGGCCATCAAACCTCCGCGACAGTGCCGCCCTCCACCCAATGATCCGTCGAAATATCCGCGGCGGACACACAGGAAGAATCATCGGTTTTCGCTACTGCTACCCGTCCTGTACCCTCCTGCTCATTTCCCTGCCCGCTCTGCGTCCCCAGTCCGTCGCCGTGTGTTGGGGTGCTGCTGTCGAACCACACCTGGGCACGTCCGCTGGTCTTGGCACGCGTTTGGAGAGACACGGGCAGAGCTCCTCGGCATTGCGCTCGCAGATTGCGTACTCTGAGAGAACGTGTTTGCCTGCGAAACATCCAGCGTCGCCCGTCTGCTTCACGGCGCACCTCTCTGCACACCCTCTTCTTGTGCTGGCTTTGTTGCTGGGCGGCATGGCGCGCCCAACCTCTCCACCTCTGCACCTCGCTTGTAGGCGTCCGCCCGCGCCGACACGACCTCTGCAGCGGCATCGTCATCGGGTGAACGTCCACTTCTGGCACGGGCGGCCGCCGCTCTCAGGCTCGCGCTGGAATACCCGGCTGCTGATCACCGCGGAAAGTCATCGAACAAAGCGCTGCCGCCAGGGTAGCATGCTCTCCATCAGCAGCGATCATGGCGAGAGCAGATCGCCCCTGCGTCGTGGATTAAAGGAAATTGTAACCGCCTCACCCAGCCATACAAGAGGTACCTTCGAATGCCGGCTGTCTGAAGCATGCCCATTTCGTGCGCCCCAGTGAGCGTTGTGGTCCAAGCAGCGGGTCACGTTGTCGTAGAACGTTACCGCTGTCAACCACAGACCGCTTGCAGCGCGCTGCAACCAGCAGTCTTCCAGAAGCAGCATTTTCCCGGAGCGGGCCGAGCTTTTGGCCGTTGGATCTCATCGTCCAGATCTGTCGCTCGCTCAGCTCACAACGCGACTATTGGCAGCTCTTGTCGGCGAGGCGCTCACTCGACCGATCGTGCAGGTGCAGCAACAGGGACACAAATACAGCTAGACGCGACATCTGCGTACTAGCTCGTTCGACACCTGAAGGCGCCTTTGGTTTTCATGCAGCACGAAGGGCGCCATGGGCGGCTCAAAAGTTGCAAGGCTGAGGATGCAGCATGTTCCTGACGCAATCTCGCAAGCCATGGCCGTTACGAAACGCCTGCAGCGGATTGCATTGTCAAGCCACAGACGCCCGTGGGGCCGCCATCTGATAGGCACGCTCGCCCGGATGGCAGAAGTGTTGGTTACTCGACGTGTGAGCATCGAGGTGAGCACCACGCGCGGACTGGGTGAGCAGCTCCTTCATCCTCACCACCCACCGCGGCATCCACCACACCAAGCACATCCGCTAAAGCAGCGAGACCCCGCAACAAGCGTTGCCGAGCCCTGTAGTATCCTTGTCATCGTGCTGGCGGGTCCCTGGACATCCCGTTGTGCTCTGGCCCATGCATTTGCCAATAATGGCGCCCCCATCTGCCTCGACTCTCGATTGCTCAACGCCACGGATCAGGCCTTGCTCTCGTCGGCGTTTTTCTCCACCCCCCCCTGGTCCCTCTGCACGCTGGAGGAGCCCTCCATGTTCACGCAGCCCTCACATTCTCTTTCGAGAAGGACACCCTTGTGCCCTACAGCACACCTGATCCCAGCGTCCTTCGATTCGCCAGAAGCCTCTCCGCTTTTCCTTCGTCTTGAAGGGTCACGTCCCGAGGTACCGTACCCCTGTGCTTTCGATCTTGCCTTGGGGCCCTGCTAGCCCTCGAGGACAGTCACGCTTGTTGTGGTGTAACAAACTGCTCCCAGATCCTCGAAGGATATCATGTTTCCCCAAGAAGCCCTCTGCCCTGGCGGTGGTCTGACCCCAGTCTTTGGTCTTCTCTTAACCTCGATTTATCCGGATCGTCGAGTTGATAGTGTCGTCAAGCCTTTTCTGTCTGAATGATCTGTCCCTGCCTCCCCTGCCGCTATCGCTGATATAGCCTCCGTGGTGTTCCAGAAAGTTATTACAAAGGGCCCCGTACCGTCGACCAAGACTGGACGCGTTCAGATATTTGGAGCTAAACGTCTGCTCACCTCACTGTCTGTCAACGTCCTCGGCCACCGTCCATCTTTATTTGGCTCACGGTATCACCTCCTCAACAGCTTCTATTTCGAGCCCTTGTTACACCAAAACTCCGCGCCCCATTCCTTTCTTGGGGGTGCGACATCAGCCATTCAGCCTTGGTCCTGCATATCAGCAATCTCAAACCTCTCCGACACGCCCCCCCCAGATCTGTTTTCTTGTGACAGACCTGCGACCTTAACGCATTGAGCGGTTTATACTCTCGATCCAGCTTTAAAGCATCGCGAACGCCTTCTGTCCCTCGTCGATCACCCGCATTCAACCCCGCACTGGGTTTGGAGACCGATCAAGACTGTTCATTTGACAAGCCTCATCGGATCCTTTCCCTCTGCAGCCATCTGGTGGGTAGATCGCGACGTCCTCAAGAGTAGTTTCGAAGTCGAAGTTTGTCGGTTCTTTACAAGCTCACAGTCAATTACCTTGAAACTACTGATCCGCCGGAAACATCGGGATACGAGGCAGTCCTACGAGGTGGGCAAGTGTCCTCCGCAGGCACTGACGGTTGCTGACTGTGAAGCTTGTCAGGACGCGGTTCAGCCACAAAGACAACTATATTCCAACTTCCCAAAACCCGTCCCGAAAGGTGCCAATGGTGGACGGAAATCTCTTCATTCCGCTCTCTCCGCCCAGCTCGCCGCGTATGTCTGCGTATAGCACGACTCCCGCAGAGAACGACTGGCAACCTTCAGACATCAAATCCTTGGACGTTACTTCCGCGCATTCCGACGGCGACATGGCAATGCTCCAAGCTGAAGTCACCGGGCACAATTTCGACGTGAAGCGCCCGTTGCTTCGAACACACAAAAGCTTCCCTTACACTCTAGAGAGTAAGCATCATCAGTCTAACGGAACTTCATCACCCTCGAAAGACCGCATCTCTATTAGCAACCTCGATGACATCGAGTCGGCTGACATGCCTACGGTGACCTTTGGTGGTTCAGCCCCCGCCAGTCCGGTGTCGAGGTTGACACCACCGTCGCCACACGAGGCTGCGAACGGAGACAAGACCGAAGTTCTTGGTGACGAGATTATCACTGAAGAAAGGGAAGAAAGCGGCGATCAAACCGTGAAAGAGGAAGAAGGCAAACCACCCATCTCTGCTGCTGAGCTGCGCGCTCAGAAGCGCAAAATGAAGAGGTTCAGGTAAGGCGACTCACATGACTCCAGATTCGATCCGTACTAAGTTCAAACATAGACTCACACATAACCAAACTCGATTCCTCATGAGCGAGTTCACCCGTCAAGCCCACCCAGATGCCGCTCATCGAGAGCGACTTGCTCGAGAGATCCCTGGCCTCAGCCCCAGACAGGTGCAGGTCTGGTTCCAGAACAGGTAAGCAACATTGCCTAGTAAGCTTAGCGATAATATGGCGCGATACTAATTCAATCACAGGAGAGCGAAGCTGAAGCGATTGACTAGCGATGATCGCGAACGCATGATGAGGTCAAGGGCTCTGCCTGAGGACTTTGACATGGCTCAGGCGCTCCACTCTCCATTTGGAAGTACCCACGGTCTAGGAACACCACTGACTTCCCCTGGATCGTATACGCCCGGCTTTCCTGAAGGCAACATGATGCGGCCTCTCAGTATCGACACATTACGGCGAGGCCCCATGGAGTCTCACATCTCTCCAACTGGAATCAGTCCTGCATTCGGCGGGTTTACTTTCACTCCACCCCAATCAGCAACAGATACTCTGTCGCCTGTCTCGACTGGTCACGATGGCTCTCCATTTGGGTTCCCTCCGTCGCAGCTTGAAGGCAGCCCGAGGAGATCTAACCCCTTCTCTATGTCCGTCAGCACCTCCCCAGCATATGCCGCACATCACAGTATACCACGCTTGTCTCTTCACGCCGATAGGGTTGCAAGATCACGCGCGGAATCACTCTCTTCGCCGCTCCGAGCAAGTATGAGTTACACCAATGGCCATGACAGTGGCCTCAACGGATCGAACGACTCAAATCATATGGACTCATCAATGGGTGGCGATGGCTCATCAAGATCTTTCTCTAGCTCGATGATGCCATATGGTATTGGCTACTCCTGTAGGTTACACTTTCAGTTCTCAGTGGATTCTCTAACAGCTCTAGACTCTCCCGTCCCAGGATTCCAGGCTGGAAGCGCCTCGAGAATGCGCTCTTTCTCCAGTGGCATGCCAAGACGCATTGAATTGAGTACACATTACGGACCAAGTCGCAGCGCGACGACTCCGCAGACGGCTACATTCCCAACATATTCAAGCTCACCACTCGTAACGCCCCAAAGCTTCGCGATGCCTCAACTAAGTGCGCCTCACCATATGACAACATTCCAAAACTCCTATCTACGAAATGACTCAGGGCAGAGTGAACAGTATCCAGGCGTGGGCGCTGTGCTCGGCGAAGTGATTGAATCCTCCAACCAGGATAACGACGACAACAATGACCAATCCTCACAGCAACCGCTATCGTACTGACCCATACCCGCGCTATGCTGCAATCAATTCTTCTGGGAGGCGTTCATTCTGGACTCGGCGTTGCAGCCTAGACCAACAACTAACAACACGGAGTCTGGGTGGCATGAATCTTCATGGTTGGGAGGGGAAATGGAAAGAAAAGTTAAAGATGACATGATGAAACACTGGTACGGCTTCAAACGGAACGGGAACGGGAACGGGATGTTGCGCTGCGCTGGATTATTTTTATTGAAACTGTTTGTCTATATGAGACCCTGACGGGCTATGGAGGCTGCTTTTGGAAATTTCTTCGACTGAATCTTCTCTCTTCCGATTCTGGCAACCTATTTTCGGGATACTTTTGCAGAGTTGTCCTTGTTGGCTGTTTCATACTGCCTTCCTACTTCGTCGTCTCTAACTTCTTCGGCGTCAAACATTCTGCGGGACCCCGGGTGGGCTCTTTCCCTCTTCGTCTCTGGTTTGTTTCTTCTGAAGGGCGGGGCTCGGAGTTTTTACTTCCACGATGTTCAACGGCAATGTTTGAGCCCGAACAAGGTGTTGACACAACTGTCGTAATGGCGCGCTGGATTATTTTTGAATACCCTTCATGTATGTACCTTTTTTTGTCCACCACACTTTTCACAACGTTCAATTCTTTTCATGTGTGGTGGATTTCAAACTTTTGGTTTTGTTTTGGGCCTTTCTATTCTTCACTTCTATCTGCGTAAAGTCCAGCGACATCCAATACCATGCCACAGAAACACAAGTACAAAATTTCGCTGTAGAAATTTCGCTACTCAACGAACAGAAGCAATGGAACATGATTTAATGAACGCCAAGCCAATGACCTGCCTTGTCCTTTGTTGTTTCTAGCAGATGCAGGGAGCCTTGTCCTCTTGGCGATGGCTCTTTTGCCAACGGGAAATAGGAATGTCGGTACGTACCATCGACGATTATATCCAAGCGACTAAAGCGAGGGCGCGACATCGGTGAAAGCGACATGTTAGACAGCATAGCGTAGCGCAGCTTAGCAAGGAAAAGCAGGAAGAGCCGCGACGCTGGAATCGCACGGCATGAATTTGATCGAAAGAGAGGGTCATTGGCGATAAGAAACCTTGGGACGCTGGGAAAAGCACGCACGCACGGTACGACAGCATCCACGAATGCTTTTTCTAATTCCTATCTCCAATGCTTCTAGACCTCGTACGAGGATTTGGTTGGAGAGGAAGAGCAAGCCACGCACAAATCTGAGCGGCTTCCCGTAGATTGGCGTTAGCTGCTGTCTGGGTCCCTGAAAAGCACTGAGCGCTAACTGCTGCACTTCATGCTCAGAACATTCCATACAGACAGAGCTACTTAGGGACCCTGCGGCTTCGCTCTCAGCCGCCCAAAAGCGATCATCTGCCACCTCACATCACACCAATCTATTCTGCCCCATACCCCAGACGGCTGTTGCGCGTTGATGCCGGCGTGGGCAGGGCTGCACGGAATGCGGTTCCTGAGAATCGAAGCTTCCATGGCTAAATAGGCTTCGTTGCGCCAAGAGGTCGAGCCTCCGCTTTCCGTGCGAGATATTTTTGCGGGGAAATGGATGAGGATGGTTGGTTGGCGCGGTGCGGTGCGGGCATGTGAGCAGGCGTATTGGCCCTGCCTTCTACATGATGCAGGTTGTATGCATAAGGAAACAAGGTTAAGGTGTGGATTTTAGGTTTATTAGAGTTATTAACTCGATATTAAAATGATGGGGTGGTGGATAGATGGAAAATGAGATTGATTGCAGCGGCGCAAGAGGCTGCCAGGCCCGCGGCTGCCGTTTTGTAGATCTTAGGCTTAATTCAGAGGGTTCGAGCGAACCAAAAACCAATCGTGTCGTGAGCGTGGATAGCCTTTTTTCCAAGCGGCTTCCAGAAGTTCTAGGAGAGAGGGGCGCAAGGGCAAGCGGGGATGGAGCTTGATCCGTGTGATCATATGATCGCCTTACCATGGTTGTGACCGCTGAGCGGTGTGAGGTGGTGAAGTCGAGGCGTTGTATAGGCAGGGCCGCGTATTATGTAAGTGCTCGAGGAGAAGGTGAGGAGTTGAGGTCGGATATGGGAACTTCTTTCGGATTCGGGTCCGGGGGCAGACTCCAGGTGTCAGTCGGCAGGTGGAGCAGTGCTGACACTGGAAGAAATTGTTCCACTGCTAATGCAAACCGGAACGCCGTACCTGATGAGTAAGGACGTTGGGTGGAAGGGGAAATTTTGTGAGACGGAAGCTCCCGCCACCCGCGATAACGGACATTGTTCAAGACGCGAATGCGTCGCGCGAAGGATGGGGAATGAGATGAGGGCGCCTTCGGGGAGTTCGCCTTGTTTCTCGAAGGATGCCGGTGGGTGTTCTCTCCGTATACTATGTCGGTGTTGTAATTGGAGGGTGAGATGAGATGGTCTTCCGCCCCTGTGGGATCGACGTTGCCTTTTAGGGAACGGACCGTGACGCTCGAAAAGGCGTCAATTGGAGACGGAGAAATACGAAAATATCACGTGTAATCATGCGGTCTTCAGGTCCCTTTGAAACGCAGGGCCTTCACATGTCGGACGTTGCAAGGCTTGCCGTGGAAGATGGGGTCGGTCAAGGTGCAGGGCTAGGGAACGCGAGGAAAGTGCACCTAGGCAAGAAGGATCCAGCTGACTGTGATTGGGGTGACTGGTGCCACAAGAGTGGGAGCAAGGAGACTGAGGACGGTCCTTGCGGTGGTAAAAATGCGTGCTCAGGTTGATATTAGGAAGATGTCCTCGACCACTTTCAAGCGATGTTGGATTTGGCTCTGACCTGCCTTTTCCTTTCTCGACTTCCCGCGATAAAGGATCAAAAGGGCTCGGTGAGGCGCTTTTAGCTTGCCTCGCTGCTCATGCGCCTTGTGCAGCGTGCAGATTTTTGAACCCCGAGACCTTCTCAAAGTCGACAAGTCTTACAGGCTGGATCGCCCACTATTGTTACTGCTTCTTGACACTGCTCTTACCCCACAGAATTCCCAATGCGGCATATAGGGATGGGGGGGCCAACTGAAGTCGTTGTCAGGATGGCCTCGTTCGTACAAAGCCCACGTCACCTACAAGCGTCAGGAATCCGGCCTGCAGAGCAAAAGCGGCGCGCATCGCCAGCACACCTCCGTCTCCTTCCGGTGACGCACACAGCTCGCAAAATAGAAGTTCCAGCGGCCTAGGTTTCGGGTGCCTTCTCCCCGTAGCTGGGAGCCCTGACGTCTGCGTTGGAGGCATACCAGGATGCACGGAAGTATGTTCAGGCAGCTGCTCCGAACCTCATTCCACGGCGTCTCGTTTCGTGAGATGTTTAGGAGTTTCAACTCCCAGGTTGGAGACCTCGTTTTCCGGCATCACCCAGGTGCTCGGCATGCGCCCATGGCATGACACGCACGACAGCGTCCGCACGACGGGCTGCGACGGCTTCGTGAACCAACCGTCATGGCATGGGTTCCTCACGGGTAGCTGCCATCCTGCAGCTCTGAAAATGAGTCATGCGAGGAGGATGGGCAGTTGTTGAAGGCTTCAAAGGGAGTAGACACACATAAGGCCTTCAGCTGAGGTCATGGCGAGGGCTAGGGGGGTCGGTCAATGTCGAAGACTCAGAGCGAATCTACTGTCGAGGTCAGCTCAGAGGAGAGCGAGCTCGTAGTGAGGCAACAGTGGTGAATCGACGAGAATGATCTCACGATGTCTTCCTGAAGTTGAGAGAGCCGCGTCTATTTGATTGATGAGGTCCAACCAAGCCACAATCTCCGCGTCTTCTAGAAGCAATTAGTCGCGTCCCTCAGGTCAAGTTCCTGTGGCGACAGCACACAGAGTCTTATCGATTGTCCAAAGTATAGGGGCATATTGCTCCGTATCCGGCAACCTCTGGGCACTGATTGGATGAGTGACGCGAACTTAAGCGGACATGAGATGAATGGGTCATTTTAGAGCATTCGGTCATTATGCATACGCTCGCATGACGCTGGACAAGATTTTGGTCTCTTTGATGTTGAAGGTGGATGTTTCGCTTCGCCGCCGTTCTGCCTGGCGAAGGTTGAGTCAAAGGGACGGGCCTCTGTCTCTGCTTTTTCCTGCGGCCCGCTTTTGGGATTCCTTTTATCTTCCGAGACGGAGGGCATGCTGCGAGTCGAGACAGGAGAAGAGCATGATATGTGTTTGGGATATGCCTCTTCCATTGACCTGGTACGACACGTTCAGACGGCGCCCGAGTGTCTTTGCGCAGGGCTGCCGCGACGCATCTCCCGCTGCTGAGCTGCAAGAATAGATATCTCCAACAATGACTGTACTGTACTGCACCACGCTGCACTGCACTGCGACACGCCGAGGGCAACTCCAGGCAGCTCTCCTGGCCGTCAGGCTGACTGCAATGGACGGTGAGTGGGCAGTGGTGGTGTGAATGGGCAACACCGCGCAATACTCCGGCAGAACATTTCAACACATTTCAGCACATTTAGATACATTTGGATGCCATTCGGCGACTGTTTTGCGAAACGCAAAAGCAATCGGGCGCAGCAAACCAACCAGAGCAGTGAATGCGCATGAGCAACAGCAGCAGCAGCAGCTGTGTTGGGCTTCTCCTGGGTTGCTCGCGGGTGTCAAGGGGGCGTCTGCCCTGGGGCGCTAGCCGAGAGCCTGGGAGAGAAAATTCGTTGAATCTTCACTCCGCCTCACTCCCTCCTCCATCAACCCTCTTCATTGTGAAGATTCATCCCCCATCCCGCCGACGGTCTCAGTGTACACCCACTCGAGCCGTTCGCCGATTTCACAGAGTTTTCTGTCGAAATCCCTGCCCAGAGGCACCTGTCGAGGCTCTTTCACCTTCCTCGTGAAAGTGTCGCTCTGACAGCCTGAGTCGCCCTTTTTTTAGGAGCGCCAGACTTTTCTTCCCTTCCTTTGCCCCCCATCCCGCGGGTACACTCCTTTGCACCCCGCAGTGTCCCCCAGAGTTGCGCTCTCGCGACCCCCTAATCACCGCGCGACAGTCTCGGATTTGACATTCGACGGCCGTCTTCGTCTTCCCGCGACAGCTCTCGTCCTCGAGGCCTTCGCACAACACCCCAAAAAGCACGAACCGCCTGCCAACCTTCCCCCCCGGTTTCTAATGAGTGCTTCCATCTCTAACGCGCAAAACCCGTCGAATTTGGCCGCCCAGAACGTCATCGCTGCGACTTCTTCCTCCCCAGGATCGTCGTCCAACGTGGCCGCTGGTTCGGCACAACCCACTGCCCGCAGCTCATACGCAAACGCGACCAAGAAGACCAGCTCTCCTCCGATCGCGTCCAGCGCAGCGCCGCCTGTGGCAGTGGGCGGGCCGCAGAGTGCACAGCATGGCAAGAGCACCTCCATTTCACCGATGAATGGCAAAAACCCCATCCAGCCCGCAGTTCCCTCAATGGCGCCCACCATTGTCAACAGCAGCAGCAGCGGCGGCGGCGGCATGAACGGCACGCCGACACAAGGCGACCACAGCCGCAAGTCGTCCATCCAGATCAGTGCAGCCGGCACCACGTACATGGCGAATGGCGGCCCGGTTGCGTCCACCACTCGCGCACCCTCGCGCCTGACTTTTGGCGCTATGGATACGAGTGGATCACCAGCACCATCGCACCCAGCGCCGCATCACCCCCAGGGTGCGAGTCTGAATCCGCAGATGCACAATCCGAGGGTTACGTCACCCGCTGCATCGCCCTCGCCTATCCCAACGCCAAACTTGAGCGGCGGCCGACCTGAAATGAACCTGCCTGGCCGTCCGATCGTGGTGTTTGGTGGAGGGAATGATGGTGGGGATTCAAATGTGAGCCGCATTATTTTTTTTTTTTTTCCGTGGTCGTGGACCGCCCAACTTTTATTTTGGAGAAAATTTATTTCTGACACTTAGCCTCCAGTCTCGCCCCATTTCCATGCCACCTCAACCGAACCCACTCCCACAAGCACAACACCTGCGACGGGAGTCCTCGCAGTCTGCACATAGCGATATGAGCAACCCGAATATGGGTATCAATCGGGGTTTCCAACCAAATGGTGGTCGTGGTCGTGGTGGCTTCACCCCCGGCTTCACTCCCCAGCTGGGCCCCAACTCACCACAGCCATACCAACGATCGCTCGCCAACCAGCCTCGAGGCCCGGCGAACATGGCACCGCCCTTCCCAGCTCAAACGCAGATGCACCCTAATTCCCCTTATCGCTCCAACCGGAGTCCTGCCATGGCTCCAGCGCAGGTACAACAGCAAGCCCAATTCGCAAACCCGCAAGGCATGGCGTACGGCTATCCCCATGCACCCTACCAACAGCCCGTTCGTATACCCTCTCATCTGTCTTTTTCTTCTTCTCGCGGCGAGGTTATTGAGCCGTCTTCAAAGCTCTCTAGCACCAACGGCGCGAACTCGTTGCCGAAATTTCGTATGCCAGCCGAGCAGTTTCATGTTTTTCTTTCGCCGTTTTCTCCAGATGTCTCTTCTGCGAATAGCAATTACAATCAGTATCTGACGGACATGAATTCTCAGAGCGTGTACGGTGTCCCTCCGCAGGGCCTAGACCCGTACGGCCAGTACTACGCGCCGCAGCAGTACGGTATGCCGCAAACCATGCACTATCCAGGAGCTGTTCCCGCAAGTCCTGGGCGCGGCCATAGCTTCCCCCAGCAAATGCAAGGCCATTATGGCTTGCCCAATGCCTACGCGCACGGCCCGCAGGCGCAGGGAATGTCCCGCAGCCCATCTAATGTCTCTGAGCGACCGCCATCAGCCGTTGCCCAGCCTTCAACACCAGCGATGACCAATGTGAACCATGTCTCGCACACGCACACTCCTAGTGCAAGCTCAGCTAGCCCAGCCCCCAGCTCTTCTAATTTCACCATTCCAGCAAAGAAGACCAGCAAGGCAATTGTTATCAAGAATGCGGACGGCGAGGTATTGGACTTCAACCCCAGGAAAACGGTCTCACCCGCACCAGTTGCACAAACCGCGCCGCCTGTCCAGCCGAGGTCCCCGGCAATTGTCTCGACACCTACTCCACCTCCACGAGCACCCAGCGCAGCGGACTCTTCCCATAGTCGAACCGAGAGTCTGGTCACCAAGTCCAGCAAAGAGAGGCGTGCGGACTTCGTGGAACAATTTCACCAGACTCTCAAAGCTGAGAAGGAGAAAGAGGAGGCCGAGAAGAAAGCCGCCCAAGAACAAGAAGCTAAAGCCAAGGCTGAAGCAGAAGCCAAAGCGAAGGAAGAAGAGGAAGCAAGGGAGAGGGAGGAGGCTGAAGCCAGGGCGGCAAAGGAGAAAGAAGACGCCGAGAGGGCTGCAAATGAGAAAGAGGCTGCCGAGAAGGCAAGGCAAGAAGAAGCAGAGAGGCTCAAGCAAGAGGAAGATGATCGTATGATCGCCGAAATGGAAGAAATTGAGCGCCAAGAAGAGGAGCGCGAGCGACTATACCTAGAGGAGAAAAAGAAGAAGGATGCGGAGAAGCAAGCTCGTCAGGCCGAAGAGACCAAGAAGGAGGAAGAGCGACTTCGTCAGCTGGAGAAGGAGGCTGACGAACGCGAAGCAGCTCGTGAAAGGGAGACTCCTGAACAGAAGGCAGAGAGAGAGAAACTTTTTGCGTCGTTGAAGAAGAACACCCAGTTCGGTCCTGGCGCCATGATGACTGCTAGCGTAAGCGGCTCTTCAACTCCAACTGCTGAGCCTGCTGCACCCGCTCTCTCGCAGCTTGCTCCTCCCAAGGTCACCAGCGCTGGCAAGCCGAAACCGGCCGCTCTCAAACTTGAGACTACCAAGCCCGTAGAACCCGCACAGCCTACCGCTGGTATGCAGGCCCTGAGATCTGCGCGCTTCTTACAGATCCGCAACGAAGCGGTCAACTACCCCGACGGCATTAAGTCGCCGAATCCTGCCCTCAACCAGAACAGCAAGAGCAAAGGTCGCCAGTATGATAAGGAATTCTTGTTGCAATTCCAGGAAGTTTTCAAGGAGAAGCCCTCCATTGATTGGGATCTGAAACTGAAGGAGACTGTTGGAGACTCGACAGATTCCGCACGACCCCAATCCGCACGCACGCCCTCCATGGGCATGGGCGCTCGACAACCTTCACGCCCTAGTGTCCCTGCTGGTGGAGCTATGGGTACGTTTGGACAATTCGGTGGCAGGACGCTTCCGCCTGGTACAACCTCTGCCGAACGCTTCCGTGAGTCTCAAAAAACCATGACCAATCCCCTTGCCCAATTCGTTGGTGGTGGCAACCGACCTGGCGGTTTCCCCATGGGAACTGCTCCTCCCATGGCCCGGACCAGCTCTTTCCAGAACATGGGTCAAGCTGGTCCCAATTCTCCGCGCAGCTCTAGTGGTAGGCCTAATCGTAGTGGTAGGGGACCGAGAGGCCCTGGCAGGAAAGAGGAGGAGCAAAACGCAAAGGCTATGCCCCTCACTGCTGGCCAAGAGCTCAAGCCCCTTGAACGATCTACTACTGGCTGGAAACCCCAAAGCGTTACTCAGCAACAACCACAACAGCTTGCCGGACACATGCCTCCCGATATGGTCCAGCGTAAGGTCAAGGCTGCTCTGAATAAGATGACCCCCGAGAAGTTCGACAAGATTGCGGATCAGATCCTTGAGATTGCCGGCCAATCAAAAGACGAAAATGACGGCAGGACTCTCCGCCAAGTCATTCAGCTCACTTTCGAGAAGGCTTGTGACGAGGCTCACTGGGCATCTATGTACGCCAAATTTTGCCATCGCATGCTTGCAACGATGAGTTCCGACATCAAGGACGAGAATGTTCGAGATAAGCACGGCGCACCCGTGGTCGGAGGAGCACTTTTCCGGAAGTACTTGCTCAACCGATGCCAAGAGGAGTTCGAACGCGGTTGGGAAGTGAATCTACCAGACAAGCCCGAAGGCCAGACCGACGAAGCGGCAATGCTCTCTGATGAATACTACATCGCCGCCGCTGCGAAACGAAAGGGACTCGGCTTGATTCAATTTATTGGTGAACTATACAAGCTTGGCATGTTAACACTCCGCATCATGCACGAATGTGTCCTTAAACTGCTCGACTTTGAGGGTACACCGGACGAGTCTGCTATCGAGAGTTTGGTTAAGTTGCTACGGACAGTGGGCGCTACGATGGAAGGTACCGACGCTGGACCCAAGATGATTGCCGTTTACTTTGAGCGGATTCAGAAGATCATGAACATGGAGACCCTTCCTAGTCGAATGCGCTTCATGCTTCTCGACACAATCGATATTCGGAAAGCGGGTTGGAAGTCAAAGGACGATGCGAAGGGCCCCAAGACGCTCACAGAGATTCATCAGGAGGCCGTAGCAGCTCAACAAGCTGCTGAAATGGAGAGGACACGTTCCAACCAACGTGGTGGCCCTCGTCCTCCGATTGGCCGCGGCGATGCTCGCTCATTCTCTGGCGCAATGATGCCTCCCCAGGATTACCCCCGTGATCGAGTCCAAATGGACGACCTTCGAAAACTGTCAAAGGGTGCATCTGGGCGTAACCTCAACAACCCCGGCCAGCTTGGTCCATCGATGCTCGGAAGCCGCAGCAGCAGTGGTCGTCGGGGTCTCGGTCCTGGTGGTGGACTCATTGGACGAGGTGACGAGTCTGGGGCTTCCTCCCGAACGGCCACGCCTCCGGTGCAGAAGGAGAAAGAGTCTACTACACACATGAATTCATTCAGGTAAGCCATTATCCTCCTTCGCACGAGGGCTTCAACTCACAATTCACAGTGCGCTTGCAACTCTTGAGACCGAAGGCACCGGCGAAGTCGGCTCTCCTCCATCAACAGCCTCGTCACCACCTGTGTCGAAGTCGGTTCTGGCTCGGTCGAAGTCACCAGCTGTCGAGGCTAAGGAAGCCGGCAAGCCTTCCGAGTGATTACCCTCTTAATACCTACATAATGGTCTTTCGAGCGTGTGGCAGTTCTCATACCCATACACACCACGCGCGGTAATCTAATCTCACTGTTGCATAGACGGGGCATTATCTGCGCGCATTGTATTGCATTTCGTGGGGTTTTCTCATTCATCCACATCATTCCGAAGGAGCAAAAGTTTTTCATCTCGTGTTGTTAGTCAACGGGGTACGAAAAGACTGGAGACTTGGGGGGCCGGGGGGTAACATTGCACTTTCTCGGCTTTTTCTCTCTCTTTTTTCGAATCCTTTCCACGTGCGTTATTTTTCTTTGAGGCAAATACACGGCGTTTCGGTATGGGATTGCTATCGGATACCGGGTCTCAATTTTGTCCACCTTTCCATTTCGCCACTTTTTCCATTCTCCGCGAATGGATCTGGCCTGCCCCCACCAACGTCCTTCCTGGACCGTCTTGGTGGCATATTTGGGCAATTCCTACTTTCCGATCCCTATCCTTTCTCTCAGCTTTTCTTCCCTTTCTGTACTCTGTGTTCCTATGACAGTGGAAGGAGGTTTAGGCCCTTGCGACCTGCAACCCCTCAACACTTTTTCTTCCTCAATTACCAATGTTTCTTTTACCCCTTTTTCTTTTCAGAGTGATGATGGTGGAAAACTTTTCCGATGCAACTTTGCTTCAACGTGGTTTGATAATGATGGCCTGGATGGAGAGAAGAGATTGTAGGGGGGGTGCAGTGCAGGAATTGGGATGATGGAGATATGTGGACTCTTTCTGCAGATAGATCTTTGTGTGTATAGTTTTGTTTTAATTTAGAAACACGGTGGTAACTTCATCTCTCGCGTCTGTCTTACTATACTGGAATATGTACCTGGTAATGTCGTATTAACCACAGAAACTTGTAAGGCGGACTGTCCTACATGTTTCATGTTGCCGGCGGATGAAGACCATAAATGGGGTCCATATTAACAAACCTTCTTCAATATCTACTCAAATCTTGAAAGTTTTGTAAGAGGAAGAAGCAAAATTGCCAAATAACCCGAGATCGGCAAGATCGCGTATGTAATTCTGCATACGATCCTGCACGGCGTTGAGCATCTCACTTGCCTGATTGGGCAGCAGCATAGATGTGGCAAATGCACAATACACACCTTCCCTGTAAATGATGGTATGGCTGGCGGGATCTTGCGTCTGGATTCGTTGTGGGTGTGAATGTGGACGGAGGTTTTTGGAGGGGGAATGGGTATGTGGAGAGTGGGTGAGGCAATACGTCATGGGGGATTTCCGCATCAGGGGGTGTATATATATTACTTTGACTCCAACGGCTTCGTGGGGGCTTGCAACTACATCTAAGATTTTCGAGACTCTAGATCTAGAAACACAACACAACCCAGTAATATTATTTCAACGTGTCCATAATGTCTGACCAGAACGCGAATGAACAGAAGAAGGGTGCGTTGACTTCTCCTCCGCGGGCGTCTGTCAGCCTCGTCGAGATCCTTCCCAATCCAATAGAGACGTGAATACCAATTAACATTCGTTCCCGACAGGCTTCTTCGGCACCGCAGCTGGCGGCTTAGGTATTTATCCTTCTCGTCCTGACTCCATCATTTTCCACCCACCTCCTCTAACAATACACATGCGGCGCGCATCCTGGTCAACCATTCAACCATTCACACTCCCTCTCTCTTCCAACCTTTAAACCGGTAGTTACTCTAACAGAATAAAGGCAACACACTCGGCTCCGCAACCGACACCCTAGGCAAAGGCGTCGGTGGTGTAACAAACACCCTCGGTAATACCGTATCCGGGGTTGGCAAGGGGGTTGGCGATACGGTGTCTGGCGTGACGGGAGGTTTGGGAGATACGACTAAAGGTATGGTAGTCATTCTTTCTTCAGCTTATGACATGAACGCAGCGGGGGGGATTTGCTGATGATATGTTTCTTGTAGCCGCTGGAAACATGGTTACTGATACCACGAAGAAAGGTGGAGAGACTGTGGGTATTAAGAAGCAGGAGCCGGGTGCACCGCAGCAATAGATAATTGGGGGGCGTAGATGGATGTTGCGTAAGGATGCAGCGGAATTTAATTCATTCCCCTGGTGGGTGTGGGTGGTGGAAGGTTGGAGGAAAGGTAAATTGATCTTCGACCTTGGGGAATACTGTTTTCGCATCCTAATTTGGCTCTAATGAACTAAATCGAAATCTCAAGTCCCTGCGTCCCTGTGTTATCATGAGATCTTGTAATCGGTTCTGCTGTGAATGTGCATATGCTTTGTGTAACGCTCGCTCCCTTTTGTTCGTATCACAGATACGACACATCTCTCAACCAAGATCTCTATCAGTTCTATCTGTCGTGTACCCGTATCTATCGTATCGATCCCATAGATCTAAGATCTATCTAACATATCCACGCCAATGTATGTTGTACGCCTGTATGACTATGACTGCCTCGGTGGTACGAACCCCAGACGAAAACGAAGGACCGATAACGCCACTTCCCCCAACAAGGATGGCCCGCATGACCCCCTAACTCGTATCTTGCGTGTATAACTGACCCAGCCTGCATCCCTCCATCCTTCGGTCAAGTCGATCCCTCTTTACCACCCAAACTTCTCAACTTGGACTTTAATGCTTTCTCCCTCACCCACTAACCTTGCGCACGAATTCCTCACATCTCGAACTAGCCCGTTGGGGCCCGATACGACTACCCCCGTTCTCCTATCAGTCCAGCCTTGAAGAATGTCTCGGACGTCTGGACGCCCTGCCTCACTCGTCGGAGGCGGAAGAAGCATCTCCAGTCCCCAGGATCGAAGCTCCTGCATCTTATCCTCTGGTACCCAAGTTCGGTGAGAGGGCGAATGTATTATCCAAAGGAGCTTGACATTTCTGCTGCCGCCAGTTTCCAGACTCCGCCCACGCTCGATGTCTGCAGGCGAAGCGCTGGGATTAAGTAGGGCCCATAGAAGTGGATACGCAACTGCGATACCGGATCCTCCTGCTACTATGATCGCGGTGTTACTGGTTGATAATATGTCGAAGGCGTGAGACGAGCCATAAGGTCCGTCTAGGCGGACTCGGGTCTTGGGTTGGAGGCGTGCGTGGGAGAGGAGGGTAGATGTGAATCCGGATTGGGGACGGATGAGGAGGGAGAACCATGCGTGTGCTGATTCGGAGTCGGAGTCGGATGGTGGTTTTCCCTGGTCTGTGGTCGGGGCAGCGGAGAATATGGTGAATGGGTGGGCTTGGAGGATGTGTTTGTGTGAGAGAGAGGGGATGGTGAGGAAGATGTGGTCATTTGGCCACCAGCCTTGTTTCATGGACTTGGGAAGTAGAGGGGAGGCCGAGGCCGAAATGTCCCAGTTAGAGGACAAGAGTATCGTTTCATTATCGCCCAGAATCGTAAGAGTCGCGGGATGCGAAGAAGTCTTCAGCCATAGGCGGAAGAGAAGCCGGTCGATGAGGAATATGGCCATGGGGATGCCAACGTAAGGCCGCGAAGTATGATGATGGAACCACAGCAACGACAGACCCGCAAGTTGAAGGAAGACATGTAGAGCGAGGAAGATTTCATAGCAGCGCTGCCGGAAACTGCCCAGAGATGTGAAGTATAGTACTTCGTACGCGACAAAAGCACCAATTCCGAGGCCAACAAGGCGATTTAGCAGAAACCTGACCAACGAGAATCCAAGATGTCTAAGCAGTCCATACCATACCCCCAGCATGCCAAGGAAGTGCAGTAAAGCCTCCAGGCATATGAGCTCGCCAAGCCGGCGGTGGAAGATATTCAGACTTTCGTATGAGTATCCAGTTAAGAATTGGATTGGTTGGTTCTTCGCAGCTAGGAGATATAGGAGAGGTAAATTCGCGACGAAGATGATTCCACAGCGGTCGGCGAAGACGAAGAGGTATTTTGGATCGAGTGGCATGCGGTAGAGGTTGAAGTAGATGTTTAGGGCAATAAAGGAGAGGATGAGAAACGATACCGAATTCGGTGGTAGGGTCTTGTTGATAACAGGAATTTTGGGTGGTTGGTATTGCATCCAGCATTTAAGAGATCCAATCTTCTGCCTAGGTCTGCGTCTTGGAAGAAGGGGAACGGTTTCTTCTCCGGCTGTGTTTGACTTCTTCTTAGCATCCAGAGGCGTCGCAGTGCCTGAAATCGTACTACTTGACGAGGACCACGCTTCATCCCCCACCTCGCGGACCCCAAACGCCTTTTCAACCCGCCTCTTTCTCTTCACCCAAAGTGCCTTTTCTCCCCAATGCCACACCGTAAATGCCACCAAAACTCCCACAAGCACAGCATTATAGCTCCACATCAACCTCCTGGAAAACAACACAGCCTCCACCAACTTTCTGAACTTAGGATCTTTACCTGGATCATCAAGGTCAATATCATCGGCCGCAGACAATCCGCTCGATGAAGCCACGACATCGTCTAAGAAGGGGTACGAAGATAATGCAGTTGCTGAGAGGGAAAATTTGAGGACGTCTCGTGCCCAGGAAAGCGGTATTCCCTCCATTGTGGGAAGATGGGTTGAAGATGGGACTCGGTGACGCGGGGATAAGATCGATAAGATCGAAGCGAGTGTGCTGGGATAAGCATGGCTTGGGGTGTTGCGATCACGCTTTACTACGTTTGGCGAGGATTCGAGGAGGCAAACCAAGTAACTTGTCGATTGAGTCTGGAAGAATTCGGGTCGTTTGGCCTGCCACAGCATGTTCGGACCCTCTTAGGATCTCTAGTAAGCGCGGGTTTAATCAAATCCGTTCTACTAGAATCAATGTGCATATCAGTGGGATGCATATTCTAGTCCTAAATTACCCTTTTCAATTTCAAATTAAATGTGAAAATATGGTATGCGCATCTTCTTGAGTCGTCTCATGAATATAGAGAAGCTAACCAATACTTCATTGATCCACCACCGTCGTTGATACAGCTTGAGATCTTCCATGGTGAGCATGGAGAAGAGCAAAAGGATGAAGAATAGACAACTACGCTTTTCTGATGAGAAATGCTGAGAAAATTGTGTTGCCCCTTTTGCAAGTTATAGGCGGCAAGAATATTAGAAAGTTGAGGGTTCAAACTCGATTACAAGCATCGCACAGAGTTATTACGCAGGATAATCATATTCTACCTTGTACAGGGTCATACGCCATTCCATTCATCCTATCCCAACCTCGTTCCCTAGTGCAAAGCCACGCCAACAAAAAGGAGAAGATGTGGTGCGGTTGAAATGAAGCGCAAAGGGACCTATGCTTTACAAGTGATAATGTCAAGGTTTGAGCGGAAGTGAAATGATCGGGTGCCGTGTCCCTTGCGCAGAATGGTCTTCTTCGTGCGACATCCGGTCCGTGACGAAGGGTACAGTGTGGGTCAACGAGCGTTTATTTCGCGGCGCCAGGGTACCGCGTCTTTCCGACGGTAAAGGGGACATATCGATACTTGATCATATGCTGGATTTGTCGTCGCACTGCTTCTCGTTAGTCCACATTCTCTCTACTCTCTTATTCCATCTCCACTGGCGCACTTACTCGTGAGCCCAAAAAGAATCAGCCAATAAACCACAAGCACTGGCCAGAATACCGGCAAATTGAACACCTCAAACCAACTGCACAAAAATCCGACGGCAATCGCCTTGGTAGTGCTATACCAGAACTTGAACTCTGGCAGCCGACGTACAAAAGGGCGGAACTCGTCTTCTTCCTTTGTAGGGAGCCCGCCCGCGTGGCCGTCTTCCATGCCTTCATCCTGTTCGATAGAGGGGTCGAATTTGGGCGATATGAAGGCGAGGAAGAGATTTAGTAGGTAGATGCCGAGCGAGTATGCGACTGCACCGTGTTACGTTAGCTAAGGAAGCAATGAGGGTAGCTGGAGTTCGCACCGATGTACCACCCCTGCGCGAAGAATATGCGCAAAGCGAAGCTGAGGAAAAGAACAGCAGTGCCTATCCACCGGTATGAAGTAAAGGGAGTGGATTTATCGAGGTAGGCTTGGTATATCTGTCATTTGCGGTCAGCGTGATTTCATCGAGATGCAGGATAGGGGTAGAGGCTGCGAAGGTGACTGGGAGGGCGCAACACACCCGTCCATATTTCGTAGTCTGCGCTGTCACAGCGGCGAAAGGGGTATCCGGCTCCGGGGCGTCCATTCTGGTATGCGCGGATATATATTGAATGGCCGGGGATGTTTCTAGCAAGGTGAAATACGCAGGCGCACACCGGGATGGACGGAAAGAAGTGAAGATGAAGATGTAGAGTGAATTTGTTTCTCGCTGCGTGTCTTGAGGCTGTGGTCGCTTTTAGAAATCTTGGAGGCCCGTGCCAAGGGGAAATCGCGCCAAGCTCCACTAGTCCCATTCAGACCTAGTACGGCCATCGGGAGTGCTTTGTCGTCATTTACCGAGGTCTACCGACGCTACCCTCCTGCACTTCTGGACTGTGGATGGAGCTGGACATTCAATTTGCTTTCGACGTCTCTTGAGTAGGGAGTCGCTCAACACAATTGCATTCACAATTACATTCACAATTACATTCACAATGCAGTCTTTTCGAGCTTCAACGCGAGCGGCCTCCCAATTCCGAGCCACAAGCTTTCCAAAGCTTTTCCGGACATATGCAGAGGGGAAGATCTACGACTATTTGCTCGTCTCGACTCCGAAGCCGGGTGTTGGTTTGGGTATGGGATGCTTTTATCCTTGAGCTAGACGCCCGTTATAGTAATATTCTAATCAACAGCGTCCAGTCCAACTGAACCGCCCCAAGGCCCTCAATGCCCTCTCCACCCCGCTCATCCTTGAACTCAACACCGCCCTCCGCGCCTTCCAGGCCGACCAATCCATCGGCGCCATCGTCCTCACAGGTTCCAACAAAGCTTTCGCTGCAGGAGCCGATATCAAGGAAATGAAGGACCTCACCTTCTCTGACGCTTATGGCAAAGATTTCATAGAAACTTGGTCTGACTTAGTCACTTTCCTCAAGAAACCCCTCATTACAGCTGTCAACGGATATGCGTTAGGTGGTGGGTGTGAGCTTGCTATGATGGGAGATATCATGTACTGCGGCCCCAATGCCGTGTTTGGACAGCCTGAGATCAGGTTGGGGGTGATTCCCGGTGCCGGCGGGAGTCAGAGGCTAACCAAGGCCATCGGCAAGTCTCGCGCTATGGAAGCTATCCTCACCGGGGACAATATCTCGGCGAAACAAGCTGACGAATGGGGGCTTGTTGCTAAGGTGTTTGAGACTCCTGAAGAGTGTACGGACGGTGCTATAGCCACCGCTGCGAAGATTGCGGGATTCAGTCACATTGCAGTCAAGGCGGCAAAGGAAGTTGTGAACAAGAGCCAGGATCTAGGTATTAGGGAAGGTGTTGAGTTCGAGAGGAGGGTGTTCCATGGACTATTTGGGTCTAAGGATCAGAAGATTGGCATGGGAGCTTTCGCCGCCAAGCAGAAGCCGGAGTGGAGTAACGAGTAGGTTGTTGAGCCACATTGAGGGCAAAAAAGAAAGGCGAAGCTTTACGCTTTTTACAAAAAATATACTTTTGAATAAGTGCAGATATATAGGCCACTGGCTTTAAGGCACGTGGATGATCCTCGAGACACTGCTAGCGGAATGGCAGTCGCTCAACCGGTTGGAAGATGCTTCATCACTGCGTCTTGCCCGAAATGAAGCATCTTGTGCTTAGAGATCCAGTCGTCACGGTTGACTGCTTGCTTTAGCTTGTCGTACCTCAACCAAGGGCTGCGGAAGACTTACTGTATCCACCGCATATTCTCCGTTTCCCGGTGAACGCTGAGCGACCATGGAGAACCCTCCAATTATCGAAGACAACTAATCTCCCTGGCGTTAGTTGACACCAATACTCGTTCTCGTTCTTCTTTAGCAGGTCATTCCATTTCCTTGCTGCATCGTACCATTCTTCGACTTGGTCAACTGGCAGTGCAACCCCAGCCCTGTCGCTCGAATTCCAGCGAATTTGAAGCAAAATTCCAGTTTCAGGATCATGTTGGAAAACTGGGAACCCGCGGTATGGCTGGATACTTATGCCCTCGTTGCCGCTAGCATGGGAGTGCACATTTACAGTACTTAGTATGTGGTACGCTTCACGGTCAAGATGGTTGAGGTCTTTCGCAACTTTGAAGCCATCGACAAGGAGGGAGGTACCGCCTTCGCCGCCGGAGTGCTCGAGAAGATGGAAGGCCTGCAGACCTGCAGGGTCGGAGAAATAGGTCGTATCTGTATGAGCCTCGAGGTAGATATTGGTGTACGCCGTGTCCTTGGAGGCTAGGTCGGCTGTGAAATCATAGAAGCCACCATAGTGCGTAGGCCGGATAAATGCTATGCGCTCTAGGGCCTTTTCAGTTGCTTCGGGGGATACAGGGAGTTGGTCAATATAGCAGAACCCGAATGTGCGCTGCACAGAGTTAGGAAAAGTTTTGGGTATAAGGGATTGATTTGGTGGGACTTGAATAGTCTCAACACCGCTTACAATTTTATCAAGCACATCTTTCACGCCGTCTTTATCATGAAAGTTATCATAACTAACGATGGGTGGGCGCTGTGCTATGGATTCGTCCCACAATTTAATGCTAGGCGGATCCTATGTTAGTTCTTCATCTGAGCGTGATATTTGGAGTATAAACGTACTTCACTAAGTCTTGACGAACCTTGGCTCTTTGGAGGTAGGACATGTGGCTGCTTGAGAGGAAATCGGCGGTATAGTGGCTTTCATGGCCGTCGCTCCCTGGTGTGGTTTAGAAGGTTCGTCGGTAGTTTATGGAAGCACTGGAGACTGACATTTGACTCTGACACCTTCAGGGTCTATCTCAGAGGACCGTATCGTTATGTCGCGAGGAATCTAACCGTATATTTAGGTGCAATAGGTTAAGCAACGATGAGAGAGATTATACCTGGAAGGTATCGAGCAGACGTTGCTTGGTGGCTTTGTGCATGCAACTGCTACATTGGCAATTGTCCCTTCAATTGATGAGCGATGGAACACGTGACATGTACGAACGAGAATCTTGCCTCACCTTAGCCAGATATTTGGGCTATCAAAATGTTAGCTTAGAAGACTAGACAATGTCTCAAGTTAAGTAGCTCACATCACAACGTCACTACCTGAGCGAACCTTGATCATGTTCTCTTCGACCTTGAAGGGGTATGTGGTGAGGCTTGGGGCCGTTTCTTGGATAGTCTACCTGCCATCAGCCTAAATGTATATTTGTGGATCTGTGAAGGTGCTTCAGTGCTCACAAAAGGGCCTTTGCTATGACCAAGTGTGGTCTGGTAAAACTGCGTCATTTCATGGTTTAACTTGCGAAGCTCGATTGCGAGAGCCTTTGACTTCTTCAAAAGCTCTTCAGATAACCCGCTTGGCACTTGTGCCTCGGCTTCAGCGGAGGACGAAATGAATCGGCTTGACCTTGGCGTCCAGAGAGCCTTTCGAACGTTAATCGCAAAAGAACTTGCAAAGAATCAAATCTGACATGCCAGGCTTAACGATCCTTTGGATGTCCGAGTAAACGTGGACTTGGGCGTATGGTAAGTTCTGCGAGAGAATTAGTCGGAGCTTAACTTCTGCAATAGTGAGGTACGTGCCTATTGATGAATGCTCGCGAGAGAGCTCTTGATGTAGCCATTGCTGCTCAGATATCAAGCATTCAAGGCCCTTGAAAGAAATAATAAAAGAAGAAATAAAATAGAGTTGTAAACGAAAGAACTACAAAGTGAGAGATTTATGGTTGTCTAATGGCATGATGTGGGAGGGGGGAAGGAGGTGGTTGCCGGGATCGGGACGACTGACAGGGGAGTTCTCGCTTTAGCGGAATCGGACCGCACATCGCAAAAGAGTCGAGAAGGGCATCAGAGGTCAACACAACAACATCTGATGACTAATTTCCTGCGCATTTGCTAGCGAATAAAAAAACTGAGACAGGATTTGGCAAAAAATCAGAAAGGACGACACCAGAGGGACTCGAACCCTCAATCTTTGCCACCGGAAAGCAACGCCTTACCATTAGGCCATGGTGCCTTGAAATAAGATTTGAGGAATTCATTAATATATATACACTATTTAATGCTGAAGGACATCAAAAACAATCTTGCCCGGCGGATTTCCATATTCACAAGCTTTGGAACGCCGCCGGACGTCCGGGGTTTGGGTCAATAATTCGGACTTTCTCATTTCAGAGCAAAGCCGCACTTTTCACCAACCTGTGCACTTTGGTATTGCGCGCTTCGCAGTTTCCGACGTTGATCCCTTTGCTGTGCATCTCCTCACTGACAGGGTTAAAATAAAGCTCTTAGTTGTTTGGAAGGTGAAGCTGAGATTCACTGCTTCCTTCTACCACTGAATTTCCAACTGCTGAAGATGATCAAGCGCATGTCGAGAGCGGTGAATGAAGTTGATTGGGCCGGCGGTCCAGCGCCAAGCCCGACCACGCTAAGTAATCGCGGAAGCTTCACGGTCGTAATCCTAAGCTGCCTTGGACAGCTTCCCCCGTCAACACGGGCACCCTCACCCAAACCGGCTGCAACACTCTCCTAAACTGGTAGCACCCCACCTCCCTCTCCCCCAAATCAACCATATTTGCACCCTCCTATCTCCCAATCCCAGCCTCCTCAGAATACCTCCACCGCAATGTCAACACTTGAAGACCTCGATGATCTCGAGCGTGAGCAGAAGGAAGATAAGAAGGATGAGAAGAAAAAGAGTGGCGATGGCGATGGGAAAGACGGCAAGAAGTCCGACGGAGATGCGGAAATGAAAGACGCAGAGCCTGAGGAGGATGAGGAGGAGGAGGAGGTCCTCGACGAGGAGATTCTTAATCTGAGCACGCGAGACATCAGCGCACGGCGGCGGCTGCTTGAGAATGACATGCGGATCATGAAGAGCGAGTTCCAGCGGTTAACGCACGAGAAAGCATCCATGAACGAGAAAATCAAGGACAACATGGACAAGATCGAGAACAACAGGTAGTCTTTCCCACCCAACGACCCTCTTTCAGAGGATTCGACTGTTCTTTCATTTATTCGTATACTAAATTCGTTAAAACAGGCAACTCCCATATCTCGTTGGCAACGTCGTCGAGATACTAGATCTTGATGTGACGGCGGAGGCGGTTGAAGAAGGAGCAAATATTGACCTTGACGCCACCAGGGTCGGCAAATCCGCCGTCATCAAAACCTCGACGCGACAGACCATCTTCCTCCCTCTCATTGGTCTCGTAGATCACGAGAAACTCAAGCCGGGCGACCTCATCGGAGTAAACAAGGACTCCTACCTTGTTCTCGACACACTGCCAGCCGAGTATGACAGCAGAGTCAAGGCTATGGAGGTCGACGAGAAGCCTACGGAGAAGTACACAGATGTTGGTGGCTTGGACAAACAGATTGAAGAGCTTGTAGAAGCTGTGGTATGGCCTATGAAGGAGGCTGAGCGCTTCAAAAAGATTGGCATCAAGGCCCCGAAAGGTATGCCACTCCCGGTGTTCCCACGCTCTATGCGGCGCTGCTGACTATAGTTGAAGGTGCTTTGATGTACGGCCCTCCTGGTACAGGTAAAACACTTCTTGCCCGAGCGTGTGCAGCCCAAACCGACGCTACTTTCCTCAAACTCGCTGGTCCTCAGCTCGTTCAGATGTTTATCGGAGACGGTGCAAAACTTGTGCGAGACTGTTTCGCCCTAGCTAAGGAGAAGGCACCATCGATTATCTTCATCGACGAGCTGGATGCCGTTGGCACCAAGCGTTTCGATTCTGAGAAGTCTGGTGACAGAGAAGTACAGCGAACCATGTTGGAACTGCTCAATCAACTCGATGGGTTTGCTTCCGATGACCGTGTCAAGGTTCTTGCTGCCACAAATCGCGTTGATGTTCTAGATCCTGCTCTGCTTCGATCAGGTCGTCTGGACAGGAAGATCGAGTTCCCACTACCAAACGAAGAGGCCCGAGCACAGATCCTTCGGATTCACTCGAGGAAAATGACCGTTGATGATGGAGTGAACTGGCCGGAGTTGGCACGTAGTACTGACGAGTTTGGCGGGGCACAACTGAAAGCTGTGTGTGTCGAGGCAGGAATGATTGCTCTCCGGTTAGGCCAGCAGAAAATCAGTCACGAGCACTACGTCGATGCCATTGCAGAAGTTCAGGTACAATTCCCTCCTCATTTTTCATGCACTTATGCTTACACCTATCTAGGCCAAGAAGAAAGATACAGTCAATTTCTACGCGTAGTGGAGTCGTCATGGCAGGCTTTGGTTGCATCCATGCGCTGCTTACCGCTGCGCTGTACTCATAATCAATAGACAGTAGCAAACATGGATGAACGGAGATATATGTGGTGTCACGCTCTTGGTACTAACATTTGTGGATTCCTAGCAGGTCATCACAGGTCTCGACGTTCACTGACGTGTTCCGTTCCGATACTCCGGAATTTATCGCCGGCCTCTGCATCTCGTTCTCCACTACCAACACGCTGATTGTAATTTTAGGAGAGGATGCAGGTCACTGTCCGCAGCTTATCTGAACGGCCCTCAACACATGTCCCTGCATTGGTGTTGGGCTAAACGTGCACGCCTTTGAGTCGAGGCGTTTGATTGGTCGAGAACGAACACATGAAGAACTCGACTTGGCAAGCCAACCACCTCAACACCACCCTCTTCAAGCACGAGTATCTAAATTTTGTCTTGATAGGCTCAAACGCAAACATCTTCTCCCAAAGCCTCCAAGAAATCTAGAGAATTCCTTATTTCCTTTGCTGCCCTGCATAGCCGCTGATAGCGGCTTCAAAGCTCGCCTAGATCTCGACCACAGAGCATGCCCCCCATTTCGCCTTTAGACGAGGCTAACATGTTCTGATCATATGGTTCCGGATCTGCCCAGCATGTGTGTAGTTCTATTGGCTGACAGACCTCAAACGCCTCATCGTCGAGCACCGTGAATATGTTGGTTGTTTAGCATCATGTGGACCAGCACCGTCACCTCCCGACATCGGATTGCCGTTTTCGAGTCTACAAGATTTAAGGCCACGCGATTCCCGCCTAGCTCTTGCTTTATCTGTTTCCTTCGTCTTCTCCATCTTCTGCTGGCTTTCTTTCAACAACACAGATATGCTGGGCCTTTCAACGGCCCTTCTCCGGGACCCGTTCCATTTGGTTCTAGTGGCGTTGTGCGTCGTTGGTATTTTCCTAGCAACTATATTTGTCCTTGCGTTCAAGCCGAAAGGCAAGTCTTCAGGGGAACAAAATACTTTCCAAGCCTACTTGAAGTTTTTCTATGCCTGCTTTGTCAAGCCACATACCGGCGATGGCACAGGCAATCAGCAAGACGCTTTAGTCCGTTTTCAAATCAATGATAGATATGACTGAGCTGACATTTAGTAGGAAAGCTTCTACAAAGCGCAAGCGGACGTCTATGATGCTACACGTAAAAGGCTTCTTAAGGGTCGGGAAGATATGTTGGGAGTAGTCGCGGCGCAGCTCAAGCATCGCGCCGACGCTGGGCTGATTTCTCAAAGACCTGTTTGGGTAGATGTGAGTACAAGACGGGACGAGATATAAAGCAAGTCAACACTAACGGCTCTAGATTGGTGGCGGAACTGGCCACAAGTGCGTGCGTCACAACCAACGAGTAACCTCTAGCTAATGACCACAGTGTTGAGCAAATGGGAGAATTTCTTCCCGTACAGGATTTCTTCCGGGCAGTTTGTATGCCATGATAGCTCTTGTTTTGTTTCTCTATTTTAATAACTTTTAGATATCGTTGATCTTTCCCCAAGCCTGTGCGAAATGGCAAAGGAGCGCTTTCAACGCCTGGGCTGGACAAACGTCAAAGTCATCTGCCAAGATGCCCGGGCATTCCGTCTCCACGAGCATGAACATGAAGCACACGAACGCAAAGAACGTATTCTCCAGGGTCAGCCTGTCCGCGACCTCGACGAAAATGCCGATGCTGGCGGCGCCGAGCTGGTCACTATGAGCTATGCGCTTTCTATGATTCCCGAGTTCTACCCGGTTATTGACTCTATTGCGTCTCTGCTGTCTCCGAATGGTGTTGTAGGAGTCTGTGATTTCTACGTGCAGAATCAGGTTGATTACCAAACTCGCAATTATACAGGCGGTGTTATTGATCGCCATTGTGTGTGGGTCTCGAGAGTGTTCTGGCGCACGTGGTTTGAAATTGATAGGGTGAACCTCGAGGCTGCGCGAAGAGTAAGGAAGGAACTGCAGGCCTGCCGCCTCTTTTTGCTGACCCACCCAGGACTATCTCGAGTATCGCTTCGGTACAGTCCTCAGCATTAACGCCCGGAATACTTTTTTCGGTGTTAAACTGCCTTACTACATTTGGATAGGATGTTCAAAAGATAACGGTGCATCGACCGCAAAGCTCGCTGAAATCGATGCTGCTGCGACTGAGTCTCCTTACCTCTCTGCTCTGGACTTACAGACAGGTCCTACGCCTGCGGATGTTGAGATTCGATCGAAGGCATACGAGTCTGCTATCGTCAACCTGCAGTCTAGCCTCCCTCTTCCAGCGACGTGGTTAGTAGATTTCCGGGATAAACCCAAAGCCGGCTGATTGATGATAACAGGTACCAAAACCACCACTGGAGAATCCACTACGACGAAACTCTCGAGAAGCACAAACGCTTCAACAACTGCTACATCTACGCCTTTACATGGGAAGACGACCGCGCCGATGCACGGCTTCTCAAAGTACAGGCCGACGATGTCATTCTTGCTATCACTAGTGCTGGGGACAACATCTTATCCTTCGCTCTTGACAACCCTCGACGAATTCATGCTGTAGATCTCAAGTATGCTTGACCCTTCGTCCACTTCAAAGGTTCGCACTAACACCGACGTTAGTCCCAGTCAAAACCACCTCCTGGAACTCAAAGTCGCCGCATTCACTGCTCTAGGTTACTCTGATGTCTGGAAGCTCTTCGGCGAAGGTCGCCACACCGACTTTCGCTCTATCCTCATTAACAAACTCAGTCCACACATGTCTAGTCTCGCGTTCCAGTACTGGCTGCAGAACGGACCCTCGGCGTTTGAAAAGCAAGGCCTGTACTACTCTGGCGGATCAGGTAACGCCATCCAACTCGTCGGCTGGCTATTCTGTGTGCTCGGCCTATCCAAAGAAGTCAAGAAACTGTGTGCTGCACAGACACTCGCCGAACAGCGAGAGATCTGGAGACGCAGTATCAAGAACGTCCTCCACAGCCGAATCCTCACATGGACGATTATCGGAAACGAGAAGTGGCTGTGGAAAGCCCTCGGCGTGCCGCCGGCCCAACGCAATATGATCGAAGCCGACTATCTTCGAAACGACGAGCCCGGTGCATCTGCGTCGGGCCCAAGCAGCTCCAGCTCTCGCGGAGGCCACGCGGTGTACGAATATGTACTTAACACCTTCGAGCCAGTCGTCAACTCTACCTTGCTTTCGACTTCAAACCACTACTATCTACTCACGCTCCTGGGGCACTACACACCGACTTCGCACCCCACCTACCTCTCACCCAAATCCCACATCAAGCTTTCCAAACCCTCCGCATTCAACGGCCTGCGTATCCATACAGATGAAATCAGCGAAGTTATCGCGCGCATGCGTCCGGGGACATTGACGATCGTCGTCGTCATGGACTCTATGGACTGGTTTCCGCCAGAGGGGAAGCAAGCAATTAAACAGATCCGCGCGCTGAATCGCGCGTTGAAGATGAAGGGACGTGTGATGTTAAGGAGTGCAGGACTGAGGCCGTGGTATGTGGAGACGTTTGAGGCGTGTGGGTTTGAGGCTAAGAGGGTTGCGGTGAGAGTTCCGGGGAGTTGTATTGATCGGTAAGTGCCCTGAGATTGTGTTGCGTGTCAGATAACATAGGGTTTGGGAGAGATTTTCAAATGCTAACTGATGAGTTGCAGGGTTAATATGTACGCGAGTACATGGATCTGTACGAAGGAGACGAGCATCGAGCAAGAAGACGTAAAACTGCATTTTCGAAAAAGCTCTATGGTGGAGTTGAAGATTTAGTTGAGTTGTTGAGAACCTGGTGGGATCACACTGGTCCCTTCGCTCTTATTCGAGCGACATGAGGTAGGTAGAAGTACGCGTCTTTTTTTTTCTTTTTTTTTCGCATAATTAGGCCGTATTATTATGTTCGGTAGTCTGGTAGGATTTGCATGCTGGGTGGGTGCGTGGGTGGGTGTTTGTTTGAACCGTTGCGTTGCACAGATACCTTTTACTCATTTTGAGTGCGAGCAATAGTTATGCGAGTTAGAGGATGCTGTGAATGTATGCAAGTTAGATAGGCTTGGCACTTCCCAGATTACTCTATCTCATCAATGAGAGAAGTAGTCTGGCTATGTTGTTTAAGCACACGAATTCAAGAATTTAAGATCATGTCATGGTGTCTTAATTAATTCTATACATTTAAATACATACTGGAGGCAGGAGGACTAAATTGTACCCACCTGCGCAAATCCGATTCCAGCGCTTTACGGTTCCCTCCTAGGGTGCGTCAAGAGAGTCTTTTACTCAACCACCTCATCATCCTTAACAAAAACCTCATCCTCCCTCTCCCCCTCATCCTCATCCTCATCCACACCTACCCCATCCATCTTCACATCCTCCACCGCAAGTTGCACATTCCCCTTCTTCCCACCGGCCTTCAACTGTTCAACCTTCGCATTCGTCATCTCATATACATACTTCCCCAAATGCTCCACCCCCTCCATAGTCGCTATATCCGCATCTTGATCCTCAGTCCTAGTGGTCTCGCCAAAGAGTTCGTCGGTGACGAGGGAGAGCTTGTCGGGGCGCGATAAGAGAACGTCGAAGGCCGGTTTGAGTTCGAAGCAGGATTCGAAGACGGAGCGACGGCCGAGGATGTAGAGGCCTAGACGGGCGCGCGAGAGCGCGACGGTGAGACGGCGGATGTCGCGCAGGTAGCCGATGGAGCGTGTGCGGACGAGGGAGAGGATGATGTCTGAATTCCATATCGTTAGTATAACCGTCAACAGTCAACAGATCTCTGTATTTTGAGGAATAGAGAGAGAGGTCCCGGGGATGTTGAACTTACAGTCATTCTGCTCGCCCTGATACTTATCTACCGTTGCTACGATCCTGGGGAGCCCAAATAATCTGTTTCCCTTGCATCTATGGCCTAACACATCTTTTATCAACGCCCGTTGCCCTGCGTACGTCGTCAAGATGCTGACTTTGCTGGCTGGATATCCGAGTAGTCGCATGTACATGAATAAAGCAACCGCGTACTCCGCTTCCCCCAGATTCTGGATGAAATGGGGCGTGGGTTCCACTTCACCCTTGCCCTTGTAGTCCGGAACATTGATGAACTGGTATGGATATCGAAGGCCTGGGTTGGCAAGCTGGAACGCTCTCGAGCTGAGGACGTTGGGGAGGTTGCCTAGTTTAGGGTATCGCCACTTATACAGCGTGGCGATGGAAGGCCTTGCCCTCCCTTGTTGATCCAGCATTATCGTGGGAACACCCAGTCTAACCAGCCTCAGGAAGAGCGATTGCTCAAGATTAGCATACTGTCTGAACGCTAAATTCTGGATGATTGGGCTGTTCTGGAGATGATCTCCACACAGCACAATCCGCTTCAGTGGCAACTCGCCATCTTGCGGATTTTGGAGAGCAAGTGGAATGAAGTTCTCGATCTCGGTAATCTGCGCTGCTTCCTCCATGATCACGTTGTCGTAGTGGAAGCCCAGCGACGCGATCTCCTGCCGTCGCATCGCCGCATGCGTTGATGTCATGGCAATAATGCGAGCCTCCTTAATAAGAAGATAGTTTGCCTTATCTCTCGGATTGCGCAGAATCTCAAAAGGGCGGATATCCTCGAGCTCCGCAAAGATCTTCTCGACATGACGATAGCAACCTCGCACAATATCCAGAATCTCCTCTCGCGAAGCATTTGGAGGAAACAGCGGCTGAGGTGCGTTGGCGAAGTAGTGTTTAAATGGAAACTCGACGACGATTTGCTCGACGCTGGAATCCGGGGACTGGACATTGTCCCAATACCCCGTCCACGCGGGCTTCACATAGACAAGATTGAAGTAATCTGCTGTCTCGCACGTACTCCCATGAGCACCGGGCGCCCCAAAGTTCTTCGCCAGGCGATCAACCTCTGCGAGATACCACTCTCTTCTCTCCAGGAAGCTCTCCACTCGGCCATGCTTGCTGAAGCTCGCTTCAGTTTCAAGTTCCTCTTCCCCATGGCCCAGGCGCAGGAGGTGGCGCTCATCAATGTCCAGCGCCACAATCTTCTGGAAGAGCTGGTTGAGCGCCTGATTACTGTGTGCAACGAGCAGTGTCCGCTGGTCCGGAAAATCGTGGTATATATTAGAGATAATTTGGGTCGCAACGTCCGTCTTTCCGGTACCCGGCGGGCCGACCACAACAGTGAGACCAGGTTGGGTTCCTGAAGTTATCGCTTCGATTTGAGCAGGGGTGAATCTGACCCTGTTGAGCTTGGGTGCATCGCCAGGGTAGGGCCCTGTATTCGGAGGCTTGTATGTGGAGACATGCAGAGATTCATGCACAGGTTGTGCAACCTCGACTTGATCACGACGACGCTTCTTCGAGGGTCGTACAGGCATGGCTTCGGGTTCAGCTGCGGGGAAGGAGACGACGTATGGAGGCCCAAAGGATGATTGCAAGTCTTCGTGGGGTTCGATGGATTTGCCGGGGAGGCTTTCGATGAGGTGTTGCCAGTCCAGAAAGGTATCGCGGAAGTCTATCGATTTCAGGCGGTTAGGGAGTCGGTTGTAGGTAGCAGAGGCAGGATCACCATAGCCTAGGAAGACATCCTGAAGCCAGGTGGGTGCTGGAATGTCGGATAGAGTGAGACGCCTGATGGAATCAAGGATGGAGTGGAAGTTGTTCTCTCGGCCTCGTCGGCGCACAATAAGGTTGATGTTTTCGTAGACGTCTGGCCGCCCCTGAGCAACACGGTCCATGTCGTCCTTGTACTGTTTCGCATCCAGATGAAGGATGAGCCTTCGTTGTCGAGCTCGAGGAGGCGGTCCATTAGCGTGAGCAAGCTCACGAAGAGGCCGTCCGTTCTCGTCTTGTACTTGAACGACACTCGCACACCTAAGCTTCCGTAGGCCTAGCTCTTCCCCGGTATTCTGCTCTTCATGGTGGCCATTCCGCATCTCTACATCTTCTAATCCCTCAACGGCGAGCAGGAACACGATATCGTCGGGCTTTAGCGACTCCCACTCCTTCCGTACGGGAAACTGGAGACGGCTGACATCTAGTATCACCTCCGCACGAACATGAGCAGGGTGGTCCTCGCCAACGCGTGATGGCGCGACGTCCACGATGGCGGGTTTCGAAATAGGAACAGCCATTCTCGAGAATCCGGTAAACTTCGAGTTGACGCCCTTTCCTCGCGGTTGCATCCGCTTGGCCACATCTTCCATATCTTTGCGGATACCGTAGAAAGACTCGCATCGGTACAAGATAAAGGACCTCCACAAAAAGTCGCCCATGGTGAGGTACTGGAGATTGAGCTTCGGGATGGCGAGTGGCCTTGACCCAGTGTAAGACTCATTCCGCAGAAAAGTCCCTTCGTACAAAATCCGTTCAGTGGGTAGGATGCGCATTTCGCGTATGGCGTCCTTGAAAGTAGGTCGGCGCTCATGGACGGACACCAAGACTTCAGTAAAGAAAGGCCTGTCCCGGACTAGAAAAGATGACTTGGGGTATTCAGTTCGTAGACCCATGAGAGAGCAGAGTTCCACAAGCTCCGGGTCGTCGAGTGAACGCAGATGTCCCTCTAACTCTTCTCTATTGCCGACACTGCCATAGTGCGCAAGGGCTAGTAGAGTAAGTTTCTCATTGAACGCTGCATAGCCCACCCTCTGCAACTTTGCAAGCGCTGCATAGTGCTCCTGATCGTACTCCAGCTTCGACAATTGCCTGCCCGTCTGGTCCTGGATGGGAAAGTACGTGAAATGTCTCAAGAGATTAAAGAGATCTCTGAATAAACCATTGTCCTCGTCCGTGTACATAGGCGACAACTTGATCGCCGGAAGGACATTGAGATCTCGCAGTAACGAATTGACATATCTCCTGGTTGGCAGCTGGCTCTGCAAGTCAGTTAGAAGCTCAATGAAGCGCTCGCAATACGCCAAGTTGTCCTTAGCGGTGTCTCTTGAGCTGTTGTATAGCCGATCGAAGAAGTCGATGATGAGCGTGTACAGCCATGACCGTTCAAAGCGCAGCCGAGCTTTGAGTTCATCGTCTCCACTCTCAAACCGTTTTGAGGATGCTCGCCATGCCTTCCGTAGCTTGGGCTCTTGCTCGAAAAGCTCCTGTCGGGCTGAATCTGAATGAAGATTCAGCCACATGGATATCGAGACAAGCGGCGCGCACTCCTTTCGCACTATGCCGCTGTCCAAGGACTGAAATGCGCCGATGATGAACGAGATGAGATGTGTCCGGATCTCTGTCGGATGCGAGGGGTCGACAGTCATAGAGAGTATGCGACGGAAGAAAATCGAGAAGTCCTCTGGCTTGCTGGTAAAGTGCTCTATTACCAGATTAGCATCTATCTAGGCGCATTTCAACGTAGGGTCGCTCCTACCCCAAGATGCCAGATTCTCTCTCCTCTTCACGTTGACCATCAGCGCCAACAGCAAGAGATGATGATTCGACGCATCCTCAGTAAAGCCCTGCCACAGGTACCTCTCGAGGAGCTGTAGATTCTCCAAGACGAGGAGCGACGAATACGCGAAGCCAGACTTCTCCAGCTCGTCCCATAGCTCTTCCTTGACAACCAGGGGGCGCACTTTTGGTGTTTTTGTCGAGTTCAGCCAGTTCTTCCGCGCGACCTGCGCGAAATGGTTCTCTCCGCTGAGATCGGCGACGGTGGGACGGGCATGCATGCTCGAGAAGTCGGAGTGCTGGGCCGTGGTGGCGGCACTCTGGGCGCTATTGCCGTCTCCCTGCTTAATATCCTCCATGGCTACAGCTCCTCTTCTTAGGATCTCACTCGGGGCGTGGGTTGGTAGTGGTGAGTCGCCGCAGCGCTCATTATTGTTGCTCCAAGCTCCCCCCCCGTGATCCAACGCGCCAAGAGAAAAGTTCCGTGAAAGTCGCACGCTCGGACGGTCGCTGAACACGACACGGGACCTTCCGTCCTCGAACCTCACGCCGTCTAGAGCAGCACTCCGCAGCAAGACCTCCGCTTACCGCACACAATGGCTTCACCAAGTCAGGACTCACAGACTACGCCCTATGTGCCGGATAAGGTACCTACTGGCGAATATCCTGTAAGCAATTGACCCTTCCAGCCTGGCTCAATGGCTGCGAAATAGCTAACATGATGTAGCTCATCGACAACGACCCGTACAACCCTCACCCCCCTCGGCTGGGATCAATTCACTGATTGATTGATGCAGACACTTTAAGCGTGTAGTCTCATATGCCCGACCCGCAGATTGGGCCTATGGCGCTGGCGTCGCAGCCGTCGGCCCAGCGCTGATGCTCTACTGGGAGAAAATATCCCCTTCGTTCGTTGGCAAGGGAGGCTTTGCACCCATCATGCGACTGACCGTTGCCGTCGGATTGACTGGTGGCTTTCTGGCCACATATTCAAGGTCTGCCCGTATGTAACCCCTCTCCCTCTCCTCCCCTCCTACACCCCGCACCGACCACCCGCCCCAGCTATGTGCTAATTGCCTTGGGTAATAGACCGCTTCTACGGCGCCCGCGAAAACCGCCGCGAGATCGAAATGGACATGCGAGAAATGGTGGACAAAGTCAAGCGCGGCGAGCCGTTATACGGAACCTCGACAATGACCGAATACATGCAGGGTGTGGCTCACCGGAACTCGAAATACGCCGCTACATTCGCCGGCGTGCTGCCGTGGATCAATCTTGTAAATCATCCGTACCATGGTGTTGATACGGCGAAGTACTATCGACAGGCCGAGTTGGAACTGGAGCAGGACAGGCTGGCGAGAGAGGGGAAGTCGTCATGAACGCGCGGGAACGGAGAGACGGAAAGGGAAAAGAAGAATGAAATGAAATATCTTGGTGAAGGATGTATATATGTTCAATGGAGCAACGATAGGTTGTATCAACAAGTTTTTCTGGTCAGCATTCTTTATCCAACATAGCCTCCGAGACCTAGACGTCTCTGAATTACATTAAGGCTCCCACGACAATTCAGTCATAGCACGAACTCCACTGAGTAAATACTGGATCACTCATGCCGCCGACAAAGATGAGATCACAGGAAGTAATATATCTACAATCCAATGAAAACTGCTGCTTCTGAAAAAGAGAATTTAGCCCACTCCATACTCTAACAATTCAGCATAAAACGCCAGTTTTCCGTCCATCCTAATGCATGCCTAGAGCCTACCGATACAATGCACCAAAGACGAAGCCACTCCATCCAGGACGCCTTGCTTTGAAAGTAAATTCTTCAACCTGTACTTCCCTCCCTATGGGCCTTTAAACCCATTGCGCATCTACTCCCGGGGGTAGGTTGTTGTCCATCATTCACCTCCCCCACACTCTTCAATCCTCCGAGGCCCTTCCGAATGCTCTTCACCACTTTTCCCGTTTTCATAACACTCCTGCCATAACCTCTCACTCCCTCCCCTTTATTTCTCCATAGCAACGTAGAGGTCTAAACACCACGCATTGGCCTACTCACTTCTACTCTTTTTCTTGCTCATATACAGACTGATTTGCTCCAGTCTGTCCACAAACAACATTCTCTTCCCATCATTTTTCCAAATTAGAACGCCCAGACTCTCCGCATAAGCTACAAGATCTTTATACTCGTGATCGTTGCTGAATTCCTTCATCAAATACCCATTCGTCGGCTCCACGCGCTCGCCTTCGTACTCCCACAGTCGAATCTGATCCATGACCGTCGGTGGCAGAACGGGGGTGTTTTTCTGCATCTGCGGATGTGCGTTTGAGGTGAGATAGGAAAGGATCTGGGAGGATGAGATGCCGAGTTTGACGGCACGGGTTATGGATTGTTTGGTTAGTTTTCCGGAAACGAGGTTGGGGAAGCGGGTGGTGAGGTTGGTAAAGAGGGAGAGGACGGCGATTTGGAGAAGCGAGGATGTGTAAGCGTAGAGGCGGTAATTCGTTTCGATGATTATGTAGCCTTTTGATGCGCTTCCTCTAGTCGCTCCAGTTCCTGAGGAAGTGAGGTCCTCTGAGTCAGACTTGGCATTCGAAGTGGAGAAGGAGAGAGCACCAGAGTCTGAGGTTAGTGTTGTAGCTAGGCGGGTCGGGTAGAATGTTGAGGATGTTTTGGACGAGCGGTAGACGATGCCGAAGGCAGACAAGTCTTCAAGCATTTGCACTTGGGTTTGCGAGAGCGTGGAGATGGAGTATTCTTGGCCGAGTTCTAGGGAGCCAAGCATGAAGAGGAATGAGAGGACGTCGGTTTCAGACATGCCGAGCTAGGCCTAAAAATCAGCCCTACTCCGTACCGGAACCGGTATGGTTCATCGAAGATGAGGGTGCTTACCTTAGGAGCATAGTTCAAATACACAATGAGCAGGCTCCAAACCTGTGCATTCGCTTCCTGTAGCACAAAAGTAAAACCTGTCCTTGTGATCGTGACTCTACCATGTGTAACTTTCACAAAGTCCCCCACCCGTAGTAACGTCTTCGTACCCTCTCCCACATCCTGGCCAAGGGCATTCGTAGCCGCGAGCCCCACCGTTGACCCCACCATATAGAACAACATATTCTCCCACTGTTTCTGGGCATAATCATCCAAGAAGTCGGTCGACACCCTTTCCTCCGTCGACTGTGCTGGAACACCAAAGGACCGATGCGTGCCGCTTCCAGTAAGTGCTTGTCGCAGAGAGCGTCCAAAGCCCTCCGTGAGTTTGTACGAGTAATGTCTCGGTGCCTCTAGTCTTGCGGTGATAACGTGGAGTTGTTCGAGCACGGAAATGGCTTTGTCCTTATCTCTTTTGCCATCGTGTCGAAACCAGGCATCGAGATCGCTAGCGGAGAAGGGGCCTGGCATGTAGAGCATAGCCATTACTATCGTTTTGGCTGAAAAACGCGTTTATAAGAATTTGGCTATAGTTAATTATGGGAATAAACTTACCCAAGTGCGGAAGCATGCACCGAAAGACTGCTAAAGCAGTCGAGGGTTGCTCATATAGCTTGCGATGAGTTTGCGCAGGGAGCAGCTCGAGATATTCGAGTGCTTGGGACGAAGACGCAGACATCGTATTTTGATGCTGGATCTGACTGCAAATTGACTATCTTGTTATCATTATTTCATAGAGGTTAGACAGCGGGGCAGTGAGAGCGTCTGTTAATGTGGTGATGGCAAGGAGAAGGCAATATTCTTGGGTGCGGAAAGAAATCTGCCAAGCCTCCGCGGGGAAGTTCCGCCCCGCCCTTCATACTGCGGAGACTAGCCCGAGGCTTTCCGACTACGATTGCCGAGCCACAATGATACCGAACTGCATCACTCTTCCACAACGGAATACTGAAACCGGCATCATGCCTGCCCTGAAATTCGTAAGATCCGTCAGTAAATAGTACTTGAATATCCCCTCGAAATCTACAAGTTTGACCAGCTCAACAGGTTTGGGAATCATTCCGTGCATCTTCTGGCCTGGAGCCAAGGTAGTTCAATGCGAGGACTACGTGTTACCACCCGTTAATCTGATCCATATCATAGACTGCTGGATAGCGTAAGTGCGTCTCATCTGCTCATTACTATTCTAATGCCATTTCTACCCATATTAACAAACACCTCCAGCTTCGCGTAACTCATGCGGTTCCTGGCAAAGTCAGGTTTGAACTCAACATTCAGAAAGAACACACCGTATGTTATCTTCTGCCTTCTCAAATCTCTACTCTTAAATCTAAACTTTCTTCAGAACCGCCTGAACATCCTTCACGGCGGAACAATCGCCAGCATGGGTAGTTCCTCCCTCCACCAGCCATCTCCAACGCACTCTAAAACAACCAGTCGATCTCGGAGGTTCCCTAGCCGTCGCGTCCAGGGGCCTATTTTCAACTGGCGTATCCACAGATTTAAACGTCACCTATCTTAGCTCCGGCGGTAAGATTGGGGATCTTATCCGAGCAGAAGTGACATGTGATAAATGTGAGCACCGTTCTCCACCCGGAATCAACCTTCATCAGTGCTAAATCTAGCCGCAACAGTTGGTAAAACCATGGCATTCACATCAATTCGCTTCATGAATAGTAACGAAGAGGTTTTCGCGAGAGGGAGTCACACCAAGTACATCGCACTTGCATGGAAAGACCCTAAAAACACCGTGGAGGAACTAACGCCTAGGGTGGAGAAGAAATAATAGCTTTGCCCGCAAAGACTTGGTCTGTACATATATCACGCTAATGCGTAGATACGTGGCTTGTACCCAGCTGCTTGCGTTTATTATGCTGCCAACCTCGTGCTCCGATACTCGCCCATCCGTTCCAGCAAGCAGACGGCTTAAGATACACCCAGATTCATTAGGGAATGCTTCAGAGAAGTCTCTAGGGCCTTTCAATCAAGCCACCATCAAGTCCGTTGAAGGACCCGATTAAATGCCGAACCATCAGGAGTCTTACAGTCTCTCATATCGTACAAAACAGCAAACATCCCATCATTTATTCGTGCAGGTCATCCGTAACTTATTTCGGAATGCTTCGGTATGTATCGTGTCATGTATCGTCATATCGTCGTATTTCCCTGTTCTAATAACGCCACAGATACCCATACCTCCTTGTCCGGAATCCATAGCCGAACAAAAAAGTCAAGAGCTCCCCGAAGATGATCCCTGAATGGTCCCGTACAACAACTCGTGCTCAGCAGGCCCATAGGTCCCCTTAGAGTCCTCGATCTTATTCCAGCCCTTGCCTTTGAGAAGGTTTACAAGGCTACTCTTTCGTGGTGTTAGCTTCCGTACAGCTCTACCGAAGGGTCCTTGTTTCGGGGTCGAAAAGCCATCTTGCTTACGCATTGGAGGAATGTTTATCACCGCGTCGAGGAGTTTGTTATCCCGGCGATAAACATACTCGTATTCCTACATCAAGGTTAGCGGAATGAATAGGTAGAAGAGGAACAGATCGATCCCTGGACACACCCAAAGGCTATCTGCCGCCTGCTTAGAGCCACACTGATCCCGGAGTTGAAGGAAGATGTAGCCAGCCGCCATCTTCTCTTGGCTCAACTTACATCCACCCAGCAGGCCTTCCGGTTTGTATTTCGGGTTCAGTTCTGCGTGCATAGCCTCGGTGCGCCACTGATCAAGCCTAGCTTGAAAACGACCAGCCCACCAAATTGGAGGCATGGAATCTTTAATCTGCGGTTTATTCTCAGTGTCAGCATTGTCCTCGTCATCTTGGGTAGATATATGCCAAGGCCGAGAATTTGAGAAAAGACTTGAAGCCCTCTCAGCCAAGCGTGTCAGTGGCCATGATTCGATGCTGGACTTCTCTCCAACGTCACTATCTGGATCTGGATCGAATGGTGAAGACGCAATGCCAGGCTTCAATTGGTCTAAATCCAGCTTGTGAATGCTGCTAGGTGGTGGAAACGCAAACCGACTCTCCACATTGTTTCTACCGACTTCACGGCTTAGATCGAGCGGCGTGGCATCCTTTGGAGGAGTCATATACTGTTTCGGAATTGGGGGAACAGGTGGCGGAGTGTCAGGAGGTATAGGAATGCTATGAAAAGTAGAGGAACGTTTTAGCCTCACCTCATAGCTGATATCACTCGGAGGCCGTGATGGCATCCCCACGGCGTTACGCCCTCCAGGGGCCTGAAAAGTCATCCTACGAAGGTCCCTTTCGGTACTCGCGCGAGGCAGGACTGGGCGAGCAGCGGTAGTGCCCGCCCGCGTTGGTGTTGTCGGAGCGACAGGACCCATAAGTCTAGTTTGAGCAATAGTGTGGCTACTCGAGAACCGATTGGTACGGGGTGACTGGAGAAGCGCTTGCTTATTTGGCTGCGCCCGCTTGACTGTCACTGGGGTCTGGGTTGAGAAGTTTGCGCTCAGCCGCTTCCCAGTAGATGGCGGCGTTGCACGAATTGATTGTTTGCTCTGACTGGTAGAAGCGCTTGGCCCAATTGAACGTCTATTGGATGCGGTAGAGGGTGGAATCAGACTCTCGCGTTTGGACGACTTCTCCGTAATCTGAGACAGCCTTCGACTGTCACACTTGCCAGTTGGAGTATTTTCCTTCATTGTGAGCTGCTGGACACCCGAAGACTTGGAGGCTTTATTTTGTGCCGTTGGTTTCCGAGGTATCATGAAACTTGACTGCTGGATTGGACTCACGCTCTTCTTTAGATTCGGGGTCGTGTATGACCTCACCGACGATTTCGAAGGTGATTTGGTCTCGGCCTCCGCTCCGGCAAAGACCATGCTGGCTGCAATAAGTTTTGCCTGTTGCGTACTATGTAGATGTGTATACTGCCGGGGGCTAGGACCTCGTTGTCTAGTGGGCTGGGGAGTCGGGCTTGGAATCTTCGAAGGAGTGAAGCGAGCTTTCGTGTTGGCGGTGACGGGTGAGGTGCAAGTATTGGGCGTGGAGTCATGGCCAATTGCAGACAATTCAGATCCACTCCGATTAGGCCGCGGTATGAAGCTCATGGTGCGAGAGCGCGGGAGTGGCTTTGGTGTGACATCCACGTCAGCGGTCCGGTCGTCTTTTGTTTCGTTGTCGGACGTGGCGGGCTTCACTGGTGAACCGGGTGACTGCTCGAATGACGCAGAGTCACGAATTGGAGAGAGAAGCCGGCCAGATTCACCAGGTTCAGCAAGAGCTTTGAGAGTGAGTTGTGTGGTGCTTGAAGCCAGTGGCTGACGTCCGGTCAGTTGGCGACCTGGTGTGGTCTTGCGCTGCGAAAGAGGATTTGAGATGAAAGAGAGGCCGTGGCTCAGTTTTCTACGGAATCCCTTGCTGCCTCCATTGTTGTTAAGGTCGGTGTTGAGCGGCTGGTGGGCTAACCTCTCCTTGCGGCCCGCCATCTTGAATGGCTTGTTGCTTACAGGTTGAGCGGTCTCCCACCGAGCACGGATCTGCTCAAATTTTTGTTTGTCTGGATAAGTGAGCATGGCTTCAACGTGGTGGTGAAGATCTTGAAAGCTGGGGTACGTACATTTTGGGAGTGTGGCAAGGCGATGGAGTTGACGACACAACCAAAGGTAAACAAGGAAAGAGCACCTACCTGGGTAGAAGCTGCAGGTCACGGGATTCGCACTTTCACTGGAAGGCGCCACCTAGGCTGACGCGAGCAGGTCGACGGCCTGAGAAATTCATATCATCGGAAGTAACCTGCTATGAAGGAAACAGCGCGACAATTGACTGAGTGAAATATCTTCTAGTGCCAGGCAGGGCACGTTAAAGTAGAAACATAGTTTTACATAGGGTAGACTGCAGAAAATTGAGTGGTTGTGCACTGAGAGCTCTCTTACACCTTACTGGATCATGGAAACGTCGAAAAAGTTACTGCTTTTTGTCTTAAAATGAATCTCGTCATGTAGAACGACGTGCAGTACTAACGCCGACCGATGCTTCCCGAGTGCTTCCATTACCCAAAAACTGGCGAACACCATATGCGAGCCCCTCTTTACTCCGAATCACTCTCAATAACAAACCCAGCCCTCATATTTCGTCCTGGCAGCCTACGGCTAACAGGTTCGTCTTCCTCCTCCTCCTCATCATCTGCATCCATCATCACCACATCCTTCTTTGCTACCGTTGGCGTAGGCGCCTTCAAGGAACCTTCCTCGCTGACATATATCGCTCCAGCATGCTGTGAAGAAAACGGCGTGTCAATAGCATCGTCTTCGCTATCCACATCCAGAACGTTTGCAACCTCTTCGGAAGATGCTTGACTGCTTATGCTCACAACATCGTTACCCCCATCGTCCTCACTCTCATCTGAGTCATCAAAAGGTCCAGGTTTCCGCTTTGGTGGAGTCTTTAACCTCTTGGTGTCCTTCCTTGGCTCTTGATCCGCCTTCCGCTTCTTCGTAGAGCCGAGCTCTGTGCTTCCAAGCGCCAGAGACTTAAAAAATTTCGCCTTCGTTTCTTCGCGAATCCTATTCTCGTTTTCGAAGAACTCCCGGTCCTGCTCCTCATCATACTCCCATTCATCATCGGAGTCATGTACAAACATTGTACTCTTCACTTTCTCTTGCTTCTCGATCTCCTTCTTGCGCCGGGCTTCAGCTCTGCGGTCCTTCTCTTCATCGTCAAGCTCGCGGGGTGTCCGCTCTCGTCTGCGGCGGTTGAGCCCCGTTTTAGCGTCCGACTTTCTGGCAGTCGGACCACCAGGGCCATATTCCCCTCGATCCTCTCCAGAATCATCATCGATGCCCTCAGAGTCATCGTCAAAGTCCACTCGACGAGCTGAGCGACGTGCGGTAGCCGCTTTGCTACGAAGGAAGTCCTCAGCACTCTTTCCGTCGTCATACACTGGTGGGTCGAACTCGAACTTTCGAATTAGGTCAATGGCTTCCTGTAGTTCTGCGGCTGTCAGAGAAGACGGGACAACCCAGGTCGCATCTGGGCTGTTGTCCGGCCCTAGTCTTGTAAATCCAACCAACGCCATCAATAGGCGTATCTTATTGTCTTTGAATAGTGCGACACGACGCTCTTCATTGTCGGGTTTAACCACTGTGTGCTATCAGTCAGGTTGCACGGCGGGTCGAGGTAGGTACTCACAAATTGGCGGTGGCTTGGGCAAGTCAGACTCTTGATTCTGCTCAGGTGCAGATTCGCCTTCAGGGTTGGCGGCTGCTGAAACTGCCTTGCGAGCCTCTTCCATCTCTTCCCAAGCCTTGCGCTCCTCGGCAGCAGACGACAGAACATCGCGCACCCAACGAATTGCGTCTGATTTCTGTTGATTAACAAGCACGCCAACAGCTACTCCAATCTGGTCGGCCTTTTCGAATCCAGGTTTGACTTCAAGTTCCGCCGGTGCTCGTGGCGTTCGTGATGGTAGCTCCCGGTCATAACCGTGCTCAAGATAGAAGATAGTGGCGGGAATCTTGCTGAACAACATTTCCACTACCAGTTCCGGCCTATCTTGGACCCTCTTGACCACTGAACGGAAGAAGTGGCGCACAAATTCCTCCCACTCCTTAAAACCTGGTGATTCAGTATCCAAGCCTTCTGGTCCTTTGATCATCTTGTTCAGCAGCTGAAGGATATCGACTCGGTATAGTAGAACGGCTAGCTCCATCTTGAACGCAACTCGGTACAAGAACCGATGGGCGCGTTTCAGCTGCTCTGTGTCCAGGTCTTGATAGAACTTGAGAAAAGAGACAAAGGTGTTGACGCTACCCTGATTTACGAATTTAGCCGCAAATCGTGTAAAATCGAATTTTCGGTCTGAAACGGTTCGTTGTGCTGCGGTGATATCCTCTGTTTCCGACACATGCCCTTCTTCATCATTATCTAGACCCTGGGCTTCGGCCTTCTTTTTACGAATCTTCCTCGCCCGCTTCCTCGATCGTACCTGCAAATCAACATTTTGTTTAGAGTATCGTTCCAACATGCGAAGGAAGACGTGGGAAAGCTCAGTGCAAGCATCTAGGTAGCCAAATCCCTGGTCATTGTAGGATCTCAGGACGTTCACAACTCGATCGTGGGTCGACTCTTCGTAAAAAATGCGATTTTGAATATTCTCCGCAATTTCCTGGTCATCTTCCAGCGCAGATTCGGACATCTCCTGGACAGTGAGCAAAATCTGTGTGAAGCATTTCATTCCAGCGTTGAGATCCTGCCATGCTTTTTCGTCCTGGCTTTTCTGCATGAACCTGTTGAGCAGAATAAAGGTTTCTTGGTTCATGACCTCTGCAACAAGCCCGTAGCTCTCATCCTCAGCTGTAAGCGCCTCAGCACTCTTCTGGTCCGCGGCCTTTGACTTTATCGTCCGTCGTCGTGCGCATTCCGCTCGGAGGAACCAAGAAGCAAGATAGAAGAATTGGCGAGAGTGTCGTGTTTCCACGCGGTCAGTCTCGCGTTCGATCGCTTTACGGAGATGCATGAAGAGCGGGTTGAACGATGAGTCGAGGAACTCTTCCACGAATGTCTTCAGGCGCTTCCGCGCTGACGAGGTCATAGGTACGGGTAGGTCAAACTCCTCCCGTGACTGCTCATCATCCTTCTTCCGTCCAGGCCTCTTAGGTTTATTCCACTTCTTTGTCCTATCCATCTTTTGCATACTTTTCTGAGCCTTGCCCAAGACATCCTGACCAGAGATAGTTGACACTTTGTCCTCGTCCCGTTTTACCCAGATCATGGTTCCAAACCGATTATGTCGGCTTGGAGCGTGTCGCGCATAGCTTGCAAGCATTGCCTTCTCTTTCTGAATCAAGCTCTTGAGCTCCTCGGTATTCTTCGTGCTGAGCTTCTTCTCTTCGAGAAATAGCTTTTCTGCATCAATGCCTTTCAGTAAGTAGAACAAGATCTCGAGAATGACGACGTCCTGCGTAACAAATTCGTCTCCGATGCTAGACGCCACACTTAAAATAGCCTGGAATATATCTTGCTCGTGAAACGTGTCGATCGTGGCGGATCGTGATATTTCGGCCTCGTCGCCATCCATGGGCACGTTACTGGGAGGAGAGAGCATTGCAATATTTCGAATGAAGTACAGAGCAATCCGGATGATTCCCTCGTCTCGCAGTGGCCTCTCTCGCAGTGGGATTGCCATCGACGGCAGCGCAATTCGGATCGCAGTCTGAAGAATACGAGCTCGGTCATATTGAAGAATTGCGCGCTTGTAGCCAATTTGAGCCAATTGAATGTAAGGACCGTGTCGGTGGTGGTTCACGGTTGCTTCGACCGGATCAATCTCGAAAGGCCAGGTCAGAGGCACAAGAAGTTCCACTACCACTTGTCAGTCTCGGATTGGAATCCAGGGTATCATACATACAGGATGCAACCGCAACCCTATGCTTTAGCTTGTCATGGAGGACCTTTTCTGAAATCTTGGCTAGAATCTCTAAAAGATCGCCCTTCACTAGGTTCGCCTCCGCCATGCACCGCGCAACATCGCGTCGATTAAGTTGTCCGTCGGCAAACTTCAGCCATTTTCGCAAGTCCTTCAAGCAAAGGAGTGCGTTATCTCCGAGTGCGTACGTGCCGTCGTCCCCTATGCCTCCAAGCTATTGTGTACATCAGCACCGCCCAATTGAAAGTACAATAATACATACAGCTGATATGAGACTGTAGACATGAGCGCGAATCTCCGGGTCAACCTGAGACTCTTTTGTCCACTCATCTAGTGTTGTCTGCGGCATGATGATGGTTGATGGTCTTCTTCGAGCCTCGTCCCACTAAGACTTTTGGGAGACGCGTCGCGGCGCGCGTAAAGTAACTGCAAACCCACCAAATACGCCAAGGCCACATCCGAAAACGTCATAGATGGACCTCGGCTTTCATCGGCCCGAGCGTCCTTCCGACCTTCGTGTGCTTCACATGTCGCTCCGACTTTCATTCTTCAATTCTTTTCCTCAATTCATAATTCAATTCTTTTCCTCAATTCATAATTCAATTCTTTTCTTCAATTCACAAACAATATGTCTTTCTCTTCCACATCCAAGCAAGCGTTCCGACGTATTGTGAAGCGGCAGTGCCGCAGCTTCAGCACTACCTCTCCAGCCGCCGCAGCTCGCGAAGTCAAGAAGATTGGTGTAATTGGGGCCGGACAGATGGTATGTCATCCGTCCATGGGTGGGGAGCATCATTTAATCCAAACAGGGTCTTGGGATAGCATTGGTGGCCGCGCAGAGAGCTTCGGTGCCGGTCCGATTGATTGATAGCTCACAAGCTTCAATCGACAAAGGCTTGAAGTTCGCCGACAAACTGCTAGAGAAAGACGTCAGCAAGCAGAGGATATCCAAAGATGATGCTGCAGCCGCTAGAGAGCGTTTGATACCAAGCACGTCTCTGGAGGACCTGTCAGATGTTGATTTCGTGATTGAAGCTGTCCCGGCGCGTTCATCCTTAGCCAGTATCTCTGGCACTAATCTAATCATTAGCAGGAAATACCGGATCTGAAATCGAAGATTTTCTCACAGCTTGCGCAAATATGCCCATCTCATGCAATCCTCGCCACAAATACATCCTCCATCTCGATCACAAAAATCGCGGCATCAACGACAAGAGATCCAACAGACCTTTCAGCTTCCTCTCGGGTCATCAGCACTCACTTCATGAATCCTGTCCCAATTCAAAAGGGTGTAGAGATTATTACAGGCTTGCAAACTTCGCAAGACACCGTAGACACAGCCGTCGAGTTCTGCAAGAAAATGGGCAAGATCCCATCACGGAGCGCCGATTCCCCTGGTTTCTTGGCCAATCGAATTCTCATGCCCTACATCAACGAGGCCATCATGTGCTTGGAAACCGGAGTTGGCACCAAAGAGGATATTGACAACATCATGAAAAACGGCACTAATGTGCCCATGGGTCCCTTACAGCTTGCAGACTTTATCGGAATTGATACATGCCTAGCTATCATGAAAGTGCTCTACGATGATACAGGAGATTCCAAGTACAGGCCAGCGGTGCTACTTAGAAAGATGGTCGATGCTGGTTGGTTGGGGAAGAAGAGTGGGAAAGGCTTCTATGATTATTAATGCAGGCTACCCGGCATGGATCTACATTCACTTTTGTGGACTCATTGTGGAACACACACCCCAGAGGGGTGAAGGGTACCGTATGGCGTTGCAGTTACGAGATGCCTTCAAATCCTTGTCGGTAGTCTGTATATATTCAAATATGGTTCTTTCTACTCGCTGTTTGTGAAACAAAGGCCTAGTTGTTCAGAAACGCCTCGAAACTGCACCGCAATGACGTCGAAACGCAATACTCTCATTTCCGCTGAATGTGCTCTGCATGCTAAAGCTCCACTGAGAACCGTTGCTGCAGCCGTTCCATTGATGTGTCTTGCCGTGCCACCATCCTTCCTGCTTCGTCATATTTTCAGCCGCGCAAGCCCCAGTCTCCAACTAAAGAACGGCGGTTTTCCAATTTCCCTTTACAATAGCTTCAATGGGAGGAAATATGGGGGGACTAGCGCGTCCATTGCTGTCATCCGCCATTTCCGAAATGAGCTGTATCTCGACACTGCAGGCGAACGTTTCGAGCACTTCCCTGAATAATGGAGAAGCAAAGAACATTCCCTAGTGGGCAGGGTCTCCGCTCATCCTCCAGGAAAATCTTGAGTATTTACTAGGTGTGATACGATCAGAAGAACTCGGGCGATTTTGAACGAGAACAATATGAGGACCGGAGTCCAGGAAATCTTTCAAATGCGGTACAACCCAGCAATACGGCAAGAATCTTATAAATCAAGTTACCAGGGAAGGTAATTTCTAGCAAGTGAGCTCCCAGTCGTGCTTTTTCTAAGACTATAATCTTCAACGAAACCCGCAATGACAGCCAAGCCCCTTCGCCCACAACATCTTACCTAGCTGTTCCGAAGCCCCAAGCGCTCCAAAAGCATGAGGAGAGTTGCCGGGTATCCCTGGTTACTGATAGAGATACTGTGGGATTTTATCCAGCTCTTCATTCATCTTCCCCACAAGAACCCTCTGTGGTATGGAACTCTTTAAAATCACTTTTCAATATTGATTGATCCAAGAGGTGGTAGGTTATCCAAGAAGCCGTTAATTGGCAACCTTTCTAGGTCATTTGGCGCCTTTCAGCAATTCTGTATTATTAAGAACGCAACACCGGAGAAAGCTGAGGAGGCCCGATATCAGAGGCTTGCACAACGCGTATCTGATGTTTCTTTTTGGTGGAGAGGGGCTTCCTCTGCGTCTTAACCCATCATTCCTACAAATTCTTCGGCTTACATATCACTTCGAGAGCAGCATGCTATTTGATATGTTCTATGCCCTCTTAGGTATTCGCTCAGCCGATAATGACCCCAAAATAAAGCCACTTATCAATACAAACCATAAGATAGGTATGCTCAAATTGAGCTCCTTCGTATCCACATGCTCCTCCAATCGAGGATTAAGGTGCGCTTCGCATCACCCCAGTCCCAGAACTTTAGGAACATACCTTGAAGATTCTCCCTCCACTGACCCCACTGATTCTTGTAGGCAATCTTGTCGTTCCCGTGCAAGGTGCCTTGGCAGAGGTACTCAACATTGTGCTCCCACGTGCAGATATTGTCTTTTGTAGCAGCATCGCCTATACTATCGACTTCCTTCCGGAGAGTATAGTAGATGCGGTTGTCTTCCTCGGAATTGTGCTTCCATCTTTGATTTCAGGGAGGTTGGGTCATATAATCCGAGTCCTTGTGAGAGAGCTCGATGAGGAGTTCGCAGTTGTCAACGGAGATCTTGATCTTGTCCAGTCGCTTACGGATTTCGTTGATGCGGGTGACCAGCGGATTTTGTTGGGGAACTTCGTCCTCAGAAGGAGATGATATGTCAAACCAAGTGAGATTCTTGAAGTTTTTTGAGATGTGGCTGGCCATGGCATCTCCAGTAGTATCACAAAGTGCTCGAAGGTAAATTTAGTAACTAGCGGCGGTTTTGATTGGCCTCATCTATTACGGATTAGAATTTGCAGCTCTGCAAGCTGTTGTGTTATGTAGAAATTGCGACCTTATGCAGGTTATGAGTATAAGGTGCAGATATACTCAGAGCCTGGTAGAGTGGTGTTTTCAAATAATGCATCGCGTAGGAAACGTGGTATGGGGGTGATCATGTATGCCATTCACGCTCATTGTGATGTATAAGGCGTGAACGGAGGCTCGAGCTTGCAAACAAATCACCAGACTCTACGGCAGTGAAAGTGCGTCTTTCTGGGAATCTTCCTAGGAAATCTTTTCACTTCTGCGTTTCATGGTCAGGGAATACTCCGGAGAATCATCCTCCAGTAGACCATTAGTAAATAAATAAAGCAAGTTTCATTCAACATATTGAAATCCACACCATCGTGATACCTCAATCAGCGAAATGATCTCGAAGCCCAATGCTCGGCCTCGCTAACGAGGGCAAGAAGCTTGTTCTGTCTCGTTGAATTGCAAGAACCAAGGGCCACATCTAAACGAGTCAATTGATCGGTCACCATTAATAAGAAATCTTCGAACGCACAAAACATAAGAAAATCTCCTTCTCCTTGCCTAAGCTGCAATATACGCACTTATACCTCCAAATAGGCATCCACTGCGCCCACCCAATTCTCCTCAACCAATCAACGCGATATCGGGACGTTCATATAATCTATCTACGGACTCAAGTTCGCCCGGCCCCGCCTCGAAATCCCGACTAAAAAGCGTCAGCATGGCTCGAAACTCTCCTTCAGAGAGCAATCCCACTCCACGCCGTCGTGCCTCGGAGCCTGTGTCGCAGGCTCTATTGCCCCTCGGCCTTCTGCCACTTATCCCCGCTTAACCCCACGGGGCCGACTTACCCTCGAAACACCGATTACACCATCCGGTATTTGTATACAGATGTGCTTTCAAAATGTAAGGTCCGGTGGCCCGTGCAACTACAGGGGGTAGTCTCAAATAGGCAGCATCTCCGAGGCTACCGATAGCTCATTCCTGCACGATGATGTGCTAATGGGGCAAAAACTCAAAGTGTTCGAAGTAGATGTCCCCCGGGTAGCCTCCAGTATTAATTCTATCAACTTTTTAGCGAATTGCCCCAAACAGTGCTTGTAAAATCTCTATCATGACGAAATAAAATTATGCTGCTACTGGAGCTTAAGTTACTGCTCTACGGTCCTGTGGAGCATCAGCAGCTGAAGTTACTAGTCTTACAGGCATTCAGGAGAGATCCCAAAAGAAGATGACCGAGAAGTCTAGAGATAGAGGTTTTAACTATAGGAATAAATTAATTCATCCTTCTCAACATACATGTTCAAGACGTTCCTATATCTAGTGTTCCCCATAAGGAGACTCCCTCATTCAATATAGAGCTTGCTAAGAAGATAAGAAAGGATCAATTCAGCAGAGAGAAGTTAACCTACCATCTAGAGTACAACTTTTGTCAACAAGGCAGAGATATAAAGGCAACATCCATATAGACTACACTAAACGACCAGGGGCAAAGAAGGTCAAACGAACAATGAAACTAGACCTCTCATCGTAGACAAGGAGGTAAGGCTTTGATAGCGTGAACACTAACCACAGTTATTAGTCCATTAAGGACTAGAAAACATAGTTTAGAGGTAGAAAACTGCTCTTATCCTTAGTGTACAACGAAGCTCTATGTGGGTTTGAGGCAGCTTGCTGAGAAGTCTAATGGGAGCTGTATCTGCGGGGGATGGAAAGGGTACATTGGGTCCATGTTTTTAGAGATGCTTCTCCTATAATAAGAAAGGTACCTTTCACATCTATGAAACAGAGACAGCAGCACAGACAATGAAGGCACAGAAAAAGGTAGACGAGCACAGCAAGTATTAGGAACTAATTAAGAAGGGTGAATGGGAATCAAATACGGAAATAATACGTACAGATTTGCGAGGGAAACTCGGCCCAAACCTAAATTGAAGTTTAACGATAAGTAAAGGAGCCATTAATTAGTACTAGAACGCACATGAAGCTCCTAAGCCTAAATTACTACCTTTTGAAAAGGAGCGTTTAAAGCAGAGACTAACTAGAGACAAGCGCTTAAGAAAACAAAGCTCCATGACATGCCCACTAGTACCAGGATGCACTCTATAGTAAGAAGAAGGTGAAGCGCATTCTCTAGCGTAGTAATTAATCTAATCTTAATGTAATTGAGCCATCCTAGCCTTAGTTAAAGCGACTGAAACACCAAAAGGAGCGCCAACAAACGTAAAACAGAGGAGGAAAACTAGAAGAAGAGGCAGGAGAAGTTTGAGTAGTGGAGCATCCAGCGCTAGATTGAGCGAATGCTCCGTCACATCTAAAAGATTATATAACAAGAAGGGGGTAACAAATACCAAGAATGCTAATTTAACAAAGTAACTTATCACAAAGCTCCAGAGCATCTGTAAGAGGAGAGCAACACCAAGAAACTCACACTAATATCTCTCCCGATGAGGACACTAGTTAGCCAGAGAAGCGGCCTTGATTTAGAGGTTTTAGGGTAAGATAACCTAGTCTAAATAGTAAGAAGTTGAACTACTTTAAAAAGAGGATAAAACAAGCAATTAGTGCTCTAGTATAAATAGAGGATATACGACAGACCATGTCAAATGATATTTGAAAGATACTACACTTTGTTTTATAGGAAAACACCATGTCTTGGTAGAGATTCGTCGACATCTATTCACCTCGGAGCACCTTCCTCATTAGAATAGATGTCCTCTGCAGCTCAGCACCACTAACGTGCTCACGGGCCACGGGCCGTTACATTTTGAAAGCACCGCCGTCCCGGTGCGGACGATGGGCGACGGAGAATCAGGTAACAGTTTTATAATATTGCCAAGAGGGAGTGGGGGTGTGGTATAAAGGAGCGAAGGATGCTGACGTTCAAATTTCGGTAGGCTTCCGACCACTCGGATAAGAACTTCTCAAAACAACTGCAACTTCAGGCAACAGAATTATTTGTTTATAAGTACGGATCCGTACTTAATCTGTTTACTCAGAAAACTCTAATATAGGTCTTTCTGAAAGCATCGACAACTTGAAAATGGCTAGTCTGAAGTTTGGATTCTCGACAAATGCGGAGGAAGTCACGGAGCACTGGAAAGACCAGATTAAGGGCAAAACAAGTTCTTCTCCTCCTACCCCTTCGCGAATCCGCATCTACTAATAATATTCTTTAGTACTCATTACGGGCGTCTCCCCCGGGGGCATAGGTCTCACCACCGCGTGCGCCCTTGCCCCTCACTCCCCAGCTCTCCTCATCCTGGCTACACGCTCTCAAAGCAATCTCACCGCAGCCCAAACCGAGATTGCCAAAGTTGCACCCACATGCCCAACCAAGCTCCTGACTCTGGACCTTTCATCCATAAGGACAGTGCGAACTGCAGCCGCGGAGCTCAACTCCTGGACGGGTGTGCCGAAGATCGACATCTTGATCAACAATGCCGCCATAATGTCGACCCCCTGGGGAAAGAACGAAGATGGAATCGAGCAGCAGTTTGGAACTAACCATATCGGGACCTTCCTTTTCACTAATTTGGTCATGGAGAAGATTATTGCAGCTAAGGGCCGGATTATCAATGTTTCAAGTGCAGGCCATCGCTATGGGCCCGTGCGTTTTGAGGACTGGAATTTCCAGGCTAGTATACCCTCTCACCCATATCATCCAAACTCTATGAAGGGTGGATACATTAGGTCGGGCTTTTTGTATGTAATTAAGCATGGAATACTAACTAGAACTCTCAGGACGGAAAAGAATACAACCCAGAAGCCGCTTATGGCCAATCTAAGACAGCCAACATGCTCTACGCTGTCGCGCTCGCTTCTAAACTCCAATCTAAAGGCGTGACAGCGTACAGTCTCCACCCGGGTGTTATCTACACCAACCTCGGCCGCCATATCCCCATGGAAGTGCTCAAAGCCCGAGGCCTGGTTGATGAGAACGGAAACATCAACACGAATGGGCCGTTCAAGTTCAAAACGCATTCACAGGGCGCGGCGACGACGGTGGTGGCAGCGCTGGATCCGACTATCGCGGATCGGAGTGGAGCGTATTTGGCGGATGCGAGTATTGATCATGATGATAATATTAGTCCGTATGCCGTTGACAAAGATAATGCGGAGAAATTGTGGGTGCTGAGTGAGAAGCTGGTTGGGCAGAAGTTTGAGTTTTGAGGGAGTGTATGGGTTGCTATGAGGGAGGACATGACTTCCCGAATCTTAGATGTCGTGATTTCAATATAGGGTTTAGAGGAATTAAGTATAACTGTATCTTTAAATAACGTCTCCTGCGATCTCTTTAGGATCCTACCTTGATACAGTCTCGGGCTCAACTCCGGGAATTGTAGCAAAATATAACTACTCTAGACTCAACGGTTGCCTTGAGAAGGGAACCCACTGAATACATGAGACCAGCTCGTCTTTATTGTTGGAGTCGCGTGTCAAATTATCATTGAACGGCTCTTGTAGGTCGCTAGGGATCTCCCTGAGTCTTTCTTAAGTCCATGCATGCGGCCACAATCATACTGCTAAGGTACTGAGAGTTTTCAACCGCCATTTTTGGATGTCTTAGCGTGGGTATTCTTTGATAGCCATCTAGCGAGCATTGGTTTGGTCAAATCTTAACGAGTCTAACAACTTCTGATTTTGCTCTTCGTTCAGTGACAGAATTTCATCCTTCAAAGATCCTTTGATCTCTTTCTGAAGCCGATTCAATGCCTTTTCCCATCCTTCGCCATATATGAGCGTATGCCTTGGCTCTTCCTGTTCGATTTGTTTGGTGTTTTCCTGCCCACAACATGCGCTCATTTACATTGAAATGAGACGAAGAGCGTCCTCGAAGGGCGTGGATGGCGATTCCCGTTATCTCATAGAGAGTTTGGCCCAGAGATTGCTTATCACCAAGCCGCTGACCCTCTGCAGAGAAAAACTCCACTGATTTCGGGGTAATAAGTTCTTAAACCGTCCAGCTACGAGTGAAACATCTGCATTTCTCGAATGCTGGTTTCCATCTCCGGGATCACTCGTCTCCATCCGAATCGGTGGGCGAAATGTTAGACAAGAACACATAACACTTGGCTGCATGTTGGGACTAGCGAAAAATAGAGTTAATAGCTTCTGTAAGCTCAGCATCGCTTGATTCTTTGATGTAACAAGTGTCTACCTAGAAATATTGGAGGCTGTCTTTCGCAGCTTGCTTTCCGCAAAATTGGGTCTTGGCATAGTCACCCTTGCTTTTGCCTGTGCCCTTTACTATGTCTTCAAAGGTAACCTCCTTATCTGAACTACTTTGCGTCATTCCAAGAAGCTGAGATCGTTCCGTATGGAGCTTTGTGGCGTCAATCGACAACGATCCGATTTATGGAGTTCCTTTCTCGGGATCGCAATGTATATCGTTCTACGAACCATATTAAGTTAGCACGACAGGCTTGATCAGTATATAAACTTCTACCATGGGACTTACTGTTCGTAATGGATGGGCGTACGTCTTTAGCGCAGATCCGCCGTTCAGATACATGCCTACCCGCTGACATAGCCCGTTACCTCTAGCCTTTAAATCAACCGAGTTACTAATACCCTTAGTACAGCTAGTACAATTCGGCGACTCTTCCCGCGTAAGAAGGCGGCGAGCAAACATATTGAGCTGGGATAAAGGTGCCACTCGTTGCCCGTCCTTTCCACGTGTGAAACTAGGAGATCTGTAGGCGAGATTGTAGTGCGGACTACGCGATAACCCTATGACCCAAACCTGTGGGGTTTGTATCCCGGACATTGTGTGAAAAAAAAAATGAGAGGAAGATTGTGCAGCATGACGGAAAATGAGGAATTAAGCTGGGATAATGAATATCTCAGACATTGTGCGAACTCCTTCTTTGTGTCGCAAACACGCGTAGCGGCGGCCCGATATAGTATTGTTGATAAATTGCCAGGTTGATGTGCTGTACTTAGGTCATTTTACCTTTGCTGTAAAGGGGGGCCTTAGGCATTGATGCGCGAAGGTATGGTAGCATTTCAATCATGTTCGGCAAGGCCACTTTCTTCCATCTACTTCTAGTAGACAATCGTTGGGGGGCATCATTGAGATAACCCACAGCTCGGAGGAGGATGGATCTGAGCCCATTTGAAGTGCCCGAATAGAACGCTACGTCTCATTTAAGCTCATTCTTCGCTATTCGAAGCCCTTCTACTCTCCAACTCCACCTCCAACTCCTCAACTGTCATCGGAACCTTTCTCTTTCCCCACTTCCCTTTCTCTTCAAGCGCGAAATTCGCTACACTCAACATACCCACCACCAAGAATCCTAGCTCTTCCCTATCCGTATCAAATACCTCCCACCACTCTACATCCGGCAACTTCACGCCCACTTCCTTTGCTGCTAGGTATATCGCCGCAGTCGCTAGACATGGGGATTGATGCGTTAAATATAGAAGCTGTGGGCTCAACAACGCATCGTTCAGCCTTGCAATAGCTCTCTTTGCTAGCTCAGAGGCTCTTGGCTGGTTAAAGACATCAAGGGCTTGGAGATAAGTGATGCAGAGCGTATAGGGTAGGGACACATGTAATTGGAAGCCCAGAACCCTTAAAATGTGTGGCTCGATTGCAAATAATTGTGCCTTCTGAGACTGAAACGTCCCCTCAGAGACGTAGTATTCCTCTGCATCATGCTTTCTCTCTAGCTCTTCGATATCGATGAAGGTCGACGATAACGAATCGAGGTAGGTATAGACATTGATTACGTTCCGTGGCGACTTCGGCCACGCTGACATCTTTGCAATAATATACAACGAGCTTGCGGAAATGTTCTACATCCAATTAGCCAACGCCCCATCATCGACTCCATTTGACTACTAATCAGCGAATGATACCTTCGTGTCATATTCGGCCAAGCTCCCCCCCTCTGGTCCCAAAAAAAACCTTGTGAACACTACAATCGCCTGCGCAACAATCTCTTGCGGCAGCCGCAGCAAAATGCCGGCAGCCTGCGTAAGCCTAGCTCCTGCGAAGCGAACGGAGTCTTCGAGATCGGCTGGGATGCCGTCGAGCTGGGATCCTGAGGTTTCGAGCTGCTCGATTGTAGCTAGTGGGGTTGCGAGATGGGAGGGCTGCATGATTTGTGTCCGTGAGGCGTTCGTTTCGCGCGAGGTATGGGGATATTTGAAAGTTATGGGCTGCGGTGGAGGAAGCAAAGTCAAGGTTGCAGCCGGGTTGGCGTCTGGGTCTAACCATATTGGGATGGTGAGTTCAATGTTATTGGGGTGAGAGTATATCGTAGAAGAGAAAGGGGCAAGTATTGCATATTTAAGATGTGAATCAAAGTGAGGAGCAGAGGTAGCGTGCCAGGCTATATTAATTTACATGCGACGAAATTTTCCAAACCCTCAAAAATTTGTTTTTATCTCACTACTCTAGGATATCCGTCACACAAGGCACACGGGAAGAATTCGTCAGGAGTTTCATGCATAGTAGATCCGTGGCGTTGATTCGCGATCTAAGCTGTATTCCCTAGAAGAACGGAAAGAAGCATGAGGTAGTGGAGAGGAGTTTCAGGTTGCACGGTAAATCAATGCGCACAGCCTCTTCGCGTGATCATGCCGTCTTAACTTAATATATAACTTGAAAAATAGTGCTTTGAATTTTGGCTCATATTGCAGCGGTGGGAGAAAGGGTGACTTGTCAGCTTATACTAGTTGCAATTATGAGTTTCAGATTAACAGAGCGGTGAGCTCACTTAGTATTAGGTACATCGTCTAGCAGGATTATTGTTCACTATACCATTGACCCATTTTATATAATTAGGGACATCGTAATATCGTTAAATCCGTCGTGGTAGCAATGGAAATCTGAAAGCATAATTCCCAGCCACCTCCTCCTGCTCGCCTAGTGTCTCACCGCAATTCGCAACCAAGCACACCCAAGGCTGGCGATAGCTCAGGTGCTATTAATGCCTCTCCTCCGACTCAAGTCATCATACATCTGTTGAAGGAACGACAGGGAAACGGTACCCCTGCCTTCTAAATGCATGTTCTCTTCGGGTTCGCACGAAAGACCCAGTCCGAGGTGAATTCGATCCGGAATAGAAGCGAGGAGTTCTCTAAAGAAAGCGCGAAATACGAAGTGCGCGTTCTCCCAGTTTTGAAGCTCGAGGCGTGCCCAATCAAAATACCGAGTGTGAAAGGTCGGGATAATGCGAAGAAACTTCAAGTTCGGAAAGGTGGAGAAGAAGGTCGCCCAGTCGATGTAGTTGTTCATTCGTTGCGAGTCCTTGAGCTGTAACTCGAGCTGCAATCGGGTGATATTGCTAAATTGCTAGCCGAATGGTGCTTCCATTGAGACATGGGTCCTGTTGAAGCAAAAAGTATCCAGAGAAATCGCGAACCAATTCATTTGATAGAGCAGGTCGGTTGCTTCATAATGAAGCATCTTAGAGGCCAGGAGTAGGTTGAGATGGAGGACAGGCTCTGCGACTGGCTCTCTTGGGGTGATAGGTCGCCTTCCGGATTGGACTCTCTTTTCATTGAGTCGCTCGCGCGTTCGCTGGGCAGTGGCACGCTTTTTTTGGGCACGCAAAACCGCCCTGGCTTCGATGATCGGGACCTTTCTCCCACGGCGGACCACAAGGTAAGAGTACACGTGATCGCGAATTTCTCGAGGTAGGTCGAAAAAACGGAATGATTGGGAGATGTTTAGAGATGGCCCGGGGGGAGTTGCGGGTTTGTGCCTTCACGGGATTAGCTCTCTTGAAGTCAACTACTGCGTTACCAAAGCACGCACAGGAGCTGTGGTGGGGTAGCCAAAGATCCCCGTCGGTCCTCTTTCCTCTCCAGAGTCGTGCTCTCTGTTGCATCTACCACACCACTCTGTGGATCTTCCTTCTTGCACTTTCGCTGAGGATTCCTTCGGAGAGCCATGATGGACAAGTAGAATTGGTGGATCTGAGAGCGGTTAGATATGTGTGGGCTAAAATCATACGAAATGAGCGTAAGAACCTATTACCTTAGCCAACTCGCAGCAGCAGGCAACATCCTTCATCAGACAGTGTAATAGTGGTGGTCCTGACACGCTATGTGTACGCCTAGGTATTCGGACCATAGTGGAGATGAATGGTCGGCAATCCCAGTTTCCAGCGGACCGTGCGTCAGAGTTGACCAAAGAGAGAGTGGAGAGGACCAATATGATCGGACGTCGGTCGACATTTGAAGGGAGCGTGCGTTACATATGATGTTGCAATATCGAAATGGTATTTGAAAAACAAGCCTGGGATTATCAATCCAGCCAAGCTTGAGCTTGTAGACGCAATGGGGCATAAGTAGGATGATATAGCTTAATGTTTCAGACCTGAGATCGTATTGGTGATAATAGACCAAATTAATGTAACGGTGAAGTAATAATAGAAACGCTGGACCTATTCGAGATATGTCATGACGCGGCTAGCCGTCTTCGCTGACCACTTTGGCGTGTCTGAAATACTTCATACCCACCCACGCCACGACGACCCAGACCCAGGACATGACTGCAGTACATACCATTAATGCAGGATAGTATCCCGTAATGGGCAAAGTTGGGTCGTCTTCAAGTTCGGGAGGAGCATATGGCGTCTCCCCAACATCCCACGCCCAGCTCCACACACCTAGACAGGAGCCCATTCCGACGACAAAGACCACCCAAGTCACGATGAGCACCACCCAGCCCCACCATTCTGTCTCGCTATAGTCCCACTCTTCTTCCAATACTAGATCTGCGGGAGTATGGACTATTGTCAAGGACGAGTTCTGGCCTGCTCGGTTGGAGCGGCGGCGCTGGAGGGATGATGAGGAACCAAGAGGCTGTAGCTGGACGGGATTGTATGAGGAGCTGCTGCTCGAGACAGTCGGCCGGAAAAACGACAACCCGTCGTCGTCGTCAGTCGTCGATGCATACGGACCAACCGGGCTCGTGAGGGGCGATGCGAGCACACGTGGGGGTAGGTGGTCATGTGTGTCGGTAGACACAGAGAGGGCACGTGATGGAGGCCACCCACTGTCCGAAGATGAGTTCAGCGATGTATGCTCATAGCTGAACTGGCGGGGGGTCGTTTCGTCGTCTGGAGATGTGGGGCTCATGGCCGTGTTGATGGCGACGGGCTTGGTGGGTAGCCTTTTTTCAAGGAAAGAGTTCCGCCGTTCCCTCAGCTTCCCGGTTCCGAGAATGGCAGTCTTCCTCAGCGACCCCTTCCTCTTTCGGCCCTGAGTCTGGCGTAGCGCGTTCGCGAGGGCAGAGCCGCGCTTCGAGCTTTCGTCGTCCACATGCCCGTCATCGTCCTCGCGTTTGGGCGGCGAGCGCGGCGTGAGGTCCTTGTTGGAGGATCTCAAGAAGGGTAGACTCCCCAGAATGCTACCTGAAAGGCTTCGTTTGTGCCCTCCTTGGCTGGCATCGCTGTCGGCATTCTTCGGTTCGCGGTTCAGTGACCACTTGGAGACGCCATCGCCACCGTTTCGTGTGGCGTCTATCCCATTTTCCATGCTCCTCGAGCGAGAGGCCCATATGGCAAGTTCGTTTTATCGACGTAGATTTCTCATGGCTTGCGATCGGATTTGCGAGGCGCGCATGTCACTATTGCGTGGTGTTTGCGAATGACCTCGGGAAAGTGGCGACAAGTTTCCAAGGTTGCTGCTCCTGAAATAACATTCCCCACTGGCCGAGTGTCAAGGAGGCTAGGCCGGATTGGGACAGCCTCAGAAGTGACCCCCCTCCGCCTCTACCTCCGTGCTCATGCCGTCTCCGACCTCGCGTCTATCTTCGTTCGCTGTTCAGATGGTTTACAGATAGCATTCATTCTTTATAGTCACTCCTTTACTCCACTACAATGGCTTCCGAAATGCCGCTCCCTATACCACCGCGCACACCAACACCACCTCCTGAAGATGAGGAGCAACCATTCGGCCTGGGGTTCGAGAGTTCACTGTCACCTGCGAAGTTGGGTTTCAATCCCAATGCGCTCTCTCCCATGTCTGCGACTTTCCCATCGGAGCGCTATGGAACGTTAGCCCCGAGTGACTCAGTATCGCAAAGACCTACACCTAGTACTGGCAGCATCTTCAGTCCTACCGGCTCATCCTTTCCATATAGTCCGGCCAGTGCTGCAAGCGCAGCAAGTGAGAATGAAACGAGCGGATCCGAAAATGTGCAAAACCCATTCAACTTCCAGCCAGTCCAGTATATGCCTGGACGACCAGGTCCAAACAAATCAGTGAGCGCCTTCTTCAGCGCCGAGTAGGCATCCACTAAGAGTCGCAGGATATTGGTCGAAGACGTGGGCACAAGTACAAGCACAGTAGCGTGTCGCATCAAATCTTCCTCGAGCCTCCCCCGCGCGCCCCTCTCCAGCTCCCCGCTTCCCTCCCAATTCCCACATTCAAAGAATACCGTTCGAGTATGTCACGGGAGCAAATGCTGAGAGGTGCATGGTGTTTCTGCCATTTATTCGTGGCCGGATTAGTGCAATGGAGCGCTCACGAGTCCTTGGCTCTGACGGTGCTGTCACGCCTGTTATTTTATGACACGCTGGGCGCCTTCCTCTGTGTTGCCGTTGACGTGGGGTCAAACTTCGAGGTCTGGAAACGGTCCACTATCCGTCATCCATTTGGCTTTGAGCGCTCAGAAGTGGTAGCCGGCCTCGGCATGTCCGTCGGCCTTCTCTTCATGGGGCTCGACCTTATTTCACACAGCTTGACACATGCGCTGGAAAACAAAGGGGGGCATACTCCACACCATGCCCACACGCATGAACGGGTATCTCCCGGGAGCATCGACCTGGCTGCACTGAGTGGTATTGTGTCAACACTTGTTTCGGCGATTCTGTTGAAGAATCACTCTCGCATCGGCAAGGTAATGAGGCTTGGCGCGATCGCCAACCTTCCCTCGGTGCTGAGCAACCCTTCTCATTTTCTCACCCTCTCCTGTTCAGCGCTTCTTCTTCTGCTTCCTCTGCTCAGCATCCAAATGTACGTTTGGCTAGACCGAACCCTCTCATTCACGGTTGCAATTGCCATGGTGGCATTGGGATGGATACAGGGATGGGCGCTGGGCAAGATGCTGCTCATGTCCTACTCTGGTCCGGGAGTCTCGGCCGTCTTGTACGACATTGAGACGGACCCGGCTGTGAGCACCGTCGAGGAGGCAAAATTTTGGCAAGTGCATTATGGACTATGCCAGGCCAACTTCAAGCTGCGGGTGCGGAACCTGGAGGAGATGGGCCGACTGCGGGATCGCATCGGAAGCATGGTTCGGAATCGCCTAGGAGGGGGATATGGGAGCGGCGGACAGAAATGGGAGGTCTCGACACAAATCACGTTGGAGAAGGACTGAAGAGACCCCTCCAGCACCTCAGGCACTTGTGCAGGCGTGTAGACGGACGAGCCTATGGAGACTTAGCTGCGAAAAAGTTGTGGCAACCTTAGAATTCAGCTTCGCAGCCCAAGAGTCGCCGGAAGTGGTGGCGAGTTGATGATAGGGTGATTGCTCTAGTTGCTGTGATTGCAATGGGCATAAGCCTGCACGCCTGCACGCCTGCCAGAATGTGCTACTATCATCTATGTTAACAGCCATCTCAACAGTTCCCATCATCTGCCCCTGCTGTGAGACAGCTGGCAGCCGTCGGACATTCACCTGACATGCCAGCCTCCTCTCCCCTGATCCCTGCGCCGCTAATGACCCTGAGCCGGACAGTTGTCGCACTGACCAGCCAGGCACCCGCTCACCTCAGAAGAGCTGTCGGGCGCTTGACTCGTGCACATGCAGCGGTCAGAGTTGTCAGAGAGTGGTCAGCCTTCCGTCCCGATCCAAAGTCGTTGTCGCTGCAGGTGCGAGTTGTCACCATCACACCGATTCCTCTCTCCACACAGTCGCCGCCCCGCACGCCCTCGCCCTGCACCGCTGCCTGAGTGTCTGCCACGCCTGACGCTTGCGAGGCCGGCATCCAGGCACACATTGTAAATACCCACGCACCACCAGGAATGGCCAGAGATCGCGACGAGCGCAATTCCAGGTATTACTACGACGACTATTCTTCCGACGACCGAGACAGGGAGCGGAGGAGCCATCGGCACCGCCATCGGCGCCGCGAGTACGACGACGAAGATTCTGCCGCCAAACGCGAGCGAAGGGAACGACGGCGGGCCGAGGAAGCACGACGGGACACCGAGCTGGACCTGGATGAATTGAGAGCGCGGCGCGCATCGTTCTATTCCCGCCCCGAGCCAGAGAGACGTCGTGAGTCTCAGCGCATGGCACAGGAGATCCGCATTGACAGGGAGAAGACGAAGCCGCGGAGCAGTCACAGGGAGGTCAGAAGAGATGGTACAAGGAGGAAGAAGAGGCAAGAGAAGGTGGGAGATGACCGGAGTGACGACTATGTCTACGGCAGGCCGAAGTCGAGGGGTCTGGTGGAAGAGATCGCGGTCAAGCGGTCATCGGCACGGAGGAGGAGCGACGAGGGCGGTTCATTGAGAAGGGCAGCAGACTCTCCGCGATCGGGGTCAGGCTCGAGGCCTGTCTCCGTGCGGAGAGTCGAAGTGCCCAAGTTGAGCAGGTCAGTCCTCGCCCATCTCGTAAGGCCGAGAATGAGCTGACATCTTCCAGGAGCGTCTCCGCGAGAGAACCAAATAGAGTCTATATGGCGACCAGACCATCCATGCGACGATCTAGCACTCTCAAGCTCCCTACCGCCACCGCAACCCCCATCTCAAGATCACACTCTATGTCTGCCAGGGACTCTGCCAGGGACTCTACCCATGCGCCGCGGAGGAGTACCGGCGGTCTCTTGGCAACCCTTTTCAAGCCTCCCACAAGAGCATCGACCACCGTGCTGCACAAGGAGATACCAAGGTTGGTCAGGTGATACTTTTGGGTCATGCTTCGCTAACGGCTTCGTCAGGGTTCAATGCCTTGTCTGCCTGAACGACGACCTTCTCGCGAACAAAACGGCCAAGCTCAGCTGCGGCCACCGCATGTGCCACTCCTGCCTCAAGCGCCAATTCTCCCTCTCCGTCACCGATCCGCAACATATGCCCCCAACCTGTTGTAACGCCGAACACATTCCTCTGAAACATGTCGAGCGTCTGTTTGACGATAAATTCAAGAAGCTGTGGAACAAAAAATATCAGGAATACACTACCGCAAACCGGCTGTATTGCCCGACCAAAGGATGCGGGGAGTGGATTAAGCCGTCGAAGATACGCATGGACTTGGCGACCAGCAGAAAATACGCTCGGTGTGGTCGTTGCAGTACCAAAGTGTGTGTGTTGTGTAACAACAGATTCCATACCCGGCGGGAATGCCCCAGGGACGAAGAGACAAGCCGTTTCGTGCAGATGGCGAAAGACAAGGGCTGGCAGAGGTGCTATAACTGCAAGGCTATGGTTGAGCTGAAGGAAGGCTGCAACCATATGACTTGGTAAGTTGGTTTTGTTCACATCAACCTAGGGTGTGCTGACGTCAAGCCAGCCGATGTACGGCACAGTTCTGCATGATTTGTGCCCTGCCCTGGAAAACGTGTAACTGTCCGTGGTTCAACTACAATCACCTCAACGATGACGACCGCTTGAATGACATGCGCGTTCCCTACATTCCCCAACAGGATGTAGTCGAAGTCGTAGAATTACCACCCGAACCAGCTCCACACCCCGCACGCCGTGCCAGCACACGGCTTCGACACCGAGTCGACCGTGACTTAGAACGAGCAGACGAGGCCCTTGCTGCCCACCTTCAAGCCCAACTCATCCTCAATAATACCCCAACACATTCAGAAACTCGACGAAGCGACCCCAATGTTCAAGTATATGGTGTGGGAAATTCCGGCACCCACCATATGAATGACTCGTACACGGTCCGACCCCTCGCGACCGCAGCAGCGCGAACCTCCGTCCGCATGTCTACCCCTCGATTCTTCAGCCGCCGCGTTGTCCGCGAATCCGTTCGATCTTCACCCGCCGCTGCAGATGTCAGAGCATCCACCATGGCCGGCCTATCGCGCGACGGAACTCGCCGCGGAGCGAACAGGGTTGGGACATGGCTGCAACATGTCCAGCTGGACCGCGAAGCAGTAGACTCGGCTCCTCGGGGGGTCGAAGTTGATGACTGGAGGGCCGATGGGTCGATGATGGGGATCGATTAAGAACATACGTTGTTGTTTGTTTGCGTTCTTATCAGTTCACTTTTTGCAAGTTGTTGCAGGCTGACATATAGCAAGATGTGTTCTTGGATACACGTGCGTTTGGAAAATCTTGAGAGATCTTGGGAAATCTTGGGAAATCTTGGGAAATCTTGGGAAATCTTGGGAAATCTTGGGAAACTTTGGGAATTTAGGGAATTTTGAGAGATATGCCAGATGCACGATACCCCTGATATTTGTGAGCTTAGTCACGAATTTGAAACGCGTGTATGGGAATTGAGGGAATTGAGGGAATTTGTGAGGCGAGATCCGGCTCAGGTTCATTCTGGAACTGAAATTTGGTGACGTTGGGAGGGGGAATGAGGCGTTGGCAGATCGGAACCCCAAACTTTTAGACTTGGCATGAACTCTCAAGGCGACACAGTGATGTCATCAGCACGCGAAAAGATCAAGCTCCAACGCAAAGCCGCCTAAGAAAGTCAACGACGACATCCTACAGCTACCATAACGGTGCCCCGCATCTTCATCCGTCCGGCCGTCAATTTCCTCGACACCGCTCGCAATGTCGTTTCTTCGCCCAACGATACTGCGTTCCGCCCCTTTCAGATCAGTCCTTTCTATAGCTCGACAAGCCCGAATTCAGACACGCTTCGCGTCCCAAGACTACGGCAGTGGAGCAGGAGATCCTGTGGGCGAGAAGCCGCAAGAGCAGGGTAAGAGCAAGGCGACAGAGAACATTGAGCATCCCGGTCCTCCACCACCACCCAACGTCGGGAAATCCAAATCCCCGTCTTCAAACGAACAGTCGAGTCAATCCCAGTCTTCGGGTAGAAGTGAAGGCAAGTCAGGAGGAGGTGTTAGGGGGAGCAACAAGGAAGTAAAAGGCTCGCAACCAAAAATCTTGAACGAGAGCCCGCCAGGGAAGTACGATGAGGGTGTGAGGCAGCACAATGAGGAGATGGATCAGAGGGCTGAGAGAGCGCATGAGCAAATTAGCAATGAGGATGCGCAGAAGGGCAAGGTGCCGCCAGGCTTCTGGGCAGGTGGGTTGCAGTTGAATGACTACTAAAGCGGCTGACGGAAGCTAACTACGTTCAGGCCAAGGTGGAAAAGATAAAGACCATTGAGGCTGAAATTCAGCACACCCAGTTTGTGCATAGAATGGTCTTTTCGCACTGTTGAGTGATTAGTCCTCGGGGTAGGGTGCATATTCAATGGTGGGATCCATAACGGACGAAGAGAAAACGGGGCATGTACAGCTCTCGTGCCTGAATAATAGGATGCATGGGGGTTGATACTGATCAATCTTGACGTGCGTGCGAGTGACTCTGCATTGTTTGGTGATGTCAGCGGCTTCCATCCATGGGGATCGCCGCAAAGTCGCCATCGCGATGGGAATTTCTAAGAATCCCATCACTGACGCGTCCAAGCTCTCCACTCCTGCGCCCTGATTGGCTCCCTCTCTCTCTTCTGAGTGCAGGAGCTTGTTTGGCCATCTCCACAATGTGCCAACTACGTCACGGATAGAAACTCACCTTGTGTCCTCTCTTAAGCTCCCTGTCGCCTCTTAGTTTCTGGCTACTTTCCCCCTCCCTCTACCTCCATTTACCCATTCCCTCCCACATCCTAATTTCTTCAGTACTAACCTCGGCTGCTTTACGAAAGAACGAGACCTAGAAAAGCATGAAGCTCTCCCTTGCCTCCGCCCTTGTAGTAGCTCTTGCCGCTCAAGGCTCTGTTGCTAGCACCTGGTTCGGCAAAGCTGGTGCGTACCGTATGGGCTCTTTGTTCTCTACATTCCCCCTCGACCCCCCTTTCCAGTGCAGGACTGACTGAAACAGTGTACAACAAATGGCATGAAACCGAGCTTGAGCGGTGGCTCTCCGACCACAACGTTGCCTACCCCACCCCTTCAGACCGCAAAGACCTCGAGAATCTGGTCAAGGACAACTGGCAGAACAACATCATCACTCCGTATAATAGCTGGGATGCCCAGACGCTTCAGAGCTACTTGACCCTCAAGGGCCAGCAGGCGAAAAAGGGGTCGGAGAAGAATACCAAGAGTCTGATTGACCAGGTTAAGGTGTATTGGACTGAAACGGAGGATTCGGCCAACCAGGCCTATGGCAATGTTCGTGATTGGATCTTCGACAGGTATGCCTCTACCTCCTTCTCAAACGCCCTGTATACTGAATGAAATTATAGCTGGACCGATTCTCAGCTGAAGGCCTTTGCCGACAAGCATGGCATCCCCGTCCCCCAGCCCCGTCAACGTGACACTCTCCTCAAGACGCTCCGCGAGAACTACCAATCCGCTGCAAACAAGATCTCCGAGACGACCTCTTATCCCGGCGACTGGCTCTACGAGAGTTGGTCGGAATCTGACCTCAAGGCTTGGCTCGACGAGCGTGGCCTCCCTGCCCCCCAACCGTCCTCTCGTGACAAACTCATTGCCTCTGTTCGTCGCAATTCTCGGCTCGCCAGCCTGAATATGCAAGCCGCCTACTCCTCAGCTGCTTCCTCAGCTCAAGCTGCAAAGCAGAGCCTCAGCGATGCTCTTCTTGACTCGTGGTCCGATAGCCAAATCAAGGAATGGTGCGACAAGAACGGTATCAACGTTCCCCAAGGCTCCAGGCGTAACGAGCTCCTTGCCCTCGCTCGAAAGCACCGTGCCCAGCTCATGGGTGACAACGTCTCTGGCACTGCAGCTAGCGCCTATGGTGCTGCTACCTCCAAAGCAGGCAACCAGTACAACGCGGCCGCCACGGGCTTCGCTGGATACACATACTGGATCAAGCAGCAACTTGGTCTAGCTACCGGCCCCGCCGCCAGCTTCAGCAGTGCGACTTCCGCCGCTTCCAAGTCGGCTGCTAGTGGCTCAAAGTCCGCTCAGAAGGTCTATGATGCCGCTACTGAGAGCGCCATAAAGGCTACCGACCGTGTCAAAGAGGAGTTGTAAGTGCGATGAGCATGCGGGTTTATCGTTTCTTAGATGACACACACTGGAGCCTCTTTCATGAGTGAGCTTGTTTACGGTTCTCTAACGCATCATTCACGAGATTATGACCTAAGCCTTCCACTGGTTGGGTGGCTGGGTGGTGAAAACTAATCCTGTATCTTTACTTTGGGCAATAAAACGATCGAACGAAAACCACCTTAGGCCTTGGGCTCTTTCTAAATGGAGGGTGGCCTTATTAATTTTGGGAATGGAAATGGATTGCTTTGGAGATTTCTTTCCTAGGTTGGGTGGATGGCATCTAAATAGTATGACGTAGTGAATGAAACGTCTTGGCCTGCGACTGAAGATGATATTCACGTAACTGTGCTTGCGCTTCCAGGGGGTGCTTTTAGAATGGTCAGGAAAGAACGGTGGCCTCTGATCGGTATAGTAGCAAGGTAAGTGCGGACTGAGAAGTGAGAGGCAGCAAGGATGAAAGAGTATGGCACGCTAACCGCTGTCTCTCATTGTACCCAGCACTCCATTGATATGGTCTCACCAAGAAGGGAATGTACCAGAGCTATCATTCGTCACACGCGGCAACCTTACGCAGCATATATTATGCCTAGTTATTCTCTCTGCGACTTCCTCTTTCACTTCCACTCACCTTCTCTCCAAACCACCAACCACAGCCATGTCTCCCCAAATAGCCGATCGAACCGCCAAATACCTATGCATAGTACTCCATACACACAACGAACAAGACAGCTCAACTACCACAATGGAATCCGCAAGTTTTAACAACCCCAACACTCCACTTGATGACGCCCCTCCTGCCGTCTGCGTCTTCGGCATCGCAGAACTCCTAGAGAACATCCTCCAATATCTCCCATTCAAGCAACTCTTCTACCTCCGCCGCGTCAACAAGATTTTTAGACTGGTTCTGACTGACTATGATCATGCACCCCTTGCACGACAAGTGTTCTGTTCACCAATCAAGAAACCACCATTTGTGCCAGTGGAAGTCCAGGGCAAACTCGCTACAATGCAGGAAATGGAGAAAGTGATGGAAGAGTGGCAACGCGGCCTTTGTTTGCCAGAGCACATCCAGTGTCAAGTGGTATTCTGCAAGCGGTGGAGGATGATGCATAGGGTTGCGGATCCAGCATACATCAACCCCATTTTCAAGCGGCAATGTCTTGGGATTGAAGACGCCTTGGGGGATACCAAACGCGCCACTGATACCGGCCCTCCTGCTAATATCGATCCCGCTGCTGATGTCGACACCACTGGCTGGGGAGTGTCTTGGTACATTCCTCCACCTCTGCCACTGCCACCTCCAGAACCGCAACCTCAGCATCCAAAGGCTTGTTTGGAAATTATAGGCACCCGCGCTATCTTCCTCACATTGTCCAAAAACCACCTAGAATCCTTCTTCTCGCTAGACCGAAACACCAGCCCAGAAGCTAGTTGGCGCAAAACGTATCTAACGAATCCTCCAGTCAAGCGGTTTGAAGCTTTCAGTATTATTCAGGGAGATATGGTCGAGGATGACGAGGGGGTGACATTGGAGATGGTGGCGAGGCATTTGGAGGAGGTTTTTGTGAGGGAGGAGGAGGGGAGAGGGGATGATTTGGTTGGGGTTGGGGCTGCAGTTGCAGTGAGGAGATTTGAGAGATTAAGGGTAGAGATTGAGAGGGCGGCGGATGAAGGGGGTGCGTAATGTAAGAGTGTTGGGACGAAGAAGTGTGTAGAGGTTGGATGAGGATGCTGGTGCGCTAGTCGAGGATTGTAAATTCTGGTTAAGGAGTTAAGCTGGTTGGGCTTGGATACACATCCTCTAAGATAGAGGCCGCGCAAAAGAAAGAGGGAGAGCAGTTTGCGGTTGGAAGTTCAGAGACGCGGGACATCTCAGAGTATTACACCGTGCCTGAGTAGATGCTTGGGCGTTTGGGTAAATTATTCTACTCAGCAGAAGCTCGTATTGGAGCAGATAGGTGCGGTGAAGAGCAATTGCCATTTCCTCCAAGTTCTATCTAACTTTATCTCATTTCGGTTATCAACATCTTGCAAGTCAATGATTACAATTCAAGCTGGAATGCCCAAGCACTTACTGGCTTTATGGTCAGTTCGGATGCCGGAGAGTCAGCTGAGAATTTCAGTATCCATATTCTAAGCAGGATTTAAGAATTTCGAGAGCGGTACGTGGCACTTCTATACTACTCGCGTAGCTTTAATAGGTTCCCTCCTTCTTACATTTGCCATCTACTGTTGTAGCCTTACAAAATCACTGACGTGAAACGTCCTTTAGTTAAGCCGTTTCCCATCGCTAGGAATTAACGCTCCAGTTCCCCAGTCATAAGAACCAGAAACTGCGTCGGACCTCTAGCATCCTCTCCCTTTAGACTCCCCCACCACACTAGCACCGCAAACCTGCTCTCTGGGACCTTCTGCCTCCTAATGCCTTGAGTTCCCTTAATATCGGAATGAACTTTCTTGGTTTACTAGCTCTGGATCTCGCATCTTTAAATCCTGGGGTTCCTGGTTCCACGGATCCTAATGCCACAGTTTTGACGCCATCTGTTGCCTGAGGCCTTGATGTCACGGAACTTTAAAAGCATCCTCATCTACCTCACCATGAGTGGCGTTCCTGCAATGCTTAAAGTGTGAACAATTGCTAGAGGAACGACACCTAAGGGTCTGTTTAAATTAAATGTAACTGTTTTCTTGCAACCCTGAAGCCGGGTAAGGATGACGAGGACCCTCGCTTTGTCAACTGCGTCCCAGCGAAGCCATTTAATATAACCCAAGAACCCATTCTTAAAGGCGTCCACGTCGAATTCATGTCGCCTGATGGAACGCAGGTTCCTTCAGAGTTTTTCGAATAAGCTCTGTCAGAATCCGTTTTATGCTCACCAATAGATCTTCCATTCCATCTTGCACTCTACTGACTACTTCGCGAAACCATCCGGACTGATTTCGTAGTTAAGCGGTATTATGAAAGCTGCCACCATATACGATACGTTCCAGACTTCGCATCTCCTTCCAGACTTGAAGAATCTAAACATTTCACATAGCGTTACAGATACGGAAGCTATCTTATGCTTCACTTGGAACCCGGAACACTGAGCTATTTGGATGAATAGGTGGGCTCGCAATGCTTACGCAGCTGCGGAGAAACCCGAGAAGAGATGGGGAAAGGACTCCAATGTATCTGATACTATGGGCTGTGCGTGAGGTCTGTTCATGGCATCTCTATGTCTGAGCTCTCGTCCGCCACCCTATTGATATACATCAATAAAGCTCCTCCAAAACAGTAAATCTCAACCTCTGGATTCTTTCCCGTTTTCTAAACTAGTGGATCTTCCGAGACGAAGTACAGTGACCCGACGTGATTCGCTACCCTGCCAAACCTTCATCGTAACTCACCTGGCTGCCTTTGACCTAGTGTCATCGTCGCCCCTTGACGTTATCCTCTTCTAAGGAACTAGATGCGATCGCGCGAACCTTACCGTCAGCTCCCCACTTGTAGGACCGTCTGTTCAACCATAACCCGACCTTCCACTTTCAACTCTTGAGTGTAGATGTCGATACCTTTAATTAAATTTTCTTGATCTTAGTGCCCTTGGAGTACCATGGATCCACAATCCGCAGCCGCAGAGGCGCCATACTCTCCAGTGCTGATGCACCTAATATTAGCGACCTTTGGCAGAAGAAGCAGAGAGTGAAGTAGAGGGGTAGTAAGGGTCCTTTTGAAAGTCATCCTAATGTATCAAGTCTCATAAATATGTAACTATTTCTGCAGCTCCCAAAACCCTGGCAGCTATCCTCCAACCCCCCGACATACACCCCGAAAACCGCGCAATACTACGGAGCCAAGAATCTTAGGACCCCTCATTTCATACCGATGGTAGATACAAGCGAGCCCAATAAGCCGCCACCGCCCTAATAACGGACAACAGAGCGAAACTCATTCAAACTGTCAAGGACTATTCAGGGGCGACCAAAAGACGGATATGAATTCTAAAAAGGATGCCGATATTGCAATTTTGATTGCAGAGTTGGAAGTAGAGGCCTGGGCGTCCCGTAAAGATGCAGGTGGAGGAAGCCCAGGCGCCAAGGGCTTCAAGCTCGGAGGCTGTCAGCAGGAATCCCTGATCACAGAATAGTCCTGCTATACTGTGTAGCGGGCACGCAAGTCAGCTGTCTCCCTTCTCTCGTGCCGAAGCTCAAGATTGCGGAAAACAGTCCCCCCAAATAAGCGATTGCGTTTTGCGCCGGAAAACGGCCCTATGTCTTTATCAAGCCTTACCTCCTTTCCTAGCGTTGCACTCCCCGGCACACCAAAGAAACGCCTCCGCTTCGTCGACAACGACAAGTAGAAGCAGAGAAAGAAGCTCAAGATTTTAAGCCTACCTCCTATGTTGTAGAAAGATAGACACAAGACAAATGACCTATAAAGCCACTTGGGAGCGAATCCTAGGTCCGGATGAATCGAGCCGCAACGTTCCGGCAGAAAACCCCTCAACCTTCCACTGTCTCAACTCGCCAGAATGTCTTGAACACAAGGGGGAATGGGCCTAGTTTCTTAATGGTAAGCTGAATAGATATGCATTTGCAGCGCAATTCATCAAGTTACTGCCACCAGGTTTCACTGACTTCCCGAGAGACTCAAGGGGAAGCGCTCTCCGCCACTTGAAAATCCTTAACGCCAGCCCACTAAGCCCCCATTCACAGCGCTCACCAAAACGACGAACGCTCACCGATGTCCTGCTGAAAGCGCTTCCCCAGCCCCCAGTCAATTAATTACTGGAGTCGATTGTCTCAGGATTGAAGCTCTCGGTCGCAATACCGCATTCCAACGCCTCAGCCGCGGTCGCGCACCAAAAAGCCCCGTAGGGGAGCTACTAAGCACATAGTTAGTAGCACTGAAGTAGTACGCGAGACTGAATGCCGTGCTCCCAGAAAAGGAGAGACAGGGGGGAATCCAATCTTCAGAAAACCGCGCGCTGCTACGATTCTCTCTGGCATTGGGTGACAACCCACAAGCCTAGCGTCCCGTGATCAGCAAAATAGCGCAAGTTACTTAGTTGCTGCGCTCGTTCCCCGTGGCCGCGATTCCCGTGCCGAGGCCACCATTAGGGAACGTAGAGGGTGTCCGGCGACAGATGCAGGGTTTGGGAGGAGTGGTCCGAAATATGCCGCAGACGATTAGCAATACAGCTGTAGCATCCGCGCATAGGAATCCCGTTGACTTTAGGGGTGAGTATGCGGAGAATTCGGATCTGGGATTTAGCCTCGCAATGTGGGAGTCTGCAATCGATCCTACGGAAATGGATTATGAGTGTGTTGGTAGGAGTATGATTTGATAGATTGGAAGAAGTGGAATATGAGGAAAGTTGAGGTGAAAAGTCTGACTGTTAGCTTAATCACACCGGTAGAAGAGATTAGATTGACGGAGAAGCACAAAGATATGGATGGATATCGTAAAGGATCATAAACTTTGTTAGGAATTGCAATTGTGGAATAAGACAGGAAGTGCAATAGCAAAGGTGCTATACTACATAGCGCAAAACTGAACAATCCTGGAGAGCCAATGGCTCAACCCTACTCTAACACCCTCATGGCCATTCATTGGAACAGGCCTGAATATCCATTTTTTCTTGCGGGAAATCGATGAAGAGATCACCGCCATTGCAAATTTATCCTAAAACGCATCGACCTACGAGCTCTCTGGTTCCAAGTCGTCTGGCGGTGGCTCCTTGTCGGCTACGATATCTGCCTTCTTCTCCACCTCTTCACCCTTATTTCCAAACTCGAGAAGAAGCTGGCCTGATGCCTGTAAAAACCCCCTGGCATCCTCTATATCTCGTCTGCTGCGTTCCTTCAACATGGCCGGGAGGTTCTTCTGCGCAACGACCCTTTCCATCTTCGCGATCTCGCCTTCGGGTACCTTCCTCCGTTTCTCCAGCCTGTCAATCGACAGCTTCGGACTATGCATCTCGGCATTGAAATCTTTAAGCTTCGGTACCCAGATCTCATCCTTCTCGAGCGCCTCTTTCTGCTTCAAAGCATTCATCTAAAGGGATATTTCAACACGACACGAAGCGGCATCATAGCACAGCTGGGGATACGTCACCCGGAGGAGCAGTATTTCTCAGCCTAACAGGGCTTTGGTGGCATCATCGAAGGTATTATGGAGTCGATAGTACTCATTTTCTTTCTGGGTGATCTGGTATAAAAGATAGTTCGCTACTTTTGCGACATCGTCATGCATCTTCGGTGATTTCGCGATTTCGGTTTTTGCTTGACCGCTATCGAAGGCTTAAATGATTTAAAGATAGTCAGGCGCTGTTTTGTAGTATGACTTGTTTTCTTCTGGAGCAGGAACGGGGTGGAGTGGATACCCTAACGTCCGGGAACGAGCTTCGGTAGACGCTTTCGATTTGTTTACGGTTTCGTTGACATCCAGCGGAAGATCTTTCGCGTGGAAGACACACATTCCTAGCGCATACGCCTGCGCAATAGGATGCAGAGAAGACCAGAGCAACCGATTAAAATACATAGCATGGTATTCCCAATTTCGTGGGCGCTGTTTTCGGAGTACTTCGAGTGCTTTCTGGTATTCGCCAGTGTACTGAAAGTATGCCATGAAAGCCGTTATTCCAGAAAACGCAGCAATGTTTGTCATACCAGCGCACCGTGCCAGGAAGGAGCTGTTCGTGCGACCTGACAAGATTCCAGAGACAAGACCCAGACTAGTGCCAGCGAGACATGCGTCATCAATGGTAACCTAGCTATTGTTCTCCCAGAGCTTCCAAGGTGAAACTTTCTCCAGTTTCCACTTCGAGTTCATCATGATCGGCCAGACGAAGGAGTAATTGTAGTTGTAGTTCACGAAAGCTCCCGAGACCGCGAATACAACGCCGAGCCTTGCAGACGGTCTCACGAAGAGTGCTGGGGCTGATATGGTGGATGCGGGGAGCGCCACTCGTTTGAATCGGGTAGAGGCATAGGTGTACGATGCTGCCAGAAACGTAGAAGCACAGACGGAGATTGGAAGCGCGCGATTCGCACTGAGAGGGCCAGGTCTTCATTGATTGATTGCGTGTTGACCATTTTCTAGGCGCAGTATTAGAGGAGAATTGGACGGTGGAGGGCATGGGGAACATACCAGGCGGCACGAGCAATCAAACCATGATGGGGGTTCGGTGTTGCAAGAGGATATTGCAGCTTTACTAGCCTGTCAATAGCGAGGTTAGAAGCGAAAGAGGCGTTCAAGGGCTTCGAAAAGCTATCCCGGAGTGGGTACTTATGCAAGCATGTGTTGATCGCCCGCATAGGCGATATCTAAGCTCATTGTGTTAGGTGGTGACACGAGCAAGCCACCTATATGCCACTCAGTGATTCGAGTCAGAAGATCCTTGGACCGATCCTAGGAGCCCTTGCCAGTGCATTACGTTCAAAGATAAAAGAGGATATTAATGGATGCGTTGCGTCTTAGTCCCTACATTTGCGGTATTTAGAAGATAGGTGGTTAGTTCTTAAAGCTGCAGGGGAACTAGTCCCCCGGCCCTGTCCCATAAGCGATCTAGTCTGTTTTAGGGCTAGGCTAGCATGTTATCTCAAGAGTGCAAGCAGCTAGGTTGAGGTTCAATCTCGAGTCTGCATGCGATATTCACCTCCTGAAGTCTAGGGTCTCGAGCTACATGCATATTAAAACGATGGTCCTATGTTGAGCCTACTCAGTGACCGAGGTATTACACACTTGATACATGTACATTTTTTCCCTCCGTAACACCATCGCTATCCCAGTGGATTCAATCCAAAAGACATATGACAAACAAACCTCCGTAACCCAGACTCCTGCACACTATCCCATGATAATAAAATCCATTTTGACTCGATACTTTTGGATCCAACAATGATGGTGACAGCTTAGAGATTATCGCAAGTTCATTGAGATTTTCATATCATCGGAGCGCAAGAACTCGAACAGACCCTCGTTCAACCTATCCAATCCCGCTCTGAACAAATGTTCAGTACCTTCGGTCTGTGTCATCATAGCAAAAGTCTTGCACAAGAGGTCCTCAGGCGAAAGAGTCTGACTGCCAACCTGGGTTTTCAACGCCTTCCACTTGAGATGGATGACGCGCAAGTCGTTCATCGCTAACAATCGGTCAACCATTTCCGGGGCTCGGACACCTGGCTGAATTTCCATGGCTTGTCGGAGTTGAGCAATCTTCCGCCGCTCATCGATCCACGCGAGAAGTACGTTCCCTTGGTAGGTGTAAAGATGGCCCATTTGGGCTTGGAAGATTGGGGTGTTGTGCCTCCAGATCAGTTCGAGCATCTGAAAAAGTCCGCGTTCGTTGAACTGAGCGCCAGTCTTGGGATGGAGGTACTTCATGAGCGAGTCAAGGAGCTCGAACTTCATAAGCTCCAGATCAGCCGTAGCGGGTACCATGGTCTCGCCACTATTTTCGCGGTTTAGGCTATGGGTGTTATGCTGAGCATGAGTTCCATTCGGCGTATGCGATCTGCTGAGCGCATGGGGGCCGGTCGGCATCTGAGGGATGTTGTGGCCATTGGTTCCACCTGGAGTATGGGTGCGATATGGAATAGGAGGTCCATTGGGGTTAGGTGCAATAGCAGCATATGGAGAAGCGAAGCCATTCTGAGCCTGCGTACTATGGGCACTGGACGGGGCGGAAGTATGATGAGCAAAGTGACCATTGGGAGCGTTAACAGCAGTAAACGTTGGGGGAGCTGTTGAAGGACTGTCGGAAGAATTAGCAGGCCTCGCTACTCCATTCAACGCATTACTGGATAGTGGGCTAAGCATGGGACGTCCACCAGCGTCGATGTGTGTCACAAGTGTCACAGGACTCGGTTGATGGTTAACTTGACCTGGAAGCGGTGGGGCATTCTCAGTGCTAGGACTAGCTGTAGCTAGAGATGGTCGCGAAGCTTTTCTTGGAGCAGCATCAAATCCATTAGGGTTCGGACGTTTTTTTCCACTGATGAGGCCGGATGGAATGACGGCATTGTTGCCTTCGCAACTTGGAGCCGACTCAGGAATAGAGCTAGTCCGTCTACTTTCTTCGGCTAATTGCAGAGCGTCAGCAGGGAGAGTGGGTGTAGACGACGCTGGAGGTTTCAGAGTAATGGGCTGTGCTGTCGCATTCGTTTCCTATGCATACGACTTTAGTGCTCTTCACTTTCGCATAGTGGATGAGTCAGATTACCGTCACGTGTTGCTCTTGGCCATTCTCGGGGTTTCCAGGATTGATTGGAGTAAATGGCGGGGGTGGGGTTGCGTTGCTTCCCTAAGGCTAATTTAGAAGACATTAGAGTTGGATAGCAGGATGCGTCTTACCAGGACTGCCTTCGGCTCAGTTTCCGCAGGCTCCAGGTTTGTTGGAGCATTGGGTTGCTGCGCCGCATTTGAAGCCTGCAACACCGTTAGACGATTCTGCAAAAGGAAAAAGCAACTTGGAAAATTCACCAATAATCGCGACGTTCGCCTCGTCCTCGGGCTTTCGCTGATGGCCGGAAGAGTAGGCTGCGGGGACCCATCGTGATTCTGTCTCTCGCTTAGATTGCTTCGAAGTTTCGCAGCGGAGATCCGGACCTTGACCAGCAGCTGTGGCTTTGGGCTTAAGATCGCATAACCTTCACGGTCACTGTCGATAGGCGCGCTGCCATCTTCAACTCCCGACTTTCTCTTCAGTCGTATGTTTCGGATGTAGTAGCATGCTTTAATGACGATCCAGCGATGAAGGTGTATCTTCAGTCTGTCGCCACATCAGTAAAACGGCGGAAATGCGCAATGCGCGGGGTATCTGACATATTCCTATCCTCAGTCTCCTCAACAAAAAGGTCCTTGAAATAAGTTTTCTTGGAGGCATCTGGCTTTAAGAGGCGGCTGCGGTTCGCGTCGCGACCCCAGATGAGGGTGCCTAGCGAATCCAGCAATTCATCCAGTTCGCCGTTTAGCGACTCTGGATCAGCAGCGAAATCGAGAAGCGCATCACGCTCTTGCGGGAGCTCTTTCGATAATTTCGCAACTTCATTAGAGAGCTTCTGATAATTTGGCTCGTCGAACTTGGGAATTCCACGGTTGCTGTTGTAGCTGGATGCGCAGAGCCCAAGCCCGAGGCACTCGGTCACCTCACGGATGGTTGGCTGATGGCTAGAGAACACGGTGACCCACTTTTCCCTGCTCCAGCGTTGAGGGGGAGGGCCGTCCATCTCAACACACTTTCGGGGAATAAGACAAAAGAAGCATAAGGGTAGGGGAGGTGAGAAGTAGCAGAGAGGCGCGGGCGACCGAGGAGAGTTGGAGGGAAAGTAGTCAGAGGGTCGCGGTAAGGAGTAGAAATCTAAGACGACTAGCGTATCTCGCGAAGGAAAGTGCCAAAACCAAACAGGAGTCGCAATGGTGGGCGCTGGTCCAATGGCGGACTTCGCAGATAAGGCAAAGCAGGGGTTGCTTTATTGACGCCTTGACGCAATTAAACCTTCGGAGGCGATGGAGTGATAGAGGCTTGTCGGATCACAGGGAACGCGCCGAACTTTGCCAATCTATGACTCGCGCTATACTAAAGCAACGCCTTGATTGGGTGGGAAAACCGGCCTCGACCCTTGTCGGCTTATGTAGACTGAACATTAATAATTAGATTTACTTTTTATCCTTGGTTTACAGTACACGGGCGGATTAATGCGCGAGGTGATTGTTCAAGGCCTGCCTAGCTTTCGGGTATGTGCTCCCCATGATGACACGCCAATGCTCAGCTCTCCGTACTTGTGTGAACTGTCCAAAGAACCTAATTATCTACATAGAAAAGTTTGGTTGCCTGCTCCTCTTCTCCAGGCACTCCTAAAGTCTGCGCGTCGATCCGGCCGTCGTGATTAAGGGCATTCACTGGACCCCAAATCATATCTGCAGTATTATTTGACCCAGCAAGCATAATGAAGGCCTGCACCAACAACTCGTTTGCGGACATTTTCGGTGCCCAAAGCACGTTAAGTCCTTCACCGATCCTCTGCCAAGAACGGCATAGCCTTTGAAATGAATTCGCAAGGCCAATAGCCAGTTCCTTGTCTAGTTTCGCATTCCCGTCGATAATACGGATAGCTCCTAGGAAAGTCCTTCGAATTTCGATCCACGTTAGGAACGCCTCATCTCTAGCAGCAAACAGGATTGGGCTATGTAACAGCCGATTGTAGTTAGTCCTTGCAATGTCCCTCCAAGCCTTCTCTAGGCGGAGTAGGAGAAGGTCTTCATCCATTTGCTGGCCGGCTTCAGATGGGTATACGTATGTACGCAACGCCTGTAGAGTCTCCGTATCAAGCGAGCGAAGGGCAGGGTTGCCTCCAAACCGAGCATGGTCGTTGTGTGATTCTGTTTGTGGGATTGCGTTCACAGCCAAGCCATGTTCATGTACATTTTGGACCTCGCGATCATCCAAGAACAAGTTTGATGCGAATGCTGCAAGGTCTGATGCGGCTTGGCGAGAATCCATTTGCGATAGAGTATTTACGTGGGTGGGTGCATTATTTCTTTCCCTTAATGTGAGGCTATTGTATCCGATCGGAGGGCCATGCTCGTTGGGGTTAGGACTGTGTCTTGATATCGGCGGACTGTCACTTGCTAGTGATGGACTACAACTAGTCGAGCGTCCTTGATCTTGCAATACCTGAATTGGCGTCTGCACCTCACTTCCAAGTGCCAGGTGTGGTGATGGGGTGGATGTTGTTGCGACTCCAGTGGATATTTCGCTGTTATTCAGAAGTTCACCAACTGTGTCATTCGAAAGGTTGCCGACACTGTCTTCGTTCCTCTCCCGCCGTTTACGAGCATACCGCTCACGAGCAAATATCACGTTGGAGGCCTTTTGTCCTATCCACCAGTGGAGTAAGACTCGTATACTAGAATTTCATTAAGTGGCAGAACGTCATGTGATGCGGTTCGACTTACGTCCGCCGGTCATCCTCATCCTCGAAGAATAAATCTCTTGGATATAATTCCGCGTTTACACGTGGCGTTCCTGCTCGCAGGAGGTGAGGTCTTGAACCTGAACGCCCCCAGATTTTTGAGCCATGTTTGCTCAGTAGCTGATCCAGTTCGTCACTAAGACTGTTGGGAGAAGATATGAAGGTGATAAGGTCTTCGGGATCGTCCGGTATAATTCCCACTACGCGATCGATATCCGAAACCAGCGCTCTAACCTCCGGGTTGTCGAAGTTGGTCTTGCCTCGTTTGCCTTGGTTTTTGTTTGTCCGAAGGCCTAATGCCTCAATTATCTCGTGCATTTTGAGCCTAGGGTTCTGCTTCAATGTCCTCCTCCATTCTTTCTCATTGGCGTAGTCCACGACTTCCCCACTCATGTTTGCGGAGGAGTGATTCCGTGCGCTGCGATCTTTATTCTCGGGGAGACCCTCGTGCATTGGAGTCGCAAAAGGTACACCACATGATTATAATAACAAAACGAACACCAAGCGACAAGACAATGAGGGTTGACAAAGGAGAGTGAAATCATGCGGGTGAGAGTCGCGCGTTTCATCCGTGAAGATTAGCTCAAGCCATGCCGCGCTATTCTAAGCGAGTAAGCCACGGTGCTGCGCCACAGGTACGGAGCCGAAAAGCCTCGACTCCATCAACGCTCGGCCCTGCAGCGTACATTAATCTGTTCAATCATACAGTTGCCACAAGATGCTTTTACCTAAGATCTAGTCCTATATATCACAGATTACTCTCTTTCGTGCCTCAATTGTATTTATTTTGATCAGATTATAAGCCGGAGAGACTGGCGCAACCTCTTTTAGAAGGGACTACTACAAAGATAAGGATCGACAGGTGTGAAACGGAAGCAATTGAAAAAGAAGAGATGAAAACAAAGATTACCACAAACTCGACGTATAAAACCCCTCGAATGCCGCCCACAAGTGCCTCCAGATACCAAAGTTGCTTTCTCACCGGAGCCATCTAGTACCCGAATTCCTCACTCTAACTCAGCAAGTTTTCATTGAACTTGGCAAGACAATTTCCCCAGAGGTCTCCACCAAGCTTACGACTAGTGGCAACAACTAATAAACTAGCTAAATATTCCGAGAGCTTCGTTGCTCTGCAACTGCTGTCCAATTTCCGCAACATAATCCACCCGTGTGTTAAGTTAAATTTCAGCCGGTTCAACTTTTGCCTGTTTTTTAACTTTGATTCCCACTCCTCGAGAGGTAATTGGATGCGCCTTAGCTAGGATGTGAGCGCGTTACCTTGCCCATAGTCCTAGCCTCGAAACGCCAGCGGATCCGTAAGGACTGCTGCTTGCTTGGCGCCCAAAGTCTCTAGGACCATATCTCTTTAATTTTTATCTTTATCCCCATCCTAACTATTTGTCAACATCCTTCAACACTGCCTACATATTTCTATCATTCTCTAGTTTAATATTCCAGAGCATCCAGTTTCCGAACTCTACCAAGAGGAGGCATCGAATATGATCTCATATCTCAGCCATGGCACGGACAGCGTTTTGGTTCTCGATATTGTCCCCCGCATTAACGGGTTAAGTGTCGGCGTCAGCCGGAGAGGAACCAGTGCCAGAGGTCGGTTCTGGGGAGGAACTTCCACTGTTCTCGGAGAGCCCTGAGGGACTATTGTATAGAGGGGAGCTTGATTGGGCTTGGGTGACATGGCGTTGAGAATCCCTAACAAATGGAGATGGGGGCGTAGAAGTTGGGTTTAGCTGTTCGGGTGCTGCTGCTGATATTGGCAACGGCTTCTTACCCAGCGTGAGAACCACAATAAGACGTTCACCTGCGCAGTTGAGGGTTGTCAGACCATGGAAGAAGTTTCATGCCAAATGAATATACCAGTCTGAGTTTCCTTCGGTTCGGTGATTATCGCGGTCCACTCTGCAACGCGAGCACTGCGGAGTGTAGCAGGTGACTCCTCGAGACCCTCTTTATTGTCCGTGTCTCCAGTCAATGCCCGCTTCCGGTGTGTAGGCCTGTATTCCTTGCCATCTGTTACATGGTGCCTTCATTTAGCGGATTTCTTGGAAGTGGGGACTTGTACTCGTTCGAAAGTATCACTGCTGGTGTGAAGCAACGATCAGCTGCACGGTAGGTATGAAGCTCGGGTGTGGGAACATGTTGTCTTCGACCTTCTGGTTCGAGCATCAGCGGAGCCTTTTGCATAGCACTAATGCTAAAGCTGCAACTTTCTCCTTTACTAAAAATGTTGGCGGAGAGTTAGCATGATAGGCAGAATGATACGTACTATCCCCAGTGGGCTAGATCGTTGGCGATTAGATCCAGCGCTTCCAACGAGGCGTAGTACTGTACAATTGGGTGATTTTGAGGCCTATACGAGTGAGATGTTGAGTACGTTCGTACGGCAGGGCGGAAGAGAGGTAGGTGCACGTATCGTAACTGTTACAGTTCACGTGATCTGGACAAGTAGTACAATTTAATTAAAGTACGTTGTACTCTAGTTAAAACAGCCAATATTATAAGTCTCTAGAGACGCAGGATTAAGGTCTAAATAGCTATTAAAGAACTAATTCTTCTTAGTAACATAAGCAGCGAGGTCTAAAAGCTTACTGCTTACTACTTTATTCTGTAACTAGTTATTCTAGAGTTAAATAGCCTTAATTATTGCACTTTTTAGTAAGCCTTAATTACTAGTTACTGTATAACTAGCTGCACTAAAACACTTCCTGTGTCACGATCAGGCTTTGACCTTGGCCGCTTGCGGCCATATCGGACCAGAATGGACAAAGAACGATTAACCAGATGCAGCGAGGTATTGAAGAATGTAGTAATGTATAGAATAAATAAGTAGCGTGTATATAAGTAGTAGCGAATCTCTGCCTTAGAGGGCAGCGATTCCTCTAAGTCTTTTACCTAAATCCTAACTAACTATTCAAGGTTTGAATAAACTAAGTTAGATAAGAGCAGTCTAGCCTGTCTTCGTGTGTATTGTACACCTTCATTTCGAAATCTTGCACTTATAGCTAAGAGTCTAACAGCTATATATTATTCTAGTTAATTATAAACTTAACTATAGTGTTATAATTACAGTCCTCTAGGAACTACTACGATTAATTTTTAGCCATAGACAGTGTACTATCGCAGATTAAGGCAGAAGATGTAGTGTAGAGGGTTTTTAACTTCTGCAGCCTACAAGACTGCGTAAAATAGATAATAGAGGTATCTAATTAACTAAATAAGGCCTAAGAGGCAGTAAAGCGGGTAACGAGATAACTCTATAATAGAAAATAGTTAGTAATAGGCATTCTTAAGACAACAGACTTTAGATAGATAAATTAAAGACTTAGAAAGAGATTTATGTGTTCTTATAAAACTTTTAGCTAATTAGAGCTTTAGAAATCCCTCTAAACTCTCTTATAAGCCCACTCCTCACTAGAGCCCTCTTACTTCTCTAAAATTGCTATACAAACTTCCTAAAAGGGTAATACAGTCTGTACTACGTACTGTACTTAGGGTATCATTAAACGTACGGTACGGCTCACGAACTCGGTACGTTTGTACTGATCACGTTACCGTTGCGGTTCACTTTGTACGGACCGTAGTACGGCCCGTTGGAAGCACTGATTAGATCCATACTATACTCAAGGTTTGGACCTCTTGCTTGCAGTAGATGGGAGTTCTTTTTCGGACCCGCGAAGCGGGCTTTCTAGAGGCACGCCCCATATCTTATCAGCAAACGTCTCCATCAGTTCGTCGAGACCAATACCCCTCTCGTTCTCGAATCCCAAGCGGAATTGGCCGCAATGTAGCGGGAGGCTGTTAGCGATCCTGGAAATCGATTCGTTTAGCTCATTCGCTCCGGACTTGGGTGGGAACTTAAGTGCTCAAGCGCTGGGATCCAAACGGCGGAGACCCATGGCCTCAATAATCTTCCCAATTTTCGGGGCCTTGGTACTGAAATATTGGTGTAAGATGATGTCTCTAGTCGCTGTGTGAATTTTGAAGGCCTCTCGAGAAGACATCTTGGCAGTGAAAGATAAAGAATACTGTAGCAAGGTTGGAAGCTAGGGGGACCGTATGTCACGTCTACGGCGGGAAAGAAGGCTGCCAGGCATGGTTGGAAGTATCAGTGTAACGGTTGTGTAGGCGATATGTTTCATACCTATTTTCATCGACTGCTCTGGTACCGCAAGAGACACTTAACCCTTGACCACATTCGTTTGCTTCTAGTTAATGGTTGCCTAAATTAGCTCACTCTATAGTAGCTACACGATATTCTCTACCTGATATGATCTTCTACCCTGACCCTCTCACCTCGATACGTTTCTCAATACCATTATAGAGGAGCGTTGCTAATTCTACTCTCCTTGATTAGAGCTTCACAGGCAGAACACAGTCCCATCCCCCATTTTCATTTGCCACACTATTCTATTAGGCTCACACTCATCACATAACAGCTACTTCTCCTAATCACGTCTCTCTTTTCTTTTCCTTCTGTGGTAGGCTAGATTTAGTCTCTACAAAAAAGCAGAGGCCCTTAAACGCGATTTTCAGATCCACTCCGTTGAAATAGAAACTTGTGAAAAGTTCTCTGAACCAAACTCAAACCACGCCCACGCGAACAGATTATCGATTCAATTGGACTAATAATGTCCGGTCGCGTTGATCGTAAACATCTCCTTAAACAGCTTGCCTGGAAGACCGCTCCATTCCGAGGTCGCTGGGATGATTAAACGAGAGAACATTGAAGAAATCTACAGCATACTAAAAATTAGATTTCAATGCCCGGAAAACAATATATTTTCTGACTAAGACCCACAGCCATATTTATAAGGCCAGCGAACAGAAATACTTACTTGATGTGAAGGCCACACCTTCTGGTGAATATCCAATGGATCTCTGTTTCAACATACGGGACCACTTCGCTACGCTACTGCGTGTCTTTGTTAGAGAGTGACGTCGGTGATGATGGGGACGAGATGTTTTGTGTCGTGGGTAGAAGTGCTGTGGTGACACCGTGGCAAGAAAGAAGACTGCGTATGATTGTTTAATAGCCTCCCAGTTAGACACAGCGTGCCACTAGTTCCATCACAGCACAAATATCAAGAGGCGCCAGGATTATGCAGCGGATGGCTGCGTTTCTAACTTACTGAATGGTTCTAAGCAACGCAGAAATCCGAGCCCTGGCCAATAAGATTTCTAGATGCTCATCTGCCGTATCTCTTGAAAAACGCGACATGTACCCTCGCGCCCCAAACAAGACGCCGGAAGTTTGGGTGTCGTGAAGCCTTCCTGTTTGCAGTTACGGAGCTTTCTGAGCCCCACCACTATGAAACCACTACCGCCTACTATAGTTACGGCCTAGCCCACTCCTCTGCATATATAGGCTCCTAGGTATACTCCTTCAGCAATCAGCTCAGTTCCTCATGCCTCTGGTGCCCCCAAAAGCTTCACACTTCCTCTAGAATCAAGAGAGTGGATACATGAAATAATCCCAAAAACAGAGGAAAGAATTAAGATGGCGTTCTGCAATCTGATATATGCACCCCCACACTGTACACACTGTTTGCCCGTGCAATAAACGAACTGTATAATCCTGAATAACGCTACTGAATCATGCAAGTGGTAGTTCTTTCAGTAGCACGTGCCGTTGAATTAGGCTTAGATGAGAGCCCGGAGCTCAACGTCGACCCTAGTTTGGCTATCCTCGCTCCAGACGGGAGACTGCGCAAGTGACTCCCGGAGGCGCTCAAAGGCAATCTCATTGCCTGGACGCATGGTGAAGGCCTTCTTCACGCCACCTAGAAGTTGGTAAGACATGCGCCAAAGCTTGGTTTCATTGAGAATGGAAGTGGCTTCAGGGTCTTGTTCGGCATCTTCACGGAAGAGTCTGAGCAACTCAGAGAAGGTCTTGCACTCGCCCAGAGTGTGCACAAATTCGAACTCAATATCATCAGCAATAATAACACAAATGATGCGAACTCGCTCTGACTGATCTTCTGTGAGATCAGGTGGTATGATTGGGATTTTGTTTGGAACGGGAGGAACTCTGGGAACGCTGGACGAGACAGACCGCCCGCGATGGTCGGGGAAAGAGCTGTCATGGCTTGAAAGACCATCATTTGCAATGGTATCCTCAGACATGTCTCGGGAAGCTGGGGTTGGTTGCTGGCGGCGGGGAGCAGAAGCTTTTGCTGACTGCTGCCTCTTTGCAACTGGCTCGGTCTCGTTGGCCACAGAAGGCGCCTTTCGCTTGGTGGAAGGTGCTGGTGCTTTTAGAGTGGTTTTATTCAATGGGGGTTGCATAGCACGTTTGCTAACAGCTTTTGGTGAACTGGAAACAGTGAGCTCGGCAAGCCTAGCTTCATCCAGATCTGACGGGCCCGTATCGCGCCTCATTTGTCTTGTTTGTACCCGCGCAGGAGATATTAAATTTCCCGTGTCTGTTGAGTTCCACAGTACATGTGTTCCTGGTTTCTCGACAGAATTTGCCTTGGAACCAGCATTGAGTCGTCTCGGTGTATCCTTCATCCTTTTCTTCGGTGAAACATCGTTTGCTTGGACAGGACTGAGGGCCGCTCGAATTGTCTCCAAGGTTCCAGTTACCTGGCTCGCATTGCGAAGAGCTAACAATACAAAGTTGTTTGAAAAGGTCTTGCTCTGTGTGCCATCACCAATCTCATACGGACGATACGCCTGAAGTCCATAGAGAGACCGGTCATTTGGTAGCTGAAGAAGAATGCAGAACAACTCCTCTCTATTCTTATTGGTAATTGGCATGATCACATGCTTCTATCAGATGTTAGGTCTGAAGTCAACGATCTGCACAGGCTTGCACATACATGGCGGCTCGTGAAGCTGATTTCTCTCAAGGTGATAAGGCACGATCTATCCCCATAACAGCCTCGACAGATGGCATGGCGTTCCTCTTGGGCAATACCGGCAATTGGCTGCGGGTACGGTGGACTAATGTGCTTGCAGTTCATCCTCAATTCGGAGAATGATGGCATGTCTTGGTAAGGTTTCCCGTGACTTTCGTTGGCGAGATAGCCGATCCATACGCCTGCGCGTTGGAGTTCTTCGGCGGCACGATAGTGCTTTTGGGGATCTTTACTCTTCCCAAAACACGCGAATGGCGCAGGTGTTGCAGGGACCATGATGATCTTGATGAGAGTTGAACTACCGGTGTAGGATGCAGTGTCTGTGGTGCTATTAGCACATTCATCCTCTCGTGAGCTGCGCGTGGTTAGAGGTGGAACTGTGTCGCACTCGAGGAACGTGGCATGGGCGGCCGAACAACTCCCAAGGACCAGAAGCAAGGGAAGGGTAAAGGCACTCACAGATAGGCCTACTGTGACTGGAGGGCAAACTTCTAAGGGGTTGATTGCAGCAAGAAGGAAATGCGCTCAGTAGAGAGATACCTTGGTTGAAACGGAAGATGAAGATGAGTCGCGCCACAACGCCGCTGCAATGGCTCTAGTACTCTGGATGATGTACCTTCAGGCAAGGTGCGTGTGTGCAGCGTGGACGAGCACCGAGAGCGACGGTGTTTAGACCAAAAATAGTCGATGGGTATATAAATGGAAGATGATAGGAAGTCTTTGATGGGGGGAGGGAAGTGCGGGAGAGTGGAAGTAGGTTTGTGGTCGATAGGAGGTGAGGAATTTGTGCTGGCTAATATTGTGCTACTCTCCAGTAATATCATGAGTAGGAGTCAATGGCGGTAAGACCTCTATTCGCCCGGGGGCGCATCTCACGATTCTCCTACTAAACCGATGAATGTGCATGCTTCTACCTCGCCGTATACATAGGTGATTAGCAAACGACGCACGGTTTCATTCCCGGCTAAGCCTACTCCGGAGTAGCGCAAGGAGCGCGACCGCCTCACGACTACCGAGGCGAAGCCTGGTATTTCCTTACCACCCGCCGTCATCGACTGGAGACAACAAAACCCGAAAGCATTGCTGCTGACCTTGGCGGAATAGTAATGGTCTATCAAGGGTTATCGCCAGACCAACCTTACCATAGCCAATCGCGAAGATGCCTTACGCCGGAGTTATCGACTACATCGAAGCCCTCGGCCTTCGAACATTCGGCAAAGAAGTTGAAGACCCCACTGTCATTGTAAAACGTCCTAAGTTTAATAATGAATATGTGCGGAGGCTCTACAAGATCGAACTTCTTGCACTTTGGGGACTGCTACTGCGTGACGAGGGAACTACACTCGACCGCGATGATCCTGACCTGTTTGATGAAGAGCTGGATGACGTACTTGAAGAGTATGGTCCCCGAATCTGGCCTAAATCAGCTTCCGCAAACAGATCACACTTGCGAACTCCACATCCAGGCAGTTTATACCCAAAGGAGCTTGTATATCCGCGAGATAAAAAAGTGTAAGCGCGGTGGGTCTGATGATGCACGAGATACTATTGACATTAACACCTCTTAGGCTCAAACAGCATCTGCGAAGCATCATTCTTTGCAAGAAGGACAACTCCCCCAACCGGGATGTAGACGCTCTCATCAACAAAAAGGGCGAGAAACGTGCCTGGAGGATTACTAAATCCGCTCCCGTCACACCGAAACGTGGTTTAGATCGAAAAGGTAGCATTGGTAGAGTTGCACAGTCGGCTTTCGCAGTACTCCATCGCCTGCCCTCGTCAAGCGATGATCTCGACCTCAGCTCGCCACCTGACACCGACACGGATGACTCTGTTGTCGGAAATCGGACTCGTACAAAGTCTTTAAAAAAGGGGATTAACTCTAAAGTTCACATGCACTACCCCACTCAACTGCGACTGTATAAGACTTCTCCTACCTCTGGCGGCTATGTTTCCCTCCCTGCCATCGTTCTGACCGGGAATGAAACCTCCGACGAATGCTTCACTCGAATCTGCCAACAGACTGAGTCAGATTGCAGCTGGATAATGTTTCAATTCCCAGAAGACATGTCACCTATCCCTAGAATACGGGTTGATCGAGGGTCGCGGGGATCCGAGGCCCTCTTCCAGAGCGTTCTCGACATTTTCCGTGCCGCACCTAGGTTCCCTGGAGATCTCACACGCGTGGTTGAGGTCGAATGCGGATTAGATATGCTTTTTGATATGGAGTGAGACTGACGCGGGGATTCAGGGGTAGGAAAAGTTCAATAGCATCTATATTTAAGTTTTCGGTGCTTGAGTCTGGCCATACTATGGACAGTATATTTTAGCCATTTCTCTTCATTTTCTAACCCATCTGCTGCGGATTTTGGTACTCTAATCATCTAAATGGCTTCGACTGCATAGTCGGGATGGTGCATGCAAGAGAGCATCTTCTTAGATACCCTATTTCGTCCGTTCATACAAAGCTCTTCACCCATTTTAGCCCTTGGATGCAAAAAACTTTACTGGTATCAACTAGAAATCCCTGCCTGCATCCATTGCTAATATTTCCCTCAACTCCTCGTCCACATCAAACTCCCTTTCATTCAACACCAGCCTCCTTGCTATTAACTCATCGATTCCTATCATACCATCTTCCCCTTCTTCATCCAGCACCCTCTTCAACTCCCTCGCTCTCTCAGTAACATCCTCAATCCCGACAATCCCATCCATGAACTCCTTTACCAATGCGCCCGGAATCCCAATCTGAATACTACGATACTCTAGTTTCTCCAACCTGATAGTTCTTTCCGGATCCCACTGCACCCTCACGTTGGCTGGTTTCTCTCTACCTTCGCTCTTCGCCTTTCGCCCACTATCCTCCTCTTTTCCTTTCCCATGAGAAAGCACGGCGCGGCGCAAGAGACCGATAAACACCTCACGTTTAAGCTTTAGAGCTAAGATATGGGATTGGCGAGAGTCTTTGTAAGAGTAGCCGGAGCGGTACAAAACCCAGGCCCAGCTTGGCTTAATCCAGGTCATACGGGCTGTGCTAAAGGAAGGAGAGGTATTGAGCTTTTGGGCTTCGACGGCTGCGGTTGCGATTGTGGAAGAATACGCTTGGTAGACTGTGATGGTATCATTATCGAAGAGTGCGCGGATTTGCCGGTATGGCGTCTTGTTTGCGGATATGGATGCCATCTCGTTGGTAGTTTGCAGTACTTTTGCAGGTTTTCAAAATGCTGGCAGTAGAAAAGACGCCCAATTGGCAGGCATATAAATAATAAAATAGTTTTAGTAATATTGAACGCATTGAGTCAAAGGGCTTGGAAGGGGTTGCGCCCTTCTCAGTCTCGACGCACGGGCCATGTGTGAACATGGCTGTGGGACAGAGTGGCTGTGCAAGCACCTCTCAAGATAATCTTGATATGGATAAATGAAGTTGGGACCTTGGACTTGTTTCTTGAACTTAAAGCACGATCAATATGATTCCTCAGATCGAAGACGTTCTACAGTCAGTAATGCCTACATGTAGGAGGCAGTGGTCCATTCTCCTTTAGAGAAGCTAGAGTTCTACGACTCCCTCGACGAGTACCTTTATAGCTTTCTACTTGAGGTTCACCTAGTTCCAAGGTGTGGCTCTTGAGAGCCTGCCTGTGGTTGCACTTTTGCTTGATTAGTCTAGATGACCTCCTTTCCCTTTTTGCTTTTTAGAAATGCAGACGCTCGCATCAAAGCCGAATCCTTTGCAAGGCTTGCCCTCCAATCAGCGCATGTTCGTCCTTGCTTGCCCCTGGCCTGGTAGTTCGATGTGCAGGGGAAGGGGGTGGCGATCACGTGGGTGATTAATTCTGCTTGCCCTTGCGCATATCATCTCGTCATCTTGAGATTGGCGAAAGCTTCGTCGAACCTCCAACATTCTACATCTCTTCTTCGCTTTCATGACATTATAATCCATCTAGCAGCCTTCAAACTTGCGAATATCTGGGGTATTGGTGTTCACGTCGCACCGTTCCTGCAGCCAAAAGTCTGTCCTTCGGCCCCCAACCCTCGCCTCCATTCCCCCCCTGCGGCGCCAGAACAAGCAACATGTGCCGGCGCCATTCGAGGCTGTGTCGTATTTTTAGCTTGGACGAAAAGCTTGCGGAAGCAAGAAAGCCATGGCAGTCTCGTATCGATGAGTGGATCACTGTTGTCGCGAGCTCCAGTTTCTCTTCTTTATCCTCATCGCAAACATCTTCTCCTCCCCAGGGACTCCGGCTGCCCCATTTTCCCCTGACGCCGTCGACCTGGTTCGCGGGAAGATTAATTTAGTTTGTCAGCTCGGCCCGACACTGCCGATCAAGAGGGCTGAACCACATCTTGCCTGTCGCGCATCTATCCCCTCGAGATCCTCTGACTTGGGGGGTTCTCATAACTCTAAATCGACGTTTGTTGAGTATGTCGGCCACGGTCGAGCATACGATTTCCTGACGAGGCGCCCCACTCGCTCTGTTTGACCGCGTGCGACTCAGGAGAATTGCGCGAGGCTCAACTAGCTGCAGGCTTCAAGGCATACTTCTCAGCCGCTCGCATACTTAAAACCGTTTTCGCACAACAATATCTGCCTCCTTCGATACAAATTCAGCATTGGGAGAGCTACTCTCAACACCATTATCCACGCCCAAGAACCATATCACCCTAGTTCAGATTGAAGACATACAGAGAACAGATCCAGAGGCCCGAGAGCAGGTATGGAACAAGTGCCCACTCCTCTCCGGGTTGGCACCCCAGCAGCGGCAAGAAGGCCGTCCGTCGAACAGGTTCCCTCTGTACTACGAGTCGGTTCTCCGGTTGTCGATCGTGTAGTCTCGCCCATATCAAATCGCCCACCTCTCATGCGCCATGGGACCTCCGGGTCGGATAGACTGTCGCAACTCTTCCCATCCCGCCCTGCATCTGCTGCCTCTCCCAGCCCCGATCTGGCTTCCTCACGACGAACTTCATACCCTTCGCCCCTCCTGCCCGCGGCCGAGCCTGCGTACCGAAAACCGAACGCCCCAGCACCCCCTTCCTTTGCCGAGAACACCGCCTATGACCCTACAGCCGACCGTTTCAGCACGCCAAATTCTCCCCCAGCAACACAGCGCAGCAGAACGACTGGCCTATTGAGTCGTCTTGCGTCCCTCAAGAGTGGAAAATCAAGGGGAACATATAACAGGTTGGACGACGAGGAGACTGGAACTCTGCGAAAGGGGAAGCTGAAGAATGTAGAAGAGGTTGATGAGCCTGTCGGATACGATCTCAGCGGGTTCGATGGGGTTCCCATGCGTAATTTTGGGAACACGACAACGATCAGCGCGGCAGACTCGATAGAGCAAGAGCACGACGCGAACCTGGCCGGGTATGCTGCCGAGTATGAAAGACTGGAGGCTCAGCTAGGAGCTGGTATGTCATCAATCGTAGAAGTCCCGTTCACACATCAAGTTCAGCTTGAACCGAAGGTCACTGGACATAAACGAGCCCTTTCAAATGTAGAAGTTGTTGCCCAGGATGCGCAGAAAGAGGCCGAGAAAGTCGGTGGTATTGTTGCCATTGCTGGTGAGAACTAACCCCAAATGTACAGTGTACTTTATCTTGTTAATCCCAAGGCAGATATTCCCCTGGATATAAGCGATGCTTTCGGTGACGACAACTTCGAGACACGGAGCGTGCTTACTACCGGTCATGAGAATTCCGATGGATCGAAGACTAGCTATTACTTCCCAGAGGGTAGGCTTACCCAGCGTCAGCCCCTATGATCTCAAGCTAAACCAAAACAGACCCTGATATGCCTTCATGGCGACCGTTTTCTATGGGTTGGCCTTGGATCTCCATGCTCATTATTATCGCCCTTATGTTAGCCGCGATCCAGGAGTTCCTCTGCCAGCTGTCGATGAAGAGAGTTAGGGAAGACCCGAAAGGGGGCTTAATCCAATTCACTAAGCCTGGAGATCTGTCAATTAACTCATACTTCACCTGGAAATATGCCCCCGTACTTGTTTTCATCATCTATGGTATTCTCTGGCAGATATCAGATTTCGAGGTCAAGCGACTGGAGCCTTTTTACCAGCTTTCGAAGAAAACTGGCTCAACTGCAGCGGAGTCGCTTAACATGGATTACCTTACCTTCATGTCGTGGTTGGTCCCGCTGCGGGCATTGCGACATAAGCAGTACGCCGTCATATATTCATCGCTTGGCACACTCGTTGCTAGCAGTCTGGTTCCTGTCCTACAGTCAGCGTCCGTAAACATGTGGCCACCAAAGAAGGACCGCAAAGACAACGAGCTAAAATCTATCCGCATCGACCCACCTTGGTCAAGAGCTGTCACAGGATGTCTGCTTTTTGTCGCCATTTGCGGTGCCATTCTTCTTTACGAAATGCGCCGTAAGAGCGGTCTTCTCTCCGACCCGAAAGGAATCGCCGGTGTCGCAGCCCTGGCTACCAGAAGTCATATTCTGACGGACTTTCATGGCTTGGATACCGCTCCTCTGGACAAAATTCACAAGCAATTGCGCCACCGACGTTATATTCTCCACAAGAGCTCCTTGTGGCAGGGAGAATATATCCGAAACAGCACCGAACGAGTAAGAGAACACGGCTCCGATCCTAGACCACTTATGCTTCGTCTTCGTGCCGGGGTACCCTATATCTCTTTCCTAATCCTTTTTACCATATCTATCCCTATCTTCATGTTTGTGGATGGGGCCAATCTGCTCACAGAGAAAGTTCCTATCCTCCTCACCGCCCTTGCAACCATCATCAAGCTCCTGTGGGGCACGATGAATTGTGACATCCGTATGCTGGAGCCCTTTTATATCCTAGCGAACCGGAATGCTCCCCCGAGAACGCTTACGCTCGATTACACTGGCACAAATCCCATTTTCCTACCCGTTAAGGCCTTGCTTAACAGGCATTATTTGGTCGCTCTCGTCGGCATTGGTTCCATTTTGACTGAGATTCTGACTGTATGCGTCTCATCATTCTCAGTTGATGGCAAGAAGTTCATTCCGGGTCAAGGCCGCCGTGAACACGCTGAAGACGAAGCCAAAGACCGGTACAACACCGACGAAACTTTCCGCTCCTTCTGGATCTCTTTCGCCCTCGTCATTTGCATACTCTTCGTCCTCGTTTCTATCGCATGTCTCGCATACTTACGCCGCTCGCACAAATTCATGCCGCGGCAAATTGGGACCATGGCTTCCGTACTCGCCTTCATCCACCAGTCCAAGATGTTAGTGAATTTTGTTGACACAGAGAAGTTCAACAGTACGCAGATGACCGAATATTTAGAGAAGCAGAGGAAGACCTATGCGTTGGGTTGGTTCAGTGGCCGAGACGGTGATGACCATTGTGGGATTGATGAAGAGCCTATATTGGCACCGTATAAGTACGGTGTGGATTGGACGAAGACAAGAGTGCTGGGGAACCAAATCGGGACTTGGGAGCATTATTAAGTGTTTCTTGGAGTGTTACGTTTTGGGGCGTATTTGGACTGGAGTTGTGAGAAGCATTTTAAGCGATACCTGGGGTCTGCAGTTCTATGGATTAATGTTTATATTAGGCCGTATAGATACGCTCCTATGTTTCCATGATTTCATGATAGCTAATCGATATACTCAACAACTATAAAAACATTGCAAAAGGCAAAAATCGATTTCATAGCTTTTGTGAGTGTCGATTCCTTGCAGCATCTCTCTTTACTTGTGTTTTGCTGAAAGGGAACCATGGTAGCTTGGCGCGTCGTACGACCTTCGTGTCTCACTTCTTCCTCTCTCCATCTCATCCCTCAGCCTCTCTCTATCTTCATCTCGCCAACACCTTCGTTGTGTGGCCGTTCTATCTCTCCATACGTTAAATGGCGACCTTATGATTGCTTACGGAATCTTGCTGCAAACGGTGTTGTCTCTGAACGCTGCCCGATGAGCTTCTTAGCAGAACATCAGATTGGGGGGTTTTTTTTTTTTCAAAAGCTTTTCTCAGCCGGCGAGCTGAGCTCGGCAGTGTGGCCCACCAACTCCTTGGCAATATGAGCCACCACAACTGAACATCCTACTGGAGATCATTGGACAGAGACGAAAGCCACACGGGTCTTGTCACAATCTCGTTGACCGTTCCTCGCTTTCCCTTCCCTTGTTGAAATTCCTTGGCCTTCTGCCTGGCTCGAAACAGACGGCATGTGCTCTCGATTTTGACCAAAATAGCACTTTGTGGCTTTCTCCAGTGCAGACCCGCATGTTGATACTTAAAAAAGGCCTGTCACCTCGCTAACAAGGCTGCCTGCGAATGTCACTTGACACTTCATCCACACTCTGGGCCACCGAACACTTCTTTATTTCCGATTTAACTAGCGACTTTGAATAGTTCCCTTCGTTCTTTCTTGTCTTCGTCATTGATATTGTAGCTATGAAACAACCGAGAGGGCAATACCCTCCCAACCAACATTCGGCGACTGTCGAGCTCAACCCTCTCTCCTCGCGTTATTCGTCCGCGCTAGAGTCTCCATTTTTCAGTCCTCGGACTCATGACTCTCGAAGACGATGGAAATGGAAACTTCGGAACTTTGCGTCCAAGTTCTGGCTATGGGAAATGTTCGCCTGTCTCATATCACTTGGTGTTGCTGGGGTTATATATTGGCAGTTGAAGACATTGGATGGCCAGCTTATATGGTACTGGGACTATGGATGGTCTCCTACATCAGGTCTTGCATTTGCTGTTACAATTACAAAGGCCTCTATGATGATCCCAGTTGCATCTGCTCTAGGCCAACTGAAATGGCATTGGTTCAGAACGTCACGTAAGCTTGACGGGATGGAACACTTTGACGAAGCTAGTAGAGGTGTCCTCGGTTCGTTGCGACTCTTGTGGAGGCTTAAATTCTGGTATGTAACGACAGTGTTCCTTACCCAGCATTCGTCACTTCATCTAACTTGCTCCCGAGGCGTCTTGCTTCTGTTGGTGCCTTCATCACTATTTGCACTCTATCTCTGGATGCTCTATCCCAAAATGCAGTTCAGGTCATCTCCGTTCCATCTAATACCTATGGATGCTACGTCGCGCGAACAAACACCTTCAACGTCTCGAGTCGCTTCAGCCAGAGGAAAAAGGACCTTCCGCCTTCGGACATGCTTTCAGCCATTTACTACGCCATAACGACGGTCGGCATGCCTAATCTAGAGCAAGGCCTTTTCGAGTGCGCATCTGGCCAATGCGACTTCGGCACTTACGACTCTCTTGCCATAGATTATCAGTGCATTTCCTCTGACATTACCAAAAACGGCTCGATAGTACAGCACCCAGGTCTTACAGACCCATACTTCTATCTCGATACAACAAGCGGAATTATCCAATCAAACACAACGCGGGACCTACCTGACTCTGGAGACTTTCATGGCCTTGGACCTCTCATTTCGAGGTGGCTTGTGCTCGCAAACCCGAGCACTATTAACCCAGAGCCACTGGGTATGGATTGCGCCTTCTACTGGACCATCAACACGTACCACTCTGAGGTCATGAATAGCAGCTTTCGTGAGGAAATTAACTCCACCTGGACTAACGAGACGACGGAATCCACCCACAAAGAAGACATCTACCTTATCCCAGATTCTTGTTGGCGCAACAACATATCAATCTCTAAGACCGATGCGGAGTATCCAGATTGCACGAACATCGTCTACAACTTCGCGCACAGATCTCTGCAATCGTGGTTCGATCTTTCAGATTTTTCACTTACCGGTTGGGGCTTAAATGATACACAATCAACTGACAAGCGCCTGTATTGGGATTTTACCAGCATTTTTATGCAGGCGATAATGGCAAATCTTACGGACTCGAATCAAACCGAGGTTGCGAATACCATCCGGACTACGGCTAAGAGACTCAGTAGCGCGATGACGACGCTTCTAAGGCAAAAACCGTTATGGACGACAAACACCACTTCATTTTATGGGATATCGAATGGGACGACAATTTGGCCGGAAGATGTGTTTTATCAAATCAGATGGGAATACTTGATTTTCCCGTTTGTCTTAGTTGGTATCAGTACAGTTTTCTTCCTCGCTACAGTTATATTTACACGGGGAGAGGGAGGTTGGAAATCTTCACAGCTAGCCGTCATCTTCCATGGGCTGTCGGAGAACGATGCCAAGGCAGTTGGAAATGTGAGAGGGTATGCGGATATGAGAGAGCTCGGCAGGGACATGCAAGTTCAGCTAGTAGAAACTGATACCGGGAAGAAGCTGGTTAGTAGGGAGGTTTTGATGGGGATGTAATAGCTATAGAAATATTAACGTTATGACGAGAAACGGCTTTTAGATAGAAAGAGGTTGGACGAAATGCAGTGTACAGTGTTGTATATAAACTTTCAGTTCCTATGATCGAGCTACGAACCCGAGCAGACATTCCAGCCTGCTTTGTACGCATTGAAACGCCGTGAACCCCGCCATGCTGGTATTGAACGAACATGCCCCTTCTACCTTCCGCCACAACTATACGCCCTGAGTTCCGAAATTTACGCAGACGTGCATTTCGTATGCCTTCCTGGTATTCTGAAAACCGTGTTATTCACCCGATGCCGTGGGTCGTGGTCTAGTTATCTTGATTCACCGTTTGCTATCTTCTAGTCAGCTTCTCTGGCTTGCCGGATGTGAGGTAAAAGTACACCTACGACCAACCAATCCATACCCTCGTCTACTCCTCTTCCATCTATCGCACTGCAAGCCACAATACTCCAATTCCGATCCTTCAGCTCGCCTAACCTCAATGCCTCTGATATCTCCCCTGCACCCTTTGCTCCGGGTTGATCTTGCTTGTTTGCGAAGACGAGCAGCGCGGCGTCGCGGAGTTCTTCTTCGTTTAGCATTGCAGAGAGTTCTTCGGAGGCAGTGTTAAGGCGGTCGATATCAGTGGAGTCGATGACAAAGATGACGGCAGCGGTGTTTGCGTAGTAACAGCGCCAGTACGGACGGATGGAGGTTTGACCCCCTAGGTCCTTGAAGGTGTAAATGCTAAGCGTGGGCATGAGTGGAGAAGGGAGACCTTACCCAGACGTTGAAGTTTAGGTTCTTGTAAGTCACCGATTCCACATTGAAGCCTATTGTCGGTATTGTAGTCACGACTTCGCCGATCTGTCGATCTCCATGTCAGTAACACCATATGCTGCATTTTTTTCTGCCAGTCATACCTTGAGTCTGTAAAGCAGCGTCGTCTTGCCGGCGTTGTCCTATTCACATTTGTCATCAGCTTGAATGAACCCCCATGGGTACATATTGCGGTCTTACCAGCCCCAGAATCAATATTCGAATCTCCTTCTTTCCCCATATAAGCGACGAAAGTTTCGATGTGAAGCCGCCCATGCTGCCCTTCGTATTCCGCTCGTGTCTGTGGGGTATGCGAGTGCGGAGGTCTTCACCGCTCGTGGATGGTCCGCGTGTGAAGGACTTTAAGGGAGGGCCAAGGTGTTTTAGTGACACTCTACGAACTTCAAATATTTGGAGAGGAATGCAAGAGAAATGCACGTGTGCAAGAGGGAAAAGGGTCGTGTGCTTGGTTGCGTTTTGCCTCCGTGTTGAGACCTTGAACGCAGATCAAACAGTCCAAACACCGAGGCCGTGGTGTTTAGTTTTTCCGAGACGAAGGCGGAACCTCTGTTCTTGCACCATTGAGGATTCTTGATTTCCATCATCAACATCTCTTTTGCAATTATTTATCTAAGACTTTTAGGTATCTTAGGACCTGCGCACGCATCATATTTTTATCATGTTATGTTCAATATACCCTATAGCTACTACGCCATATTTAACACACTTACTCACCAAAAATTACACCGGCATGGTCGTCCTATGGCTTAATTTCCGCAGACTGGCGTTGATGCCGGAACCTGAGTTCTTCGCTACACTAACCTTACTATTCTTTTATCACTTTTTTGAATTTGTAAAAGTGGTTTACGTAGGTCATAGAATCTCATTATAGAGCTAGGAATTTATTATCAATAATGCACGTGGTAAGAGTTCAAAAAGTTTCAAACATATTCAGCAGCTCGTCACATTATACGGTAAGTTTAGTTTTGCTAACTAGTTTATTTTATATGAAAAGTTTGCGACTGTCCGTAGTCTCACCTACCCTGGGTAGTGGGAACATGCCCTGCGTGCAGAAAGAGACATCGGGCGGACACACAATGAGTCTTGGCACCCAATAACCCCGTACGCGTGAATTGCGACAGTACAAAAGGTATTTCATTCTCACAGTTAAGCTTGTAGCCTATGGCCAGAGCGGGTCGGCCACCTACTTGCTAGCGTGGTTGAGCTGCGAGAAGCTAATTGCGGAATCGAAGAAAAGCGAGACTCGGTATGGCAGCTCCCTCAAATGAGGTGATTGCCAATAACGCAGACTCGGTAGCTGGAGCAGGACTACGGAGAAGTTCAAGGCTCCAAGTCCAAGACGTCACTCCCCTTCCACAATCTCGTAAGCGCACGCTTCCCAACCTAGAGAACGCTAGCGAAAGAAATGAAGGGCAAACAAGTGAGGAGAACGGGGATGACTTCGTCATCAAGGGCGGTTACGCTCCAAGGAGGAAGCAAAAATCTCTTCCCGAAGTAAGCTTTTCGGGGTAGCACCGTATACAGTACGTTGCTTCTAGCTCAGATATTCATGCGCCATCATTAGCACCAAGACTACTCTGCCTCTTCCCCTCCATTTCTACCCGATCTTTGTTATGTTTTAGCATTTCAATCTTTAATAACGACTCAAATGTTGTTTCCTTTGTATTGAAACACAGTTCATGATGGTCACGATCGCAAGACACATGGCAGTTGCGATTTTTTAGGTTTTTACTAGGATACTAGTCGTCTTATTGTCTCACGAATTTCATCTTATTGAACGTCGCTGGATTCAACTGTTCATTGTCTTGATAGTTTAATCTGTCGATTTTTGGGGGCATTCTTTGTATAATTTTAGGTGCACTTTATTCATGTTGGCGTTTGTTGACATGCGTGGGAATAGTTCGGGATACTAGGAGATGTTATTTCGATAATTGTGTAAATGCCAGTCTTGAGGACTTGTTACCGCATTCAGGGACCTCCAGGTGGGATATTTGAAAGGGAAAGAGCTGTAAGACGCGTGTTACGTTTATCCAGCACCCTTGGAGGAAGACTAAGACTATAGGATCTGAGCCTAAGTGGCTGTTTACAACTTTACGGGTCGAAATTTTGATCTGATTAAATAATTGACATGGCATAATCACTCCTAAATTCTAATTTGTACCTGCTGTGGCAAGATATAATGAAACCATCCCATAGCCTCGCACTTCCTAAGACCATTACCCTGAGCCACGACCCACAAGCTCTCTTTGAGCAAACGCCCTGCTCCTGTAGTGTATAGATATATATTTTCCGGTATTTTCAGCGCTTACTGATTTGGGGTTGATGCCATTCACCAAATGGTCCAACATGGGTAGTAAGACTGAGACCGGCAGTGCAGGTGAAGGTGATGGAATCACGTGATTCACTTTCACCACCTAGGCACTTTCACCCTTCTCGCTTACCGACCAGCCCCCTCCACGGAACCTTATATGTCTCGCGTCAAGGGTTGGGGGGACAGTATAGACTCCAACAAGTTCACCACTACACTAAACTGCATAGAACCATTACCTTAAGATGTCTCACGCTAAACACCATCGCAATCGGCGCGGCCCTACGAATAGCGTTCCTCTTGGCCGGCGCCACCAGACCGGCAAGCCTAACAAAGTCTCCAAGAATAAATCAAAGCACCAGCTAGGTGGCTCTCGTGGAAGCAATGGTCACAGTTGAGTACTTCCGATTGTTTCTAAGAAAACGCTTGAGCTAATGTGCTTCTAGGCGTGATGGGCAAGAAAGTATCTTCCAGCACCATGTGAACCGCATGCGCGAGAACCGTGGACCAGAATTCAACGTCAAAGGAGCGGCTTCTCACCCAACCGAAGGACAGGGCTGCAGTAAAGAAGGTGACTACGGTCAAGCTGAGCATGAAGTTGAACGAGCCACCTCAACCCAGAACGAGAAGGATCAAGGTAAATCTGGTGACGGCCATCCCGTCTCCAACTCCCATCTCTTGTATGGCGCTGGGGGTCAGACTCGTCCCTCTAGATATCTGAAAGAACGTCCGAGCACTCGCTATTTCGATCACGGCAATACGCGATACTTTGGCAATGGCTATCAATCTTATCGCCCAAACCTCAACAAAGATCACACCCGCTCCCGCTCCTTAGATCGTGCGGAACTTCCGGCTCGTGGTCAGTTTGATAACCCTAGCAGCGCCGATAGCGAGTACTGTCGCTAAACCTATTCTTGCTCTTATGGAAAAGGAGGTCCGGAAATTCTAGAGTTGATATTGAAGTCCCTGGTACTGTACTTCAACTCGAATAGAGGATGAAGGAGAGTGAAAGCAGGATAGTTTAGGTTGCGATAGAGAAAGAGAGGTACTATGTTGGATCCTTGCTGGCATTATGAACAAGACAATGTGATCAACAAGAGAGCCATCAATTGCGATCAACTCAGCCAGCCCGCTCATGCTCTGTCACAACTTTCAATCTCTTCCTGTGTAGGTTGATTGACAACCATCAAATACAATGCATCCCGCGTCAACATGTATCTTAAAGGACTGTAGTTCTCTCTCCGCTGTCTTCTATCTATTCCCGCAGGCAAAGAACTGCTAATACCCAAACGCGCTCTCCTTTGTCTCATCTTACCTAGTGGCCCCAACAGGATTGAGCTTCCCGTCACTTGTAATAAACACGAGACTACTAGCAGGATGATTCGGATCTGAATACTTGCTTGCAAGCTCCTTGCGTGGAGCATTCCGAAACTCAAAATCTAGATTTTGAGACTGAAATTTAGCCTGTGCCTGTCGTTCAAAGTAATCACTCGCAGAGTGTCCAAATCGTTTCATCGCCTTCTCCTTCGGCTCTTCACTCATTCTCTCCAGCTCTAGAAACACCAGAAGTGTTGTCTCGGATATATTTTCCTCATGCTCCATTGTCCCAGAAGAGCCCACCAACATATCCTTTCATTTGCCGCGCTCCGGTTCATTGCGCTCCTAGATTTGCTTCGTCGAACTGTTCTGAACATCGACCGATTACACAAGCACCATATCTTTAGGTTTGTATTTGATAATTAAGGTGTAAACCCAGCGGACCTCGAGGAACTCCTTATTCATTTTATCCAGGTAGCCTTTCCGTTTGTAGTGAAGATAACTGCGCCTCCCGGTTCCGATTGCCGCGTGCAGAGCAATCGTATCTACAATTGCAACACTGATATATCGGACATTAGGCCAAACTTGGCCTGCCACCCAGATGCCAACTCCCATGGCATGTAAAACCATATTTGTTTTTAAGGCCTTCTCATACGTGACCAGGAAGACCATCCAATTGCCTAGTTAACGTTGGTGGTTGAATTTACGCTTTTGGCGACTTCCCTATTCCAGCTTCGTCAAGCACATGCACCTATTCCTCAGCATCCACGGACGACTCGTCGTCGCTTGAGCGAGGAGAGTTGTGACCTTCGAACGAGGGAGGTAGTTGAAGATGGGTTTGGATGAAGTCGCCACGTCGGATTGCTTGCATTCTTTGCGAACAACGCGTTATTCTTGGGCGAGGCCAATAGGATCTCCGAGGATTCCTGAGATTGGGGCTTCGGCTGTTTGTGATGGTAGAAGCAAAGTTGATGAGGAAGATATCAGATTTCTACAGCCTTCTTTTAGAACACCACCGACCAGAGTTGAAAGTCAGAAAATGGTAGGCAATCGGGATAAATTGACAATCAAATAACCTACGTTGCTAGATTGAGGAAACTAAAGGCTCGCGTGGCAATGTGCTGGCTTAGACATGGTTCGAGAGATGAACACTGGGTTATTATTCCTTCACGCAGCGCGGACACTAAAACGCGAAAAGGATGGTTGGATTGGAAATATAGGCAAACACAAGCCCCACCACGCCTCACGGAGCCTCGGAGCCGCTGTCGTCAGGTTAGCTTTGATCTCTAAATGTCCAATTTTGAGAATGGATATGGCTGGTCGAGGCCATGATGTGCCCAAGCTAAAATTGGTTAAGGACCAAGGATTAGGCTGGCTTCTCTCTATCGCGAACCGTTTCATCCACTAGAAGCCTTACAAAGGTGGAGCAGTGATCGGAATTTTCGCCGATCGCGCCGAATGTTGAGGAAAGAAGACTATAATTGCTATTTAAGGTATATGACCGAGAAGGGATTTAAGCCTAGCCAGATTATAATTGAGTCTGATTATTGACAGCAGCGTTTGGTATCGGGGGAGCATTTACTGGGGGGCTGCAACAATGATTGATTGCATCTTCGGGTCATACTTGTGAATTTCCAGAATCTTCAGCCCAGCTTGATCCATCAGTATCTCCCATTCGGCCTTCGTGCGCTCCATGCCTCCTAGAGAAGCCATCATTGTGATGTCCATATAAGCTGCCTGCCATGGGACGTTTGTGTCTGGCAAGACTACCTCGTCGATGATAACCCGGGATTCAGGACCCATAGCCGGGACAATTGCCTTCAGGATCTTGATGCAATCATCGTTCATCCAATCGTGTAAGACATGTCGAAGATAGTAAAACTTAGCGGCTTTCAACGCTTGCGGCTGGAAGAAGTCCTGGACCATGAATTCGATCCCTTCCGAGGTCTTCGCTTGGTCAAGGGTTGCTGGAATATCCTGCACGACAATTCGACCAGGTAGGCTTGGAAACCTGCTTTTAAACGCAATCGATTGTTGACCAAACCCTCCTCCAACATCCACAAGCAGTGCTGAATTTGGTGCAGGGGAAAACGCCCCGACTTCTCTTTCCACGGGGTAGCTGTCCGTCCAATTCCCAGCACGTTGGATGCGCATCGCATGTCCAAGACTCTTCATCTGCTCTGGGCGATCTTTCATCCATTCAAAAGGGGTGAGGTCTGTCTTCATCGCCATTTGAAAGGGTGTATCCTTGTTTGACGTCATGTTCTGGTACCTCCTTGCTTTTAGAAAGTCAGGCAAGACGTGGGCAACAGCGCTGTGAACATCGGTTCTGCACCACAATAAGCATTGCGTTCATGATCGTAAGAGACAACTTACGCATGTGCAATCGCCCCTGCCACATCTGGGTCGGCAAGGGCTTTCGTCATTCGGTTCGCCGTGAACTCATCCTTTCCAGTCTCTTTGAATAGACCAAACGCTGCCTGGGTACGCATCAGGTGGCCTACAGAAGCTAATTAGGAGGAAATACATGAGAGATTAATATCTTGCATACCTAGAAGCTCCGGTGATGCCTTCGTCTTCTCCACGAAGTGACTGAGACTAAGAGGAATCTCGCTCGCAGCAAGCAGTTCAAATAGTTGTAGGTGGGATCCGATTTTGGCTAGTGCCATTTGCAGAGTCTCGAGAGACGTCAAAGGCCGCTAAAGGCATAAGGGGAGAAGGATCTTACGCCACTTGCTAGTCGTATGACCATATCCCACTCAGTGTCCAACGATCTTTGCAGCTCACTGAGCTCATGTTGAAGCGTTCTGCGCCCCTCCTCGTCTGCCTTGTTGTAAAGGTCACGAACCTGACTTGCGATGGTATCCATGGTTTTGATGATAATTGAAAGATGTTTCTTCTCGAATTGCAGAGTGAGATGGAGGTTTGATGGGAGGACAGCTGGATCGATGACGTCGAAGCTGAGTTGGTTTTGGAGATTCCATTGTAGAAGTACCTTTGCGACTTTATAGCCTCTAGAGCTTTCAATAACTTAGACAACGGTTTTCGGTCGTCGGACTGTGAAGAGGTCGCGAGAAATGCGAAAGGCCGAGTGGCGCGACATTGTCTGCGTTAAAACTGTAGGCAGAAGCATGCGCGGCTTCCATGATCGACAGGGGCAGGCTTTTTGACCGAAAAGACCGAATTCAGCGAACAAACGGACAGGAGTAAATGTGATGTCTAGGGAGCTAGATGTTTAAGGTCTTTCAGTCAGGAATCAGTAGAGTGTCACAAATACCACCGAATATAATAATGGCCGAAGAGAACCTTGGAACTTTGGAAGAGTGTCCGAAACACGTGACAGCTGAGTCATCACTAAGAATAACTCTCAACTTTATCCTCCCCGCATTTCGTCAACCTTAACCTTCTTTTCACCTCGTGGCTATTTGTTCCTAGCCTTAGCTACCGCAACAAGTCATACCCGCCATCTTGGTCGTCCCTGCATATCGGAGGTCCCCGCGAATGGCAACGCCGAATTCACATCACAAATTGTGCCCAACTAGCTGCTGTGGTCACCTCGTTCGGGCTTATGCAGCTGGTGCAGGAGTTCATTTGGATAATTCATCCCAGTAACACAACACTGGGAGTTGACAAATCCTTTAGCTACAGAAGTTCGTGTTAACACGCCTTCGACTCCGCAAGCAATTGCATGGCATTTTGCATTTTCATCTTCGGTGAGAATGGGGCGTTTGCAATATCCGGTTGTGGGTTGAAGGAGATGTTTTCACGACTACCTTCCCCAACCGGTCCGGAGATATGGACGGCGTGACGGTGATGCCACCGGTCGCAAACACTACAAAATAGCCTGTCTTTCCTTTCTATAATGCCCCTTTGTAGCATTGATTTTCGTCTGGTCCACATTGAACTGCCCACATCTCGGCTTTCTAAAATGAAGTTTCTTGTGCAATCCTTTTCCGTCTTTGTTTTTGTTTTCCGCATCGTTCTTGCTTATAATTTCCCTTACGAAGACATACAACTGAAGGATACCGATGTCATCAATAACACGGACATTGCGTTTGGCAAACCTAGCCCCTCCAGACCATCTGTTAGTACAAAAAGGTGCAAAATCTTCCCCGGAGACGCCGATTGGCCTTCGCCAAAGAAATGGAACGATTTCAATTTGACTCTAGGCGGTGCATTGATCAAGGGCTTCCCGCCGGCCGCGGCTTGCTATCCTGGGCCAAATTATGATGAGGCAAGATGTGCATATGTGAGGAAGAACTCTGGGAGCTCCCTCTTTGTGTGGGTTTGATACACGAACCGAAAGAGTTATGCTGATTAGATGTTACAGCATGGAAGATCCGACAATTCCCGGGGGGCAGTGGCAGACTGGAAATTCATGTCCTCTTCCAGCCGTCCCGACGCCAGGACTCAACCTTACTCTAGCGAATTACACTTGCAACTTGAACGGTTTTCCAAGCTACGTAGTTAGGGCAACCACCATTAAGCACGTCCAAGCCGCGATTAACTTGGCGCGTAATAAGAATATTCGTCTAGTAATCAAGTAGGGTTTCCTCTTAGTCTCGAAACTATGCACTAACGTGTACACCAGAAACACGGGTCACGATTTTCTTGGCAGAAACACCGGTGGTGGCTCTCTTCAAGTATGGATGCACCAAATGAAGCAATTTGAATACTTACCCTCCTTTACAATGGGGAAGTATCACGGTCAAGCCGCACGAGTTGGTGCCTCGCTCCAGACATTTGATCTCATCTCGTACATGGAAAAATACAACATTACCATGGTCATTCCCGGTGGATCAACAATTGCCGTTTATGGAGGGTATGCGCAAGGAGGAGGTCATGGCTTGTTGACTTCTCGCTTTGGACTCGGAGCTGACCAAATACTTTCATTGGAGGTAGTGACGGCCGACGGGAGGTTTGTTCATGCGGACCCTGATACGAACCAGGATCTTTTCTGGGCAATTCGGGGCGGTGGAGGGAGTAAGGTCCGACAGCTTCAATCCGGGATCGAGGTGCTGACTGGGTGCTAGGTACATTTGGCATCGTCACGTCTGCTGTTGTGAAGGTGTATCCGGCCATACCAGTGTCACAGTCCTCTTTTAACTTTCAGACTGGACCGATATTCGGCAACGCAACTAACACCGTCTCTGTCCCTGACAAAACGTTCTGGGAGGGCATCAAAGTCTACTTCTCGCACATGACACGCATTTGTGATGCGAAAGGTATCGGGTGGAACTACATTAACACGATACCTCCAATCAACGCTCCAGGCCTAAACAGGAGTCGAACCTTCAATTTCGTCAACCAAATCACCCTTCCAGGCTTCAATGCCGGTGAAGCGAAGGAGTTTATTGCACCTCTCATCCGTGACTTAAACGCAATCGGTATCAACCTGACCAACCCCCAACCAAAGTTTTCCATATCCGTAGCGAGACACGTATCCCGTCCGCCTGGCGATGGTACAGGTAACGGACGCTATGGCTCACGACTGTTCCCACGTTCCAGCCTTGAGGATCCTGAATCAGACTCCTTCCTCGCCACAATGGTAGCCATCCGCTCCTTCGTTGAAGAAGGTGGCTACGCTTTTCATTCTGTCGACTTTACTCCCACCAAAGAAATTGCAGGCTATCCTGGTTCGAACAGTGCCGTCAACCCGGCTTTCCGTGAAGGCATTTTGCATGCCACAGGGTTCGACACAGGGTCCTACGGTCCAGATGCTTCCCCCGCGCAGCAGATTGCGAACCACAAGCGCCTCAATGAATATATCGAAAAGTGGAGAGAGGCGTCTCCAGGAGCAGGAGCGTATATGAACGAGGCAGATACTGAGGAACCAGATTTCCAACAAAGCTTCTATGGGTATAATTACGACAGGTTGCTAAGGATTAAGAGGAAGGTGGACCCATGGGGCGTATTCTACGCTGTAACAGCTGTAGGAAGTGACGAGTGGATAGTTGAAGGTACGCAAGGACTGCCAACGCAACAAGGAAGGCTCTGTCGTGTCGATGAATAAGAGTTCCATCGGCGACGGAGATGTCTTGGGCCTTTGGAACCAGCCCGATGAAGTCGATGCCCTTCATCATCAGAGGAAATATGACAAGGAGGTGTCAAACAAATCCAAATCTTGAAAATATTGTTGTATCATCTACAGACCAAAACTGGGTGTTATCACGAATGTGAAGGAAAAGAGCTCATGGACGCTTTGCCAAATATGTAAACGTATGTCTGCATTAACCCATGGATTGGTTTCCCCCAGCGCTTATTTCCACCAGACTTGCGCTGCATGGGGAATCCTTAGTGTATTTCCCATTGCCCAATATTAGTGGCTGAGTAGATAGCTTGTGTTGGTTGACATAGTCTCATAGTCTAGAAGGCTGGTAGGCGAGGCCAATCTCGAATTACAAAGGCTGAGTAAAGTTCAGAGTTGGAACTCTAAGCGCCTTAAGTTTTGCAGCTTGTAGCAATGGCATCTCACATAGAATTGTAGCGCCCTCCCAAGAAATCTAGGCCTACTGGGAAAGCTTGAAAGTTGATTTGAGTAGAGTAATAGAGAGGACCGAGGGCCATGAACCTACTTGTATAGAGAATGAGAAGAAGAACGACCCTTACAACTGCAAAATTCGAGTAAAAACTACAGCGGGAGATAGGTTTGGAGAGAAAATAGAGATTAAACTTTTAGGTACACAGTCCATTGGCGAGCATAAAGCGGCAGTAGGATCTCCACAGCGCAGTGTCCCCGAATCCGGCCGCGCGATCAATCCCACGCCCCCTTGTCATAGTGTCTTAGACTTCCATCGTCTTTTCAACCTTCCTGACTTCCTCGATGGTCTCGGTGATATCGACCTTGTCATATGTGTCAAGACAGTCTTTTTTAAGAGCTATTCTTAGACCGCGTTCGCATGTCGTAGTTACGACCTTTATAGTGATTTTGATGGTGACTGCACTCGGTACAGTAATCCTGCCTGTTCGTATAAATGTTTGGATACTACTACGCAGACAGTAGACTTGGCGTAAACGCCTCTCGTGGCCAGCGCGTTCTTCCAACTAGCCCCAGGATTCTTCTTTCGTAAAACTTCACCGAACATCGCAAGGTCTTAGCGTACCATGGGCGGAAGTTGATAGCAGTCCAGGCCATGTTGTTTAATAGAATGTAGTACTGTTGCTCAGCGTTTCCAACAGGAAGTAGTACGATTGATACTTTTGCTCTACCTACGATCACGTGAGGCAAACAAACGTAACTACATTTTTAACTGTTACGATTCGATTGATGAGGCTTAAAGGTGAGCAGTATACGATTGAGGTAGACTATTTTGAGATGGCACTTGATTTCCTATGTATACCCCCCACGAGCTGCGACTGCGAGAGCGACTGCGAGAGAGCCTTCAGCGGGGGGAAAAGGACAGTTACTTGTGACCGTAATCATCTCTCAGGCTCTACAATTGAAGCTTTGCAACTCTAGAAGAACTGGCTACGTTATAAGGTTGTTTTCAGTGAATTAAATAACCTCGCGTGCCATATTAAGAGTAAGGGGGACCCTGCTACTCTAAAAGCTTTAACAGTTACGTCGTAACTTTTAGTGAAAAGTTGAGAAGTACAAGCAGCTTCAATCGAACCGTAACTTAATCGTATTGACCCCTGCTGTCAGGTGAAGCAAACAAAAGTATATGATAAGTGAGACGTAACTTGTCTAGAAAGCCTGAGTCGAATCGTACTACTTCCTGGTGGAAACGCTGCTGTTGCTACAGTTATTAATTGTAGCAATCTCTTGGCAGTCAGAACAAAAGTGAATTGTCTTCCGCTACTGTATAGTTAAAAAGGTTCTAGCTACTGCAGAAACTGCCTATGCTAATTAATCTCTTAGGTTTTTTAATACCGCGCTTGCTGAAGAAGTTTATGCCCAAGGGAAAAATTAATGTACTGCTAAAGCTTGTTTGCTAGGCGTGCCTTTTTAGGGTTTAATAAGGCTAGAAGCAGGTAAAATATGAAGCTAATTTACTGTTCTGTACTAATCCTAGAGACTGTGGGGCTTGTTGCAGCTAAGGCTAAATAATCCATGGAGATTTACCTTTACTAGCTATCGCCCTCTATAATTAAGGCTCTGCAGCTACAGGGCAACTAGGTTGCTAGAGGACTTAGTATTTTACTAAATAAGCTCTGTGACTATACTAGCAAGATCGTGTTAAATTAAGCTCTTAAGAGCGTCTAGAAACACTAGTTACTGCAGTAACTATACTGAATAGTAGCTACACCTTTTATTAACTTGTTAGTAACTGTTACTGCCTGTAAGGTGTTGCAAATGGAGAGGTGGTGTAAGCATGCAGCTATGTAAGAAGCTGATGAAGTGAAGTGTATTGTATAGTCTAAGTGCTCTGTTACAGAGTATTTATTTACATCTATGATGGCAGGGGCAGTGAGGGCCATGGCAATAGCCAAGGGGCTATAGTGAAGGTAGTAGGAGCTATAGTAACAGCAGTAGGGGCTGTTGAGGCACAGGGAACGAAGGTTTCTTTATCATGAATGCGACGTAAGGCTGTTTTAATTCTCTTTATCTAAAATAATAAAACTCTATTGCTACCAGTAACGCCTGGCAGTAACAGTTATGTTCTATTAAACACCATGACAGCCCTCGTAACTGCATTAGCTAAAGAATAAGACGCAACTCCTATCTAGTCCAGGGGAATGTGTGCAGATCGAAACAACTTGTGGAGACCTCGCAGGTGGTCCAGGAATTTGAGGTGCCAATAAAGGACTGGTAATAATCTATATCTTGCACCAGGTTCTGACGGAGTCCCGAGCAAGAGAATCAGTCCTTAGGAGCGCCCTAATAGCCTACCCTGCCAAGATTTCAGAAGAAGTGTATGAAAGTCTCAGATCAGATGGCTTTCAGAAAAAGTGGGTCCTTCTCTTCCGCTGCAAGGTCACGGAGCGCCGATACATTCCTCCCAGACTTGTTCATGCACTGTGTGTTGCATATGATGTCACCACACAGAGAGATTCCCAATAATATGCTCCGGGAGCTTGGTTAGGCCCAGCACACAGTGTGTTGGGGTAATTGCGATGCTGGGATCCATTGTCTGGTTGAGGGTTGAGTAGATCAGTGGCGAGGAGTTCAGTTCCAAGGGTTGGCAACAAGGTCGACCTATGGTAAATATATACGTAAGGGGTCTTGAGACAAACCATGTGGAGGCGCCAAGTCGATAGTGGGATAGTGATAGATCGAGTGGGTGGGTACGACGAGGTTGTTCTTGCCTTCACCGAAAAAAAGATAGCCAGGGAAAACAACACTCACCCAGGAAACTCTCATCCGCCAGGCAATACTGAACCTATCAGCTTCATTTCGATAGTGGATTTGGGCACACAATCTCTAGGAATGGTAGACTACGATTAACGCGAGGCATTATGACGTTACCTTTCGTCAACGACGCGTTCAAATTAGCCTTATCTGCGATGGTTTGACCCCAATCCATTCTAGAATATGTCAAGGTTATAGAAAATTCAACAAGGTACTACAAACAAAACCTGATTTAAGGGGAGGCCTAGCCATTGATCACACATTACATTTTTCAACTTCATTTTATAAATCTTGAGCTAAAGTTCACGAGAACGAAGTGCAACCCTCATAAAGGCTTCATGCAATTGTCGTGCGGGAGGTAGAAAGAAAGACATTCACGAAACACCTGAAAAATAGAGTCTGGGCATCTTGGATTAAAAGCACTCTCCACAGCGAACCCAAAACCGGAGTTATCCATATCGCCCTCCTGCCAGAAGTGGGAAATTCAATTCAATAGTAGCCCAAACTCGAGTTCTCCGGAGCTAGTGCGTCTTATTCACTATCGAAAACACGTAAAATCCCTCAACTGATCATGCGTCCGTGCCAAAAGCCCCGTATTAACACCTCTCCACTTTTCCACCCAAGCAAAATGTACCTCTTCATCAACGTTCCACCACTTCCTATCCTCAAATTCTTCTTCCACAAACACGACCTTCTCCACAGATTCCGAAATTACAGCAGCCAATTATTTCCCGAACAAACAGAATAGAAATGTTAGACGAGGTCTCCTTTCAAAGAATGTCTGTCCTTTTGATGTAAGCCGCTATGTCAGTGATTGATGTAATTCCCTGATGGAGCAACCTCCAGGGCATGATATCTCTCCAGTCTCAAGGGCGCTGTGAAAACAGGCGGATTTGGCGGTCGAAAGCATATTGGAGAATCACTGAAAGGCCTATCTGTGATTGATAGGAGTGGCGAGTAGTTCAGTCAGATGAATCACTCTGCTCATCCCTCCTCTCTACCTAAAAGTGGACAGTAGACGTAACCCTAGGACCCTTCGGAAGAAAGTGAATCATGCACTATCTCCGCATCCCTTTTATACGGTGACACCCAAAGCCTCCAAAATTTCCCTATCTTCTGCCCTGAATCACTAACAACACTGCGAAACACGATCCTTTCAGCGATCTCGCAAATGGGTATTTCCAGCAACAAAAACACGCATCAAATTCCAGTCTAGTAGCACATGTCCAAAGAGGGATCAGCCGTCAAAGACGATGCTCAAGTGACGAAACCGAGATGCTAATATCATGCATCCTACACTACCAGTCCTGAAATCCCCCTCGATTCCCGTCTTTATGTTCTACACAGACTAACTTTTGTCTTCCGCCACCCACGGGCTACCATGCATGTCTCAATTCACCTATGCCACACTCCCCTTTCTCCCCATCTTCTCTTCAGGGTCCTCCACAGTAGTAGTAGTAGTCGCCACTAATTCAGGAACCTCTATACTGTCCTTCTTATCTAGCTTCACGCCACCGTCGCTCTCTAGCTCTAGCTCGGGCTCAGGCTCAGGCTCAGGCTCAGGCTCAAGTGTAGGCTGAACCCGGTTCTCCAACGCAGTTTCCTTCGTAGCAGTCTTCACGAGCTCCGCCTCCTCAGGTTCAACATCCTCCCCTTTTTCCATAGTCTCCTCTGGTACACTTAGTTTCCCAGCAGTGTCTTTCCTCTCTGGAACCTTCAGCGCTTTTGCAATCTCCTTCGCCACCTTCGCAGCTGGCACATCCACAGCGCCATCATCAGCAATACTCCAAAGCGTGCTCACCGTTGCAAACTCCAGTTTTGGGGCAGGGACGGCGACTTCCGCAACCGCGGTAGCCGCTGCAGCCGGAGACGGCGAACTCGTCGGTTTCCTCCTCTGCGGACCCTTCGCACGGCCTTTCCTCGCATCCTGCAACGGCTTGGGCGCTTCTTCTTCCTTCTCTGGCTCCGGTTCCTTGACTTTCGGAGCCTGTGGTCCTAATCCTAATTTCGAGTTCAGATCTTTCAAGAACCCTGCTTGAAGGGCTGCAATCTTGGATCCACCTGGTCGGACAGGAACGGGTGGTTTAGCTTTCGGTGGTGGCGCCTCGTCTCTCGCTTCCACTTGCGGAACAGAATCCTCTGATTTCTTTGTGATGGGTTTACTTGGTCGGACTGGGACTTGCGGTTTCGGTTTATCAGGAATAACCGGAGCCTTCTTGTCTATCGGGCTAAGCTCCTTCACTTTTTGGGGTCTGGCGGTTATGAACGGTCTCGCTGGGACGGTGGGTTTCTCAACGGCGGGGGAGTCTTCGGCATACTCGTTTGTATCTTCGATCTGAGGAGCGCTGACAGTGGTGACGAGTTGGCCATGATCAGGGGCATCTTCCCAAATGTCGTGCGAAGGGAAGCGCGGCTGCATGCCAGGACGGGTAGGCATGTCACCAAGGACGTCTTTGTTGAGGTTTGATTTCGCGAAACGTTTCGTTTTCTCTGGCAGGAAGGATTTCTGGTCTTCTTCTGGAGTATCTTCTTTACGAGCTTTCTCAGTCGCAGGCTTCTCAAACCCCTTGCTAGAATCCACTTCTCCAGGAGTTGACGGCTCTTCGGGAGCTTGAGGGGTGTCAACAGTAGTGGTAATGAGAAGACTGCTAGGCGTGTCCTCCCACACATCTTGACTCGGGAAGTGATGCCGAGCGAGGTCAGGCCGCTTGAGCTTTTCGGTAGAAGTCTTGGGCTTCTTCTCATGCTCTTCGTCATCAGGGAAAAGAGGCTCATACTCCCTGACATGGTCGAGTGGAGTTCCACTCCTGTCACGCTCACCCGGACTGGTGAATCTCTGTAAGCCCGGAGTGCCCGAATGAATGCTGTTGTTCCTGCTTGATCCTCTGCTGACGCTCTGGCGGCCGGTAATATACGAAGGAACACCATCCACTTCGTTGATTGTATACTCGCCGCTGCCACGGCGTTCAAGCTCAGGGCTTACAGCGGGCTGCCTGAATTCAGCGTCAGGGTGCTTGTCAATTTCGTCAGAGGCAAGGATAGGAACGCCGTAGCCGCGCTCAGAGACCCATCCACCTTCCTCAGCCGTGTTGCCGCCCTCGGGACCAAGGTCTTCCTTTGGTGGGTCGTAGCCACCGCCTCCGATCTTGCTGGAACGATGGGAAGGAGGGTCAATGTGAATAACCTCGTCATCCGCCTCATCATCGCCCTTCTTCTCAAGTGTGTTAGCTGGGAAGCTCATCTGCTTCAACGGCGACTCAACCTTCTCAGTCTTATGGATCGAAGGCGGGCGACCAGACGTCGGCCTCGGGCCTGTTATCCTCGAAGCAAACTCTTCACTCGCCATGTAACCAACCTGCTCATCAGGCGTTCCAATAACTTCTCTTGAAGTACCTGCATTCCTTGATCAGTATCAGCCACAGACTGGCGGACTCGCCATCAATAGCATACCCATTCCGATTCCCATGTTAGCTGATGAGCGCACCAGCTTGACAAGGTCATCTCCCACCCAATGATAATCCTTTCGGTTTTCCTGGATATGCGGGCCGTATTCACCCTGTTTCTCGCGCTTGAGATCTTCGGGATGCCGCTCGTACCACTTCTGCTCGAATTCGTTGTTCGGGATGACGCCATGGCCGTGCATGCCGTAGCTGCCAGGTGGGCCGTGGAAGATTTCCCTCCCGCTTTTGGTGCGCGAGTGATGGCGACCGGAAGGCTGGCCACCCTTGTTAGAGAAGCCTACTCCGGTAGCGCCTGCTCCCTGCTCATATGGCGAGGGGGTCGGGGCCTGGACATCTCCAGCATTGGGATACATGGGCACCTGAAGGCCGATTTCCGGAATGCCCTGTTCCTCGGTTTCCTTGTATATCGACGTGGGGCGGGAGCGGCCGCCGTTAGAGGACTCTGAGCAGCCCGACTCAGGCCCGTGGGCCGACTTCTCGTCCGGGAACAGGCTCTTGCCAATACCGGCAGCCGCGGCCTGAGAGGAGTCGGTGCGCGTAACAGTAGCAATCCTGCTCTTGGCCGTTGCGCTTGGGACGGAGGCAGTGGGAGCATACAGGGGCAAGTCCCCAGCTATATTTTTAGTTTGTTGTGGGGATGGCTCCTGGTCGCTGTCGGTCTTGTGCAGCTCTTCGAGGCTCGCGTACTCGCTGCCCTCCTGGCCAATCGAGGGGAGAGTGACGCTGGGCGGGCGGGGAGGCAGCTCAGCGCTGAGATGGGTGTCTTTGTGCTGAAATTTTCCGCCATTGGTGAGGAAAGCCGGATCGTTCAAAGGGGACCGGGCAAAGGTATCGCGGTTAGGAGAAATGGAGCGGTCGGCGCTGCGCTTAGGACGGGGAGGAATCTTGGGGACATCCATACTGGAGCTGCTGGAGGGGACGTTCTGGGTGGAGCGAGCTGGACGCGGGGGTAATGTCGGAGCAGCCATTGTGGAAGTGTGTGGAGATGCAATTCTAAGTTGGAGAGCGAGGATGAAGGAGTATCTGAGGCTGGAGGGCTTGCTGGGGCAGGTTAGTCTCAGCCGAAGGAAGCCATTGAGGGCGTGAAACAGAGCAGGTCAGATAAGCCGAAGAGAGCCAATCAGGGCAGCTGCGATTCGCCGCATTGCACCGTGAAGCTACAGACAAAGAGGAAGGGAAGCCACTTACTAGCACAGAAACTACTCGTCGCCCTAAATATCTGGAGAGAGAGAGAGAGAGAGAGAGAGAGGAAAGGAGGCTGGTCAAGGTGAAAGATGCAGCAAAGCCGTGGTCCAGAATGCAGCACCCGGGCACAAGCACTTTATGTAGTCTTCTGCTTGGGGGACCCGGCCCACATTGACCTCACTCGTGAAAGCAAGAATGCCAGCGGCGCCAACCCTGTCCGGGCCTACATTAGCCTCTCACCACAGCTGCTACCGAACTGCCTCTCTGTGCGGTCAAAAGAACGCTGCGCCAATGCCGCCTCTCGCCATTGCGATTGAGTGCTCAACGGCCATCTCCCACCTGCGCCCAAGCTGCAAGAGATCGCTTACACTGCCCGTGCGCTAGCCTGCATCGGGTCTTGCACGAATCCTGCGCCGATCAACGAAGACACCAGCTTCAACTCTTCAACTCCCCCAAATCCCAGTTTCCCCTCTTCCTTCTCGTCGCACCCCTCTGCACTTCATCTCCCTCTATCCCACCCATATAGACCCCAATATTCCCTCTCCTAACACCCTCCCCATAACTCCTCGCCAGCCGTGCAAATTGCAGAATTTGCGCACCAGCTGCCGGAGCCCCAACTAGCCTACGCCACTCTGCCCTAGCCATTTTCCCCGCGTGCCCTGTGATCGAGGCAGCTGGTTCCTGGCCCCTGGCCGACTGCAATCCAGCCAAGTCGAGGTAACCAACCGTCGTCATCACCACCTGACAAGCTCAGAATTGCTTTGACAGCTTGCTAGTAGGCACATTTTTGGCGTTCCGCGGTTGACGAGCTTGAACAACAGACAGCTCGAGTGGTAGTTGGGTCTCCCCCACCCCAGCAAAGCGCAACACACACAGCACAGCACAGCACAGCACAGCAACACTGGTGAAGCGGATCCCAGCCGTTGAAAGTATCTGAAGATGGGCTGAGGAGGTGAGATGATGAAATCGAAAATCGTGATATTGCGCCATGCAGCTGTTTCTGTGGGCCCTGCGATTTTCCGTCTCTGCATTGCTATTACGTACATCCCCACCACTTGCACCCCAAGGTCCACAACGCGAGAATCACATCGTTTCAACATCGCGTGAGCCAGTTCAGACATCCCACAATACAACAACGTGCAATAGTCTAGCTATCGAATCAATCGATTGTTCGGAACCAGGACCACGATATTCCAGCCCAAGGCCGAAGGTGCCGTGCCGTGATGCGAGCGTGCTACATATGGAATCCCCCAGCCCCCGACCAAGCCTTTTCGTGGGAGGAAAGACAGAAAGAACTGAACATGCCCGCCTGCCTGCCGGAATAGAACGCCTAGCTGTTGAATTGATGATACAAGAAAATGAAGTTTGTTACCCCCAAAAGTCCTAATGAGTCTTCATCTCCTTGTTGTCAAGAAGAATCACTACTGCCCTGCGATTAACTTGCAGAACATTGGCAGACTGGCATAACCATGACCTGATGGATCTCCCCCGGCTTCGTATCCCACCACCATCGCTTTCGCCTTCTCCGGTCCCCTGTTGCATTGCACCACCATCCAGAGCGGGACTACCGCAAACACTATCCATGACATCTCCAATCTGTCACCGACAACAGCCCTCTCCCCACCAAGTCTCTATATGATCATCTGCGCAACACCCTGGCCACCAAGCGTCTTGCTACCTTGGAACGCCTGGCCTTTGACGCCAGCGGCCAGATAGAACAGGGCTGCAATCAACAACAGAACAGCCGCAGCAATCAGACTCGAGGCTGCGACCGAGATGCTAATCCACTGTATCACGCTCATGACGGCATAGATGGCGGCGCGCATGTAGTTTGTTTCGAATCGGCGGATGAAGCCGTCAAAGGCGGGGGAGGTCGGACAAATGCGAAGGAGGAGCGGGATCTCGATGAAGATGATGATAAAGGCGCACACCCTGATGGATTGTTAATGTAGGCGACGAGTTGACAGAAGAAGGGAGGAAGGGAAGAGGCGGTTGAACTTACAGACATATCACGCTGAAAATGATGAGAAGGTTGAAATGGAAGATGTTGGCGATTCCAAGCGCGAAACAGAGGAATATGCACAGCACGCCGGTCCTACGTAGCGTTAGCATCAAGCTGCTTTGTGTCTACCGTATCTCCTTCGCATCCGCGATGAACCCGCAGTCAAGAGCATTGCGGCATGGTAATTGTCTTGGGCTTCTAGTGCATTGCGAACTGCGGAGGACCGGCACCATCTCCGCGATGGCCACCAGGCCGCAGCTCTTCGCACACGCATTCCCCGACCTCAAACATGATGCCAATATGAAGGCGCAACTAACCATTGACCGTATATACCTGCGCAAAGAAGTATCGTCAGTAAGCACTCAAAACATCTCAGCTGCGGTCTCCTCACTGAAATTCCTCGACTTGAACTCCTCAGCAAGCGTCATCTTTGCAACAAGTTCCACCCACAGACTCTTATTAAGTGGACAAAAATATCGTGGTCGTGAACGGAATATTCGCAGCCGTTGTAATCTCGCAAGCTCGCTTTGTTGATGTCCTCGCAAAGTAATACGCTCAGCCCTACAGCAACGGATAGCTTGGACGATCGATCAGGGCCGGAGTCTTAGGGTTTTGTCAATGGAGTGCTAGGTGGTGTACGTGGACTACTGCGTGTGCGGATGTGGCGATGCAAGAGGCGTGATTTGGTGAATGTTGTTATTGTGTTGCCTGCGTTGTTCGCTGCTGCTTCCACGTCGTCTCACTACTCCCGCTCGGTCGCGGCTCTTGCCGAAAGGGAAGGGCCTGGGCGGATCAATGCCGGCCCGATGTGCTTACGTTTGTTCCTTCTTATTTTTGGATCTCGGTTGGGAATCAACGCCTTCTGGGAATATCTCGCAAGCTTTTCCTCCACAGAATCAGATCAGATCAATCATCAACCTGCGCCCCGCGCGGTGACGCCACAGCAATTCATCCGTTCAGAGTGGCTATCTAACCCCCCTGCTTCCAGAAGGAGTTAGCGATCCCGCTGGGGGACGAACTGCTTGCCAAGCCTTAGATGCAGATCATGACCCTGGCACGATGAATCCGGAGGGAAAGGCGTATCATGAGCGCTTCATGCGCGAAGCCATCGACATGGTGAGATATCTCCTCAAGCCATCTGTAAACATCATACTTGCAACTACTAACCAAGTGGACTTTCCCACAATTCTTTTCTTAACTCTTAATACATCATTGAATAACCAAGCTTCTAATAATACTCCTCCAACTTCCGCCTACACTTTTCCAAACCCCAATCATGTGATCCCTACTCACACCTCCTAGGCCGAGCTCGCCCTCCGCAGCGACGAAACCCCTGTAGGCTGTATCTTCGTCCACAACTCCGCCATCATCGGACGAGGCATGAACGCCACGAACCGCACTCTCAATGGCACCCGCCACGCCGAGTTCATTGCCTTGGCCCAGATTCTGGAAAATTATCCTATCAGCATCTTGAAAGAAACAGATCTCTACGTTACCGTCGAACCCTGTGTAATGTGCGCCTCCGTGCTTCGTCAGTACGGAATCCGAGCTGTGTATTTCGGATGTTGGAATGAGCGGTTTGGAGGCACCGGGGGCGTGCTGAATATCCATTCCGAGTAAGATCTCCTGCTCCTCTAATTCTGAATACATGTCCTATACTTATTTTGCTTGCAGTCCAAGTGTGGACAAGCCCTATCCGGTGTATGGAGGAATTTTCCGCGAGGAAGCTATTCTGCTGCTCCGAAAATTCTACATCCAAGAGAACGAGAAAGCACCGGAACCAACGAAAAAGAGGACCCGCGAGTTGAAGACAGATATCCTACCTATGGAACTCCATGGCCCGAAGCCCTGACTATACACGTCGACGTCCTACTTGCATGGATTGAGCGGTTTACTGATGACTTTCCACTAACTCTACTAAAGTTGATGGAGGCATGTTTTGAACCAATTCGCCATATTCTCGAGTAAGTCTCACGTCCAGGAGAATTAAAGAGTATCAGGACCAGCTATGAAGGGGAAGAGGTTTGCGAAGGACATTGGAAACCCTACTCAGTTACCATGAGAGAGCTTCGAGAACGACATCATACATAGTCAATGTAGATATACACCCTACTACAGCAACTAAATACCAAGAAAAGAAGACTATAAACTCCATTATCCATTCAATCTCTCACTCAGATTTTCCTGTCATAATCCCATCCCTCACTCTAAAAGAAAGCACACCAACCAATATACATCGCCGCCAGGTTCTTTGGATCCCTCGCCATCTGTACTAGTGCATCAACATATCCTTCGACACTCAACGGCACACTCTCACCCCTCATCAACCCGGCCACCTTCCCCTTCACACTCTCCAGCACATCCTGCGGGGTATCCGGGACACCTGGGATCTTCTTCTTCCTCTTTCCCCCTAAGAAGTCCGCCGTTGGATCATGCACAAACGTTTCCAAAATCGTGATGAGCGTATCCTCATGCTGCCTAAGCTGTTTATACGTGAGCTCAGCGGCGGTGCGAAACGGGCCTTCGATGCCTTGCGGGCCCATGGCATCTACCATATTATGCGTGAGTCTAAAGGGCACGAGTTCCGGTTTCTCGAACGTCAGTCCTTTATCGAAGAGGCAGTTAAAGTCGACATGGAAAGTCCCACCATTTCCTTCCTCCAGCAAGACGTTCTCGCCGTGGCGATCTCCCAAGCCAAGCACATGTCCTACAATACTCATGACCGCGCAGGACCGCGTATACCGCAGTCGAGCCGCGAACCAGGCCTCTGGTTCCGGGAACGCTTCGACGAACCATTCATACAGCACAGGTGGGAACTTGCTCAATATTTTGTGCGTGAAGATGCTGACTTTGCTGGCATCGGAACAGGCTTCGTTGAGCAGGAGTCGTAGTTCGCCGTAGTCGATTGGCACATTTTTCTGTCGGTAGAGACGGATAATGATGTCGCGCATGGGTTTGAGGCCTTCGACCCATTCGATAGTGCCGCATTCTTCGTTGAGTGGGGTCACCCCATACGTTTTGATATAAAGACGGCGCTTGCTAGATTCGATGTCGCGTTGTAGCGCGCGATTTATCATGGCGTTGAATTCCATGAGGCGCTGGTCTTTGCGGAGGTCGTCTTTAGGTTTGCAGAGGAGTCCGTAGGAGCGCCCGTCGGAGCCTCGGACGTTAACTTTTCGCGGTCGTTGGAGGGAGCTCAGGACGAGCACGTCGTCCATGAATTGTGAGATCGTAATGACATCCTGCGCGAATGGATTATGGCTGCGGATTGTCCTGCTGTCATTCCCAGCCGGGAGATTCGCAAGCATTGTCGCTTCGATTGGAACGACGAGAGCACAAGGGGCGAGCTTGTGATTGAATCCAAGGTCCTTGGACAAGCTTACGTGTGGCACACGTTGTTCGACAGGAGCATCGCAGGCAGCAAGTAGAGCGTCCGCAAGCCTTTGGCCGTGTATTATCAAGGCCTTTAGGTCGATCATACTATTCTTCCGTTTCGTCGTCTCCTTGAATTTGTTAGTCAACTGAAGAGCACTCCACCGAGCATATTACTTACGCCTCTCAATTTACTCAAAACCGCCACCCCTCGAGCACGACGGTCATCCTGTGTCGCCCTAGGCACAGCTAGAAGACTCCAAAGAGCCTGCTGTGGGTATTGGGATGCAACCTTCAAGATGATGCTTTGAAGAACGTCCCATACAGTCTTGTGGGGATGGCTGATACGTGTGATGATCTGCGGGAAAGCTGTGTACCATGAGAACGCAGGCATTCGGTCGGCTGTATACCTCTTGATATGCCGGTTGATCTGCTCCAAGAAGTTCACTTTGTAGTCGTAAATTTCTTTGTCCGCTGCAGCCCTTGGTTGAGTATTGTAAACATCCATACCCAAATCCAGCCACAACGTGAGGATTTTCGGGATGGTTTGGTAGTAATACTTCGTACCGTAAACGACGGAGCGAACGAAATTCTCAATTACGAGCTTCGCCGTCTCACCGCAAAGGTATACCATGGTTTGTTTCTGCCTGGGCAATTTCTTCTCAGATTCAAGAAGCTTGAGATAGTGACGGCCGAGATAGTAATGGCCCTTGTCCCACCTAGGAAAAGCCATCAACCCAGAAGCATACGCATCTTTGAGGGCAATAGCCTTTGTCTGCCCGGCTCGGTCAAGCCATTTCGCTAACAGCAATTGAGCGTGCGATTTGACTTTGTTCGGCGCTTGTTGTTGGTCTACCGTAACACCCACTGAAACCTCAATGTTCATAGAGTCTCTAGGCTGAAAAGCGTTGCTAGTGATGGCGCCTTGGAGATTCTGGATGGCTTTCCGGTGATGGCCTTCCTTCCACATGAGCTTAGAGTACTCAATTTTGGAAGCGTCATCCCCAAGCTCAGAAGCATGGAGCACTGAGTTAAAGGCCGTGGAGGTGAATTCTGCCTTTCGTGCTAGTCTCGCACTCGTGAGCCATGCAGATGCAATATCTAGCTTCGCAAATTCAATGCTAGAAAAGTGAGTAATATGGTCAGTTCTAAAAAGGATGATTTCATACCTTGATAATTGCATCACTGCACGGCGCACGCCGAGTAGGTATTGCTTGTCTGAAGTGTACGCACCCAAAATTTCTAGTCGCCGGTCTAGATTCTCCAGAATCGTTTCCCGTTCACGAGAGGTCTCGGACGACATCCCACTAATGGCTTCGACTTCGTAAAGCACATGTAGCTTGACTAGGCTATCATGACAAGCATGTAAGGATGCAGTCGAAGTGGGTGACAGGCTTTTGGCAACGGCTTCTCGCAAAGACTCAATCATCTGCTTAAATTCGTCACTCTTCTTTCGACGCAAAGCGAGCAGCGCTCGTCCCACTCCGACATTGAAGTCTAGAGAAGACTGTATCGACTGCTCTGATGAAGACGAGAGGATTCTCTCTAACTGTTCCCATTTTCCTGTCGACCAAGCGGCTTCGGCAGCGAACGGAAGGGTCCCAGGAGAGAAAGAGTTAGATGCATGGAAGCCGTCTACGTAATTGAGTATAGAGTCTTCCCTCTATTAGCAATGCCCACTGAAGCCTTATAGTCCGCTTACCGTATTGACCCGACTCTTTGAGGCAGGTTAGAAGGTTGATCTGAGTTTCCGAATCATCTGGCTTTTCTGCCAGAGAAAGCTCATACCAGCTTTGAGCAGCTGTCCATCGCCCAGCCTTGCGGTGTTCCATGATCTGTTGGTCTGTATTCAAGACTTGAAGATGAGTCGAAATGCCCTCAATGCTGTCGGGTTCGTCGATTTGTGCATATATGAACTGTAGATGTTGCAACAACTCATCTTGCTCGAATGGTTCATCTTTAGCTTCGGCCTTTAGCTGCTCTTGGCGATAGTATTGCTCCCAGTGAAACAGAGCTCGAGCATAGGATCCACATTCTACAGCACGTCTAGAAATGACTTCCGCAGGAATGCTCTGCAGGATCCGTTCGACGCAACTGATCTGGGCAATATCCTTAATCTCATCCATTTCGGAGATACCACGACCAGTTTTTCCGGCCATAGCACGAGCATCAAAGACAGCTTTTCTTTTCTCTTGTAGCCAGAGTGCGAGATAGTCGAGGGTTTGGAACACATTCTGTGAACAATTAGCTGGAGTGATAACCGTGATTTGGTTGACTTGCTTCACTGCACTGCTTGATCCTTGCAGCATTCGCTTGGTCGTTCCCCGGTATTATGCTTTCTAGCACTCTTAACAGCTCCTTCTCAATGCTCGTCGTTTCGTATTCATCGCCGGTGACAATCACATTCAGCGCCGCGAATGGTAAGATGAATGTCGCAATAGATAAATCATGCCCTCGAATGACTTTAGCAAGGACTGGGAAGATCATCTGAACATTTTCTCCTTTCCCTCTTCTCAGTAAGTCGTAGACAAATGCCCGTAACCAATTCGCGTGGGTGATGTCCTTTTGGAAAATGGGATACTGGTGTAGTTCATCATTTTGGATATTGCTGCGGACCATATACCTTGAGCTAAGGAAGGGAGTAAGCGTGCTCCTGACAGCTTCGGGAATCTCGTTCCATCGCTGTAACGCCGGACTTCCCTGGGAAGATCGAGGTCGTTGAACTGAAATTTGGTTGAAGCCACAGAACCTAAGCAACTCTTGCATAGCAAATGCCAGAAAACCCTGTGCCCTAGCGTTGGTAGTGGAGTGAAAAACTTTGACAAGAATACGCTCAAGAAGGAATGCCGTAAAGTCGACGACTTCGTTGGCGCGCTCAAAGTTTGACAGGACAAGAATCTGCTTCTTCTCGCGAACGCTTTCGACCCTGTACGGATCTAGACCGCCAATGAGTCCCAAGCAACGGGCACATAAAACTGGAATGTCCTGATGGTCCTCGGCAAACTTAACGGTTGCGTCCAGAAGGGCGCGGCTAAGAGCAGGGAGCGCCGGTATCGGCTTCTCGCTGATGGCAGACTCATGCAGGAGCTTCTGGTTGCCCTCAAGGAAAGGGACGAGCTCCTTTAGCGCTTGCCGCACGACAACAGCATTCTCGTCGTTGCATCGTCGACTGAAAATGTTGAAGAAATTGATCCTCTCAACTTTCGCCTTCAAACGTGACATCTCCCCTTCTAACTTTGACATCATCGGGATGGAAGCGAGAGAAGGGATGTACTCAATTCTCTCCTGTAAAAGTGCATTGTGTTTCTTAACAAGATTTCCTAATGTCTCGTTAGCTCTGATATGCGTGTCTTCGGAAAAGCACGACCAATGCTGGGCGATTAAGGCAAAGGTCTGATCTAGGACAAGTTCCACGTCTTCCTCATCTAAGACTGAGAGAAGAGCAGACCACACGATGAAGGTCTGGTCGCAGAGGTGTTTGTCTGCCATAGCGGATTGTAGACAAGCCCTGACCTATTTCATCTTAGGATCATAGACACGGTGGCAGTAAATCCTTACGTACCTGTGGCAGAGCAAAGCTGGCATAGCTGTCTGCCAGGCCGATCATCTCCCCTATGGCTCCAACACATCGCTTGCGCTCCAAAAGTGCATGATTCGCATGAGGATTATCCAGAACCTCGGAAAAATGAGCCATGATTCCCAGGATATGTGACTCGAAGAACGATGATATCGTTCTCTTCTTCGATGACGTTTTACGTTGTCCATTCTTCATCTCCGCAAGTGCAGCTAGTGCATGAAATCCGCGGTGATACTATATGCTTGAATTAGAACATTACAAAAGAAGGGGTAAAAGCACTTACATGAGATTTCCTCGATACAGGCTGATCTGCAGCAGACTTTAGCACTTCACATGCAACCAAGACTGGCTCTACCTTGATCCAGGTGGACAGATCATGGTTTTTATCTTGGAAGCCTGGTGCAATGGCCACTAAAGCTTCTATTGCACTTCTTTCAACATCCTCGACTGGTTGACATAACAACAGCGCAAGAATTGCAGCAAGGTTTCTGCGTGGTTGAGTACAGATTTCCTGAACCGATGTTCCACGGGCTGTGGCGATTCGCTGTAGGATGTCCTTCCGTTTAGTAAGAACCAGGTACGGCAAGGTTTCGGTTTGCGTTGACAACAGCATACTGTTTACACTCTGCTCGGTAAGGTCCGCCAATTGCTGCGCTTTCTGTGGCTTATTGTGAAGGTCCTTAATTACAGCGAAACCAATACTTCTCCAAAATGGCCTCAGTAGCTCTACGGGCTCTGTTTGAAAAGTTTCGGCGATTGACGCCAGCTTTACCTATTAGTCAATATGAAATGAAGTTAGGTGGTATTTCCTACCTCATTGTAGGCCATACCGCATATAAGGGCATTCGTGTGACCTAAATATTCGACAAGCCGGAGTAGAATGATTGGTAATTCGTCTTCACCGCATACACTATTAATGATGTGAGCCAAGTTCTAGGGCCAGTCCGAATAGCAGAGCATACCGCGCAGCCTGACCATACGCCATGATTATCGTTTCCTGTTCTGTGAGCGCATCCCTCTTTGATAATTCTTGGAAGAATTCTAGTGTGGACATGCGGTTTTTGCCACGGACGGATTTGGGAACATCTTCCCTAAGGAAGACCATAAGAGCCCCCCTGTAGCTATGTCAGGACAAGTGAGCAAAACGATGGCAAGGGGGCTTACACTGCCGCAATCCTTAGTTCTCTTAGAGACCTACTTAGGGACTTCATTAACCACTGCCCCAAAGCACACATTTCCAAGTTGAGGTATTCAGGATCCGAAATATGGTTAAACACTCTCCTGATCGACAAAGCCATGAGAACCCGTGGCTTGGTAGACCTTTCAAATTCTTGAATTTCCGTGATTGCAAGCAGAGCGGCAATAGTCTCTTTCCAGTCCTCACCAGAAGCGACAACTTCCCAGTATATAGCTGAGCCTCGATTTGGTGTCTGAGGATTATCACACACTCTGCATGGCAAGCTTCTCCAATCACTCACATTCTCGTGAGACGGTTGTATACATCGGGCTCCGGCACAGGCAATCTTTCCAAATGCGGAGAGCAAATCACAGCGCTGTTCTTCAGAGCTAGCCAGATACCTGTCCCTATATCTTATCAGAATACGAAGGCATGTGCAATTTAAATGCTTACATTATGGAATTATGAAGGTTAGCCAGCTCAAAGACTGCAGAGTCTTGAGCGCTCCCGTTGATCAGCATAATGAGATTGTTGTATATTGCTCGAGGTTCATCCTCGTTCACATCTGCAATGATTCTTTGTCGCTTCGAGGGTCTCCCCTGATCTGCTAGGTTCAGTTCCTTGAATGTCTTGATAATCATGGCAGAATCATGTTGAAGTTTTCCGTCAGAAAATATTTGAGTAGCATCCGAGCAGAGACTATTCCGCAGCATATCGACTTCCACCGGCCATTCTCCAGGAGAGGTCCATAAACATAATGCGAGCTATACGGTATTAATGGCTGTAGAACTCCTTGCGCATCAGAGGCTCCATACCTGTAAGTCTCTACCTAGACGACCGAATCTCGCGGTGTCCTGGCATATCTGAACTATTACCGGCTCCACGGTATCGACAGTTAAAGCCTTCGTGTTCCGTTGACGGCCGATGACAGTGTCGTCTCGTGGTTGCTCCAAAGTTCCTCGTAATCGCGTAAGCAATGAGGCCAATCGGATTTGGTTACCCTGAGAATATGAATATGTAGTGCACGATTGAAGAAAATCTGAAAGGCTAGACGCAAAGGAAAAGACAGCTTTCGGTGAACTAGAGAATCCCGCTTCCGGAGGGTGTTGTGGGAGGCATATGACCTCTAGCAGCTGCATACAGGCAGCTTCCGTTTCATCGTGGACAAGACCTCTCTCTACATGAGTATTCCATTGTGTGAAGAAATGCCACAACTTGAGACAGCTGTCTAGTCCCCAAGGAAGGTAATTTTCACAAGCGGGCGGTGCAAGTCCACTTCTCTCGGACAATCGGCTAGGGTTAAGGAGGATTTGAAGAAGCTGAAACCCCAGAAGTATTGCTTGTGACTGTGAACCAATCGTTCTTTGAGAACCCTGTGGTAAGGCCACCAATTGCTGGCTGTCGGGCCAGAAGTCACTTATACTACTAGATGAAGGTAGCATGACCTTGAAGGATGGGTCAAAAAGTCGAGAAATGTCGCTGGCGGCATCAAGGGCGGTGAGAATGCCTAATGGGTGGTAAGCGGTGGATATTCCGCGATATAAGGAGAAAAACTTACTGTTGACACACGACCTGTACAACTGTGCGAGAGACATTGCCTGCTGCCACAATCCGGAACCTCGGCCGAGGACGCTGATGGAAGTGGATAACAAGTCCTGGACATCCTCTTGAATTTCTTGAAGATTCGGGTCGCCCAACAAGCCAAGAAGCTTAGGGAACAGCCAGATGAAAAGAAGAGGTCGGGGGTTTCCATCATCATCGTTTCTCGTGCTCAGCAGTAGATGCGGCCTTCGCTGAATAGTAAGCTTAATAGCTGCAATACTATCAGAAGCTTGTGGGAGGAGTAGCTTAAGAGCAAAGGGATTGTCTTGGAGTAATGCATCCAATCCTGCTTCCGCGATAACAGTGATTAACTGGGTATTGAGTTGCGAATTTGGCTCGTCCGTACTTGGGTCGTTCAAATACTCCTGTAGTAGTTGTCCGAACGCGACCTTGGATCCCGGTTCCTGTTGAGCGTTGACATTCGAAGCATTATTGACAATTTGAGCGGCGATAGTCGAGGGTGGTGGGTTTCCATTTGCTAAGGGTACAGAAGCCAGCCGTTGGGTTGAACTCCCGCCTTTGCGGGCCATGGCGGCGTTTATCCGTTTGTCATAGCGAAGAGCAGGTTCAGGTGGGAAGATGGACTTAAGATTGGACGGAGTTTAGCCCGGAACCAATTTCTGGGAGTGGCTCCAGTGAATAGAAACTTCGAAACTTATGAGATTACTGGCCCACACAATATGATTAGTGTGAAGGGTGTTGGGGATGCTCCACATCAGACCTTGGGATCGTGTGTCAGAGAAGCCGTCAGGATGCGCGTCAGACGAAAACGCGTGGGGGTGTGACCATTCAATCGGCCAAGCCACTAAACCCAATGCATTCCGCTTTCGCTCTCACCACCAGGCCTCCGCATTTGAAGCTTTCAAACATCCAGCCATCGTTCGCCTAGGACTGACATGCGCTAACCTCCCATTAACATTTAATCGGCCAAAATGCCTCGGGTCTTCAGCTCGAAATCCTTCAGTGCCCTGCACTCAAACTCTCTCGCCGCCCGTTATCGTCGTCAACTTACCAAACACCCGTTCCTCCTCTTCGGTCTCCCATTCCTCACCACGATAGTCGCGGGCAGTTTCTTCCTCACTCCTGCCACAGCGCTAAGGTATGAGCGCTTCGATCGCAAGTTCCAGCAAATGTCAAAGGAAGAAGCAATGGGGATTGGGCAGAATAGAAGGAAGGTGGATATGAAGGAAGAATACTATGTACGTGGATTGAGAGAACATTGCTGGGTCCGGAGCTTAGCTAACGGTGTCATAGAGGCTGCAAGCGAAAGATCTGGATGCTTGGGAGCAGAGACGAGTCAAGCGATTGAAGGGCGAGATTGATGGTATCCTGGAATGAAGGCTTGTGAATGAGGAATTTGCATTGGATTGGCGTTAGCATGAACCTCAATTTTAGCATAGCATTTGGAGGGCGCGAATTTGGACGCTGCTGATATGGGTTTTTGGCACAATCGTCTCCCCTCACACGCAATGAAGATTCTCTAAAGTCTTCTAAATATGAGCCGACACCAGCGTCATTTTCACTTGCATACCGTGCTATTCATGGTTTGCAATGCACCATCAGCACACGGGCTAAGTAAGAGCACTGAAAACCCAAAGAGCATAGTGTCAATCATCTGTTAACGCAAGCACAACCAAGTCAGGTGGGTTGTTATTGAATTATTCTATTTATTCTAAATACTTCGCATGGAATTATGCATTAAGACAGCACATCGCTGAGGTGCTGTCACAAGGAATCCACGTGCGTCGTTTATTAGTATCCTGGAATACGACACACCCGTTGCAACCCTCATCTAAGCAGTGGACCCTGTTATCGGTGCCCAAGCTCCCGGAATCTTTCTCGTTGGAGAGACGAGAGCAAGTTGGGGAGACAAAATCTAACGCCCAACAAAGAGGTATAGAAGTGCTGACGAGACTCTAAGCCGAATCATAGGTGACTCCTGCAAATGCTCATAATGCAGCAAACGAGAGAACCGAAAGTGTAAAGTGAGCTGTACCTCGAGTCAACAGTTGACTACTGTTTGATCTCGTATTTCCGTCGGAACATGCTATCAATTTCAGTGAGATAGTATGTACCGGGGAAGATGTTCTCGATGCTGCCGGTTGGGGTATAATCTTTCTTGAGATGGGCCTTCTCGCGAAGGTTGCACATCTGCAGGAGAATCAGCCACGTGATCGAAGAACAATACAAGCAAGGTCAAAGGAACCTACCTCATCATAAACCTCGGGTGCAACAGTGAGCCTCGAATCCAGGCGAGCGTGGATGTCAAGCTTCTTTTGAATCTCCTCAACGCTTCCCTTGACTTTGAAAGAGAACATAGAGCTAGCGAGGCCGCTCCCATAGCTAAACATGCCGATGCGTTTTCCAATCATTGACTGGCTGTCGGCATTGGCGATCAAACTGCACAAGCTACCGTAAACGCTGCCGCAGTACATGTTCCCGCACATAGTAGGCACCTGAATGCCTGGCTGCACGCGAGCAGCGAATCGCTTCTTAGCGAGAGCCATGAAAGTCTTCTCCACCGTCTTATCAGTGACTGAAGCAGCGTAATCAAGATCGTGAAGCTCAGGGGGAACATCGGCGAAAACAGGGCTGTTGGGGTCGACCAGGTAATCATTGTAAAGCAAGCGTGCATATGACTTGGATACGAGCTTGCAGGTGGGGGCGTGGAAGCACATGTAGTCGAATCGGTCTAGGGGTGTCTCCTGTTCCTGGGCATGGCCATTGACACCATTAGCGTTCGCGCTTCCGTTTAATTGGGCTTTCAAAGTAGCTTCGCGGTTGTTGTATGCCTTGTAGCATGCGTCCACGGCCTCAGTGTAGCAGCGGATAGAGAAGTGACCATCGACAATCGGGTACTCGCTGGTCAAGTCTGGCTTGTAAAAATCGTATGCATGGGTGATGTAAGAGCCGCGCTGCCCTGGCTCCATGACGATTGGGGCGTCAGGGCCAATAAGCATAGCCACACAGCCCGCTCCACCAGTCGGACGGGCGTTACCCTTCTTGTAAAGGGCGATGTCGCCTGCCACGACAATGGCGTCGCGTCCGTCCCAGCCGGATGATTCCATCCAATTGACGGAATTGAACAGGGCATTTGTTCCGCCATAGCACGCATTCACCGTGTCAACGCCCTCGACATTGAAATTGCCTGATTCCGCGAACAGCTGCATCAGCACGGATTTTACCGACTTGGACTTGTCGAGCAGGGTCTCGGTGCCCACTTCCAAGCGGCCAATGGACTTGGGATCGATGTTGTATTTCTTGAAAAGGGAGGAGACGGTGGTCAGGGCGAGCGAGTAGATGTCTATACAAGAAACAAAATCAACTCCAAATTCTGTGCAGCGCTCTCACAGAGGGTGGCATTTGGAGAACTTACCCTCGCGGTCGTCGCAGAAGGACATCTTTGTCTGGCCGAGGCCAATGGTGTATTTCCCCTGCGAAACGCCATCGAACTTCTCAAGCTCGGCCTGGTCAACGCACTGCAGCACGCTGTTAGAGTTGTCGTCAGGAGAGGGGCGCAGCAGATTCGCGGCTGCACTGTCGAAATCTTCGAGGAACTGCGTACCTGGCTGGGGAAGTAGAGCTCAATGCCTTTGATGCCAATGTTGGAGGGACGGTAAGCCATGGTTGCGGTTGTTGTGAGGGGATTTGGAGGTGTGTGGGAAGAAAGAAGCTGGCGAGGCGGGCGAGGGGGCGTTCCACACCGCTGGTTAAGTAGTGAAGTGTCGTGACAAAGGCAAATTGCGGTCTGGGTAGCGGCGATCTCAATGTGGCAATTGGCGAGGAGAGCTGGTCGTTAAATGTTTTTCGTGTTGTAGACTTTGGCCTCCCAACAAACGCTAACAATGCTAGGTTATTTCCACTCGCCTGAAGGACGTGGCCGCTTTATAGTTGAGTCTTTCACGGCCAGCATCGGAGCGAGGTTCGCTTTGACAGACCAAGGAGCATGCAGCGTGATAGCGAGGACTCCTCGATACGTCCGTCCCTACGTTGATTTGCTGCCTCTGCATGATAGCATTCATCCTCCAGAATCCTTACGAGCACCGCAATCGGAGCTTCTTGGCGCCGTAGCCGCAGGCAAGATAATCGGGTCGCGACCACTCCAGCCTATCGCAGCCACCTTCCATCGCTGCAGGGAGTGTGCCACGACCCGGATTGGGACTAGCGTCAGGCACAGCATGCGCTGGTGAATTGCCGGCTGCTGCAGCGTCCTGTGTTGAGTAGTTGTTCCTCCGCCAACACCTCTGGCGACTATCGTGAACACAGCAGATTTCCTCTCGACCGGCTTGCTGCAGGCGCCGCCAGTCCTGCAGGCTTGTGCTGTGTCGGCGAGCTTGATGGTTCCCCCATCCGCGTAGCAGAGTCTAGGCTAGATACCCGACGGACCTTCCGCTTGACATCTCATGCAAGTCAGCCGCTGTTAACGACCAACGATCACATTGTGGAGCGTTCGCATGTTCCAGATGCCTTTCTCGGAATTCCGCTCAAATCCTCTCCTGCCAAAGGAAAAGCCACCCAGGGCTTTTCCTTACTATCTTTGTGTCCTCAGCTGCTTTGCCCCCCGCCAGGCGCTTCCCGTGACAAGCCCCAGCCTCTCTTACCATTCTAAAACAGCGTCATTGCGCTCAAGCAAAGTGAGTTGTCCCGCAAAATCATTTACTTCGTACCAGGCATCTCGGTGTCGTCGTCTGCTTCTTTCTCACAGCATTGTTTGAAGAAGTTCAAGGGATTCCAGATTCGCCTCCCTAATAGCTCATCTTAGCTTCCCTTGAAGTGTTGTCCATGTGCTGCACAATACCACGTCTCGATGCTTGCAGGAACCGGATCTGGATGCTCCTCGGCTTGCCAGGATCTCCATTACTCACGTTCTTTAAATGAATCCGACTAAAGGAATCTCACCACGATATCTGTGCCTACAGCTGCTTAGTGCTTATTTTCCCTGTCCCATATTCGATCCCGCACCCCACTAACCTCCGAGACTAGACTACAGTAACAAAATCGGACCGTCCGTCCAGGCTGTGGTATGTGTAGTCTCCTTCGCCTTGACACAGGCCAAGCCAAGATGCAAAGAGTGTCCACCCTTTCCGGTGAAGCATCACGTGAAGGAGAGTGGTGTCTCGTATGAGCCCGCTAAGCTGCTGCACTCACCCAATAAGTCCCAATACCTGTGAGATTGGGCCTGCAGAAAACACCACAGATCAGATCGTCCAACCCGACATTACAGCCAATCTTCGAATGGACAACTTCGTACTCATTGAGAAACGTGACGTTGGCATCATTGCTGACCTCTCAGCTTGACCTGACAGCCGCTTCATTTGACCGCACGCCCGTCCGCTCTTTACGTAGAGTATGTCAAAGTGATCGAGGCCGAAGCGTCTCCGTAAGCGGGTCGCTCGAGTGTCAATATATTTACCGTGCCAAATTTGCCTTTGGACGGGCGGACGTTGCTGCGCCGGACATGGTGTCAGAACGTCACCCCCAGAAGAGCATCAATGTTAACAAAGACGTCAACCATGGGGCAAGTCAACTCTAGGACCCATGCTGGCCGCAGAAGGGAAGGCTATCGAAAGTCGATATGGAAGGACTTGGTCGGGTCTCGTCGCCGAGAAGCAGTTGGGAACAGCAGCAAATGCAGAGCGTTAGGACCGGGCTGCGGGACATGATTGGACAGGCTGGGGCCAACGAGAGTGGCTCGATATTAATGGGAGGGGAAGTCGGTCTTCCGCCGGCCATGGCTAAAGAAAGAGGTTGTTCTTCCATCGATCGTGACAAGTTCTCCAAGGCCTCCAATGCTCTCCGCTGCAGGTAACGAAGGGCAGCGTTTGGAGAAGAAAAACGCACAGGCTTGCGGTTGCGAAACCGACGAAGCTGCTTTTGTGAGGCGTCGAGGCTGGTGGTCCTGAAACGGCAAAGGTCTTGAACGGGATGCGACCCTAGCCTAGCGCCTACTTTGGAAAGTGCCGTGGCTGCTTCGCGCGGGCCCTTGACTCCGTCTCAAACCTGCTCGCTGCCAGCCAACCTTCGACACTCCCCCAAACCACTCGTTTCACGCCTCTGACGACGCTCTTTCATCGACTGCGCTCCCTCCCATCGGCCTACAGCGCGGATTCCATCGATTGGCATCGCGACCGAGCCATTGCGACCTTGTTGGGTGACGTAAAAGGGGTCACCACGCCCGGCTGGGCTGCTCAGGGACGTCATGGACCGCCGTAACAGCACCACCGACGACCAGGAACCGCGCCCGACCGGCAACCCGAATGTCTTCGACGATGAATATGCCCTAGATCCGGCAGAAGAAGACTACATGCCCGGCGTGTCGGATGGCTTCCGGCCCACCAACAACGGAATCAGCGGCGACAGACACGACCACGACCGAGAACGAGAACGAGAGCCATCCCCAGCTCGGCCATCATTCGCAGCGCAGCACTCGACAGACGGTGACCTGCGAAGGTTTGCATCGCGGAACAGCACAGCTAAAGTGCCATGTGCGCGCGAATCCATATCGCACGACATTAGACATGCCGGCACACACACCCGAGGCGTTGGCTCGCAGGCGACACCGCTACAACATCACACCTCCATCAGCTCCACCGGCTCTTTTGCTACAATGGCACGCTCTGAAAGCCCGTTTGGAACTGGCCCCAGCCATCCTTATGGCATGTACCCGCAGAACACCATGGCACGGTCCTCAAGCGTGACCACCTCCTCAACACAACCACAGCCACATCGATCAGTATCGTTACAACGTCCCACCCATCCTTACGGCATGTATCCGCAAAACGTGGTAGAGGATCAAGTGGAGGCCCCAGTTCCGCCAGTGCCCGCCGCAATCCCTGTCGGATTTCCAGGGCTCAACACAGGGTTCCACCGACAGATAGGACCAGATGGTGAGGAACAAGACATTATAGGGCCAGATGGACATACCGAACAACTACCCCCGTACTCTAGATATCCGGAAGAAGGCCCCACAAAGGCAGCGTTAGCCGCTGAGGCGAGCTCCACACCCGTTGAAACAGTGCCCGCTCCACTGTCCACGTCTAACGACGCCCTGGTATCTCCCGTCGAGCACCAAGCACAGCCGCAAGAGGAACCACCAAGAGAGCCACCAGCTACGAGAGAACCGCAGACCTCGGAACAAGGAGCATCGGAGAAACAGGAGCATGAGAAAGCCCCGAAAGGCTGGACCTCCAGGAAGCTATGGGGAAAGGTTCCCCTTGGAGTTGCCCTTGTTCTTCTTGTTCTGGTTCTAGTCTTTGCCATCATATTAGGGGCAGCAATTGGTACCTTTGTAGCCAAAAATAAGAAAGATGATCACGGCAACAATAAGCATAAAGACAAGGACAACCCGTATGTATTCCTTGGAAGAAATTGAAGAAAATCCACTAATAATCGGCAGGTCTCCTCAGGTCACGGGCCCTTCTGGCTCAATGTTCGACGCATACACCATCCCAGTTCCTTCATCACTTCCTCCACTACCAACTGGAGCTTTTGCCCTGCCTTTAGGTGTAGCACAAGAAGCAAGTCCAGGGTGTCTTCCTATGGCGAACCAGCTCTCAGCCTGGTCGTGCAAAATGACCTTCGTGCCGCTCCTTCTAAACATGAGTTATCTGCCACCAAGCCCTACCGTTTCCAGCGGTACACAACCCCAACCAGTAGCGACCATGCAGCCTTACACCAAGCCTGATGGAGGCATTCAATGGGGCGTCCAACCGCCATCCATTCCGTCGCAAGCACTTTCACTCGTCATGGACAATGACTACAAAGCCTATGGACCTGCATATCATTTCCAGACACGTTATGACAAGATTGTCGTCTTAAGCCCTGAGGAGTTCTCAGCAGGTGCGTCGCTTCGCAAGCGCAACCAAGGACCGAAAGGCGGCGACGGTGATAACAAGGCCCCATTCCGACATCGCTTCCAAGTCATGCCTGGAGAGACGCCCTGGTATTGTGTATGGAATCAGACCTTCATTGAAATGTACATCTACGTAACGGACAACTCTACCGCGGCCACATTCACAGCCTTCCCATCTGTCTGGCCATCCAATAACCCCTTCCAGTCTTCAATACCCACAGAAGCCACTTCAACGCCCACATCGCTCGGAGGTAGTGCTGCGCCATCCACAACTTTTGGAAGTGTAACGGCCCCGAACACTCCGTCGCCAACACCTCTCCACCGACGTGGCGATAGCGATTATCCCCATCTACTTCCTTATCCGCGAATCGTTAAAATAGAAGAACGGCGCCTACCAGGAGCACCTCAACCCTACTGCCAAAAAATGAGATTACTTGACAATGGAGCCGTTGTTCCAGAAATGAACGGCTCAGGCGCTCCTATCAAAGTGCTCATCCAAGAGGATGATCCTAGCCTAGAGGAGTTCTTGCTTTCTGCAGGAGGCCCACCGCCGAATCCATCCGCCACTTCAAATACGCCGAACAACAATTCAAACCGCCGACGAGATTTGGCGAAGCGCAGGGATCCCGCAGGTGCTTGCCACTGCCAGTGGATGTTCCAGTAAGAAAATTTGCATGTGCGGATCTCGCTTTTGACTGCATTATAACGGATTGGGTTCGGGTTATGGGCAATATCATGGAACGACAGTATTGTATGTATCGGGACGGGTTACTCGGCACATTTGGTGTTCTTGGTGTTGAGGTCTATTTTCATTTGTAATGAACGTCTTGGATTTCTTGGAATGCCCTCTTGGCATCTACATCATCTTTATTTGTTACGCCGCTCTCGGCATCGAGGCCATCTCACTATTGGAAGCGAGCATATCCTTCTCGCCTATGGGTGAGACATCGAAGGTAATTGCGCAAATTCTCTATAACCGGGTTTTATATTGGAGCGGAAGGTGTGTTGGATGCGCAATCTTGTACGGATGGGTGAAATACAGGGTAATACGCCCGCCCTGGCAGTCTCTTTGAGCAAAAAGAATCTATCTAAGCGCAAAACATACATGTGCCTACAGCTTTTCGTTGGTGTGCAATTTTACGATTCTCACTCGCTCGTATACCTGTACCTATTTTGAAGATACCTTGGGTGCGATGATTTAGTTGAGATAAGATAGGAAATCATTATATTATCTACTTGATGTCTTGGGTATATAGATCAGTTAAATACTTTTGTAGCTTCCTGTAGCCTTTTAAGCGAATCCTGACCTTACTGTTCGTAAGTCGTTCCTTTTCTGTTGATGTTACGTCGGGCCAGGCCTTATATCATAACTCCTGCGTCCCACTACCTCGTGTGGAACACTGCACGGAGGATTTAATGCTGATATCCATTCTCGTTACTGTTCTCCTTTATCCCAACAGGAATTTTAACTGGTCAACCTTTCCTGCTAATGTTCCAGGGTAGGGGTGAGAGTGCGCTACCACTTCATTCTACCTGTTTTAACTACCAATGAGCTCCTCCGTAGTACGACGTTATTGCTTACTATAGTTTAAGAAGAACGGAATTTCATTCAGTTACATAGAATTTGACAAACCACCAAAGCTTGTTTTTGTCCGTTCTCAAAATGGACCTCAAGTTAATATCTTTCTAAAGGACACTGTCATGCGAGGGTTAGCACCAAAAGACACAAATGAATGGAGTAACATGAACTTTCACCTTTGTAGTCCATTCCTTCGCCTTAGCGAACATCTCAATTCACTTCTCCCCCACCCAAACACTAGCGTTACACCTTCCAGACATCGGACCAAATTTGTCGCCACGAGCACTAAAATAACCAACGAAATCTCACCATGAATTAAGGCAGCCCTGATGAATCTGTTTCTTATTATTTGCGAGCCACGGAGTAAGTTTACCTTTTTCCAGTCATATATCAGCCATTTTGCATTAAGCTAACGTCGAAACAAGACGCAAGAGAACCTCGGAGAACGATGTCTATCTCTCCCTCCAAAAACTCCCAGCAAAGATCCGCAAAAAGGCCCATGAGATTCTTCTCACAAACAACCGCGATGCTTCCGATCGAATCCTTTACGTTAATGACCTGACCAAGAGGTGGAATGACCGCATCTTCCAAGCGTACGTGGAGACAGTGATCACAGATGCAAATGCGCTAGGAAATACGGCATTAAAATATGAGGGAATGATTGAGTTCAGCATTGATGGTGAAAAGCCCATGCCTCCTAATCAAGACCGCGCTCACAAGCCTCCAATTCGTCGTCACATTCCAGTTCGATTGCAGCGATGACGAGGCACGCTTCTTCAACTACAGCTGGCGACAGTATTTCAAGTACCGAAAGATCATGCACGATGTCATTGCAGCCATCCCACAGAAACTGGATTTGAAGTGGGGCTTCACTACGGAGCAGAAAATGATGGGAGATTACGATGGAGACCTGCAAGACGTTTGAGGCTATTCGTGTTTTAGCTGTAGAGACCCCGGAGGACTACTTTGATTGGAATGCTAGCCTACCTCTTTCGTCTCCCTAGGGCATGGAGAATAGCGGTGTTCATGACAGCGATGACGAGTAGGAATGGCAGCTTGCCACAATTCATACATTAGTGGAGGAGTCATTGAGTGGCTCTGGTTGAAAACTAACCAAGGCCACATTCGACATTGGAAAATGTAATAAAATATATGCTCTCCCAACTCCTTCATAACATAAATAACAAGTGATTATTCACCAAGCAAGATGTTCTATATGATGAAATGCCCATCACACCAACACCTACAAGTTCAATCCACAACTTTAGCCTCGCAATGCGCACCTTTTCATTTGCCAATGCCCTCCTGTATTAATCCTTCCATCGTATTAATATGCCTTAAGTTCAAGGATTCGCTGTCGTCGCAAAAGTGGAATTTAGCATGCACCTGCGACAATAATCATCAGCCAATGACAGGTGCTTTGACCTCAAGATGTTAGACCAGATACAGCATTTTGACATTTGCTGAAGGGACCCAGCCACTGAAATTTGAGAAGAAAACTCAGAAGCTTGCATGTGACGTAATTCTGCTCTCGCACTGCGATAGTTTCTCACGAAATTTTGGGCGACATATTGATCATCGTTACCTTTGATGCCATTCGCGTCGACGCAGACGGTAACCTTGGAATCGTAAAAGATCTATGCAATTATCATGGACCAAAATCTTATACCATAAGTAAGGCATTGGAAACTACCATTGAGAGAGGTGGTCAAAAGTCAATTGCGAAGGTGAAAGACTAATTCACTTGCTAGGTGCAGCAAGCAGTGGGCCCAAACACTGAACTACTGGTGCACACAAGATAGCCAAAGCTTCAAAATTGAGACTTTAAAATGCTCAAATAGCATCATATAGCCTCTATGAGCTTTAGAATACTGCTCAGAGGCTTTGATCGTGACGAAATCCCGTCGCAGCTCGCCAGTGAAAGGCCATAGATTGATATCGTACGATATTTTCCGATTTTTATTTTATTTCGTCATATAGAAACCCATAGAAAGTTCTCGACTCTCTCGATTGCTTCCCAATCACCCAAATGAGAGGATTTTCAAGCTACAGTCACTTCTACGTTGCTCCAGGGGATCCATCTGCCCACACGTGACCGCCACCAATTCTGACTCATCTACGCTAAGCTAGTGCCTAGAGATTCATATAAGCCCTACCTCCACCGCTTTAACTTCTTTTCCTCTTTACCTCTCAACAGGAGGAGCCTCGCTGGCGGACCCGTCCTGCCTGGAACGTCTTTCACTCCACCTCCTCATCCTTTATTCTTTTCACATGGTTGCATGCTACCTCTCGTCCTTCGGGATCTGCACTTCCTTCGGGTTATAAGTGTAGAGTTGAGGGCCCTCCATGTCCCCCTGGCCTCTCGTGGTCAGCTTATTTTGTCGGGCCAGTGCACAGTGGGTGTCGCGAGTACGGACCTCAAGTGTCGTCGCAGACCATGTCTCGGCCTCACCTCTCAGCATACTTTACGTTCGTTCACCCGGGACACTTCATGGTAACATGGGGTTCTCCAAAAAGCAAGGCGCTGCACTCTATCTCCGGGAGTTAGTTCCTGCATCGACGGCTCTTCGGCACAGTCTCCTACCATCTTCGGATGTCAGAGGGGTATGTGTGTGCGGCGTCACCTCTGCCCTGGAGATTCCCTCCCTTAGATGCTCACTGAGGCCACCGTAACACGGTGTGTTCGAAGATGTGGTGCTGATGATCGACGAGTAGAACAGTACGGGCTGAGCAAGGCTGGTTGGCAAGTGGGCATCGAAGGCTACGGGGCCTGGCTGGTCTGTCAAATGGGGTTGGATATGGTATGTATTCTTCGATATCATTCGCTTCGACATCAATCACTTCGGTATCAATCTTCGACATCAATCACTTCGACATCAATCTTCGACATCAATCACTCCGACATCATCTTCGGCATCATCTTCGACATCATCTTCGACATCATTCTTTAACATCATCGCCTTCAACATTCTACCTTCGAAAAGACAGAGTTTATGTTAGTGTTGGCGCCGGGGTTCTCTGAACGCAAACTCCCACTTGGCAACTGGGACTTCTCAGGTCATGGTCTCTGCTGTGACCTGAGGGAATTTTTGACACTTTTCACTTTCACAAAATGATTTGTCGCCTCGACCCAGCACTACCTTGGGGCCGACATTGATTTTTCACTGCTTATATATTTTTTTTCATTAATTCGCATAGCTTGCTGTGCGGTTGAGGAAGAAATCGATTTGGTGTTATGGCTGCATATCATGCTCTGCTCTTTATATCACGTCTTTGGTTAGCATCCTAGAGTTAACATACTTGAAGATATTATGGATTGCTCTGGATTCCAAGGGCACTGAAGTGAAAAGAAAGTTCTTTGCCCAATCCTCGATCTTGGGGGATCGCCCCAAGTATGTAATCCTTCGTCTGTGAGGCTGAGCTCTCCAAATTCCGCATAATCCCCACCGTCTCCTGCAGGCAATAAAAGTACATCACTGCCTCAAAAAAATCTACAGGACAGCTTCATTCGTCGACGCTACTACAAGAATATGGACTAGCTGGGAGGGCAATGTTGTACACGATGCTCGATTGGCAAAGCCATGGCCAGCTACAATGAGCAACTGTTAGACATTGAGTATGTCTAGCTTTAGTCTCCGCCAAACAAGCTGGAAAGCAATTGAAAACGCTGGTGTTATGTAGGCTGAAAGTGTCTGACCTGCGTCGCCCACACTTCTTCTCACGCTTCACGTCCTCGACAATGATATCGACTCTGTTTAGCGAATCTCGTATCACCGTAATTCCGCCAAAGGATCCTGGTAATCCTTCTTTTAATTTAGTAGAAGGCACGTCTTTTGGCGAGAGGTGTGTACATGCATGGAAAGGAAGTGTTATGGTTGTACGAAGGATCGCGTCCCTTGCGGATGGGTCCGAAACAAGTGTTTCGAAACACAGCCAAGGGCCGAGACGCAAGGCAGGAGTGAGGAGAGACGACGAATGGCAGTGTTCAAGTGAGGGAGGTCCGGAAAGTGGAAGTCCCTCCGTCTATTCAGGCGTCGAGGAAGACAGCGAGAAGTATAAGTTCGAAGGAGTCCTCCCACCACACTGGCAATGGAAGCTTACCTGGGCACCATTCCAATCAACTTGACCCATCTCAGCTCCGTTTACCTCGCCCATCAACAACTATGAAATTTATAATCTCAGCCTTCTTCCTCAGCGCCGCCCTTTCCGTCAAGGCAGCACCTTCTCCAATCCCAGTAGACACATTCTCCCCAGATACAGCCGCTACGTTCGCCAGCCCGCAGCCCGTAACACCACATGCGGACTGCTGCATCTCTACGACCGATCTCTCCTCCTGGCCCGACACCTCCCATGCTCCTTCCAACAATGGCACAAATCCCTGGCTACGGTTTCGCACCGCCTTCTCGACTTCCAATATCGAACCAAGCACATATTGCAAGTATCTAGGTAATCTCGGCTCCCTCTCCAACTTCTCCTTCTCTGCGTAACAGTCTCTGAGCAGACTCGTTGTGTTCGCTCGCGGGACTAACACAGTGTTTGATTAGATGACGGATTTTGCGGAATCGATATCGAATGCTACTACAACGCTGAAGTGGGGAGTTGGGTCGTTGATCAGACGTATCTCCAGACGGTTTCGAATGATACGCTGTATGATTCTTGCCAGAAGACGCTTACGAGGTGGTGGAAAGATGCGACGGGCTGCAAATGGGAGGGGCATTGAATGCATGGGGGGTGGGGAGAGAGAGGTTGTTGAGCTGGCTTGGTGTGAGCGGAGGTTGAATGTAAGTTAAACAACAATAGCTTCTTTCTGTTCTCTATCCTGGCTTAATTCAGTTAGCTATTCAAACTATCTGTACTTTTCCTCTCTAGATTTGCTTTGACTAGTCACCTTGTATTATCATGTAATACTGCATTCAATTAGCTTGTTGGTTATTGTCAAGCTATTAGGGGGTATCTACATATCTACATCGAGAATGCGGATGTTCTTACTCCAACGAAACAATCCCCAAGCTGCTTTGAAGTTCCCGGAGAACTTCATCTTCACAATTGTAACACTAATTACTCAAAACATAATGTGAATCAATGATGGACGTGCGAATTGGATGCAAACATCCCAAGAATTGCCCTTCCTTCTTGAACTTGAAGCCACCAGCCATCTCCCCATAACCTTTCTCTCTACACCTCACATTCCCTACTTCTGCTCAATCACCCATTCCTATACGGCTGCGGATACTGCATGTTCGGGCTATACACGTTCGCGGGAACTTCCTGTGGGGGCGCCGGACCCTGCATCTCATACCGCTGCATCTGCTGAGGACTTCCCGCGCCTGGGCTCTGGCCTCCCGGACTCGGTGGCCTCGGATAATGATACGCCATGGGCACTGGCGCAGGCATGGGCGTAGCGCTCATCTCATAGCCCTGTGGCGGTGGACTCTGGCTCGGATAATTCTGCGGGACACTCTGATTTGGATAGCTGTACATCGGTGCTGGACTCGGCGCACCGCTGCCATACACAGGAATGATATCTGAGTAGCGGCCTTGACTTGATGGGGGAGGAGGCGAGGACGGAGCTTGTGAGTTTGGAGGCGGAGGTCCGTACGCGCCCGCCATTTGCATGGAGTACTTGTTGTCCGGTGGGTGCTGACCTGGCCCGGCGGCAGTGGCTGCGGTAACGGCTTGGTTGATCATTTCGGTGACTTCCTTCTTTTTGTTCTTGCGTCTCCGTGCGAGGAAGAAGCCTAGGATGATGCAGATGACGAGGGAGCCACCTGCTGTACCCGCTCCAATGCCTGCTTTGGCGCCTGTGCTTAGGCCTTTATTTCCACCACCACCACCGCCGCCGTTGTTGCCTCCTCCTCCAGCGGGACCAGTAGTTTCAGCAGGTTGCGCGGGTGCGGATTCTCCGGGTTTGAGCGTAAGTGTGGTTGTTGAGTGGACAGTGGTTTTGGCATTAAGAGCAGAAGTCCTGGTACTGACTGTCGTTGAAGTCTTGGTGCTTGTTTGGGTGTAAAATATCTGAGATGTAATTTCCACAGAACTCGTGACATAAACCGTCGAGGTATAGTATCGTGTTGACGTATCAGTCCTCATTTGACGGGGCTGGAGGAGTCCACGCATATGCAATTTGGCCGCCGGGGTAACTTCAGGCATGAGCGGCTTCTGGTGCTTCTCGGCAGCAGGAGAAGCGGAAGACAAAGTAACGCCTGTAGCGGTTGCAATTGGAGTTGAATGGCATGGGGGGTGTGCTGTTGGTCCCCATCGAGCCTTATTCGCTGCTCTGGTGATGGTCACTGTATCCCATTCTGTTGCGGTGTCTACGTCAGAACGAGTGACGACCTCGACGCTGGTGGAGACTATGGTTGTCCATTCCGTTGAAGCGGGGATGCTTGTGGTAAACGTTTCGTACTTGGTCGTGTATGAGGTGGTGTAATAAGTGCTCGTGATATATGTGCTGAGACAAGTAAGTACGGTGGAATTGCGCCGTAGTTATTAAGAGTAAAAACAAGATATAGAGCTCACATCCGATATGTGCACTTTCCCAATGTGCCCGTGCCTGGTCCACACCCATCTTAAGACAGAGTTAGCAACATATCTCAAATGAAGAAGATATTGATACGAGGAATAATATGTCTTTAGTTGCTTGAAGAACCACCTAAGCGTTTTCTTGCACCCACTTTTGAACGAAACTTGGAATTGGACTTACCCGTCGCTGGGCAGCACCACCCATCCTGAGCATTATTTGGATCAGTGCAGCAAATATCCCCAGTTGTTACACATGTCCTGGGATCTCCGCTTCTAGTGAAAGTACACCCTGCACGCTTGAAAATATTCGCATATGCAAAGGCATTCGTGTTGACTTTCTGCGGACCTTCTTTCCTCGAATCCTCCATACCAAAATCTAGGAGACGCTCAGTCGAAGATACGGTCGCATTTCCCAACCCAAGCTGTTCGGGCGCAAGGCTGAGAATATCCTGGGGTTCCGGAAAATCGCGATCCAAGACTTCGGCGCCGGTGCCAGCAATGGCATCAACAAATGATGCTACCAGGAGGGTGAATACTAGCAAACCCATGGGATAAGCCACCACCATGGTGAACGCGTGAATGCAGGAATAAAGTTGACGAGCAATTCCCTCAGCCTTACTGCCGCCTGCGGGTGAGAGGGTGTGGTTTACATAGTTCTCCAGCGAGGACCCAATTCTCGTATTCGCAGAAGAGCTATCCCCCTGCCTCCAGCGAATTTATCAAAAATCCCAAATGTGGTTAGCCAGCCAAGATGGGGCTGAGAGGTTGAGTTCTCACTGGACACTACCAGCATCGCGGAACAATCGCGTGAGGGTGTGCATCGTGGCGTGCATATCTTGCACAGAGGAAGAAGAGCCAAGAAGGGCAGTGCGCGCGTTGTTCGTGAATCGTGTTGGACCCTTGGCACCGGTGAGGTGACCTTTTTTAAGACATCGCTGCTTTTGTGTTGCTTAGTCTGCAGCAGTAAAATCAAGAGATACGGAAAGATGGTCCAGAATCACTTCGTTTCTAGCACAGCGGTTGTCGACTTTAACATATTGGCCTAGACCAGCGGTGCCGAGAATTCCAGGCCCCCCAAACATCTGTGCTAGGAATCCGATTTCGGTCATCAATTGTCCAGGGTACCAAGGCTGTTACTCTCATAACCTCGATGTTATCGGTAGAGCAGCTGATTCTTGGGTTATTCGCGCCGCGATTGCGATATCGTCGTGTTCTTCCTTTGGGCGAAATATAGTTTGGACGCAGAACGTGTTGAGGGAGCATCATCAAAATGCCTACGGATAGGATCATTGCAAGGCTGCCGACATTGAAATTGTTATGTACCGCATTTCCTTAGTTCCCAGTCGTTCACTGACGTCGGTAGAACTGTTAGGGCCATAAGACGTTGAGGCTTAAAGACTCAGTAGAAAGCCGTAGATAGCTGCCTAAAGTTCAGTACCTCAGATTCCTACGGATTAGTGCTTTGGACCCAGAGGAGCAGTTAAGTGTTCCCTATGCTCGCTAAAGAGCTTGTCTCGAGCAAGAAGGGTTCTCTTATCTAGGATAAAAATGCTAGCCCTGATGGTGATCAAGAATGGGCTTTTTCTACTCAATTCAGCTCGAGAATAAAATTGGGTTCGGTGTGGTTCACGTGAAGCCCGTCGAACACGCTGCACTAGGTCACGCTCCAAATCTGGTACCAATTCGTACAACCTCAGACTGAAGATGCTCGATCAGACAAGTGGAATCCAGAGTTATGCACTTTGGTGTAGGGGAGGTTGGATTACCTTCAATCCGCAATGATTTACATTTGAAACCGCGAGTGAGCGTCTTGGTTTGAGTAAATGAGGTTGGTAGGCAGACTAATTAGATATTAGCATATACAAATGCGCCGCTAAGTGAGATTTGCGTCCACTCGCAAGTAACTCTCACTTGATGTCTATACGCATTGGAGCTATGATGGGGGTGTCTAATCAATAACTACTGGGAGTAAGCATTAGAGATTAGATTCTCCATGCCAACACCTCTATTACCATGGGGTCGAAGGTTCAATTGTCCCTTGGATGGTCCAGGCCGATGGAATTGCCACGAACGCATCATGTCAGCGGTAGATTAGTGGAGCATGTACTAAGACTTTCCCTAGATTCCTTAAATAGCATGATGAAGAACTCGGTTAAGATGTTGATAGATTGATTTGGTTCAAGGTGCCAACCTCTTCTCCCCAGTGGTGTACGATCCACCAGTGCTGTAATATGGCTTCTTAACTCTTGCGGCATACCCGTGTTGGAGCCAGTATGCTCACGTTTCGACGTTAATGGTGGCCATTCCACGGCATGCCCTCCCGCTGCATGGATGCGCAGGGCTTGCCTCGGCATTCATCGTGTGAGACATATTTCGACCCCGACACATCTCCCAGGTTCACTTCTTGCCCTCAACCCGATACGATAGGCTCATGCTTAGAGAACATCGTACAGGAAACACTTGTGACTCCAAATAGGGGTTTCCAAAAAGCCCCCCAACGACCCTATATTTACGGTCCTGCCATACCCTTGGGCTCATACCAAACCTCCATCATGTCCAACCACTCAAGCGCAAATGCAGTCACAATCTTCGCCCAATCCCTCACTGTCGGCATGTCCAGATGCTCCCCATCATCATCCATAGTATGCCAAACCGCCGGAAACGGGGAAGGGATAACATGAAGAACGGGTACACCCCGGGCCATAAAAGGCAGATGATCATCAGATATCGTTCCAGAATACATGGCTCTGTTGGTATCGGGCAGGAACGCAGACTTAGGTTTAGATTCGAGGAGGTTGAGTTTACGCATGCGGTCTTCGATGTTGGCCATGTTGCTGTAGGCCCAGTGGGTGGTGAGGAAATAGGAGGGGATTTTGGGGTTGGCTGAGCCAAGGAGGTCGAGGAGGACGAAAATGCTAATCTGCCGGTTGGGGTTGCGGTACTTGGACATTGCGGGGTTGAAAGATGATTCCCAACTCTCTGCGAGTGCTCTGGGAGTAAGGTCAGTACGTATTTGCAGCAGGGGTTTCGGGAATTGATTACCTTGCCCCATATAGCGAATCGGTGTCAGTCCATGATACAAACGCCTCCTCCCCATCAAGGAGCAATATCTGCACGCCCATGTCCATCTCAACGCTGCCTCCCTCACCCAGCTCAGCCATCTCGTCATGCATCTGCGTGACATATTTATCAATACTCCTTGCGACATGCATCAGAATTGCACAAGGCACCGCGCTGTCTGTAGCCCCAAGAAACCCTTCTGGGCGATATTTACTGTCATAGTGTGCCACTAATGTTAATAGATTCGATCCCCCCGGCTTCACCCAAGGTGGCTCTCTCTTAAACACCAAATTCCCAAACGGAAGCTCTACGTTGCCCGTTGCGGGTGTCGTTGCAGTCGAGTTGTGCCATTCAATCGTCCATTTCGGGAGTTCTCTTTGGAAGAACTCAACAAAGTGATGTTGGACCTTCAATTGGCCGGGTGTGCCTGGGACGCGAGGAATCAAGATAGGCGCAAGCAGCGTCCCATTTTCGATGTCTAAGTCCGCACCAGCGTCGGGAATAGCTCGAAGGAAGCTGTCGGAAAGGGGTTTGTAGGCGTGGGCGAGGGCAGCGCTGTAGATCACGGATAGCCATAGCATCGTGAAAACTTTCGGAAGCTGGAGAGAACCAGTCATGGCTTCGACACCTCGAGCCTGTGCATCCAGAACTGCATTGTGTTAACAAGACAAAGTGAGAGTGGTGGATTGCCGTGCGTGTCCCCCATCCCCTTGATGTTTCATGATTACAGTCGAAACTCGGAAGGCTGAGGATCAACCACGCTTACGGTTGAAGTAGTAGCAACAATTGCCGTCCTCCGTTGGCATGAATTGCTTTAAACCTGATTCTTGCCTGTTGCGACACAGTTCTTGTAACTTCAAATAAAATTTTGAGCCTAGCATGCGATGCGAAATGCCGCCCCCAATTGAGGCGTTGCCAAGAGGTTGCAGCTGGTTGTTCAGGTGTGTTGTCAGATTGGCTTGCGTTGCTCTATTTAACGTTAAATCCACATCTAAAGCTTGCTTTTGACCTCTCCTTGACACCTCACAAGTGCCCTTCCATTCGTCAAACAAGTCTTCCCACCGTCCACTCTGACAATGAACCTGACCTCCTCAAACCCATCCTTATCCGCACCGCCCATTTTCCACATCTCAACAATAAGCTTATCGGCAGGCTTGACAGGGCTTGCAAATCTTGCCTGGAATTCCTTCAGGTTTGCTGGGTTAGAGCCCCCGAGGCACTGCAAGACAGCGTGAGCGGATGTGTTCCAAGAGAAGAGCCCGTGAATGATGGGACCCCCGAAGCCCATCTTAATACCCGGTTCGGGCGTAGCGTGGAGTGGATTGTAGTCCCCGTTGAGCCGGTACAGGAGTGCTGACTCGGTGGTTGTTTGTGTGATGTGTGTTGCGTCCGGCTTGCGGCCTTGGGGTGGAGGGTAGTTGATGGTCTTCGGCCCTGCAAAGGTCCTTAACATACTACTCTGTATTGCTAAGTATCATCCATTGGCTCACCTTTGGGACCTCCCCATCCTCCCTGCCCAACATAGAACCCACTACCCACAGCTCTCGTATACACCTCCCCAGAGTCCTTGTCCACCAAAGACTGCTCTGTCTCGACAACGGTTCCCGGCTTTCCCTTGTCATACACGCCGATCACTTTGCTCCTGATCTCGAAGTTTCTGCCATCGGAAGTAACAGGCAGAGGCTTGAGAAATTGGATCTTGCGCTCACCGTCCAGGACATGCTTTGTGTCGAATTTAGGAACGCCTTCGATGGGAGTGCTGGCCGAACGGGCATAGAAATCGATGACTTCCTGGTCAGTGTGTTTGAAGGGGAGGATGATGGGATAGGTAGGAAATGCAGCGAAGTTGGGGTGGAGCTCCTAGAAGACATCAATTGATGCTGTGGAGAATGCGTACTGTGAGGGGTTTTTGGCGTGGAGTCGGGTGATTTGGCACTGACATAAAGAAAATGTAATTCATCATAACTGCAGCCAATGCTCGCAGCAAAGAGCAAGAGGTCACGCTTCAGCCATTTAACTGGGAATGTGGGAAACTCGAACCCAGCGCCTGGGCTGCTCATTGTCGCTGTTAAGGTTGTGTATAAGAAGGAATTGCAGATTGAAGAGACCGCCACAAAGGGACATAAGGTCAGTGGACGAATGCAGCTGAACCTAGGCGGCTGTGTACGCAATTATTATTCACCTAACGCGGGGCGGCAATCAATGCCTGTAAGCTCTGAAGCTCTGAGCGGAGCTCCAGGATCTTTGCCGAGGTCGAATCGCACACTCATCGTCAGGGCGAACTATCCTAAAATCGTGCTCGTGAGATATGGGCTGGAATGTTCCTATCCGAAGCCGGATGCAGGTTTCCGTGATGTGAAAATCTAGATATAAGGTACATGCGCTCTGAACGGATATGGGTTAGTTCAGAATGCTGGTCCCGACCTCGGGACAAGCCTGATGAAGGCAAGTGGAAGTAGATTGAGCGGAGCGGATCTGATATTCAAAGACACTGGCACTTGCATCTTATGGGCTTAATTGGAATATTTTTATTTTTAAGATGCTAGAGCCAGCCATATGTGCACCGAGATCGTCTGGTGTGAACAGGAACTTCCATAACAAGATCATGTTGCCGCATTTCATATGTACAAGAGTCAGTCAGCCTCATTAACTCTCCCTTAAGAGATCATGACGGTGCGGGAGTGGATGAATATGCTCGAAAACGCATGCACAATGCACGAAAAGAAAACCCAGAAACCGAAACCAGGGAAACATAATGCTTCAATGACCACACCCGCGCAATGCAAGTACTCTAACCACAGAAAACTCCAAGCATCCCGCGCGATGTGACGTAACACTTGGTGAATGAGGATCCTTGGCAGTGACGGAGGAAGCCAGCCCCATTTGTGTGATGTGTTTCGCGGTATGGGTGCTGACGTATCGGAAATCGAGGTTCGAGGGAATTGTCGTCGTATGCAATAGCCTGAACTCCAACCCAATAGATGGTCCCCAATGTCTCCAATTTCGTCCGCCCTAATGGCTTACAGATATCGCCGGCGAAGTCAGATACCCAGCGAAGGCCTCGCGCCTGTTACCAAACATATATCCACGGTAAACAACGAATGTACTACTCGGAAAGGTCGTCAGAAGCTTAGGGTTGGAAAGGGGAATCAGCTGAGGAACTGGACAATTTAGAGCCCCGCTTAGCTGAAAAGGCACCTGCAAGAAAGATACAGGCTCAGGGTATCCAGAAAATGAATCGAAGTAATGCCGACCGTCCTTGAAGTGCCAGGAGCAGAAATATTCTGATATGTCGAACAGGTATAACAGCCGTGCCGGAGGAATGGCGAAATCACTTTTTGGGAGCCGAAATATGAGAAATAAAACACACGGGTGCAGAATATAACGGGATGTTTGAAAGGATGGGCAATCGCGTTAGGTTAGGGATTTCTTTCATACGTCAAAGTTGCCATGACTAAATATGTCATGGTCGTTACTGGGAATGATGCCGCTCATGCGGTCTCCGCGTCCAACGAGTTTCTCCCAGTCAGCGTCTTCCTCTTTGTTGTCCTCATCCATTCGCTCGATATCATGATCTCGGTTCCTAAATTGTTGTTCCATGGTACTCTCGTCTACAAAGGTGAAACCGGCGAAATTGGCTTGCATAGTTGGCGACAGGGGAGTAGAGGCTGGGTTCACGCCAGACGCCAGGGCCGCGGCACGGGCGTTCAGAGATCCATTGCCGTTCAGGGCATTTGTGAACTCGGGGTCGAAGTTCGAGACATCCAACTCTGACTTGAGCTTTGGTTTGAATGGGGGTACGACGTTCTTCTTTGTCAAAGCGTCCCAATCGATATCTGCAAAGAAAGGATGAGCCTTCAGCTCTTCGGCATCTCGGGTCGCACCGAGTCTGTGCTTCGGGTTCCGATTCAAAAGACCTTTCACAAAGTTTCGACCTTCAGTGCTAAGCGCATCTCGGGGGAATCGCACTTTGCCAAAAGCAATATTCTTGTACATCTGCTGGGTATCTTCGGCGTAGAAAGGGCTCCAACCACAGCACATCTCGAAGACTAGAACCCCGAGGGACCAGAAATCGACCATTTTGGTGTAACCATGCTCATCAAGCAGAACCTCGGGAGCAAGATATTCTGTTGTGCCACAAAACGTATTTGTTGTTGCATTCTCGGTAAGATTTGCCTTTGACAGTCCAAAGTCGCAGAGAGCGATATGACCCTTGGCGTCCAGCAAAATATTCTCTGGTTTCAAGTCTCGGTAAACGATATTGTGCTCATGCAGATGCTGAAGGGCGAGAATGAGTTCTGCAATATAGAACTTTGCGCGGGCCTCATGGAAGCGGCCTTCTCTCTGGAGGTGCCAGAACAGCTCTCCACCGGACATGTAGTCGGTAACGAGATAGAGATCAGTAGGGGTTTGAAACGAGAATTTCAACCCAACAATGAAAGGCGACTCTGCCATAGCTGTCCGCACGAGAATGTTGCGTTCGCCGAGAGTGTGTGCGACCTCCTTTTTCTGCACGATGACTTTCTTCGATAGCACTTTCATGGCGTATATCCGACGAGTATCTCGCTTGCGGACCTGGAATACCTGGCCAAAGGTACCTTTTCCAATGAGTTTGAGAATTTCGAAGTCCTCCGGACCGTAGTGTTTCTTGTCGATCTTGTGGAAATTGATCCGCAGGTGAATCTCACCAGTCACATAGTCCTCTTCACCATCTCGCGATTCCAAGGTAAACCAGCCATCATATGGGTGTTCGTACTCGACAAGGTTAGGGCAGAAACGCACATGGCCGAGGAAAGCCTCTTGGTTCGATCGGTCGTAGACGGATATATCGATCTCGGAGTGGTCCCCAACAACATCGCTAGATTCTGTCAGTAAATGGGCATAGCCAACTCTAATGTCTGTGCTTACAATATGGTATCGTGTTCCCACTTTGGATTCGTCACCTCTTTAAGGTTCTCTTTAGGGTCGGAACTCGTGCCGCTGTTGCTGCTCTGCCTACTCCTCATCGGTATTGCCATCGGCCTCCCCATGTCGCTGTCTGTCCGTCGGATGGAGAGCCCACCGGCGTTCCGACCAGCGCCGTCATTCGACAGTTTCGCCTTCTTCGGCGATTCTTCGTTCCTCGGTCCTTCTGAAATGTATTCGGCCCACTGGAACTGGCATACGACATACGGGTCTACGCTGGGACGGAGACCTCGGCCTTCTGAAATAGAAACGGAGAGCTTGCCTTTTGGCGGCCCTACAGCGGGCGCCTTGCTGCTCACCTTTGCCTTCACATGCGCGCTCGTACTCGCACTCGCACTCGACGCGAGAGACGTGTGTGATAGGTTTGATGTGGGCACTTTGCCTTCTTGTGAGCGGGTTCGAGGAGTCTGTGGGGGTGTGGCCTGGTTTTGTGGCGGCGCAAAGTCGCCTTGTGTTAGCTTCTCGGCTTCTCCATTCAACTTGGCGGTTGAGGGACGTCGCGAGACGGACGAGGCAGAGGGTGCGGGACTGGGCAGAGGGTTCGAGTGCAGACTACTGGGCGAGCTTTCCTTTTCTAGGGGCGCACCCTCCTCTTGTGCTCGATCTAGGGCAAGAGCGGATGCAGGTGCAGATGCAGATGCAGATGCGGGGGAGGGGTTGTTCGCAGACTTTCGACGGGGGATCAGAGAATCACGAACCTGGCCAAAGTAACTGTGAAGAATACCCGGCAGTCGTTTATCCGTAGGGTCGGGGCGCGGAGTCGCCGCACCTGGCGGCGTCGAGCTGTTAGAGCCGATTTGGTCGTGGGGCTCGTCTTCGCTGGCTCTTTTGGGCGTGAAAAGCGCGTTAGCAAACGGCATCTCTGCAGGTGCGGCAGACGGGGACGGGGTTGCGAGGAGGACGGTGAGACGGAGGGCAGAGTGTAAGGTGAGTGTGCGGACGTGAGAGCGTATTGTCCAGCAAAATAGTGTGTAACGTTGACATCGAACGACCCACACACAGGTCACCGCATCGGCGGAGGCTAAGCGATCGAGACGCCGCCAGCCCGTCGCCTCTGTGCGTCCTCGCCCTCCGCCAGCGACACCCTTGGGGCGCTCGCACGAGGCACAATAAGAGCGATGCTTACCTCTGCACCATTGCCTGTCGCAGCAGGTCTGCTGCCGTTGGGTTGACGCCACCGGCGGCCGTCATGGTGGTTGGGAGCCAGTAGGTGGGTAAAAATCGATGGGTGGTGGACAGTGTCGGTACTGCACTCGACGACTTGGAGACCAGCGAGCAGCGGGGTCGGGCAGGCGAACTTTCAGAGGCGCGGGCTACGAGTCGGGGTCGAGCATCGGCGACGATGCTCGCGTGCAGTCTCTTGGGTGCAGTCTCTGCAGCAGGCGAAGCTGCGGAAGGAGGTTGTTGTTTGGGCTGTGGGCAGCTGGAGCTGAGGGCGGAAGACTGGTTCATAGCATGGCTCATCGTTGGAAAAGCGTCATAGTAGCTGGCTGGTGCTGTGGATGGCGGCGCGATGCCGAAATAGGCCTGCAAATGCACAGAAAACTCTTCTTTTCGGCCCTGCTTGCTGGACCGCCGTGCGTGAAAGGCAGGCGGCGCGAGTCCAGGGCGCGCTCACCGATGATGCGGTGAAGAGCGTCCTAAGTACACAGACGGGCCTGCGGGTAGCAGTACTTTCAACGAAGGGATATCGTTATGGATGACCGATGGGACCAGACCAGGACGAAAGGTAGAGGTACTGCGCGCAGCGGGCGGCTCCTCCCAGCGTTTCGGGCAGAGTAGGAACCTGGAAGCGCAGGTGGATATGCAAGATAAAGGCAATTGGCAAGCAGGAAGCTGCCGTGGATTCGCCTTGATTCACCTTGATGCAGCGGGCGCTCTCCGTCTTGACTGTCGGATGAAACACCTGCAACAGCCCGTGTGTCTTTCTCCAACTGCTCCTGGCCTCTCACCGCTCCTCGTCATCTGCCTCGAGTCCTTGCCCGGTCATGAAGCAAGCAAGTGCCCCGGCTGTTGCACCCCGATGCCTTGCGCCAAGCGCCCCGCGGATGTTTGTGCCTTCACTCAACTTGGATACGCTGGTGGTGAAAGCGAAAGCCATTCGCTTCCTCTTTGAGCACTTCCAGATAATTAGAGCAATTCATCTCGCCATCGGCATACCTTGCAAACAGCATATTGTCACGAGATAGCCATTTTACTATAACTTCCCTGAATCTAGATCTGGCTCTCAAATCGATGTGGACTGGGCCTTGAGCCATTCGTCGTTGCTTGGTGCCTGACCAAGACGAGCTTCCGGGCTTGGACTCAGCTGGTTGGGTGACAATCACATGCAGCAGGTCCACCTTGCAAGATGGCAGGCAGATGACTGACCGCAGACGGTGCAACCCTAAGGTCACCGACAACAAGCTCACGATGATTCGTTCGGTGTGACAGTGCCCAGATCTGAGGGAATCGGTGAAAAGTTTTCCCGAGATCGCGGGACGGCGTCCCTGAAACTGTGTATAGCTCCATGCCTAGGTAGCTCCTCCATCAACCCACTTCACAGCAGAAACCACACCCATTTCGCCCGCTATGTCTGACCGCGAGTTCGGTGGTAACGACGACTTGTCGCTACCCAAAGGTCTGTACCTTTAACCTAAATTCAATTCCGGACACATCCATTGTTGACTTGCGCGTAGCTACTGTTCAGAAGATCATCACCGAGATCCTGCATTCCGACCCCGGCGTCACATTCGCAAAGGACACGCGTGACTTGTTAATCGAATGCTGCGTCGAGTTCATCACGCTAATATCATCGGAAGCCAACGATATCGCTGAGAAGGATGCGAAGAAGACAATAGCCTGTGAGCATGTCAAGGCTGCGCTGGAGGAGCTTGATTTTGGGGACTACGTCCCTGCAGTCCTTGAAGTCGCAGCAGACTACAAGAAGCAACAAGCCGTGCGTAGCGTCTATAGAACAGTTTTAAGGCGTCGTGTGCTAATGCTACTCTAGAACCGCGAAAAGAAGCAGACAAAGATTGAACAAAGCGGCATGACGGAGGAAGAGCTCATACGGCAGCAACAGGAACTATTCCGATCGGCTACTGATAAGTTTAATGCTGCCCAATAACAGCTCTCAGACTTACCGCAATGCCTACGTGCTTTATCATTATCTTTCATGAATGGTGTTACTGGCGTTAGTTGTGTATTTCAAAACTGGCGTCAAAGGTAGATGGAACCAGCCAAGACGGCCGCTCCTCAGCTCATTTCATACAGAGGGAACTGTCAAACAAAGGAGTTCATGAATGTGCATGGGGACAGGCGATTTCTTGTTATTTATACATGCAGGCGAGACGGATACCCATCAATCAGAAGTGCGATAGCAAAACACAGTGAATGTAAAATCTGCAAGTCGTCTCCCTACTAGAATCCTGAGATCACTTCCTTAGGGGGAATGTGGAACTTTGGAACATGGACAGACACTCTCCACGTGACGTGGGGCCAAGCAGGCTTGGAAATGACGTTGGCGCTGCCTAGCCCAACACCCACTACACCAGGCTATTCACTCATCGACTCACTTTCACGCCCGGAAAATAGCCGCAACATTTAACCTCCACTACCTATTCCCCAGCGCTTGTTAAACGACCCGGCAACCCTCTCCCTCCTCCCAATACACTTCCTCGCCATGTCCGGCCTCGAGAAAGCCCTCTTCAACCTCAAGGTTCGAGATCCTTGCCCGCGACACAGCAGCGCGCTAACTCCTACCAGTTTACAACGAAACAACTGAATAGACAAGCTGCAAAGGCTGGGAAGGATGAAACGGCAGAGAAGGCGAAGCTTGAAAAGGTGCGTCCCATATCCCTAGGCTTACGCCGCCCCAAGCTAAGGAACCATGGAAACAGGCCATGAAGGCTGGCCACCACGATATCGCCCGCATATACGCCCAAAATGCCATCCGAAAGCAAAACGAAAAGCTCAACTTGCTACGGCTCGCTTCTCGAATCGACGCGGTTAGCAGCAGGGTACAGACCGCGGTAACGATGCGACAAGTCACAGGCAGCATGGCGAACGTGGTCAGAGGCATGGATTCAGCCATGAAACAAATGGATCTGGAGAAGGTATGCATTTCTTCCAATCTACAAGGGGAACAAGAAGGAGAGACATGGTGCTGACTTGTCGGGACAGATATCCGCGGTCATGGATAAGTTCGAGACACAATTCGAAGACCTCGACGTTGCGACGGGCTATTACGAGAACGCAACGTCATCCGCAACTGCCGTCGGCACACCGCAAGAAGACGTAGATAGGCTGATGTCGCAAGCCGCTGACAAGGCGGGTGTGGAGCTTCAGGAGGACCTCCAAGCCGTAACCCCTGCAAAGACGAAGGTTGGGCCTACGGAACAAGAAGAGGAGGGCCTGAACGAGAGACTTCGGGCCTTGAGGAATTGAGCCGTGATGTTATGAAGGGGGCATATTGTTTCGGGGAGTTCAGGAGTTTAGGATTCCAAGCGCATAGCCCAATTTGCATGTTCTAATGAAAGGGCGAATCGTTCATATATGCTCCAGGATTGACGGGGCTTGCGAAAGAACTGTCTAAATAGATTTGGGGCGTCCGTCTAGCAAAGGATTGATTTTCCACATTTGCTTACCGATTCCCTCTAGCTCTTACATTAGAATACGACAGACTCACCTTTGCAAGCTGCAATGCGTCAAATTTGATCCATGAGCCTAGACTGTAAATATATGCCAGGACAGCATCGCAGCACATTCAGGTGTAGATCATTGCTTGCTCAGTGCATAGTCTCGCGAACATTCACAACCTTGCACATGTGAATGATCTAGGAGGGTTGCACGTGAATTCGCTCCCCCACGTTGAACATCCTGGCCTCCAACTTAGCGTCCTTGGCCTTCAAAACACCAACTACCTGCACCTCACCCGCAAGCCTCATTGGGGACCTATTTTGCATGTATTGACTATTTTTAGGGGTCACCAACCCCACTCTTTCGCAACAATCCCATCTGTTAGGCATTTCATGGGTTCATGCGACATCGCAGCGCAGCCAGCTGCTGGCTGGGACGAGGCACGATGCATAGCAGCACTTGCACAACTGGAGCGATTGCAGGAACAAGTGAGCTGACACCCTTTCATCTCAAATATTCCTAACAAAATCCCAGTTGGATGATCTCCGCCTTGCGATTCCCCGTATGGTCGAGCCTTTCAACTCCGACCTTGCCAGAGGCCCAGTTGTCTTCAAGGCGTTTAAGCAATCGGTGATTAGAGCGCAAAATGATATGAAAGCTTTCAGGGCCCAATGGCATAACCAGGACAATCAATCTATTCTTGAGCACGCGAAGGAAAGCTATAATGCGAACACGGATCTTAGTGCGTCATCTCAGGTCCCTCGGTACGGCTGGGTACTGCAAGAAAATATAGAGAGCCAGATACCAGACCGTATAGCAAATGGAGGCAAAAAAGTGCAAGACTCTGACGCCACACTGAGTATTGAAGAAATCTCTCAGATTATCCAAGAATTTCACAAAGCCCACCCTAACATTAAGATTGGCGCTAAAGACGACAATCATGAACTCTTGGTAAGTCCCACGGTGTTGAGTCCCTCCCATTACTTATACGAGAGATAGATACAATTCGTGGCTGGAGATCTCAAGCTGAAGTTCCGCGTCATCATCGATCAAGAAGCAAACGGCCGACACAAACTCAATGCGGAATGTTTGGGAACAATGAAACTGTTTCCAGTCATTACTAAATGCATCTCAACACGACCGCACGCAAATGACTTAAAATATTTGCTGGTATGACTGCTCTCTATAGTGCATCGCGAAAACCTCTGATGTTGACCATCACTAGGACATGATTGCGGCGTACAAAACCACGAAAGGAGCATCCTGCGCGAAATGCTCGAGACTACTTGACAGTTCAGCACTCGCACCAGCAGCCAGACGAAGCAGGCAAGTCGGAAATGTCAACAAAGATCCGGAGCTGATGTGGGAAGCCTTCCACGAAAGTTGCTTGGAGTGAATTTACATTCCAAATTCCTCCTCGAATGCATTTTGTTTGTGCTGTATCCACTCCCCATAAACATTCCTGAGAGCGTGGGGGTAGGGGAAATGGCCGTTCGGCTCATCTTGCCACAAAGCATCGGTCCACATGTGGTCATAAGGCCTACAATACTTTCGAGTTCTAAAGTCGTATGCTCTGCAGTTGTTACCGGGTCGAGCTGACCGTGTCCATGGAGGCTCGTATTTGAGGGCCCCGTCCGGACCACGATCGTCGAGATTAGTATGCCCGGCCCATCTTTCCTTCGTCTGCCGATTGAACATGTAGTCCTTCTTGTCGGCGCTGATTGTAACGTGAATATCCGGGCCTTGACCTTTTAAAATGTCTTTCCACCTCCCCCAAGTGCTTCCGTTCTTTCCGTCTCTCGGCCAAACGAAGTGATAGTATGGTTTGAGCTTACGCCGTTTGTGACCTCCTTGGATCCATCCCACCCCGGTCAGGTATTCAGCTGGCCTCCTTCGCCATGGATGACAGGTTCGTTCATAATATGGGCCGTCCATGGGGGTTCCTTGTGGTCAATCTAGTGGTCGGAGCAATTTGGGTACCCCTGGGGGAGGAATCAGATTTCAGTGTAATTCATTAAGAGGAACTAGGTGAGAGGGCATGGTAGTTATACCTTTTCGCGTTTGCTGGACTTAGAGAGATGGAAGAGATTTGATAGCAATACTATGGCATTGATTGTTAGCCGAGCTCGCCAGTGAGGCAGTTTGTTCAAACGCTTTACCTGATACCGATGACCTTCACTCCCAGAGCGCTCTTCGAGTTCTCGGCATGGTACCTGATTCAATAAGCGCGCGTCTAGTGCACTGACCCTCTGACAGACGCCTCCAGCTTCCCCGAAGAAAAACAATGCCTAGAGTCCGCGATGAACAGCGCAATCAACAGCACACCGGCTCTCCTTCAACAACACCCACCATGTCATCGCTTTTTGGAAATCTTGGGGGCGGGGGCCAACCTTCGTCTGGGGCGTCATCTACCCCCAAGCCGCTCTTTGGCACTGCTGCCACCAGCACCAACCCGTTTCCCAGTCTCAGTGCCTCAACGAGTGGGCCATCTGGCACGTCACAACCAGCAAGCTCAAGCGGCTTGGGAGGAAGCCTTTTTGGAGCGAGTACCGCAAAGACGACAGCGCCGGGGACAGCGAGCACAACATCATCTCTATTCCCCGCCGCAAGCTCTCAAGCGCAAACCGGCGGCCTGTTTTCGACGCCCGCTAGTAAACCAGCACAGCAATCGACCACGGCCAATCTACTATCAAACCTAGGACAAACGGCCGCACCGGGACAGAGCTCGTTCTTCTCTACCCCCGCCACGCAGCCACCACAACAACCGCAACCAGGTGGCCCCCTGTCTCAGACCAGCAACGTAGCGGGTCGCTCTGCACACTTCGACCATCTGCTTGAACGCGGCAGGAAGCGCAATGCTGGGGAGAATGGCCTCAGTAGCTTCGACGAGCTGCCCTCTCTGCAGCTGGGCCTGGGGGATATTGCCCGGAAGGTCCGCAACCTTGGGGCTGGTGGACCTTCAGCAGACCTCGTGCAGGATCGTGCAGCGTAAGTTTTCGCCTTCGCCATTTTGCCTTCCCGCTCATTTCATCCTCATAGACACTACCTTCTCTCTGCCTCGGGCGTCAAGATGGGCAGCACCCTCCGAGACCTAAACCAATTCACCACGCAAGCGGGACTCAGTACGGCCGGACCAGCTACCAACATTCTAGATACGGACGTCGATGGCTACATCTCGAATCTTCACTCACAATCTACCCTGGCCATGATACAAGAAGGCCTGGAGCAGTCGAAGCGAGATTTTGACACGTTCCTGGAAGAGAATGTTCAAATCGAGTGGGATGCACAGCGGAAACGAATATACGAGCATTTTGGCTTGGGGAAACAGAGCGAGGACATGGCCGCTTCACAGGCCACGTTCGGAAGCTCAGCTGTGCGTGGGGCATTTGGCAGACCCACCCGTAAAGGTCGGTCAATGGGTGCGAAGGGAGCGTCAACGAATGGAGCTACTTTTGGTGCGTCTGGGGCACAGCCCGTCATTGGCTCTGTTTTCTCGCCGTATCAGAAGAAAGAGCTCGCTGGTCAAGAATTTCTTGACAAGTCGGCCGCAGGACAAGTCGGTCCCACGGATCGATTCATGCGTGACAAACAAGAAAAATTCATGGAAAAGGTCAAGGAACTGAATGTGGCGAGGCTTGAGGACAATCCATTCCCTGTTCTGCATGCCTTCTCCGAAGTGGAGGCACAGTCGGGGGCAGAGGTGAGCGAACTATTCTGGACCCAAGGTGACTCCATCCAAGCTAACACCACTTATAGAATACAGACCATTTCATAAATGCCTACGCAGCTCTCATCTCTATCACCGGCGAGAATAGAGATCCAAAAGGAGCAAATGTCGCATCAAACCCGAGGGAACGTGGCTTTGCTCAAGAATATCTTGATGATCAGCCCAATTCAGCAAGTAGTGTCAGGACCCGGAAGCGGATTCTTGATGGTTCCCGAAAGTTCCTAGAGAAGAAATTCTTAGATGAAGTTGACGTTGCCGTACGGAAACATGCTCGCGAGGCCCAGATCGGTGGCATTCCATCACTATTGAGCAGGATTCGTGGCTATATCAGAGTCAAAATGGCGTTCAAAGAGCTTGGTACGGACACAGAACAGCTGCAGAGGATTGGTGGTGAAGGGGAGGAATTCCCCTGGGTCATTGTCTTTTATCTGCTTCGGGCTGGCTTAACCGCCGATGCCGCTCAATATGTGCGTGATAAGAAGAACTTCTTCCAAAATAACGACAGGAACTTCCAGGCCGCGATTAGCTTCTACGCAAGCGACCCAGACCGACGCCTCAGCCCCGAACTACAGCAAAAGATCAACCATGTATACGCCCAGCGTGCCCGAATAGCACCAACCAACGATCCCTACCGTATGGCATGTTACAAGATCATTGGTCGTTGCGAGATGTCCCGCCGAAATCTTGAGCCGCTAAAGGAGTCTATGGACGACTGGGTGTGGCTTCAATTCAACCTTGCTAGAGAAGGTAACCGCGCTGAGGAAAATGCTGGCGAAGCTTTCGGTTTAGAGGAGCTACGAGCTACAATTAGCGACATTGGCCAACGGCATTTCATGTCTGGTCCATCAGAGGCTGCTGGTGGATTCGGAGTCTATTTCTACCTGGCTACGCTTGCTGGAATGTTTGAACAGGCGGTCAATTTCCTCTATCAACACGCCTATGTCTCTGCTGTCCATTTTGCAATCGCATTGGACTATTACGGATTACTACGGGTGTCTGATTGGAGTAGCGCTGGATTGGAAATTCGTGAGTATAGTCTTGTCCTGTCTTGTCGCCACGCGCTAATCACCTTTAGTCACTCACACTACACGACAATTGCCCCAACTCAACTTTGGAAGGGTGGTTGGCTTTTATACCAGAGATTTCCGCGCCGCTCGCGCCGATGCTGCCGCCGAGTATTTGATATTGATATGCCTCAATGCAGATCTTGCCGGTGAGGCAGGCAAACAACAAGCTTCCCTTTGCCACGAAGCACTCCGCGAGCTTGTCCTTGAAACGCGAGAATTCACCACTCTCTTGGGAGATGTCAAAGCCAACGGACAGAGCACTCAGGGCCTAATCCAGGAACGTGTCCCATTGATCAAGCTCAGCGACGATGCCGCCTTGCTCAACGTAATCATCTCGGAAGCAGCCAAGATGGCTGATGACAACGGACGCACCAATGATGCTGTTCTCTTGCGCCACCTTGCCGGCGAATACGATGGTGTAGTAGTGATCCTGAATCGGGCTCTCTCCGAAGCTCTTTCCGTAGACCTTGGTCAGGAACCCCTTCGCCTCGAGCCGCTAAAGCCACGCATTGCAGGTGCCAACCCCGAACCTCAACCCGACCTCACAAACTCAAGCCTGAGCTTGTTGGGCACAGACGATCCTGTCACGTTGGCTAGGATGGTCATGGGTTTGTACGACAACAACGCCCTGTGGTGGAGCGAGGTCGCCAAAGAGAACCGCGATGCGCTTCGCATACTATACCTGCTGAACGACGCCAAGAAGGTTATTGAACAGAGGCGCTTCATGGAAGCTCTAGATGTAAGTATAAATCTCACTAATCCCTCATCCACATCTAATTAACTTATCCACACAGATCATCCAATCCCTTGACGTCCTTCCCCTCAATGCCGAAGGCTCCCTGCCACTCATCCGCACCTCAGCCAACAACTTCTCACAATACCCACCCGAAATCGCTCGCAATATCGGAAACGTTCTGTTGTGGTGTATCGGTTGCTGCAGCCGCCACCGAGAGATCTTGCTCAGTGGCCAGTGGGAGGATCCAACCAGGAAGGCTCTTGCCGATATGTTGCTTCAGAAAGCGAAGGACTTGATGGTGTTTGCCGGGCTGATTCGGTATAAGTTGCCACCGAGGGTGTTTGAGACGTTAGCGAAGGAAGGGCAGGATGCAGGGGTTTATTAGAGGAGTATTGGGGGTTGGTGGCCAGTTGTGCGATGGAGATTTGGAGGCGAGGGAGGGGCATGCTAATCTCCATCTTGGCGAAAGTTGAAGAGGATAATGCATGGGCATGCACTATTTTGGCATGAAAATAAGCCGAGCATCTTGAAGGCATTGCGGGTTTGATACCATTGACATTCAGAGTTTGCCCGCGCCGTGGATAGATATATCATAGTATTTTTTGTCGAACCATCCGACTTGGAATTGAATCTAGCAGATGACTTCCCGCCTCTCCGTCGTTCTAAACCCTGTAGTCGATGGCATTCATCCTTCTCCTCTGTGTTCCCAAATTGGAACTGATTGTAGTCTATGTTCTAGAAATAAAGCTGACGTCGGAGTGATGCAAGATATGAAATAACTTTCACTGGCCACCTAAACACAGCAAAACATGGAAGCAGCCCATCTCCCTTAGAAACAGCAAGCGTGTGAACTTTTCGCCCCTTTTGAGCCAGTGAAATCATCCACTATCTCCACCAACTATCCCAACTACTTTCATGCTCTAGAATTTCCCTCCTCCCAGTGGCTTGTATAAACCCCCTCAGCTCTTCTACCTTTTGCCACGCCAATAAGATCTCCAACTTGGTTAGTTGGACTAAAATTCGAAGCTTTAGACCTTATCCATAGCTTGGCGCCCCAAAAAGCACCAAGATGTATATCTATCCTGTGGATTAGAAACTACAAACCCATGCAACTTATAACTAGGTTACTTTTCCTTTTGCAACAAGGTTAAAGCAGTAAGGAGAATATTAACATCAAAGTGTAGGTAGGTTGAATGGTATGCATGCTGCCACTAGCTCATCTCTAAAAACCCTCGAGGATAAAACTAGAGAGGGAAAGAACGACATATATTCTGCCTCATTAGATTAAAAATGTAGAAGCTTCTCTCTCATGAAAGAGAGGATGGAGTAGTTTGTGTATGTGCGAAAACACAGAAGAAGAAACGGGGGCGTTTATGAAGAAGAACTGGGTTTGGTGATGGTGATGGCGAACATCGGCTAGATAACGTGAAGACAGGATATAAGAGAAGTGAGTGGTTGATTAGCGAATCTCTAGGAATGAGAGGTTAACAAGGCTGTTGTATACGCACCATATCCAATGCTCCCCCTAGATATACATAGAACGCACCTTCTAGGAGGCCCATATGAATAGAATCCACATCCCCAACCACAAGAAGCCCCCAATCCATCGCGCCCAACACCAATAATCTCGCTTCTGCCCTCCTATTGCAATGAACCCATTAAAATAGCCTATCCCTCAACGGCATAGCAGTAACCCCTCCACTTCTTTCCCCTCCTTTCCGCAATCTCTACACCTATGCTAACCAACCGTCCTGATATCGCCAATCTCGCCAACCGAGATACTCTAGCTATAGTATAAGTCCTCCCGTCCCAACGACCCATTTTCTCAATCACTTAGTCGGTTGAGAAATCCATACAAAGCATAGTGGCTTTGGTTGTAATGTACACACGACCTTTCTTCCTATGAAACTGAGACTTGAATTAAATAGGCGTACGTCAGATCTGCGTTTAGCTTGGGTACAACACCCAGCCTGTTCTTCGTGTGGTCGCTACCAACTTTCGCAGTGACTTTATCTGTGCCGATGGCTGTCTCAACGCCACCTTTGACAGTCCCTCTAAATAACCTGAGGATCATGCTACCTTCCTTACCATGTTTGCTGTTCTTGGATGCGTTGATGTTTTTGCTCGAGGTTTCGTATACCACGCTAGGGTCGTGCGACATCGCTTCGTCGAGTTCCTCTTCCATGGCGTTGAGCGGGTAGTCGGCACCGGTAGCTCGAGGATCGTTTTCACTGATGTTAGAGGGTACTTCGCGGGGTGGTGCATGTATGTAAGGGGGTGGAGGGAGAGGGTCAGCGGGTATTGGTAGGTACGCCTTTCAGGACGGAGCTGGATTGAAGGTAGGAATTGTCGTTATGGCAGGTTAGGTGGGGGACGTACTTTCATAGCTCAAGGAGTTTCTGCCAGTTGAGGAATTTGCGGTTTAAAGGGTTGAGGCCTTAGAGATGACTGGGTCGCCGAATAAGCCAATGTTAGTGCCAAAGGTCACACTTTTTATAAACATATAAGAGGTCACAAATGCAGACGTTAATAGAAGCGATACGACTAGACCTACTAGCCGAAGTCGATAATTCTCTCGAGTGAAGGGAGGTGTCGGCCTGCAGAAGCGCATGGGATGGGCTTCATGTACCGGTAGAGAAACGATGATCGACGAATGATAAGGTGAATCAACGAATGACGAGGTGGATCGCCGAAAATAGAGCATCGATGCCTCTCGCTGTTAAACAGGTCAAAAAGCCAAACCAACTCGTGAGGTCCGAGCTCCCTCATGCTAAGCAGTCAGCTTGGCTCAAGTCGGCCTAGCTTTTTGACTGAGCTATTAGTCTTACGGTTGAGGATCCGCGTGCCGTGGTCTAAGCGTCCATCTAAGGCGCCAAATTTCCCCGTCAGTCTTCTTCATTCGAACAACAATGGCCGACCCGCCTTCTCCTCCACCTTGATCTGCGCATGGTGAAGCTGAAATCCCTCTGAATGCTATCAACCTCTTTCCCCTCAAAATTGGACCTGGAATCTTCCATTTGCTGGACAGAGGTGCAATTTTGAAAGGTGGGAGAAGTGTAAGGATGGCCGAAGCTGAGGCTATGTGATTCGTGTCCAGCTGTTCTTCTATTCCTGTACCTAAAGTATACGAAGCGTACGAAAAAAAAAAGGAATAGGGTACATTTACATGTGCAAAGTTGAAAGACTGCAGTTAGGGGAGATGTGGTTGTTGTTGGACAATAAGAAGGCATACGTTGCAGATCAGCTTTGAGTATACGTGAGAGAGCTTCGCGATATGCGCGGGGACTTCTATAGCGCGCTTTGGAATTAACCTAGCGTAGACATCTCCTTCTCACACTTATGTCTGAAAACACATGACGACAAGCAATACAGTCCCTTTAAGTCAAGAACCGAATATAATCAAGGGCTAGTTGAGGCTCTTACCAACTCTTGTCCTGGAGGCTGACTTGGGGGGTTAGAAAATAGCATCATCACCAAAATCTCAGCTTTGACTGAAGACGCTAAGGTTTTCTCTCATGGCGACCTCCACCTTAACAACATCCTGGTCGATGGTAACTGCAAGATTATGGCCATCGTTGATTAGGGCTTAGCTGGCTTTAGCATACTACGCTGGGAATATTTAGAGGCCAATCTACAAGCTTAACAACCCGAATGGATTAAATTACTCGACAATGTATTCCCTGAAGAAGTAAAGGCGGAGTATCATATATTAAAAGAGCTAGGTTTAAACACTTGTATTATACAGTGGCTTTTGAGTCGAATACCTCACTCGAAACCATCCAGTACTTAACAGCCATGCTCAAGGCGCCTCTAACGAACGGTGCGCACCCAGCGGAACCCGGTCTTACTCACCACCGTCGCCGCTGGCTGTCCCACCAACCCCTTAAGCTACTCGCTTGTTCCTAGTAGAACAATATCTTCCACCTTGAGTGTAATGAGACAATTTTGCACCTAATCTTGGCACCTGTCCTTCCTATTATTTGGAGCTGGCTCCTGACTAATAATCTGATCTGCACGTTGATACTGCTCTGGCGACAAGGTTGCAATAGTGAAGTAACCTTTGGATGATTTAGAGTGAACATTAACACCTTTGCACTTGTCGAAAGCATAGACGAATTTGTTGAGGTTGAGAAGAGTGACATGGAGAAGGTTGCGGATTAAGGAGCCAGGTGCATAGAAGGCGAAAGCCCAGTGGGAGCGGTGGTTTGGATCATTACCAGGACCGTAAACGACTACCGAGAGGTAGTATGACATGTTTATGCTATTGCTATTGATATTTTTATTGAGAACCCCGGTTCTAAATTTCCTTGTTTAGCTTACTAGTATAGTCTTCCTTTTCGCCTGGTTGAGCCTTTCCTTTGGATATAATAGAAATTGAATGCTAAAGAGGGTGGTTGTAGTAATGAAGAAGATCAGGCGTTAAGAATAGTGTAGTAGGAGTTAATTGAAAGGTTAATGTGTTCTACATACACATCTCCTGCAATATGTCCCTTTATATCGCCTTGAAGCGCTTAGAGTACTGTTCATCTTCTCGCCCTTGGACAAATTCAGTGACAACGAGCACGGACGACTTAATCCGGAAACTCGCCTTTCTGGCACCGATGTAGGTGGCTGAAGTTGGCTGAAGAGAGTTGATTGTGGCAGTAAAACCTTGGTTGCTACAGATGTTATAAAGAAAGAGCCAGTTGATCAAGTACAGCTCAAAAACTAGAAACATCCAGTGTATTGAGGTAAAGCGCTTTAAATCATCATCGCAGCTTGGGTACCTTGGGATGGGAACAAAAGGGTGAGGCACAGTCACATCTATCTAGAAACGTGATCACGCGAACAAGCGAACAAGATTAGGCTAGATATCCCTCCAAAATACATCTTTGGTCAGCTTGGGAAGGAACCACTTTGGTGGATCCCAAAGTGCAGCACAGCTGCTTAGTGCAACTGTAGTCAGATGCCAGCGACACCTACAACTTCTCCAAACGCCCACCTAAGCCCTTACTACAGCGCAAGATTCTACTACACATCGCTGTAATATGCGGTGGCCTTCAACGTGAAATACTATGCCTCAATTCTATATTCATAAAAGGAACATCTAACATAACAATAGGCGCGAATTACGCCATAGGTAGTTTACAACATGAACACCATTGGATTGTTTCCCCTACCGAGTTACTAAAGAAGAGGGGGTGGGCGCTGTTTGTATGAACTTCCTGCTGGGATCCTACGCCTTTGTTTCCTTCTCTACGTTTTCTTAATAGTTAAAAGGGTAAAAAATGGCTACTGTGAGTGTTGGTCGTTCTTTTTGGAGTAGCAGCAGCAGGGGTTGTGCGGCGCAAACCCCAAAGAAACATGCGCGCCTCATTGCGCCACTTAGGATGATGCGTGTTTGAGGCTCTCAGAGCCACGGCATCCGCAGAGCATACTTTGGAGCATTTTCAATGTGATGCTTACTCGATAGGAGAGAATGTTTCTCCTTAGAGATTCGACCAGGCGTCCAGGTTGGCTGACGTCCCGCGGCTCCTGGTTTGCGGGACCGACTTGAACGTCTTTAATAGGGTCGTAGAAACAGGCATAATCGACCAGGTTTTCGTAATTTAGTGCCATAGATTCCATTGTAAGGCAAAAATCGTGTAATTTATATCTATATAAACAAACTATCACGACCCCTTTTATTTTGGAAGTTATCCTGAGGCGTGTTTTCAGTAAACTAGGTACTAGACCCTCTGTCAAGGTTCGTCTAGACTTGGCACGTGCGTAAGGCCACTAACCCTCTCAGAGTACTGGTGGAAGGACGGATTATTATCGTACAGAACCATTGGATTTTCGGGTACAGTCACGGGACAACCGCGAGGCTGCCAGTGGCTTGGCGGTCCGCGCAAATGCTAGCAGTAGACTTTCCTTTATGCGTGGTTTTAGCTAGGACTTTAAAGTATACCCGAAACCCTAAAAGATGGTTTAAATATATCCAGCATTAAGATATTCTGCTATAATAAACTTATATGAACGCGATCAAGCAGTTTCTTAAGACATTGTACTGGGGAAAAGGTTCCCAGGCAAACCTGCATCCCGGGAGACCAAGCTTACTGGGAAAATATTAATAGGATGAAGTCGGTACCGGGAGGATGCTCCTGGGCTAAACCTCTTCCCAGTAGATTAGTCCCAGGAGAATATTCCTAGGAGAATTTGCCCAGGTGGAATAGAATACTAGGAGACAAGGGTTCCTGGGCGCACACTCCTGGGAATATTCTCCTGGGACCAATCGACTAGGAGATGAGGGTGCCTGGGCGAATTCTCTAGAGACGCCAATTTTCCTGGGATGCCTATTTTCCTGGACCGATTATCCTAGGATGCTCATGTGCCTGGGAGGCTGTTCAAGGGACCCTGAGGCTCCTAGGAACCAAAGCTGGCACCAGAGTACTGGGACGCCTTTGGAAGTTATTTTTGGTCTTTCAAACCTCACGAAATTATTAGTGCTACAACCCGAGCCAACCACATAAAATACTGTCTTATAGCGACACGCTGTTGCGTTTCCCTGTCTAGTGTTCTCCAAAGTAATAGCCAGTCATCTACAGTATAGCGTTTATCGTCACTAAGCTTCGTATTTTCCGGCAGGGAGCGAAAGCGGCCCTGACTGAAATAGAAACATGATGGTTATTTGTTTGCAGTAGTCACGCATGGCTTACACGATAGTCACGTGCTGCTAAGACTCCTTTCTTACATGTATATATATATATACCCCTAGGTACACTCTTTTAGCAATCAATCTAGTTCCTCATGCCTTTAGTGCTCCTAATAGCTATACATTATTCGTTAAGGTTTGCAACCGGAGCTGGCCAATCAAATTAGTTATGGCATTATCATTAATAGGTAGGTCTAGGGGCAGGTCAGGCTTAGCCATGGTCTGGTTATAGTGGTGGCTGTTAGAGTAGGAAGAAAACAAATATGAAAGGCTCTAGAAACTAGAAACAAGCCTAAAAGAAGTAGAGGGAAAATATTCTAAAATTAAAAGTCAAACGCTGTCTGAATTGAACCTAACTGAGGCTGTTGAATCACTGGGTCCGTACAGAAGTCCTATTAGCAGCACCACAGCCTGCTGCGGTTAAAAAAAAATAACAAAACAGCGGAAACTAGGAAAGCCGCGGAGCATGTTGGCAGGTTGGAGAGCGAAATTTTGATTAGTGGCCGGGGATGAGATGAGTGAGCAGGCAGGCGAGGCGTAGAAAGCCATGGATCGCTTGGCAGCAGATGCGTTGGGATAGGATTAGAGAATTGAGGGAAAGAGATGGGGAGAAAGCCTGGAGACAGGAGGGTGAACATTTTATAGACGTCAAAAGCGCTGGGTTGATTGAGCGAGGAGCAATGCCGGATGTGGATAAGCGCAGGGACCGCACTAAACCCAAAGAGGGAGTCCCGGACAAAGATTACCGGGGGTTCCTGCTTCATGTAGCGTGTGAGACTGAATATATCCCATCACCGTGATCTTCCCTGTAGTCATCTCTTTCGAAATCGAAATCATCCGCCAGGTATTGTTCTAGCAGCTCGAGATTGTCAGCAGGCACTTTGTCGTGGTCGAAGGTGTCCCAATACCCGATCCTCTGTAATACCTGGGCTCACGAGCCCATTTGAGCCGCTGGGTCTTTAGAAGCTAAAAATAGTATGTAGATCTAGATCTGTTGGCCAGCTGGGTTCTGTTCAGATTGTTTGACATCTGTGTTGGCAGTGTGGGGAGAAGAATCCTAGCTCTTAGCAATAGTACTTTGGAAATTGTCTTCTCCTGTTGAATCAAACTGAAAGCGAGTTCGCATTTGGCGGTGCTTCAGCTGGAAATGTGCGTCGACTCGGGTTTGAACAACTGAGCGCAAGTCTTTTTCTATAGGCGCTTGAAGCAAAATCTCACCTGTTGCTATTGAGCCCGTGCTCGGACCTGAAGATGGTATCAAGGTAGCACATATTTCAGGCTTTAGAAACCATATTGGAGAGTAGATTCCACAATTGAGACATGCCCAAGACCAGGGTGGGACTCGAGAGTCCTTTGGCCGCAAAGGAGGCGTCTCTCATTCTACTCGCGATACCAGAGAAGATCCATGAGGAAGGTGCCCTCCCAGAGCCTGAAGATGCACCTGTCTCCCAAGATCCACTGGAATCTGGTGGTCATTCTAGCGATGCTGATAAGTTTGTCGCTCTGGTATGTAAGACTGGCCTGTGTGTACTCTTCAACAATCCTGTGCCACGATAGTCGAACTTCTCCACGGTGACCCTGCGAATTCAGACGTATAGCTCGCTGGTATGGAGACAAGCCACCTTTCAGGAGGTCGACACTGTCCGATGTAGTGCATTTGGTGATATTTCTGATGCCTGACGCTTTTGGCATTCCCACAAGAGTTGATCTTTGCCAAAGTGTAGGATGCGGGGGGAGAAATATCTTTCTTGTACCACCCAAGCCCGCTTGTTTAATGGTGCTTTCTCTACCCGCGCGAACCAGAATATATCCTAAGTAAGGCAGTGCTCTCCAACGTGATGTGAATCATCGAGAAACAGGTCTACTGACACCTTCAGGGGCTTTAGAACATCTGGTGCTCTCGAAATAAAAAGACCAGTATCGGATGGCGCAAAAGCAGTAGCCGCAATTTTGAGGACAGCATTTTTGTAATAATCGGCCATTCTCTCCGCCTCCCTGGCCCATTCGTGTATATTATCCTGAGGGATGCACAAGGAGTCAATCTAAAAATAGCTATACCCGAAGCAAGGAGCTACCTCTAAAGCGTCTTGAAATGTTTGAGGAAGTTCCGAGAACGGGATGTCCAGTTTTAAGCTGTCGAGGTTATCCGATCGCAGAGTGTATACTGGGCCAGAACCCCAGCAGTGACTGAGAGTCAAATACCGATAGTTAATTGGGACATCTTTGCGTTCTATGAGACGGGCCTTTTTACATTTTCCATCAGTCCAGATTTCTATCGGCCGTGAGGGAAACCTGGAGTCAGGTAAGGCAGAGCGGTTGTTCTGCCGTCTGCAGACGGTGTGCTCATTGAGCCACGAGGTAAGCCAGGCGTTGGCAAGATTTAGATCCCGCGTGGAAGGGCTCTCCTGTGTTCTGGTCTTCGGGAGCTCCATGAAAAAACTAGTAAATGATGTTGAAGTATCATTCCAAGCGGGGTAAAAGTGATGCTCCCAAAACACCTGGTATTCCTCTTTTGAAAGAGCCAGGAAATGCAAGGTCCAGCGAAGCAAAGAATTTCTATCAGTTTTTAATTCAGGATCGTTGCGAATATCCTTTCTGCTAAGATATTATTGAAGCGGAGAGAGAGAGTGCTCACTCGCTGCAGTTCCGGCTACTCCAGAATTGTCACCTCGTGCCACATTTCGGCACAAAGATGACATCCCGCTTCGCTAGATGTTTGCACCGAACTTAAATCTAGATACCAAGCAAAACGGCCATAGGAGGGTGGTGGCTGTTAACCACCAAAGAGTTCTGGAAAATGGAATGACACCGATCGCATATATTTGGGTTTGGGCGTGCAGATTCCATCAGAAGCTTGACGCGAAGGAGATGGGCTAAAGGAGACCGACTAAGATAAGAAGGAGGAAAATACAGTAGAACCAGACGATGAAGCACTGAAGATGTCAGATGTTCTGCCTGAGGGATCCATGCCCAGGTGGATTGAGCGGGTGGCGCGGGAGCACTGGAATCGGAACGAATATGAAAGAGAGTGTTGAACAAATTGACTACGCCGATGACAGAGGGTATAAAACTACATACTTGGTGCTTTCTGTCACGATGAATAAAAGCTTCATGATCGCTTCATTTGATGAAGTCTGTCGTCATGGTGGTAGAGTTTCTGTGCTCTGATGTTCGGTCATGGTTGCCGGCGCAACGGGGCCGAGGCGCTTGTTGATCAACTCACCTGCAGCACCTCCACAGGATCGGTACACCATCGACCACTACGCCAGACACGCACCTGAACTTTGTCCGCTCCAAATGGCCATGGAACCTCCTCCTCGACCGTCAAGTTCTCTCTTTGATGTCTTTCTCCGTCTCCGACCCTCGCATTCCGCCAAAGCTGAACGCTTTCTCAACGTCGAAGAAATCGAGGCTGCAAATCCAACCCATATTACAATTAAGCCGCCCACGAATGATGGCCGCAAGCGTGCAGTCGAGCGATTTGCCTTCACGAGAGTATTTGAAGAGGATGCACATCAATCCGAGTTATTTAAAGGGACTGGCGTGGTGCCAATGATCGAGGGAGTGTTGGGCGGGAAGGGGAGAGATGGACGGGATGGACTACTGGCGACTCTGGGTGTTACTGGGTCGGGGAAGGTACAGCACCACAACCAGAACTTATCCAGGCTCGCAAATGTTAATTGAATTCCAGAGCCACACAATCCTCGGCACCAAGTCCCAGCGCGGCCTGACACAAATGGCCCTCCATGTCCTCTTCCAAAGCACCGGAACCCAGCTTGTACAATCCTTCTACGGCGCTCCAGCCTTTTCTTCCCTCGCTGCCGCAGATGTGTCAGAAGCCCATATGTTCACCGCCACGGCCTTCCTAGACTCCATGTACGGAGACAACCAATCCGAGCGTTACCCGTCACGAGCGCAGACTCCCATGCCTGTAAGTTCCTTTTCTCATGCGCCTCAGTATCTCATATCTGATCAAATGTCGTTGTCCTCTCCTCGTCACGTGACTTCGGAGAACCCGTACCCATTTCTCCAATCTCCCATCTTTGCTCGACCAAGTGCAGGCATTCATTCTATCCGTCCTGTCACGGGAAATCTCTCTCGCATTACCCGTTCGGCTGCGAATACAGGCTTACCTCCCAAAAAGGATTGTAGTTCATTTATCACGAATCCGACAAACAGGTCCAAGAACATCCCACGCCCCTCAACCCTTCCTCAAAACCCCAGCGTTCACGATGTTGATATATCTGTGGATTCGAGCGCGGAGTATTCTATCATTGTGTCCATGTACGAGGTCTACAATGACCGGATCTTTGACCTTCTCACCGGAAATGCGACGAAGAGCAAGAATCCCAATCTAAAACGTCGAGCGTTGCTGTTCAAGAGCACAGAACAGAGTCCTGATAGGAAGGTAGTGGCAGGTCTAACTAAGATCATCTGTGGAAGCTTGGAGGAGGCGTTGATGGTTCTAGAGACAGGCCTGATGGAGAGGAAGGTGGCAGGGACTGGTAGCAATGCCGTCAGTTCTCGGAGCCACGGCTTCTTCTGTGTCGAAGTCAAGAAGCGGGATGCGCAGCGTAAAGGTCCATGGTCTAGCAGCGCCCTTACCATCGTCGACCTAGCAGGATCGGAACGCGCTCGCAACGCAAAGACTGCGGGTGCTACTCTCGCCGAAGCTGGTAAGATTAATGAATCGCTCATGTATCTTGGTCAATGCATGCAAATGCAATCCGACAACCAAGATGGCAGCAAGGTACGCACCCAACCCCTCACTCTCGCACCTTCTTCTTTCCACCTCCAACCCCCAGCTAACTCTCTGTTCAACACTAGAACATCGTCCCCTTCCGTCAATGCAAACTCACCGAGCTCCTCTTCTCAAATTCTTTCCCCTCATCCAACACCCGTCACTACCATCACCACCATCCCCAGAAATCTATCATGATCGTTACCGCGGACCCCAAAGGTGACTTCAATGCAACGTCCCAAATACTGCGCTACTCCGCCCTCGCTCGTGAAGTCACCGTCCCACGCATCCCCTCCACAACTTCCACCATCCTCTCCGGCACCCCCCTCAAATTTGCCCTTTCTACCACATCCTCCGGCCGCACAACACCCTCTGCCGTCCTCGAGGAGCTCGAATCTGCGAACGCCGAAATCTCGCGACTAACCGCTGAAATCGAGATCTTCGCCCTCCGCCTCACGGAAGAAACCGCGCGCCGCAAGGCCGCAGAGCAGAGCTGGCGCGCGGCCGAAGAGCACATGCTAGAAATCGAGCAAGACATCCGCGACGAGTGTTTTGCAGAAATGGAGAACGCGGTTGAGCAGGAGCGGAGGCGGTGGCAGGCAGCTTGGGATGCTGAGCAGGATCATAATGAGGTGCATATGGATCGCAAGATTGATGTTGTGATTAAAGCTACGAAGCAGCAGATGCTGGAGCAGCAGCAGCTTGCGGTTAAGATTTATGAGGACCCCGATCCGGAGATGGGACAGAGGGTGGAGGAGTTGGAAAGGGAGAATGAGGTTCTGAGGGCGAGGTTGGAGGGGATGGAGAGGGAGGCGCAGGCGAAGAGTGCGAGTCCAATCAAGAAGATGAGGGTGCTTAAGGCGAAGAAGTGGGAGGATCCGGAGACGACGTTGAGGGTGGGGATGGATGATGATTAAATGTGCATGAGGGAATGGCGTTTGCGGCGTCTGTTTGTATGATGTTTACGATTGGATTTGGTTGTTAGCATGGTGGTCTGTCTGTCTAGGTAGACAGCCTGTGTTCATACCCTAACTAGTTCCACAGTATAACCTGTTGAGTTCTCATATGGTCCTTTCGGGCATAATGTCTATCATGTTGAAGCTGCAGCTATGCATAAGTAAAAGATCCACGTGCAAAAATAGTAATATCATAGATGAACATCCATGATTCATTCATTCCTCCTCATAAATCATACCATGCTACCCTAGATATCTCGGAGGTAATTTTTTTTTTCAAACAGTGCAGCAGCAACTCGCGAATCGAGAAGCCATCACAAGGGTGTGTTCGCTCATGATGCCGTCTCCTCTCTTTATCCCAAAGCCAGGGGAAAACGCCAACCCTTTACCAAAATCTCTAATGGTGAAGAATGAGGAAGTGTGTGTATAAGATGGAGAAAATATCAACATCAGCACCTAAGAGAAATACATTAGCTTGTGCAGGGGTGGGGTGGCAGAGCGTGGGATGAGGTTTGAAGGGAGACGAGGAGGAGGAGGAGTGGGGAGGGGATGGAAAGGGAGGGGGATATTGCTGGGGGACGAACATTCGGTACGAGCCCTCGCCAGACGCCTGTCTATGCATATCATCGGTATTCAGTTTGTACGAAATTTTGATGTCGAGATCGCGGTGGTTCTTTTCGCTAGGCTTGTTGCTCAATATGCCGGTGATTGTCTCACCGTTCTCGACCGTTAGCGCCTCCTGGAGGTAGAAGACCGTTTGTTTCCAATGGGTGTACTTGGTGTGCGGGCCGGTCGAGAAGCGGATCGGTTTGTGACATGCGGAGAACTCGATGTCGAACCAGGCGATCAGAGCGTGGATAAAGTCGCTTCGTTTGGCGGTGATGGTGTAGGGGAGCGTGAAGGCAAGGTCCTTGGGTTGGACCGTGTAGAGGTCGAACGTGATGACTGCTGCGGGATCGGTGACGACGGCCTTGAAGTCGACGGTGTCGACAAGTGGCTCTGTCATGGCGGTGTGCTTGAGGGGGGTATAGTCAAAGCCCCAGACATTGTCCCAGACTACGGTGATAATTAGCGCACGACTTGGAGCTGTGCACGCTGCATAGCCCCGCTAGATAGGAGCTAGGAAGCGTGCGTACAAGCAGGCAAGGTTGCACTCACACCCAATCTTCTCCTCCTTATACTCGCCGTCCTCGATACCCGCCATAAAGATGGTTGCCTTATCGGGGAAAATAAGGCCGTCCTTCTTGAGGTACTTGTCCCTGGCATAGAGGACCGTATCCAACATGCTCTCGTACAATAGGAAATATCCCATCCACTCTGATATGATGATGTCCACCTTATCGAAGGGAAGCTTCACCTCCTCCATCTTGCCCTGCAGCAGCGTGATCTTAGACGTCATGCCGTTGCGCTCAACAATCTCGCGCGCCTTTTCGATTATCGTGGACATGTCGACGCCGATGACATGCTTCGCGCCGGCCTTCACAGCGAACCTAGTCCAGCATCCATCAGTTCCTGCTCGCGTGACGCGGGAATGGGAGCCTGGAGGGGGTTTGCCAACATGCTAAGGATGGCTGTACCGCATCCGACGTCGAGAACGACCTTGTCCTTGAAAAGGTGGCCATTCTGGTAGATGGAGTCCCTATATGACCTCGTTCGCACTTCATCTTTCTGTTCGTGAGGGGGGTCGAGTCAGTCGGCGCGCTCGTCAAGGGCAAAAGCGGTGACAGCGGGAGTGTACACACCAGCATTTCCTCATGGATACCTTCGGCGCGCATTAGCACAGTTCTCAACAGTAGAAGTCCATCGACCGACCATGGTGGTTGTAGCTGTCCGCCGCGCGTCAGCATATCTGCCCCAAACCTGGTCACGGCGCGGTGCGAACCTGTTGAAGTAATGCGCCTCCGAATGCGCCATTGCAGCAAGCGGGTCGCTGGCCTTGAGCTCGGGCTGCGCCGAGGCAGCGTTGCTGTCCATGATTACACACTGAACAAATGAGGCAAAGGGTTGTGGTCGTGTATTTGGGGGAGAGAGGTCGCCGGCGATTGCTGGACCCGGAAATTTATTTCATCGAGTGCACGGATCACCACCTATTTCACCCCGCTATGCCTGAAGCGGTGAGGGCACATTGCAGCATTGCTTTCTTCTGCTACCATTAAATAAACCATGAGAGCGCGTTGCAGCTAATTCGTCTCGTCTAAATATCACACTGAACCGTTCGCCAAAAGAGAGCCAATGAGTGTCGTAAGGAAAAACCTAAGCAAATATACCAATCTCCACAGACTGAGGGAAGAAACCGTGCTGAAGAGAGGGGTATCTTTGCAATACAAACCATCCTCCCTCATCCAGTCGTCATGCCGTGTCTCACATAGGCCGTAGTCGTTACAGTCGTGGTCGTCGTTCTCATACTACTTCGTGATCCGGGTTTCGTATCTCATTATCGCGTTTTGATATGGTGGAAGGACTCGATGAAGAACCTTGCATCTAAGAAATGTTAACGACATGTTATTCAGCATATTCAATCGAGCCACATACCTTCTGCTGTGGTAAATGTCAATTGGTACTTGCCGGACAGACCGCGTGGAGGGGTATAGCCCTCGCAGAATACGTAGGGGTGCAACTCCCGAAGCTGAACCGTGGTCGACCCAACACGTTTCATCCAATTTCGTTGACCAATGTATTGAGTAACAAAGGCAGTCCAGATTGGAATCGTTTTGAGAGGCCCCCGTCTCGCCGTTGTCTCGAACCGGACCCCTCCAGAGTCTCGATCTCGGAAGATGCGGAAGGCGTGCAAGTAGTTGTCGTCTTGGATTTCGCTGCCATACATACATCAGCACCCGCATTGCAGCAAGCAAAGAAAGGGGTTCGTACCCGCCAAATTCCTCCTTTTCGCCTGGCTCGAAGAAGTCTTCCAGTCCTTGTGGCGTTGTGACGTGGTCTTGGCGCTTCATTGCAACAACAGTGCAGTAGAAGAGGACCATCCCTAATGTCCAATTAGTTTAATTGAGGAAGAACCTCAGCCAGCAAACATACTTTCGTAGAGAGTAAATCTCAGGTTAGCCCACAAATCAAGCCCTCCGTCTTGTCTGTTCACGCGACAAAGCTGAAGGCAAGATTCGGTCCGCAAAACTTTTAGTCCAGTCAAGGGGAAGCAGTATCGCATCTTTCGCCCAGCAGGGTCCAGTGTCAAAAACAGAATACGAGCTCTTTGATCACTAGCTCTCCAATAAAGCCTGACCCAGACATTGGTAGCTTCAAATGGTCTATCGAATGTCAGTGGATATCGTTGTCGAGGACAAGATGCACTCACAGTTCGAGTACTTTTTGAAACCCATCACCATCAAGAAATTCGAGGGCCTTAGGCTCATCTCTGCCGAGACATTTGGTCCTAGAGGATGTTAAGGGCTTGGTCATAATTTATATTAAAGCGAGACGTACGCTTGACCGAGGATCTGGAAGGGCGTGGAAGAATGTCTGCCATCAAAAATCTTGGTGGCCCAATGCGCTGTGCCATTCCCAGAACCATCGGAATGGGTTGAGAAGTTCTGAGATGAGGTAGTTGAATACGTTGGTGAATGAGGAATCTCGGGGACTGGCGGTGGGATATAAGGTATCTCTCCATAAATAGGGGAACGAGGAGGTAGCGGTGGTGGAGGTGGAGGTGGAGGTGGTGGTGGTGGTGGTGGAGGAGGATGAGGATGAGCGTAGGTGGGATATGTTTGAAAGCGTGGTATAGTCGGCCGAGCAGTTGCAGGGGAATGGGGTCTTGGTGTTCGCGGGCCTTAAGAAGCCATGTCTCAGCAACTCAATCGCCAATTGAAGACAGAAAAACGAGATGGAAACGCCTCTGAAAACAAAATTGAGCATACCATGAGGATCAACAGATAGTCTGTCAAAGTAAGACTCTATAGGCTCTTGTTTGTTTAGCAGTCTTGTTAATCGGTGTCGGATGCGGTCAATGTCGTCATCTACTGGCTCGCTACTCCAGGGTTAAACGACCGTCGATTTTGGAGGTCTACCAACTCACCCTTTCAAAATATCGAACATTGCTTGGAGATAGGTTCGATATAATTCAAGACGCACTGGCAAGGCTATGCCTTGGCTCTTGAGTTCGGCACAAGCGTCTTCCCAGATGAGATTGTACGGCGGAGTACCTGGAAATGCCCCCGGATGCTGTCGACCGTTCCTTCTGGTCTTGCTGAACATGTCGCGGACATCATCGAGAGTGTGCCCTAAGCTCGGAAGGGCGATCTCGAGATCGCGCAAAATTCGACCTGCCTTTCTTCCATAGCGGGACAGCTCCAAGCCCTCATGTAGGACGTGGAGAGCATTGCTAATGGCAAAAAGTTCCGCAATGTCTCCGGTTATGTCTCTGGCGTACTGAGGTGTCTCATCCAGGAAGATTTGCAGGCCAGAAGCCGTGTCCTCAGCCTCTTTGGCATAATCCAAGAGCCTCCAATCCATGATAAATCGTGTGACTTGGTGATCTTTAGCGGAAGCCAAGCGGCAGCGCCGCACACATGCTCTTGGGGACTGAAATAAACTCGAAAAAGAGCGTGAGAGCGCCGTTCGGTGACGAGGGTTTGATAGCGAGTGTGTCCGGTGTTCAAGCGGCCTTGTGCCTTGAAGGGTCCTGACGTGTTCCAGCAGGCCGCGACAAGGAAACCAATAGATTATGCCGACGAAAACCCCTTATAAATTCTGCACCTTAGCCGTAGCTTTCCCTTCTCTTCATCACGGTATGTACATCGACCTTTTGGCCCCCAATCTTCGTTCAAAGCTTTTCCTTTAGACCACAATTTTCATGCAGTCGAGTCGTATTCCAAGGCTAAAAATGCAATCTCTGCTGCATCTCGCGAAGGCGAGCCCTCTGGCAGCTGATGAGCGCAACCACTCTGCGGCACAGCCGTCGGAGAAGGCGACACGACGGAGCGTTGACCGCAGAACCTGACTAAAATGAGCATCGAGACATGTGGTTTGTCGTAGAGTCGTGCCGCCACTGCTGCGCAAGGCGAGTTTCTGCCTAAACCTCTCGTTCCGATTAACATTATCTGGTCTTGGACTGTAAGCAATCGGAGGTGGATTGATCGCAAAGGTGGAGAAAATTCTGGAAGGCTAATTCGAGACACATTGCCCTCTTTCCTGCAAGTTAATCAACCATGAATGGTCGAAAGGATGGAAGAGGATGAGGTGCATCATGCAATATCTAGGCAGCATTCTCTGATGATCGCTGAACAATCTCGCCAGCCTTCAGATTCAAAAAAAGATCGGAAATCTCATGCATGGAGACTATGGCTATCAAGAACGTGAGGATGGACGTCAAAGACATTTTATATTGGTTTGCCAGGTGAAAAACAAGGCTGCGCCTCACTTTCCTCCTGCGCCACCGACAAGTCTGCAACCTCCTTCATAATCCTGAACCAGGCACCACGGGGTACCAGAGGAACGAGAAAACTGGGCCGATGTGTTGTATGGTCAGGTTTTATTCGCTCCATTTCCCTTAAGCCTCGAACGCTCCGCCCGTGCCGCTGATGCCTTTGGTACCATCTTCGATCCTCCGGGTATCGAAGTAAGTCTAATAGTGGAGGCTTGGAGGCAGCATCGGGTGAGAGTCTGGGACACGTGGTGATTAATTACTTGCCAAGTGCTTTGAGTCTCTCATCGACGAGCTTGGAAACCATTTTCTCGAGGATGGCAAACTCGCCATTGGTCGTGCTCTCGAAGTAGCCTACGACGCTTTTCTCTACATACTTTCCGACCTGATCGACTTCCACATTGACATCTTCGCCAGCTTTCTTGGCCGCCGTCACCACCTTCTCTTGAGTATACGCAATCAGCATGACCTCCCACCAGCCCTCTAGACCATCTTCCACCTTAGTAACCGTCAGGCTTGCACCGTCTATAGTGACGTATCCCTTCTCCACAATATATCTGAGAACAGTCGAATCTCGGGGCTTAAAGCGGAGCGTCAGGGCATTGCCGTCGGGGGTCACGGATTGAATCGTTGCAGTGGTATCAACATGGCCTTGCACGAAGTGACCACCCATGCGGGTGGAAGCGGAAACTGCACGCTCAAGGTTGACTCGTGAGCCCTTCTGGAGAGATCCGAGATTCGTGCGCCGAAGCGTTTCAGGAGCAACGCCGACCTTGAACCATGCCTTGTCAAACTCGGTTATCGTGAGACATGTTCCTGCGCAAAAGTCAGTCCAGGCTTGCTGCTATTAGTCCAAAACCAAACCATTGACACTAATGCTGTCTCCCAGCTGGGCGTCTCCCAGTATGTCTTGCACGTCAGAAATCGTCAACGAAGTGCCGCCTCCTCCGCTCGAAGTCTGGTCAAGCTCTTCGAGGGCGGCAACAGCTAGTTACCGTCAGCCTAGCCGGCACGAATAGTCGCAAAGGAATCTCACTTCCTAGTGTCTCAACGAGGCCGGTGAACATTATTGGGTGTCGGTGATGTTCGGGTGGAAGATGGAGAGATTTGAACTGCCTCGGTGAGGGGAGCTTTCGGGTTTCTATCGCGGGGCAGCTTCTGGTCTCCATGACCAATACACCTCACATTTCAATCCTTGCAAAGCAGGCCATCCAACAGAAATCATGGCAGGTTTACTTCTCAAGCAGTCTAGAAGAGCAATCCAAGCTTCATTGCGCTCGTCCAGGTCCAATTGGCTCTACAAAAGCGTAAGACGACAATTTACAACAGCCGCGATGAACGCAGATGCATCAACACTACCTCTGGCAGGAATCAAAGTTCTAGACATGACCAGAGTTCTTGCTGGAGTGAGTCGTGATAACTCCTAATCTTCTCGGGTCCTGACGTTGATTAGCCTTACTGTACGCAAATCTTGGGTGACCTTGGGTATGCGATGGACAGCCCTGTACGAACCACCTCCTCCGAGGTTGGCAGGTCTGAAGAATCCTGATTGACACGAAAATAGTGCAGAAGTGATTAAGATTGAGCATCCAACACGAGGGGGTTAGGCTTCTCAAGCACATCACAAGTCATATGGCGCTCGAATTCTGATTGAGAAGCAGATGATACCCGAGCCTGGGGACCGCCTTACGCTAAGCACATATGTGGAGAAAACACCGCAGGCCCAGGAGAGAGCGCTTACTATCTCGCCGTGAGTGCCTACTGGTAGTAATTCTCCAGAAGTTAACCATGAGCAGGTGAACAGGAATAAGAAGTCGTTGGGCTTGTCTTTTGCGCATCCTGCGGGAGTTGATATCCTGCATCGGCTGGCTAGAGAATGCGATATATTAGTCGAAAACTACCTACCAGGGTCACTGGACAAGTACGCCATGGACTACCCGACTATATCCAAAATCAATCCTTCTCTCGTCTATGCTAGCATCACAGGCTATGGCCAAACGGGTCCTTATCGAAACCGGGCTGGGTACGATGTCATGGTTGAAGCGTATGTTTGTGAGCCTAGTGAGAGATGTAGATTCTAAATGGCGACAGTGAAATGGGGCTGATGCACATCACCGGAGCCAGGGATGGCCCACCGGTCAAGGTTGGCGTTGCGGTAACTGATCTCACCACCGGACTATATACTTCGAACGCAATCATGGCAGCTCTCCTCGGGCGTATGAAATCGGGCAAAGGTCAGCATATTGATGTTGCTCTTAGTGACTGCCAGGTTGCTACCCTCGCGAATATCGCCAGCTCAGCGCTCATCAGCGGGCAAAAAGACTCTGGCAGATGGGGCACTTCCCACCGTGAGTTGAATTGAATCATGACTAGTGGATCTGGCTGAAGAGCTCCCAGCATCAATTGTACCCTATAAAGCATTCAAAACTTCAGACGGCGATATACTGATGGGTGGAGGAAACGATCGGCTATATGGCATCTTGTGTACAAAGATCGAAAAACCAGAATGGATCAACGACGAAAGATTTAAGACAAACGCGTTAAGAGTTAAGAATCGAGATGTGTTAGAAGACATGATTGAGAACGAGACGCGGAAGAAGAGCACGCAAGAGTGGCTTGAAATTTTGGAAGGTTGCGGGATGCGTAAGTCCCACAGAGCAGGACGCTACAATCAAAGCAACTGACCTTGAAACAGCTTATTCAGCCATCAATGACATTCAGACTACCTTAAATCATGAACATGGTATGCCCTCTTCCATGTTTAAAGACGCCTCAATTCTGACCGCCAAAAGTTCTCGCTCGTGATATGGTCAAAGAGGTTGAGCATCCAGTATGTGGTCCCATGAGGCTGGTCAATACTCCGGTGAAGTACTCATTTTCGAAGCCGGGAATTCGCATGCCACCACCTACTCTGGGGCAACATACGGATGAGATTTTGAAGGACACTCTCGGTATGAATGAGGATGACATTGAGAGTCTCCGGAGTGAAGGGGTTGTAGCGTAGGAAGGGGAACTTGAAAGTCTAATCGCACCTCTGCTGACGGCAAGATTGTGTGCGGTGCCGTACATGATTTGCTTCAAGATAGGCAAAGAATAGGTACTGGTTCCCTGGCCACCACCAATAGAGACTTTAAAGAACATATTTTCTAGCATGCAACAGACATGGAAGTCCGCGCTCTTCCTGCTGTCGAAACCCGGTCGACGAAGGGAAAAGTAAGCATTGGGGTGCTGCGATTGGCTGCGTTACTAATCGCACACACGGACCAGTGTATAGCTCAGGTCGAAGCGACAGCAGCTCGCCGAGATGGTGGAATCTTCTATGCTTTGCGCTCCGTCCCTCGCCCAATGAGTGCACACCCCGTCCATCATTCCTGATAACCTGTGTCGCAGTCATTCACTGAATACAATGAGCTCAAAAAACCCCCCTCTAGATCCATCTGCCGCGGCCAATCGTCTCTTAAATCCCGTGAGCACGGCACCCAACCCTCCCACCTTGACCCCGAAGTCGTCACTTTCGTCGACGACACCAGCGCCCCCGGGATGGTCATCGCAATCAGCGGCTTTTGCGTCGCAGAATGGGCCACCTGCAGGCTTTCCGCAGCTTTCAGCGTCTACAGCAGAGATTCTAAAGAGGTTGCAGGCAAATGCTGGACAGAGCAGCACTGCTACTAGTACCGCGGCGTTTGAGGCAAAAAAAGCGGAGGTGATGAAGAGTTATGTGACCAGCGACAATTTGCCAACACCGCCGCCTATTCCAGGTACAGGACGGCGAGGAAGGGGTGGTGGAAGAGTGGGCACGCCGAGTGGATTGAAGACGGAGATTGGGGGAGTAATGCCGGTCGCGGGCTCAACGCCGACGTCTGGACGAGGTTCTGGCAGAGGTCGGGGAAGAGGTCGGGGCGGTGGGCGGGGTGGGAAGAGAAAGAGGGCCGAGAGCTACGATAGCGATGTAAGTTAAATCTCAGCTTTGTGTCATTTGCGAAGCACGGGATGACCTAACTGTTCAGGACGACGACTCCGACATCTCAACATCTTATACGCCACTTCCCACGAAAACTAAATCTGGCCGTAATGTCAACAAGCCCACTGCGTTCGTGCCAACACTCCCGGAACCAAGCCCAGGAGTGAAGCGACGGAAATCGACCAAAACCATCCTCACCGCGCAATGCAAAATCTGCCATCGTGGGACTGATCCGGGCAACAATCGCATTGTATTCTGCGATGTATGCAATACTGCGTATCACCAGTACTGCCACGATCCACCAATCGATAACGAAGTGGTGAATGTGTTGGAGAAAGAGTGGCTGTGCGGACCATGTGAGCGTGCCAAGCAGAGTGTTATTGAAGGTATGGAAGGCCTGGCTGCTGGAGATGGATTGTCAATAGAAGAAGTACGTTCTATGTCCTATGCTCCCACACGATCTAATCCCTCCTGACATAACTGTAGAAACGCGCATACCTCTCCACTCTCCCCTCAACACGTCTCGTATCTCTCCTTCTCCACTCCACAATCCGTCACCCTGAGCTCCCCATCTTTCCCCCCAACGTCCGTGACCTAATTCCCGTGGCTCCAACCGGAATCACTACCCAAACTAGCCTTCCCAACCCCCCGCTCCAACTACCAACCCCTCATAACGCCAATGCTGTTTCCCAATCCGTCACATCCCCTCCCAACGGCATAGGCTCCACAGGCGGCACCCCACGCTCCCATCACATCGCAACCGACTCCTCAGACATGGATCCTGCTGAAGCCCAACTTCTCGGCGAAATCCGCTCTTCTACTGTCCTTCAACACCAACATTCCTTCACGCAACCCCAATCCTCCAAACTCAAATCCCATCACGAATCCCATATCCAAACACAGACATCAAGCCAAACCCAAAATCAGCCTCAATCCTCCACCACCACCACCACCACCACCACCGCCGCCGCCATTAACCCTACACAAATGGACGAATACGATGACGGATATGACACAGATCCACCAGCGCATTATCCCAAACCCGGACACGGGCTGGCGAGAACCCTGCGACCTGAAAGTGAGGATTTGCAATGGTTAGTAGATGACAATTTCGAGGTTTTTAGTCATGGTTGGAAGGGGGATGGTACGGGTGTTGGGGCGGATGCGCCACAGGCAGGGTTGAATGGAGCGGCTTGACGGTGGGTGTGTAGGAGTAGGGAAGGTAGAGGGGAGGGGAGAGATTAGAGGAAGAAGTAGGCGAGCGGATTTTAGATGGCTCTTTTCGATAATGGTGTGGAATGAGACTCCACGGAGGAGTATGGATTCATGGATGCATTGGTGTTTAATGGATTTGGGTAACAACGACGGGAACGGGGCCTCTGAGGATTCCTATCTACTTATTTTTCTGTCTCACAAAATGGCATCAGCATCACACTGTGCATAGGCATAGTTAATGCATGTGCAAATGCAGCTTCTTACAGTACATGAACTCTTCTTGCCTGCTACTTATAGTCACCTCACACATACTAGATTATTAGTCACAAATAAGGGATCTATTTCTCAACCTCAAATTGAGAACGATATCCAGGACCATCTGCTTAGCTGTGGGTATTGTTATACAAAGCCCACTTACTAGACTTTTAACCCCATGTCTCCATCCATCAAGATCCTTTCCAATCCCTAGTACCCCAGAAAACGCATTTCAAATCTAGTCATCATAAAAGTCACCCTCATCCCCACCCCCAAACCCCTCTTCCTCCTCATAATACTGACCCTCCTCCTCAAACTGCTCAACCTCCTCCTCCTCCTCCTCCTCCTCCACCACCACTTCATCTTCCCCTTCCCTATCCTCTTCCCAATTGTCCGGCGTATCCACTTGCGTCCACTCTGACTGCGCTTTCTCAGTCTCCTTTGGTGACTCATCCTGCTGCGACTCCCTCCTCGCACGAGGATCCACTTCATACAACCTGTCATAATTAATAAACTCAGAGAACGTATTCTTTGCACGTCGCTCTAGCATTTGTTTGACCGCATCCGCAGCGCTTGCAGCGGGACGTCCAGCAAGCAAGCTTCCATCACCCATTTGGTGGTGTTTTCTCCGGGATTTCTTCTTCGGCTTGCCAGACGCTTCCTCAAGGGCTTTCTGGAGCATTTTTTTTTGCTGGTCGCGCAGCCACTCGATGTTTTCTGTCACCCACACACGTTCTGCGATGACCCTTTCCTGTTCCGAAAGTAGGCAGTGGGCGACGTCCGGGTCGTCTTCGAATTCGTCCTCACCAATGTCTTCAGAGGTGTTGATTCCAGCGTTAGGCTGGTGCTGAGTGGCGAGGGATCGGGCGGTGTTGCGGGCTTTGACGAGGAGAGGGTGGTTGTCATTGTCTTCGAAGGATTTGAATGCTTCTTCCCATTCTTCAAGACGTTCGTAGATTTCGTCTTCGATTTCTTGTTCGATTTCGAGGTCTTCTTCGGGGATGATAATGGGATTGCGATTTTTTGGCGGGCGGCCCCGTCGTTTGGGCGGTGCTATGTACTCGTCTTCCTCTGCCATCTCGACTAAGACTTCCACATGATCAACGTCGTCGGGGTTGGCTAGAACTTGAGCAGCAGATGCATCTAGAGTGCTGGATTCATCTTCGTTGCCGCGAGGTTTGGCTGTTTCTGGCTGTGTCCCAACCGGGGGAGAGGGCGTCTGGGCACTGCCATTGGTGACTTTCTGCAACTTGGGAGGTCGGGAAGATATCTGGGCGCTGGATCCTGAGGTCGATTGTTCTCCAAGGGCTTCCTCTTCTTCTTCACCATTGAGTTGCGACAGCTTGCGTTTGCGCTTGGCTAATCGTTCCTCTCTCTCCTTGCGCTTGTAGATGGCAGGAGGTAGAGTCTTGACTTTCAGTTTCTGTCCGACCTCCCGAAATTGGCTGACTGTCAACGCAGAGCTCTGTGTCCGCTTGAATTCAAGTAGACGCTGTGTGATGGTGGTGTCGGCGACCCTAACCACATATACCACTTCTCGAACGGTGCGTCGGAAGTTGTTCATGCGCGCAGCGAGGATGATGCAGGCACCACAAAGGCCGGCTGGCGATCGTCCCTGGACCATCCAGTCTCGGTTCATGCGCTTCAGGATGGCGGCAGCGTCTTGGGCGACTCGATGTGAGTCGGTTCCAAACTCAAGTTTCTGACAGAACTTGAGCATCAGAGGCTCAATCTCTTGGACAGCCATGGTATTGTGGATATTGGGGTTCTCAATCATCAGCACCGACAAGAGCTGTTTGTAAGTGTCCCCGAGAGTCCAGACGTTGACCTGGATCTTTTCGGCAAAGTCCATGAGCAAGACGGTGTTATGCTGGCGCTTCCTGCAGATGAGGTAGATGGCGACTGCAGCGACATTGCGAATGCGGCGGCCTTTGATGAAGGCGTGGTTGTATGCGAGCTTGTATATAGCGAGGGCTTGGTCGGCGATACCCTGCTGGAGGTTAAGGACGCCGCAGAGCTTCTGGATCTCATTCCGACCCATTCTTTCGGCAATCTCGCGGCTCTGCATTGTGTCGAGCCCGCGCACGGCGCCTCCCATGGTGTTCGCATAGCGTTGGTTGTCTCCAATGAAGCCGCCTTGGACGACAGCGGCGCCAGCAGAGTTCTCACCAAAAGTGACTTCAGCAACAATGTCATTGTCGCCCACGACCTCACCGCAGTTGTAGCAGAGGCGCGAGCTTCCATCGTCGACAATGTTAGGCTCGTCGCAGCAGGTGGCAGGTGGAGGTACTTTCCTGGGCGGCAGGGGGGGGCTCTTGGACGAGGACGTAGCAGGTTTTTCGGTGGAAGTGCCAGGTCTCAGTGGCCGATTGAGGCTCTCAAGTCGGGGGGGGCGTGGGCGAGCACCCGGCCTTGTCGGAACCGGCATGCTCTCTAGAGTTCTGGAAAGGTCAGCACATGGGTAGGCGCGAGCGTGAACACCAGCTAAAAGCAGGTGCAGCAATGGCAGTGTAGTGTGGTGTAGTGGTAGTACGGTGCGGTGTAGTGAAGTGTGGTGCAGTGTGGTGCAGTGTGGTGCAGTGTAATGCAGTGCAGCGTTGTGCAGTGTCTGAGTCAGCGTAGAGGTGAGGGTGAAGGTCAAGGTGAAGGTCAAGGTCGAGCTTTGGCGGGGGGGCTTTTGGTGGGGCGCAGTCCGCCACGTCTTGGCATCCCGACGCGAGAGCAGCTGCGCGCTGAGTGGCTCCTTCAAGCGGAGCTTCGAGCTTGCCTTTCTCGACCTCGCCCAGGCCGTGTGCTCCGGAGTGAATGGGTAATCAACTACTCGCAACCCGTCGGATATAGCGCCTCCATCTCCTCTGTTTCTCTCCAGATGGTGAATGCCATGCGACTGCTTCCCCTATCATCCGGTGCGAATGCCTAAATGTCAATCCTCCATTCACCTCCTCCCCCATGCTCCCGTTCCTGCACACAGCGCGCCGCGACACCTGCAAGTGATGTCTGCAGCTTCTCATGCGTCACCCGGTCCTGCGCTTCATTGGCTCGTCCGACGACTCCAATCTTAGCACACGGACACTCCCTTACTGTGCCCTGTTCCCAGCCCTCTGACAAAAAGTACCCTGTCCGACTGTCTGCCCCCACCTCAGCCCGCCGTCCCGACCTCACCTCCAGCTCAACTTCATTCCTCCACTTGTCCCTTCCCCATCAACCTTCCATCCTACACCATATCATGTCGACCCGCAAGCGAAAGCAGGACGCCGAGGAGGAGGAGGAGCTTCAAGCTCTCCCCTCGGACGAAAGTGACGAGGAAGAGGAGTAAGTCTGCACGAGCTCCTTGACGTCATGACATGGCACATATTCTTGTCGCAAACATGCGGAAATGTGTTCATTGTGTTCGCCTTCCATCCTATGCTTGAATTGATGTATCTGGTTTTCCTAATCAAGCTTCATTGTCGCTGCGCAACCGTCTTGGCCTCCTATCAGCCTCGTCAGTTAGTGGCCGTTGCTTTGCGATCATGTCCCTTTCGTGTGCCGCTTTCGTATCAATTGTGTTTCTGGAACTCTGGCTCTCATCCCTGTACTTGAATCGCGTCCATAGCTCTGACTCTTTCAATCCCCTTGGTGCATGTGAGAGGTCCCGTCCGTGAGGCTGACCGCTGCGTCGACAGGTATGAAGAGTCCGAGGGTTCCGAGGTCTCTTTCGATGACGAGGAAGATGATTCTGAGGTAGAAGCTCCTCGTAAGTCAACCACGTAATGGCTTTTGAATGCGCCCGCTCACAGCTTGGTACAGCGCCAAAGAAGAAGACTAGGATCTCCAAACCCAAGGAAGATGAAGACGAGGAAGAAGAAGAACCTGAGCCTGAGGATGAGGATGAGGATGAGGATGACCCAGAGGAGGATGCAAGCGCCGATGAAGAGGCCAACGGCGCTACAAAGAAGGCTCCTCCTAGGGCAGAGAAGTCTCGGAAGGTCAAGCCCACCGCCACGACCGAGCCTGTGCCTGTTGTCGCCGATGACGATGATGAGTAACAAAATCACGTGCCCCATTCCGCAATCGCATTACTTGCGGCTGCTTGAATCAATGGTCTGGCTACACTGGGGTGTTTGATGATACCGGTCCAAGAGTGGAAGTGTACCTACTACATACAATTCTGTCATGCCTAACAAGTCCATCATATGTAATCCCGCAATCTTTCCGTTGTTGTGCCTCTCCCTCCCTATCTTTCAAGCATAGGTCATCTCACTTTAGCTGTCGTGCCTTCCTCCATATCTTGGGAATAAATCATCTATCTCTATGCCGTCTACCTTCTCTCTCCACTAACTATCTTCTTTCATAATCCCCCCTTTGCCCTTAAAAATCCGCCGGAGTCAAAATATTAGCAAAAGAAGCCATCCTTTCGGAAAGCCCAGATACGCCTAACTTTAAAAGGTTTTCTGTTGTCAGCGTGGAACCCTACACTCAAACCACGCTTACTCGAACCGGGGGTATATGCACCAGTAGTACTCTTTCATCATCGGTCAAGTGTAGATTGACCAGTAGATTCTCACTTGACCACCAAGTTGAGTTATTGTAATAAGGGTTATCATTTTTAAATATATAGGACTTGTTCTCAAGTTTGGATTTTGGTCGTCAGGCGGCTTAGGACTTTGGAGATATGGGTGAAAGTTTGAGCGGCTTTGAGCGTAGTGTATGGCGAAATAGAAAATCTCCGTGGGCAAGCCAGGAATTTGCATTCCTTTTTAGCCAGCTGCCGCCGTCGATTACTGCCGCAATAGGAGAACTGATAATGCGACGAGATCCATTGCCGCCATCCTCATTAACACCATATCGCTTGACCGCAGACGCATTCTGGGTATTCTTGAGAATTACCTGGAATAACCATACAAACATATTCCCGTAGGTTTATCGCGTTGTGGCACACAATTCACACCTGTACCCGGAACGTCCTATTACGCCGCCGTCGGCTCTCTCAACTCAGAAGCTAAATACCTTCCCAAACTCAGAGATGGCACAAGGACGACCTTCCTCGTTGGCGAGAAGGAGAGTAGTATTCCTCGAAGTTCCTGGAATGTCTCTATCTTTCAATGTATCGCGACATCCTTCCTGGATACACGACCTTCCTAGCTCATCGCACAAACGTTTAGGACGCAAAGGATGTTTGGTAAGAATAGGAGCTTGCCAGAATCTCGCTGCTCATAATGAGGAGTTTGTTCCCAGTAGCCTTCCAAAACCATGCTCGGCCTTCGCCAACATAACGGGTTACCCTCCTTCTGAAACCAGAGTTGAAATAGTTGAAACAACGTCTCTTCGCACTCTATATCTGCGTGTCCACCAAGAGCCTGCCATAGCAAGGCCAGATTCCGGAACTCGGATTCGCTGCTATCAAACTGTTCCAGCGCACCAATTTCCTCTCTCTTCCAAAATTGCGACCGTGAAATGGCGTGGACGAAGATATCCTTCCCATAGTTAGAGATATATTGCATCGGAATATCCTCGAGCACTAACTCCCAGCCTTGAAGATGCGGTAAAACCTCACCACTCCCGTATATCTAGCTCTAGTAAATCGTCAACGGCAACCCACGCAGCTACGCCTTGGAGACGATATGTCGAAGGTCCGGTCGATGTCCATAAGGCGCGCTCAAAAAAAAATGGTTGCACACACTAGTAAGTCATCAAGCATGTATCATCTCCACAGAGATTTTACGCAGTTTCGTAGACTTTCCTAGACTACCTAACCAAAACCGAACTAGTTTAAAGAGCAACAGGCTTCCTGGATTGAACAGGCGAAGTGATTGTCTTGCTTAGCTCTATTTCATTGGCAAGTAGCGCACCAAGAATGCCAAGGATGCTTCCCACCGCGGAGCTGATAGTGCTTGAGTCTCAACAGCTCCTATGATCTCTTCGCGACTATCTCCAGTTTCAAAGTCCGGGTCCAGGTTCTCGTTTTAATATTCGAATTCGCAGCAGCACTTGCCTGAAGCGGTTCACTGGCATGTGTCGAGAATTCATCATGGCTTAGAAGTTTGAGCTTCTCCTTCAGCCCATGTTGGTCTATGTCTGGGTTTAGCGTTGCAAATCTATTAGTCGGTTCCATTTTTCGGCCAAGACTTGCTCGAAGACATGTGGTATAAAGTCTAAGTCGCTCTCCACGTAGGTGGCTTCGATTAGAATGGTATGACCCTCAGACTCGTTCATTGCATTAAGTTGCAACGGTTGAATCGTGCGGAGATCGAGGCATTTGATTGATTTGCAGAGGTCTATGCACAGAGCCAGGTTGAGATTGTGATGGGAAGAGCTTGTCGATATTTGGACAACTTCGCTAGGATTCCCTCAACCTTCACCCCCGAATCGAAATTCGCCTAACGGAATTGATACCACTTCCATTTCCATAGAGATCCTCCGTACTTTGGCAGTGGGTGTATATTCTTTTTGTATAGACCATCTGTTTGCAGTAGTCACGCATGCCTCACACAATAGTCACTTGTTGCCAAGACTCACACCTTTTTTTGCACATGTATAGACCCCTAGGTACACTCCTTTAGCAATTAATTCAGTTCCTCATGATTCCTGTGATCCCCCTAGCCTAAAAGCTTCACACCACCTCTACGTAGGTGTCCGTTGGCTAAGAATATCTCCTAGGTCCTATTCATTCTGGACCTAAGGCTCACATTGGTTCTTACTTTGCAACCTTAGGCTTTGAAATTTTCCACTTGTAGGGCTTCTTAGTTCATAGACTGCTTCGTAAACCCTGACCTGTAGGCTTTCTTGGCTCAAAGACCTTCTTGGCGTATATATGTTTTAATCATAGACTTAATTTACTCATAGATCTTGTTAGATTATACTAGCGAAGAGGTCCGGGAGCATAATTTTAATATCTGTTAGCTTGTAGCCGCAGCCGATTGCAGTTTTCGGAATTCAAAAGCAGGTCTTACCAAGAAGAATTCCTTACGTCTCCGGAGACCCTCTCAACTGATTCTACTCTTCCTAGTGTGCTCAATCTTGGATGAGTATGCACTAACTCACCTTCTACATGTTGGAGAATATAAATATTTGCAAGGGCGTCTTGGCCAATGCTACTCGCATGAATAAGCAGCCACATTGACCTTTCCGTCAGTTACAGAAAATCCATCTACAGGTCCGTATGATATGCTAAAGAATGTCCGATGAAATATGCAGCTGTACAGTGGCCTAGATTTGTATTTTTTCCCCCCCCAAAAGCAGGAGTACCTCCTAAAATAGTTCAAATATCTTCCAAGCAATGCTTTAGCGAGGGGGGGTCGGTGAATATCGCGAGACTTCTCTTCTTGTGTCCTATCGTTCAATACCGCTATATCCCCGCTTAGTTACGACCAGGTCAAGATGCGGGAGTAAATGGGAGGCCATCGCCCTTGCCGTTACCGATGAAGCGACCGAAGCTGCGACCTGTGGGTTTTTCATGGGCTCAGACAAATCGCGAGCATCTTACTGCTCTTCTTGGAACGACTTGGTTCCCTAACCCCTATTTATATCAGCAAGGGTTCGTCCATCTTCTTGTGATCCTGGACAAAATCCAGGCCAATCTTCAACGAACCGTGGGCCGTCCTTCGATGAAACCTCGGCGGCGTTGATGTTGCGCTTCAAGTGACGAAGCATCTCAATTGGGGGAAGTTCAGTCAAGATCAGCTCCTCCTGTATGACTGCGGCCACCATTCAAAGTCTAGAGCCGTTGAGTGTCATAAGTGGGAAACACCTTCTTTGTCTCAGCATAGCAATCTTGGGCGTTGTTGTCATTGTCAGGCATACTGTCCCTAGGTATCGCCTCTGTGCTAGGGGTCTGTGATTCTAGATGAGCCGTATTACGTGCTCGCTGATTCCCTGGCTATTCTAATTCTCCTTCAGCCTTCCTCTTGTTGTTGTTCACTGGATCTAATTTCCACGGCTTGACGTCACCAAGCTCATACTCCCAAGACGCTTCAGCTCGTCCTTTCAAGCTCTTCGTACGCATTCTACAAACCTTCCCTTAGCCCCTTGTCGTTCGTAAACGCGAATACTAATCCCTCCTTATCGTCCTATCCAAGGGTTGCTTCAAGCGCCTATGACTAAGGTTGGAATTGTATATTTGACCGATCCTTCAACACTCTATATCCGTAAAGCTAATGACCGTTTGAACACTGACAGTGGTGCGATGTTATGATCAGCAGTTCTAAACCATTGCCTGTGGCTTCGATGAATAGATGGTCGAGATAAAGAGTAAGCAGCAAGCGGAGGAGGCCAAAGTATGAAAAAGGAAGAGGTAGAGAGTGGAAGGGGGAAACATTAGAGAATGATGGGAGAGGGAAGGCAGTTTTAGATATTAGCAGAACCGGGAGAAATTTTGATGGGTGATCAAGTTGAGAGAATGCACCTCCTGATATCGGAGTATGGATACACGGCGTAGAAGCCAGAGTAGGGAATTTGTGTGTGTATCCCACCATGAAAACACATATCAATGTCACGGAAGCATGCTGAATGTCTAGGTTCTTTATTTTGTCGTATTTCGTTAGCCCTCAGCATTATGCCAGAAAAGCAGATAGGACTGAGCTTGAAGGAAATCCAGCAAGCGTCTTAGATGACCAAATAAAACCTGTAAATGCTGCTATGTAGCTTTAAGACTCTTGAGCCTTAGGAGTTGTCGACAGCTAGTAAAGGCAGATGCTGGTGTTGACATCATTTAGATCACTTGGGAGGCGTAGAGATTGACAGGGCCTCGTTCGTAGTCGAAAGGAGTACCACAAAGAAGGAGATGTGAGAGAAGGGAGCAGTAGAGGACAGACTGCTTTGCACCGGCGATCCAGAAAAATAACAAGAGAGGGCACTGGCCATCTGCTCACCGCAGTCGCGATGGGTTGACGGCCCTTTGGCGGTGTGGCGAGACCCAATGTGAGAGGGAAGGGGAGACCCTCCCATCTGCCTGTTGTACAGGCACCCCCAACTCCACTCAACATCGAAGTTAAGTCTAGCGGTGCCATGATACCACGGTAACTTGAGTAAAGTTTGCTCAACCGTATTGCATGCGGGGTTTCTTTGGCTAGGGAAGCAATAAGAGGGTCCTTGATCCACTCAGGGAGTAAAGAAAGGAGGAAAGAACTGAAAGAGAGCATAACCCTACTCCCTTGAAACTTCATGAGCCATATGGCCAACCCAAGCAAATGGACAAGGAGTGAACATCCCTCCGGCTTAGTGTTGAGCGGAGTAGCCATAGCATACACGCATATTACACAGGCCAGCTTTAGCTCCAAAAAAAATTGAACGCAATCCCTTTCTTGAGTAACTTCTTTCAGATGGCTTATATCGATAACGCATTAGAGGAGGTTGAATTCTGAACCTACTGGAACTCTTGGCGCATACGCATGGTCGGTCTCGCGGGCTGACATAGCTTGCCGAGATATCAAATTGAGGACTTCTTCAAAAGCATATGCCATCATCTATAATCGAGCCAAGTACCCTCGTTGTGAGGGTGTGACAAGTATGCATGATCTCGTTGTTAATATTCTTCTCCAAGCTTTTGTAGTGCGGTCTTAACACGGTGGATCATCTACCTTGCGATGCGCTGGAAGGAAAATGCTATCAACAGTGTGGAAAGCTGCCGCCCCTCCCCGGGAACCATGCAGATCCGTTCGGAATAGCGACGAACTATAGGATTGAGGTTCTGCGCTTAGTGATTGGCAACATCTTCGGCAATCTGATTACCAAGATGGGAAGAAGCATTTTGAAACTCGGCACACTTTGCGGCAACAGTCGGAATGATAACGGCATTGGTGGAATTTGAAGTCAAATTTTATGCATGGGGATGTAGCAACGCATGTTAGCTATATCTTGGTCAGTGCATGGTCTTTGATATTGACGGGAGCTTGCCTATCGTCTCTGAAGTTTCGACTGCAACGGTATGCTAGTTCCAGCCAGCAGACATTGAAGGTGGCTGCATATCCTGGAAGCAAAGAAGACTTAACTCGTATTTGGGCTGTAATAGTTGATTTTGTGTGGAACTTTTCAGATATTAGATGAGCAATCATGAATCGGTTCGAAACACCCTCAAATCAACCGACCAACCAACAGGTCGAGATCTTGAGATTCCATCATTGCTCGATGGGATTGGAGGTATAAGTCGTCTCTGGTTCAAGTAATGTCGTGGCTGCACTCAGGATCATCTCTTGCGGTAAAGATATCGCCGACTCGTTTCCCAAAAGACGTTCTGCGCTGGTGGTGGAGGTAGGCATGCATCGTCACATCGTCGTACTCGGGACGGCGTGCATATTTGTGGACCGAATCTCTCGGAATTTGCGAGGCTGCGGTGAGGCTCTAAGCCTCGTACAAAAGTTGGCGGTGAGAAGGGAGCATGATACTCCAAAAGTGGGGAAGACCCCTGTCGGACGGTCGCACCTGAACGAAGCGATGGTACCGTAGGGCTGTGCGAACTGACCAATATCAGCACAAATATCTAGCGAGTGGACGCCAAGAAAGGGACACTTAGAGGCGGACCAAAGCTGAGTAAACTCGTCCAATATTGGATAACTATGCTGCTCTTGGTACTGTAAGCTGAGCGACGGGCGCTAGAGGGGATGGCCAGCTACACGGGAGACAGGTCACAGATCGGAGCTTCGCTTTTTTCGCGATATGATGCTTCTTCCCGTGTCTATCGCACGATGAAGAATAGACAGATGCGAAATGTATTTACTAGCCTGACACTCGTTCTTCGAGTGCAGGTGGCCTGACGTCGTTCATGCCGCCTTTTTCTTCTCTCCTGAGGTGTTGTGAAGAAAACCAAGGATTAACGCAACATGCATTTCCGCGATGCACACGAAAGACAAGCTTCACAACGACCGGGATAACAGTCGTGTTTAACATTATTCATCAGCTTGAGATGAAGGGAACCTCTTGGTGTTAGAGAATTTGATTGGGCAAGCCAGCAGCCTTGGTGCATTTGTCAGGTGTGGTTTTTAAGCAAACCTTAACAAAGAAGGGAGCTGTCCACGAATGGGAAGCGGCAGCTCGGATTTTGGAGTTTGTAATCTGGGGATGACCCTGATTTTTGAAGACGTGATGTCGTCAGGGATCTGATTTGCGGCATGAGGGGCTTTTGGCTTTTGTAAACTGTTTCCCATGGCTGAACCCCGCTGTCGAGTCTCGACCAACACAATTTGACTCTCCCACAGAAACCGGGGGTTAAGTAATCACCGAGTAGCCGTGACTCGCTCTCCCTAGATGTTCGTCCGAGTGATAGAGTCATCCTCCGGGAAGTATCCGGCCATCGAAACTCTCTGGAGTTGGCCCGACTCCGGCATTGTGTTATCGCGAGGCCACAATGCCGCTTCGACCGCCGCTGTTAGATCGAACTGCTGGCTGAACAGGGGTGAAGTGAACACAATACACAGGAGAATGGATAGCTATGTGACTCTCAGCACGAAGGAGCCGGCTCAGCCAGCCTTGTGAAGAGTCAGAGCTGCTGAAAGGGCAGCGTCGCATCGCTATCCTAGAAAGGGTGATTGAAGCGAGAGCGAGTGGTCAACGGTTTGGAATGCTGGCGCTGCCTCACGGTACGCCCGCAAATCGACGGTCGATGACACGGGTTCTCAAGCGGTCTGATTCGTAGCGAGGAGGCTGAGACGCTCGACACCTCACCTCCCAGGCACCCAATATGCGCGAGGCAGCTCAATTTCGCCGTGGCACACCACGCAACAGTGCAGCACACACGTAGGAAGCGACGAGTGCAACGCGCACCCTTGCGACAAGCAAAACGGACACATGTAGAAACCAAGGGCGCGATGTCCACCCCGTACTATGTCTGTGATGCAGTTGCTTGACCTAGGAAGATCCGCGGAGAGCGTCCTGCTGCAGCATGCTGTATGATTCATCAAGAATTGCTCATTATTACAATTATCTCCATGAGATGAGCACCAGAGTACCGCCAGGAAGGGTAGTTGCTGGCATTCGGCCGACGGACGGCGCGGCGGAGAAAGGATGTTAGAGCATGCGTTGATCCCTGTCGCTTGTGACCGCTTCCCTCCGACTCACCGCTCGGATTTTACAGACCATGCGGGTCGGCGTTTACTTGACCTTGTAATCATTCGGATCTGAGCAGAGACATAAGACAAGCCGTCCCTCGCCGTTTGATGCCAACATCTCTCCAGTTACAGACCACCAAATAACAGAAGTCAAAGAAGAATATTTCTTGACATCGCTATTACGACTTCGACTTTGAACAACAGCTGTACCAACCGAACACCCCTGCCCCGAGACCCTCCTTCTATTGGCCACCTACCAGAAGCCTCGCTCTGGACCAGTCACCAACCTTAAGAGTCACATCAGCCCAGGCAATAATATTTCTGCCTTCGACATAAAAAATGCCTTCAACTTCGCACCTACGTTTACAAACAACCTTTGAGCCCATCTCTGCTGAGACCACACGCTCCTACTTTGTCTCATCACCACCGCAGAAGAAGCAGAAGATGTCTCTCACACAGACCTACTACATCGCAGCCTCTGCCCGCTCAAAGCTTGGTAAGGAGGCCTGCAGAGCCGATCACGACCTCCGCCTCCTTGTTGGCCATGCCAACCTCCTCGACTCATTGATGCTTGAGCTCGCCGACGCAGAGAAGAAGCAGGAGGAGTGGTTCAACAACACTGTCCGCAAGGCCTCCAAGGCCGAGGAACCCCGACACATCCAATGGGTAGACACAATTGAGGAAGAACCCGAAGAGGAGGACGAAGAGTCAGAGTCAGATTCAGAATCAGACTTCTACGATGAGGATGGCGACTTCGACATGGTTGCTCCTCCACGACAAATGGTGCAAGCACCAGTTCAAATCACGACCACTGAGGTTGAGGAGGATGACGATGAGGATTTCTATGAGGATTTGGAAGATGATGCAGACCTCGCTCTTACTCGCGTGCCATCACAGTCACCACCCGAGCTGGTACACGACGAAGACTCGGACGACGAATCACCGCCAACATCACCACCTCAACCCACCATGGAGTTCTCGGAAAAGGAGGCTATGCTCACCACATCATTTTACGACAAGTCCGAGCAGCCTTCCTTATTCCAGGAAGACTACTTCATGCCTGAACGGACCGCTCCGCTGATAGCAACTTGCTAGGCCAACTTCGACCTGCCAATTTGTCTTTTGCTATAGCACTTTCAGCAAGCCAGTCTTTTTTAGCATGGGGTTACGGATCATGATATCACACAATTTTCTTTGGAGAGAATTTGGCACGAATGTTTGCATTGGAATCTACTGCGATAAACAGTCGCGATGAGCAATTGTTACTCTACTCTGGATGGAACGGAAGATCAGGATGTGAATTCACAGGTTTGAGATCTCCCGCTCAGCATAGTGGTCGAGACTCCCAAGATAGCTAGGAAATCAAACAAATGATCATTTCATCAAAGCAATGTTCCTTTTGCACCATCATGTGACACGGTGATCTCCCACATTTTTTTGCTTATGATATGAGCTGACCGCTTTTTGATCTGGGGTCTAGGCGAGGGGCGTTCCTTACCCCTGGTCGTGCAGCGCCGAGTTGTCTGGTCATCACCGCCCACAAGGCTGAGAGGTGGTACGTGCTTCACCGGCCGAAACAGGAGGCAGATTGGAAGTCATCCTCAAAGCTCACATCGAAATGCATTTCTCGCAACGCTCGTATAACACAGCCTGCTGTTGCGTGGACCGCAGCGACGACAACGTATGCTTCCACGAATTGTCAAGAGATGCTGCCTTGGACAGTTCACGTAATCGACCTTCGTCCCGCGCGGTGCCGGTAACCTGAGAGATGCCTAGTTCGGCGTCCTCGTGGTCCACCGGACTCGGGCGCCTCTTTGCTCCGTCGTCCGCACAATGTCCTGTCTCTTGTCGCTGTTCCCATGACTTCAACATCCAGGCTATCCGAGCGATAACGGAACGCGTGGAATCAATCACGCCGTGCAGCCATGCGCGATTACTCTCCTCACGGGTCTGGATGTTTCGCACCACGGGATTGCATTGCACAGCAATCTGTTCATGAGATTTGCGGAGTTGACTGCGATGCGGCGAGAGAGGCACAATGTTTGGTTGATGGATAATAAGCGGGGTTTAACCAATGCCCGAGCAAACAGCCGTAGTTTCAGAGCGTTGTCTTGTTTCGTTTCGCTCTGCCCCATCCTTTAGCAACTTTTTCGCTCGCCGAATGATCATGCGCATGAAACAAGCAGCTTGTTGGCGGCGTGTGTTGAGCTGATGAGGGATCGAACCGAAAGGGGGAAATTGGTTTTGTTTCGCTATGCTGTCCTTCCTTCCTCCCCCTCTTTGAAATTATTGCGATAAGGCATTCACACTGACGATGAAGCATGACAGGTTGCCTCCCTCAGGCAGATTGCCTTGTTTGGCGGTATGATAGGTCGGCTGTTTTAGAGCGATTTGTTGACGCGGTCCGTTTCAACCCTTTCACCTGTTTGCTAAGGATGCGCATATCCTAAGGGCTTGTTCTATCATCTGGATGGCACGTTGGCGATTCCCATGTCTCTCCAGTATAATATGACTTGTACATGCCAATAGAAAGAGACGCCGTTGAAAAGTGTTGAACCGAACTTGATGTTGGAGAAGGTGCACTGGCATCATGAAATTCACTTGGCACCTTCTGTTAGAGCCGCAACCTCACCCGGCAAACACACGAACGGTAAAGTTATGATTACTGCGCAATGGCTTTTGATGGCGCTCAAGATTTGCCTGTAGTAGGTAAAAAGAAGGTGCGATGACAAAGAAGTAGCAATGTGTGGGCTTTCCTTATCTAGCTTTAACACGAAGAATTTTGATTTCCTTATGGTATTCTCTAACCCCTCCTTCATTTTCCAACCATGAACCTCTTCTTTCTTCCAAGCATCTTGTCATGTCCACACAAGGTTTACCCTACCCACATACCCCTCTCTTGGCTCAGCGGAACGCGAAACTATTCTCTATTGCGTCGCTCCAACAAGGCGTAGCCAAAGGAAACTCTAAATTTTCCAAGCAACCTTTATAATGTAGACTAGATAAACCCAAAGCAGTTGCTGCTCAGACAGACTACCCTCTCGTCACTCTTGCATCAGTAAATAGCATGAAAGCCACCATACTCACCAACCCACTATCGTCAATGCACTCATCCCTGACTCCAATAGTCCAATTACCAAGCCACTCATATCCATCTTACATCCATCTCACATCCATCTCACATCAAAATCGACAGACATCACAAATCCACTTCCCATTTCGGTAACTGTATCCTTCACCCTTCTTCCGATGGGCCATACCTGTGAATTGGACTTTACAATCAGCACCCCTAAACTCGAGGCTTCTCTCTCACTCAACCTGTCATCACTCATCACTTATCCGCTGTCATCCCCACCCTAGCGTTTGGTAACCGCGTTTGTCGCTTATCGATAAACACCTTGAAAACCTTTCATCACATCATCGCAAGCCAAACGCTAGATTCCGCACTTCGGCGTTGATGGACGTTGATTACTTTCCGATACCTGGTTCCTACCCTTTCTAGCAAAGAGTCTGCGGCAGCAGTAGTGGGAATATATTATCTATCCCATTGCGTGCGTGCCCGTTTGTCCGCCAGCGGGGCGGCGCAGTGTTCGTTATCACACCGGGCCCGATACGAGGCTTCCAGCTTAAGCGAATGTTGATCCCTTTCTCCCATGGCACAATATGCCTCGCATGCGCTAGTGCAGAACGTGGAGCGGGAACTCGGTGAACGCTCGCTCTTTCGCCGATGTCCAAATGCAGATGCGGTGGACGGGAAGAACAGCGAGATCATGCCGAGCAACACCGAGGTCAATGAAAAAAGGTTATTCACGCTAATGTGGAGGGGAAAGGAAAAACAAACTTCAAAAGGTTGATTAAAACCAAGAAGTCATGCTTGGCCGCATGAAACAGTGTGTCGTGCACTCCCTATTCCCATCTCGCCTGGGGCCAGTCTCTACCCAACCTTCTTCGTTCTTTTCTGCACACGACCACAAAATCCCCTCACTCGCGCTGCACTCGCTTAGGCGGCCCGCTCGCTGGTTGAGCCAGCTAGGGAATAATTTTTTTTTCCCCTGGTGCAATTGATGCCAGCTGGGAGCATCCCGATGTTCGGCATCGCGCTGTGGAGTGGGGCGTGCAGTACAGTTTGAGGAAACGAAAATCTCGGCGAGCGGCGGCTCATGCCCCTCGCGCAATTCTGCGACGGGGAAAGCGATCACGAATGGGGAAAAAATAATCTGTGGGAGGCGATATTAGCTGGGAGTATCCTTGAGGGAGCGACAGGTGTCTGGAGAAACGAGTGGAGAGGCTGCCTAGAGTTTGGGCTCTCTCATTTCGTTGTCGGGTTGTTTGGCACACCGCTCACAACAGATATTATGTGCTTTTCAATCTAATGCCCAGTGAGCAAACTAGTCGTGTACGTCCCTTCGTTGTACAAAGATACATCATTCTTGGAAATTTGGATTTGTTCTGCTCAGAGTTATCATTACTTAGTTATCAACGACTCGTCAATTATCAAATATCAGTACAGTTATATCAGCAAATAATCCGCTTTCCTTATTTCATTTCCCCCTCCCAACTCTCACCTTCTCTTATTCGAAAAGAACCTCGTCGACGTCAACAACCCCACCACATCATCATCCTTAATCTCCGGACTCAGCAACCCACCATCAAGACCATCATCTTCCAGTTCCTCCCCTCTCGCTAGCCCCATCTGAGTCCAGAGCTTCTTAACGTCATTATCAAGTAACAGCGGAATCCACAAACACTTCCGCATCCGATCTAGCAGCTCTTCCGCCGTAGTTTTCTCATCAAACCCCGCACCCGCAAACGCTACCGAGCAATACTGTGCGAAGAAATCCGCTTCCGTGGAACCCTGGGCTGCTAGCGCGCCCATTGTTAAGGTCCAGAGTAACAAGTCCGGCGATTTAGCCCAGCGGAAAATGCTTCCTCTTGTTAATGCTGCGCGCAGCTTTCGGACTGTTGTGAGAATCATGGTGCGGTATGAGTTTTCTTGCGGCTGTGATGTTCGGACGAGGAATATCAGGACGCCGAGACATATGCATTGGTCTAGAGGGTTTCGATCGTCCTCTCCTTCTTTAGTGTACCAGTCAAATAACCTGTACATTAGTAGGGAGATGTGTTTTTGGAGCTCGAGAGGATCGACGGGACATCTTCGGTCCTCGAACCAAGAGCTGATGTCGCCGGTGAAGACCACGACATTAGAGATAATATCAAGTAGATCGGTATCTAGTTTAAGATCCCGGAAGAGGCGTAGGATGCGGTGTGAAGCGGGCCGCGAGCGAAATGATGGTAGGTCATATTTTTGGGGGGACCCGGTACTATCTAAAAGGGTGGTGTAGGGTCGTTGGAAGGAGGCGATACTATGCGCGATGCTGTGCCTGTGGGACTGTTAGCGGTCAAGCTTCCAGCTGACTTCCGTAATGATGTTGAATGTACGCAGGTCCGCGGACCCATGTAGTAAAGCCAAGTGAGGTTAACAGCCCTACAGATGATTTCTGCTTTCCGACTATGCATCCGAATCAGGCAAACGCCGCACAAAGATCGTCTCGAAACAAATAAGAGAAATTGGCTCTATTGATGAGCATGACGAATAAGAAAGGAAAGGATCGACAAATCAGATAATATCTCCCAATGGAAGATGAAGGGTGGGGTCTTAATATGCGGATGCAGATGAACGGTGGAGCTCACATTAGTATAAAGACCTGCAGGCATCTGTTGGCACTCAACGCTGCAAGGCCACCTCGTTGTTGGATCATCGTCCGAAGGCCATTAAGGTGTATTTGTCGATGCATCTCATTCCATTCAGGGTCATTGCCAGCCTTGCCTTCTACAGGCGCAAGCTGACTCTCTTCAAGACAAAGAAGCATAAAGACAGCAGCAATGTTGCTATCGTCAACGCTGGTCTTGGGATCTGATAGGTTCGTATTGATTTCTGATATCGCCCGTCCCTTGTAGTACAACGCATTCTCGGCGTTGTTTGCACCCATGGCTTGGAGATGCAGCGCACTTGTAGTCAACATGGCATATGTGAACGGTGCGCTGTTATCATTTCGCAGCGAGCTGGCCACCCATTCGGTGGTCGTTATTGTGGATGTTTGATGCAGGTCCACCGGTAACAGGCGCGGTGAGATAATGCTCACAACTACACGACTGCATTCAATACCTATCCGAAGCTTCTCAGCTGTTAGGTTGGCTTACAGTGATCAATCAGTGCGCTCGTCTTTGCATCCGCCTTCACCGGCAGACTATCAAAAGGATCTAGAACCCCGAGTGAGAAGCCATCCCGTCGTGCCAGCGCAGCATGCAGCTGGCCACAGGCTTCTCCATTGCAGAGAGGGAAGTTGCACACACTACCGTCACTGGATGGGGGAGTCAGGCAGGGCTGACTGCTCCGACCAGAAACGCTGCTGCTGCTGCTGCTGACAGGTGATCCACCTGACTGGGCATTCCACGAATTCGGACTCGGGTCGTACTCGAACCAGGATGAAGCAGGTGCGATCTCATCAGCCCTCCTGGGGATCTCAAATGAAGAGCGTTTTTGGCTTGGCTTGGTTGGGGCGGTTCCCGTACTGGGGCTCTGAGGGCTTTTCCGGGTACTCCAGGGCTTCTGTCGGCGGGCCTGGTGCATGACAAAGGATCTCACAGCCTTGTCAGGCTTCGAGTTTTGTCCACCTTGAGAGGAGTCAATAAACATAAATGATTTCATTGGTCGTTTCTGTGCTTTTCCGCTGGTGCCAGTCCTAGTAACGTTGTGGCCGCTGCTGGGGTTCGGAGCGGCGTCCATCTTGTGGGCATCTCGTCCGGCGAATCGAGTGGTGAGGAAGGATCTTGGCGCAGTAGAGAGGGTCAGGCGAAAAGACGAAACAGCTGGGCAGAGAGCATATGGCGCGAGTCCAAAGCGTGTGTTGCAAAGAGAGTCCTGTAAAGGAAGTCTTTAGTGGACATTGGAGTTATAACAAATTAGCCGTGCATGGGAGCTAGCCAAAGTCGGCTTATTATCAGTGCCTCAATTTGGGCTAGAGCAGACACGAGGCTCGAGAATATCAGCATCAAGCTATAAATACAGACTGTCAGCAACCATCTCATGAACTATTTGTCTTTATACCGTCGTCCACGCAACACGAACACAGCCCATCTGGAAATTTTGAATAACTTGCTACCGCTTTTGAAGTCTTCCCGTGCCGAAAGAAATATACGCGTACGCGAGACGAGGAATACTCCGAAGTTCTTCCGCCGGTATTCGACCGTACGGGGTTGGACGAGTGAGCCTTGAAAACAGGATTCCGATCCGGATCCGCGAAACTTCCGCGCCGGCAATATCACGGGACCCAGTCTTTGTACCAAATGTGGAACATTTGCTGGAGGATGTTGGCCAGTTGTATCACTTGCCGGAGCTTGGGTGACCCATACCAGTTTCTCCGGTAAGGCGCAGCAAAACACATTGTCACCAGAAGTGAACCTACTCTTCTCCCGATATTTGTACGTTAACGTCCCTCACTGCGTAGCGAGACACACTGTGTGGCGAGACAAACAAGGGGTACTTTGACTTTTAGCAACTAGAAAGCTCATGCGCACAACAAATATTGCTATAATTCTAACAAAATAATCTGCTATAGCTAATTCTAAATGTTTATAATCCCTCCTACCTAAAAATTACATTTGCATTGTCGCCTCCGCGCCTGATTTGTACAGCGCCTTGTGGCGTAGCATAATAGGCTTCCCTCCCTACAGCGCTAACCTTAAGCCTTTTTTGCCCTAAATTTTTGTAGAATAGCCTTATCCTACCCTCACAACCTCCCTCTAATACTAACAAGTCATCATTAGCCCTATACGTGCTGCGACGCGCAATTTCATGTAGCACTGCCCTGTTAATAAGTACCCCTAGCAGAAGCGAATCCCTAATCCTAGCTAATGTGCGATGACCCTGCTTATCTTACCTTATACATCTGCGGGTATTTTACTGTGACTGCACAAGCGTTCGGATTATTGTTAAATCCAACTTAGGATTGGGAGCAGTGATGAGACATGACCGGTGCTTGTTTAGTCACCTAACGCGCTTCCAGCATCGAAACTAGCTTCGGCACAGCAATCCCACCCACTTCGAGATGCAGTCTAATGCACAGCGATACCCATTTTGTAACGTGGAGACATAGCATTACCACCCCCTTAAGCTCCAAAGCCTGCTGTTGTTCTCTCCGCTGACCGAACAAAAGACCTAATAAAGCCCACCACATCCTCATACTTCTCAAGTCCACCAGCGCTGATTCCTTAACTAAGCCGCATCGAGCTTTAGTCTTGACTTGTTGAAGGGGAATATGATGTGATGGGAAGGATATAAGATAAGATGGAGCGCGGTGGGCCTAGAAATCGAAGCCTGTGCTTTAGCAAGTGGTTCAACCAAGCGCTACTAGCAAACGCCATCATTGCAAGTGCGTATGAAGGCGGAAAGGCTCTGCATGCTTGGTGATACAGCTGCCGTACAGTCAAACAACCAGCGGCTCCTTGCATGAGCACTGTAATCATTAGGGCCGTGGAGATGTGCTTCAGTTCAACCTCTGAGGGTCGTGAGGAGTCTTGAATTGTTCATGTTCGTGAGGGATGAGTAGTAGTTAGCAGAACTGTGGTGGCCATGCATGGCAAGACTCTACACTATCCAGAGCTGTATACAGCACTCTTCTCTTCAACCATATCTACAAACTATCGCCTCCGGCGCAAGAGTCTGTCCAGAGCGGGTCAACCGTCCTCCCTGCTAGCGTGATCGAGGCGTTATTGTGCCTCTGGCCACACCCGAATGGCAAATATTTAATACGTAATTTTGCACGTGGACATCTTGTCACTTGATCCAGAGTATGCTCGAAGCTTCGCTGTGGCAAATTAGCAAGCTATATATTCATGCCGATCCCCGGCCCTCTATGAAATAGAGAGAATAATAAATATAATATAGTAAATAATAATGGTGTGAATGTTCCAACGCCTTAGGATGCATTACGCTCGTTACGTTCAACCTTGTATATCCATACCCTCCCATGACCAGTTCCAGTACCAATCATTTTCTCCGATACTGTTGAACATGATGGTCGATATTCTGACGGTAGCCATAACAGGTTTTCGGAATTATATGTTATCCACCTACAATTTGAACTCAAGTGTATGCCTCGATTGACATTGTGGTCATCTGACCCTGACACCAGCCGGGTGGAGTCGTGGGAGAAGGCCACTGAGCTGACC